TGATTATTGACATCGAGAAGGGACGAGTGGAAGGGGGGGTTGAAGGAGGGGGAAAGCCCCAAGCCATAGCATTACATGATTCCAACATTTCAGATTGTAAGTTCGGGTTGAGCCGTTGGACAGCGCACACCGTAAGTTCTTCGAAGTACGGAATAATACTTCGTACATAACTAACTAGTGATTTGGTGTGCGGAGAAGAGACGTACGGGAAACCTTCCAACAGGAACGGGGGAGATGGCACTAAACCTTAGTGGCGGGGTCATCCAGCAGCCACCGGAAAAGCCATCTCATCGTTCTGGGAAAAAACTATCCGGAGCTTTTCAGCAAGGCGATGACATCGCAAACTAATGGCGTTGAGTACGTAGTTTGTTAGCTACTAGTTTAGTACTCAACCTCCGAAGGGCTCCGCTGAATAAACCGGCTCGTCACGAAGGTCACGAAGACATGGGAAATTGCACTTTCTTCCGCGCCCCAGGGGAAAATGGAGACATGGCTTGCCAGATTCAGTATGGCCGTGTTGAACCGTGTGTGTTCAAGAAGGGTTAGATAATACATAGCAAGGGATCAGAACAGAGGAATAGAACTCCAGATCAATCATATCATCCGGTCGAATATAGAAACATCATTTCTCGGAACGAAACCCTAACAGGATCTCAAGATCAAGGATGAATTACTTAGAATAGTTAGAAGTAAAGGAAAGACAACCCAACAAGGCCAATAATTCTTCGATCTCGAACGGTTTGGGGGTGTGGAAAAGTATATCCAGTACCCAAATTGACCCGGTCGGCCAGTCACGTCACAAAGCAGGCCCAAAGTGGTGGATCTCTCCTTGTGCAAATACTCCGTATAGGAGTTCAAGGCCAACAGACTCGATCCATCCATCAAGATGCGCCGGACGTTTCAGGTTGGCGTTTAGCGTTGACCCTGAGGGTGGCAGTGTTCTTAGCGGCGATTGTGGGCCTCACCAGGATCGCACGCAGGGATCTTAGTTACAAGTTCTCCGTATACACGCCGTAATGGGCTTTGGCTTTTAGGGCCCTAGCGCCCCTTTTTCTGGCACTAGCCTCACTAGGAAACTAACGCCAACGGGCTTTTGCGGGGATCCAGGGCCGGGCTGGAAAAGGGCGAGGGAGGGCGACTAGCATGGTGCCATCCACGTCATAGGCTTGATGCCAAGGTTGGGCTTGAGAATTGACTAGCTGTTAATTGATTTAGTTTACTTAGTGGAGTTATTATACTCTGTGGATACTTTTGTCAGCATCGTTGGGCCCCATGGTTATGATTAGTAGGTTTGAAGTTGTACACCATCTGTCACCTTCAAAAGTGTCGATACGATCTCTTCTGATATTAATAGAAAATAGATAATTTATTTATATCTTGAATAACAGATTACGGTAGAGAAGTTCAAATGAAACTCTATTACCGCCATTCCAATGGAAACCAATAATTTTGCTTTACTGGAACGACCCCCAACGTATCCAAACTTGTACCTTGACGAATTGCCCTGTTGTACCTCGTCTACCGGCAATGACCAGCTAATAGTCAGAACCCCCAAACTCCCGTAGGAAATACCACCCACCTGGACGGGACAAAGCACGCGTCAGCTCCTAATGGAGCCTGTCAATCGATTGGTCGATCCCACGGTGCCAAGCTCGGCTATCGACTATCTGCCGTCTCTTCACAGACACAAAAGGAATGTGGTGGATCCGTGCGACCATTCAGATCGTCCAGATTGCATATGTGGATCATACACTCCCACCCACCCATCACGGACAAACCCCCCAGAGGCTGGATGAAGAGGAGAGGAGCAGGGACTCCGGGGGTCCGGTATCGGGCGTGTATCCCCTGTATTCATTCTTCTATTACCATTGGAATGGGAGTTATAATTCCTCTATCATTCATCCAATCACGATTTATCTATACAATGCTTTCAGAACTTGCCGTCATTCCAAAGGTTTGTGGGTTTGAACTCCATCATTTTTGGTTTCTATTTCTATTTTGTTGGAGCCTTTGGCTGGTTATCTGCATCCACCGACGACGCCGTAGTGGAGGTGTGCTGAGCGGATGGCGATGTCCACTTCTGCAAATCCACATATCCTCGATCGTAGTGGCACTCGCTGTCTCCATCCCTTTTCGACAAATTTACCCAATTTACCCGGGTGGGCATCCTGCATTTGTGAGGTTGACATCGAGGAGGACCTTGGATCGTGCTTTTGCCTTGGACCTTCCTTAAACAAAGGTATGGTTCGAATAAACGTTTGGGCGATGGTCAACTCCAAAGTGGTCCTGGGCAATGCAATTCCTTTTGCCTCATAGTGACGATGGTCCGATTACTATGTATAGAAACAGGTCCTGCAGAACCGATGACGCTGCTGACAAGACCCGACCGAGCGTGGAGATGGTGGAGGATATAGTGATACTACTAGGATTTGTGCAGATGACCAGGTCATTCTCCCCAGCAGCATGAGATCTACTCAATAGATTCCAGGACTACTATTCACGACTACTGTAGGGAATTCATTGATGCAACGTCGGTTGCCGAATGGGAATATCAAGCCCGTACAGTGATGTGCAGCAAGAGGTCAACCTTGAAATTAAGAGGACAATCGCGGACGATCTGCCGCGGTGGACACCGCCAAGATCGGAGCCCCGTGCAGATGACAGATGAAGATGGGTTTTTTTTGGCTGCTCTAGGGCTGGTTCCTGGGCTGATGGGGGGAGGGGGCGTCTCGGGGATCGTCATAACGTGCAAATCCAGAGAGGGAATTCCATCTTCATCGTCATTCTGGATGCATATCCATGGATATGGAAGATAAGATGAGTGTTTACATGTTTTCAGCGACGAAGTATTAGCTAGGAGTAATTATCATGGATCGGGTGAATTGGATTTGCACATGCATCCACCATTTATGAGTATTGGGGATGTAAATATCCCGCATCAAGTACATGAGCAAATTTTCCGATAATTCTGCGTGTGTGCACAGTGTTCAGGCTGGGACTTGCCAGAGGAGTCTTTCGTATGGAGTACATTTCTCGCAAAGGGAGGTTTTGCGAGGTCAACTAGTCCATACTCCTCCTGTTTCCAGCACAACTACATACACTAATATTCATCTGGTTGACCGCTTATTACCCATTTTTTCAGCGCGTTTCTCGGGAACCTCGAAGGGAGAAGACTGCCGAATCAGATCGCAGCCGGGGTTCCGGGGCCTTGACGCACTTAGCCCCTTTGGGAGGATCTAAAGAGAGAAGTGGATCTGATGGACTTTGGAGGGGCAGAAAAGGGGACCAGAAGGCCAAAAAGAGTAGAAACAAGAGGAGAATCCCGCCAGACTAGCGACGCGTCATGAACTTGAGAACATCCGCCAGGCCTGAGCCGTCTTTGACCCCCCCCCATCCTATGATCCTATCCGTCCACTCATCATCATCAACCCAGCTTAGCACTCCGTATGGAGTATATGGAGTACTTCAGCGTCCAGAGGAGCTGTCTTTTTGGGTTAAGCGTTAACAAATAACAGCGGTCAGCGGGTCTTGCGACTGGCTAGTACATACTTGGCTACATACAGTAAGTACTGTACTCTCTTCTTTGGCAACGGAAACAATGGTGATGCTATGCTCTCTTGAGTCTCTTCTGCTTCTCCTTCTCCTTCTCCTCTCTGTCCTTTGCTCGGTCTCCACTTCTCCCGTGTGTATAAGCTTGGACCTCTTCTGTCGCAGTGGAGTCCGACCAAGACCGAAAGTCTCGTCGCAGAGATACACTTTGTGGATTGGCACGATCTCCTCTTACCCTGTCCATCCGGCTCACTCCGTTCAAACCCATGGTGATGGCTCCAACGGTCGGCGGTGAGACATGTGTACCCTAACTCCTCATTTGAGTTCTCCGAGCTTCAAAGTACATACTAACATAGTATGGCTTCCACCTCTGTTAGAGATACATTAGAACCTTGGTTTCAACATCATAGCCTATGTTTTCTAAGCCGGCACATTGTCGTCAGCTTGCGGCCCAAGTTCCAACGGCCTGCGCCCCCTTTTCACTCCGCAATGAATACAACCATACCACCAATTTGCCCCCCTCAATAGTAATGCCCCTTCAAGACCATGGATAATAGAGCGAAAATGATGCAATACAGCAGAGAAGTACTGCCGGTGAGATGTGGAGTGGGCCAACGACACGGCATAGCTGGAGTCTTGCACAGTGGAAAGGGGGGCGCGCGACGCTCAGACTGGAATAATGGGCACCTCCAAGTTTCAACCCCGTTGCTTGTTTTTTGGCAATTTATTCTCCCGTCATGTTCGCAGTTGGTTGGTCTTCAACTCTTGGCTTGGGCATGAATGGGGGCATATGGAAATGAGCCGGGCTCCATCTCCAGAAGTCGATATCCATAGTTTTGTCCATAGTCCCGTGGACCATCGAGCATGGACGTTCTTGGGTGTCTGATTTGAACTCGGGCTAGTTGTCGGACTAGCTTAGTCTACTCCAGAGGTCTCGTTAGACATCCCACGCATCCCACGCCAACGTCTAGACTGCCGAATCGGTACTCCTTAGAGTCGGCCAGAACCTGAACTTGAACTACTCGACGAGTCCACGATGTAGTAAGGTCTCATCTGGAACTCCATTCTTTTGACCATGTCCACTTGCAAATGGGTCATTTGCGTGGCCCCAGCTACTACTGTCTTACTTTGTCTTGTGTAGCTGGTCGTTGTTGATCATCCAGGCTTACCTAGTGAATATGTCCGAGCTTGGACGTTGAAAATATATATCGACATTTTGGAGACAACCGGGAGTTGTGATTGAGACTCTGCCCGAACTCAGCATTATTCAGCGCGCCCCGATAAATTGACTACATCACATAAACTGTTGTAGAAGGTTAGTATTTAGAATTCGAAGTTCAAAACACAAGATCAATAATTGAATTTGGTTCTGTCTCGGCATCGTACTAGGTCTGTACTACAACCTCACACAACCCATCAGCTGAGCTCCAGAACCAAACTCTCGAACTACATCACAACCAATTACAAGCATAGGTTTCATACTTCCAAACCGTAGCACTAAGCTCTTTACAACTTTCAACTTTCTCGTCCCTCGTTCCTAGTCCCAACTCTCCAGACCCAAGGTCCAACTCCAAACCTCCAACGGCGCATCCCATCGCATGCCCAGCCAACACCCGTAGACCCACGGCACGCCATTGAGGCAGAGGCACACAAGCCCCCATCGAATCGTTGACCCATGGGAGACCGCTCAGACCTACCGCATCCGGCGAGATGTAGCCGGTTCGCATACTGGAAGCCAGCCTCTCCCGTTCTATGGTTTTCTGGTTCTGTGGGAACGAACCTTTTGGTTGTGTGTCTTCCAGAAAACCGTCGTGACCATGGGACCCATGGCGTTGGGTGGGAAATGCGGAGAAAAATCCAATGGTGATCCGGCGAGTTGCGACGGGGAACGCCCGTGAGGAGAGTTGTGGATATGACTTTGTAGGAATTAGTAACCATAACCGGTTACTTTGAATTTGAATGCTACTATAGAAGTTCTATTGGACACAGTGAAGTTTGAACAGAGAGTTTCACTGCAACGCCCATGGTTCCGGGATCGAGGGTGATTTCCGACAAGCTCTCCGCAGTGGCGGTGGCTTGCTTGTTCCTCCCCCCTTTTCTCCCCCTTTAGAGGGAGGACGCCAAAATGATCCGCCGTATCATAAGGAAGGTTATTGGCTGGAAGTTTGAGTTGGGCTGGTTTAGGGTAGTGATCACGGGATATAACTACTCCATCGGCAAACCACGACAAGCTAAACTACTGTTAACTAGTTCACTGAACCAACCACTTTAGTGGTGCAAAAAAAATTAAGGAAATTTGAATGTGAACGACTCCATCCATTCTGGCGGGATAAAGCGCCTCGAGCGTGTATTCAAAGTTTAACAAACCCGGGACATAATAATGGGGCTTGTTACCAAGTCGTTAGTAGTAGTTAGTGATTCGAGTGAATTAGTTCGTTAGTTTCTTCAGCCTCCCTCGGCTGCCTCCTCAGATCATCCTTGTGATCACGAAGCTTGGCGTTATTGGAAGGAAATTGGGATGGAGAACAAGGCATTCAATTCTGTTTCTGTATGGATGAGGCAGTCACTAACTTGGTGGTTAGTGTTTGCTCCGTCTTGTTTAGTGTCATGTCTGGTCGCTCTCTTGAACCATACACTCGGGAACGTCGCTGATGGATTGACTCCATCTGTAACTTTTCGGGGATCTGGCACTTGGGGGGATCGGGGACCTTGGCAAAGAACTCTTACTAGTTATTTGCTTGCCCACTGTGGTTCATTTGCCACGGGCGAAAATAAGATGATGCTCCACTTTCTGAGGAACGGCGCCAGTTGGGAATCCTCTTTGGCGGCTTGCACGGTTGCACCTTGGGACTATTCCCGAGTACCAAGTAAGATAGATTAGGAGACGAGACTATGGAGTATAATTTTTATTTTCTATGAACTATGAGCCCTGGACGACGAACTAGTACTATAACATAGTATATTACTCTATCATACTATAAAATCTTAGTAATATTGACTAAATCTACGGACAAACTCGGTCCAGATGTGACAAGTCCGATCCTCTGGATCTGTGGATAGCGGTCACATCTGCCGCGCTATTGCAGGAGCCGCGCCGCTAATGCCCCCCCCCATGGCGGGATGTGCTGGTCCGCGCTCTGACGTCGTTGTCCAACTGGCGACAGCCGTGCTTGCACTGCTGGGAGGAGTTGGTGTGCCCGGGTGTGGTGGTCAAGTAGTGAATGGAGTTACGGAAGAAGTAGGATGGGGACGAGGCGGCGATGGCTTGCAGGAACAGGCACATTAGGAAGGTACGGTGATGTGTGAAATCGGCAAAATGGCGAACAATACGAGGTCTGGAATGAAAATAGTTCTCATCTTCGTACAGAGAGTGTGTTGCTTTGCCTTTTTAGCCCTTTGCCTTTTTCCTTGCAAATACTGTAACCCCCCCGGTTCCCTCCCTTTTCCCCGTCGCACGGTTTCCTCGGGGGTTGGGACCCTTTTCTCGAGTGATACAGAGCATGGCCCCCCCCCCCCCCCCCCCCCCCCCCGGTCGGCAAATCTGCGCATGCTGAGAACAGGAGTCATGTCCTGCAGGCGAAATATCCGATATATCGTCATTGCACGAGTAAGGTGATCTGTGCCGGTACTACTTCGTATCTTCTTTTAGGACCAGTTAGTGTGAATGTGTTACGAGGTAATCGATGGCTGGGTTCAGTCTCAGGTCTGCAAGTGCATAGAACTCTTGAGTATACTCCGTATTGTGTGTGCTGATGAGAGATGCGCCGGGGCAAATCCGGAGCGAGTCCGACGGCAGTGGTGTGTGGACTGCGGAGTGGCGCACTGTACATCCTCCACACGTTGGAGGTCTCTTCGGTAACTGCTGTATATGAGAACTACTGTTGATGCCATGTGAATATACAAGACGTCCTATTTCTTCCGTTGGTGGCTCTGTGGCATACAGTTGGTACTCCTTGCTTAGCTGTACCCCGTCCTACGTACTTCGTACTGGACATACTGTGGCTTTCACTAGGTTACTGCAGTACATAATTTAGATAGATAATTGTACCATAAGAAGCAAGATTTCAAAAAGGTTGAGGATTATGTGTAGCAATGAACCATATCATCTCTAGTCGAATCATAGCTCAGCACTACCAAGGCGCGCGTGGGGTGTCAACGTCGTCATCGTGCGCATTTTTGTTCCCGTAAATTCCTCGAGAAGGAGACCCCAGCCCGTCAGGACACAGAAGGAGAATGGAGCACAGGAATAATAGTCAAGGTCCGACCGTCGTAGAATGTCGTCAATAATGTGTTCAAGCTATTGAAATTGATATCATGCTGTAATTTCATTCCTAACTACTCCGTCCAACCCGTACTATCGGGAAGAACTATCGACATCATTGAAAAGGCTATTGGGTATTGGATAGAGGATGTTTAAATGTTGATTTCTCCATGTATTATTATTTGAATTCGAGTCTTTTTATTTTTCGAAGCAAGGTCGCCTCACACGCTAACCATCTATGGCCCGTGTCAAAGGCTCCCCCTCTCTTCATCCCACATACATGGCTGAAAGCCCTGCGTGTGAATCGTCACAATCTGGTGTCAGGGATGGGCCCTCACTCTTCCGCTTTTTCTTTTCCTTTTTAATTCCTTTATTCCTTTTTCCCTCTTTGCCTCCCTGGGAGTGTCCCAGTATTTGAACCAATCAGCAGAGATCTAAACTTGTCCCCGTGGGCCCCTCCCACATTTGGGTTTGCCTGAAAGCCATGGCCCAAAGAGAAGGGGGACAGTCCTTCAATTCAAGCTTGAACTTGCTCCCTTGAAAATGAGATGTGTACTAAATTCAAATCACAAATAGTATAGATATTGAACTTGTATTGATTCTTGTGTTGTTCATCTTGTAATAGTAGATTATTGTATAGTCATGATTCATCCTATTCTACAGTATTTCTACTCTACTAATAACCCCCCACGGGCGCGGGTGTACCCTTTGACGTATCACTGAGGTCTGCCACTGGACTTTTTTTTCCCCGCTACTTTGAAACACGCTCTCTCAGGGCGAACCTTGGTCGCTGCATCGTGAGGTTATTTCTTGGCGTCCCTTTTTCTTTTTACGTCTTTTTTCTTTTCTTTTCTTTTTTTCCCACCTTTTTTCTTTTCTTTTTTGGCCCTGACTCCATTTGCAGTTTAGCTGCCTCTCAGACACGGCACAGATGGACCACTCATCGGTAGCCCAGTTTTTAGTCTGTGCTGGACACATTCCCTTAACAAATGGTCTTCATACTGGCAGTTTGGGCAGTTTCTCTCCTAGTTGTGCTCCCCGTACCGTCCCCCTCCCTCATCCTCCACTTGCCTTCCATCCTCCCCTCCCCAAAATCCACCTCCATTCAACCCAGCCAACCACTAACCAACCACTAACCAACCACCTTCTTCTCTCCCCCCTTTTGAGAATATCCGAGGGTCACCGACTGCTTCTTGGGTCCCATGATAGTTCCCCCTTTTCCTATAACTGTTGCATTTGCTGGGTCTTTGTGAGGGGGAGTTCCGATCCCGGCCTCCCGTGTTCAAGGTCTATAGGCAGTAGTTCAAACGAACTAACTAGTTATATGAGAGTATCCTGGATGTAGTTAGTATAGTCATTCACGTTCTCTCTTAACCGGGTAAATGGCAGCGAGGCACGAGAACGAGATGTCGGACTGGTTAGATGGAGACTATGCCGAGTAACGAGGCAGGACGAAGACCGAGAGGCAGGTAGTCTCAAGAGACAGATTCCTACTGTAGTAACTGGTACAGTAACGCCATCCTGGGAACTCCGTTGAAGCGTGCGTGTGCACACATTCTTGCTGCCGCGTTTAAATGTTAGATTCTCTCGATCTTCCATTCCTCAGCCCAAACCGTCTGCATTTTGATTTTTCGTATGAGTTCTTGGGAGGTAGGGATTATGTAGTATTGTACTCCGTATCTGCATCTCTTTTTCTTTCTTTAACGGATCAACTCCTCCACAAATCAAAGAATTATTCCTATATTGGAGGACACTACATTATGCTCGAAATCCTATTTAGATACTCCCAATGGAACAACTCCCGGCTCGAATGCAATTCCAGGAGGGGACCGAGGGACTGGTTCCCGTTGGAAAGGGCCACTTTTGGCACTAAGCAATGCCTCCCAGTCTCCCAGAATCTCCTTTCTGCATGATAAGAAATAAGAATAAGAAATAAGAATTAAGAATTTAAGAGTCGGGAGAGAAAAGGGAAGCCCGGAAAATCATCAAACTAAAATAAAAAAAATAATAATAAAATGACTAAAATGGACCAATTTTAATTACACTGACCCGCGGTATTAGCGTTTCCGACGATCTGCGAGCCCCGACGGCACGTCGTCAGTGGCACACCCATTTTTGATTTTATGATTTAATGATTTTACTTCCAATTATTATTTTTATTTTCTGAGTGGAGAGCCATTTGGAGACTCTCTGTTCAAGAGTAGTACTAGTGCTGGTTGGAGACTTGCGCGCATGTAAAAAGTGGTGTCTGTCTGTGTATAGCCGTCCCTTCTTAAGCTTCGCCGATCCCCTTTCCCCAGACTCGACTTGGATTGTCCGTTACTTCCCTTTTTCTTCGAAATTTCACTAGGGAGAAAAAAAAATCACAGGCTACAAAATTCAAAAGAATTAAAGTCCCTGATCTTCGGGCTTATCATTTCTCTTTTCCTCCCTCAACCTTTGCACTCTTTCCCCCGGATCAACACTGCACTATACAAGTCGATCAACCCTCAATCAACACCACTACACGAACAGATCCACGAGATATCTGCAGAATAAACAGCAGCACGATCAGCGACAATTCTTCGACTGTTATCGTGATCACCACCACGTTCTACCACACCTTCTCATCTCTTGCGCGCGATCGACTCGTTCATCGCGGCTCTTAACCTCAATGACGATGGTCATGGAAAACCAGAACCGCCCATATGGCGGCATGAGCTTCGACAACGTCTACCATCACAATCCACCACAATTCACAGACCCCTGGGCAGCTGCGCACACTTCCTCGCACTCGACACCACCAGTCTACGCGACTTCCATGGGTAACAGCGCTAACATGCCCATCAACGTCGTCAAGCCCGAGGAAGTCGGCCGCTCCGCCGCAATGTCCATGTCCATGCCCTACCCCAATGTCCCTGTCTCAGCACCCTCGCTCGTCCCGGGCAGCAACTACACCACCACCGGCTATGGCCCAGAGGTAATGGGCTTGCAACATGAGATTCCCCGGACCGGCTTTGAGCAGACCCCCACATACACTACCGCACCTCCCATGAACAACTTCGCCCCGGGCAGCTATGCGCCAGGCTCCTACGCTCAAATTCACCCCTCCCAGTCTCAAGACGTTCGTCGTATCTCGCATTCGTGAGTAATTACCCTTCCCCCCCCCCCTCCATGCTTAGCACGCGCGCCTGCCCCAGATCGGACAGTCGCTTACCCGCGAGAAATGGTGGATGATTTCGGTGGCTGACCTAGCATTCCATACAGTGACCGTGTGGGACCCTCTCAAGCCCCCGCGCCCACTCCCACCTTTGGTGATGCACTCGATGCAAGCCGCGGAATGGTGGCGCTCAGCCAGGACTTGACTCCCCGTAACGTCTACGGGCCTCGCGGGGCACGCAACTCCGCCGATTCATACGGATTCCCTTCTACTCACTCCTCCGCTTCTTCCATCTCATCTGGCGGCAACTATCCTTACTACAGTGCCTCTGTGGGTTCTGTGGATTCTTCTGTCACGGACTACAGCTCGACTACTTCCGAGTCCTATGAGTCGCGCACCCTTCCCCGGCCTACCAGCCTTCTTGCTGGTAGCGCTCCTCCTGGGCCCCAGTCCATGATGAGCCAGTTCAGCTCGAAGATGCCCTCCAACACGCAGAAGAAGCACAAGTGCAAGGTCTGCGATAAGCGATTCACTCGTCCCTCTTCTCTTCAAACGCACATGTACAGCCACACTGGCGAGAAGCGTAAGTTTCATACCCGGGAGACCGAAGAACGGCTTCTTTGAGAAGGAAAAATTACGAAAATATACTAACACATTGGTTATAGCATTCGCGTGTGATGTTGAGGGCTGTGGACGTCACTTCTCTGTGGTTTCCAACCTGCGCCGACACAAGAAGGTGCACAAGGGCGAGAAGGAAGGCGGCTCTCCCGACGAAGACGAGTAAATTCAACAGCTTCCCCGTATGACCAACTTTCCCTTCTGCTCGACCTTTGATACACGAGCGCCTCTCCAATCTCTGCGCGAAAATGACGCGCCAGTTCCCAAGATACCCAATCCCCCCGCCTCTTCCCAACGAAACCGTCCCGCCGCGCAGGCCATTCAACTGTGTTGGATGAAAACTCCTTCGGCCCTGACTATCTCCTTGTACAACAGCATGGACTACCCCTTATCCCCTCACCTCCGACTTTTATTCTCTCTTCATCTTTCAACCTCATCCTTTTTCCTTACATTCTGGATATATCTCCTGATCGGGTGTCGGGAGATTCTTTTCATCAATTTACCATATACCCCTGGGACGGTTCTGATTTTGGGTTTCACGCGGCCATGATACAAGCAAGGCTGCTCCGGGAAAGGAGAGAGGCCTTTTTTTTGTGATGCTTTTCCTTGTTTTACTTCCCATGTTATGACCATAGAGGTACCGGCTGGTTTGCGTTCCTGGTTGTTGCTTGTCTTTTTGCTTTTGGTCCTTTTCTTCTTCCTTTCTTTCTCGAGCCTTTGTGCTCGTTTTTCTTTTTTACCTTTCTTATTCTTTCGCTAGACCTGGGAGTCACCTGTGCTTTTCTCGATACCAATGGGTTTGTGATGATTTGATGCGTTTTTCTTGTCTGAGTTGCCTTCGAATTTGGGGCACTTCATTGTTTTTTAACCATTCTATTCTCCCGTGATGTGTTGCAGCAGCTTGGATCTTGATACTTCTGTCCAGCGCTCATTTACATTCTAATACTCTCTCTACCTTGCATCTATCTTGCTTGGTTTAGATCCTATTTATTCATCATACCTTTTACCATTTTCATGTTTCTCTTGTGCTCTCATTTCCATACTTATCCCTCCTTCCACTGACTATTTTCTCTCTCTCTCTCTCTCTTTCCTTGGCTCTCGTTTCGTCCTCTCTTTCCACCGGGTTTTGTCTATGTTTTCGATGGTCGCACCGGGGTTTTGTGCAAAATAGCTGGACGGCATGGTGTTCATGTGATACCCGTGGCATTGGTGCGAAAGCAAGCACCTTTTTCAGTTATTTTTTGCTCTGACATTTTGTTTCTCTTGTCTTGGTTGTTTGGTCCGTTTTTCGGTGAACCTGAACTTGGGCTGGTTTCCGCTGCGGTTCCGGGGCCAGTCAGTGGAATTTTGTTTCCCAATACACTCGCTATAGTAAAGATTTGTCTAATACGCAATTTGAGCGCTTATATGGTTTTAAATATGGATTTCTTGTGTGTAATGTAGTCTGGTAGACTTGAATGTAGATCTTGGTTGTACTTGAAGATCGCCAAGTTAAGCTTAAGCTTAATTCTGGTCGGTGACACGGTGGATTCGACGATCGAGCCTGCGTTGCATTGCAGTGAGACTTAGCTGATGCATCGGTAGTTGTGTTTTGAACGTGAGGTTGCACTGCACCATAGTGCCATTCCTAGATAAATGGCTGATGCTTTGAGAATTGGTAGTGGAACATAGGAACGATGTACTCCAGTTGATGACACAGTACTTGACTATGATAGTTTGTCCATTCAAAAATTGATACAGTAGAAAGATAAGAAAAAAAAGGAGCGCAATTATGATACTAAATCCATAGTCTAAATTGCAAGTCAAGATGTCAAGATCCCTACTTAGGTATAGACCGTAGTAGAAAACAAGTAGAGAGAGCCCAAACGCCGAGGGGGTGATGATTATCCATGAATGACAGGCCAATTCACAAGTGAAACGATGATTAACGAGCTGCGCAGCACCAGGCATTTCCCAGCTCCATACACGCTAGAGATCAGAGTTAATGAATCCGGTCCAGCTTGGCCCGGTTCATGGCAATTTGATCGTCGACATAGTCGCTCTGCAGAGAAATATTAGTGTCATGTTCGCAATGAGTTTGGATGATCCGGATATCAATACTGACCTTGCCTGTGATACGCTCCAGATGTCTGTTTTGCTCATCCAGTTCGCGGCCCGTGGCCTTGGCAAGACCGTTCAGCCGGCCAGCGGCACCGCTCAGAAGATCCAGGTTTTGCTCGATCTCGTCCTCCATCGCCTCGTCCTCACTGTCGGCCTCGAATTGATACTTGGCCCGCTCGGTGACGCTCGCTTTCTTGCCCTTGCCCTGCTTGCTGGCCTCTCGGTCAACGTCCCGGAACACCTTCTCCATGCGTGCATTGGTCTGGTAGGCTTCAGAACGTGTACCGTCGCGGAGGTCACGCTCTTCGCGGTGGGTGTTGAGGGTGCGCTCGTCACGTTCTCGTCGACGTGAGGCACTGGTGAAAGGGTTGGAAACGTGCACGGCGAACATGCTCTTGTTGAGTGTCTTCAATTCGCGCGCCTTCTCCTGAGCCAAACGACCCTCGACGGCGGCCATGTCGAGGTTCTTCTCCGCACCGTGAATCATCTCACCCTGGGCACCGAGGCGAGCGAGCGTCGAACGTCCAGTCTCCTCCGCCATTGCAGCAGCGCGAAGGGCATTACGGGTAGATGCCACATCGCCCTGCTTCACGAACCGCATTTCTTGCTTGGTGGCATTAACGTTCTCTTCCTCCTCCTCTTCGGCCGTGAGTTGCCGGTCCTGGTAGGTGGCCATGCTGTACTCATTGCTGCCGCCACCGTAATTACCCCCTTGTCCACCCTCCTGGCCCGGCGAGTAGGGAGGCGGCGCGCTGCCCTGGTTCTGTTGCGCACGATCTCTGGCACCACCAAAAAGTTCACTACGAGCAGCATCACCAGCACTGGGATCATTGGGATCAGCGCTGCCTAGCCCTCCATAGCCACCAGAGCCATAGCGCGAAGCGCCAGCGCCAGCGCCGTTGTTCCCATTGCCGAAACGATCACTGCCATATCCGCCCTGGTTGCCGTAGCGGTTCGCCGAGTACTTGTTATCGGATGGAATAGCGTGGGGTCCTCCTGCGGGGGCGGGGGATCCGTTGCCGCCCTGGTAATCTGCCGGGGGTTGCGCAACACCAGCCTGGATCTTAGCCTTGGTGTAAGGGTCGATGTGAGCGGGTTGGGCATAAGGGTTGGATGCCTGCGCGGGGCTCTTGCTCTTCGATCGAGAGCCGAACAGGGCTCGGCGGTTAGAATCGTCGCCGTCGTCTCCGGACTTTTTGAACAGACCCATGTTGAGCTGTGATTGTGGGTTTTGAGGCGAGGAATCAGGTGAAAAAGAATTCAATAGCAAGGACAAATCGATTGTAACTTCTTGTACTTTTGTGTGAGGAGGACGAAGAGGAGAAAAGTAAGTTTCGACGAGGAATTAAATGCGCTTCAGGGGAGCTTCAGGCAGTCGAGAAAGGTGGTACTGGTGTAACCCGGTGACCAAAATAACGCAGCTAATTGGGACCAAATTCAAGGGAAGTGGCAGACATCTAACAAGACAAATACCGCTGACTCAGCGTGAGTGGTGGCGCTAGGCCCAAGTCGGGCAGCTTCGCCTCCGCGCGACTTTTGGTTATTTTTGGCTCTTGTTCGCTGCCTGCCACAGCCACCGCAGCAATGGCGCCCCTGGGAGATGCCGACCACTGCAAAGACAAGGCCCGGAAGGATCTGCTGGCTCTTCTTGAAGGCGTGAGTACCGCATTCGTGTTCTGAGGTCTCTTCTAATGGCGTATAGGCTCGCGGGAAGAAGAACCTCGTTATCAGCCAGGAGCTGGCGGGTCCAGTCGGCTTGTTCGTCAAGTTCTCCGAACTCCAACAGTATGGCGTAGACCGCGTCTTTTTGCTGGAAAATGCAAATATCGACTCATCGCAGCGCAATGTCGTGTTTTTGGTTCGCGGTGAAAAGGCAAACCACGTGCGGACAGTGGCAGGTAAGGCAGTCTCATTCTATTTCTATGTTGTTTTGGCCTCTTGATATAGCGATTATTGCGAGAGTATCAGTATGGGAGTGGGGTTCTAACCCTTGAGATTATGTGGACGAGCTTCCTAGTCCATATAATGGTAGCAATTCCCTAGATTGAGTCTAAGCTCATTCATTTGGCGCTTTGTTTTCCGTTATACTTCAACTGAGTGCCATCAGTGTGGGCTAACATTCTGTTTTAGAGCAAATCAAACGCCTACAGAATAATGGAAACGTTGAACATGAGTTCTCTATTTTCTTCGCTCCTCGGCGTACCCTGGTAAGCAATGCTGTGCTCGAGGAGGCGGGCATTATCGGTGATGTCAACATTGCCGAGTTCCCGCTCTATTTCTTGCCACTGGAGCAAGATGTGCTATCATTGGAGCTTGACGATGCATTCGGCGACCTGTACTTGGTAGGTTCCTTGCTCTTCCCGCGGTGACTGGGGCCAACATTAACGTTATCTTAGCATAAGGACCCTGGCTGTATCTTCCATGCCGCCAAGGCGCTCATGGGTATCCAACAGAGGCATGGATACTTCCCTCGCATTGTCGGCAAGGGCGATAATGCGCGCCGTCTAGCAGATTTGTTGTTGCGAATGCGCAAAGAGCTGGACGCGGAAGAGAGCTCTGGGCTGGCTGATCCCTCTTCTCGTGGCCTTCTTCCGAGTGCCGATACAGAGAACTTGATCATTATCGATCGTGACGTGGACTTTGGAACACCCCTTCTCACGCAACTTACATATGAAGGCTTAATTGACGAATATGTGGGCATTAAACACAACCAGGCCGATGTCGATACCAGCATAGTGGGACAAGCATCTGCACCACAACCACAGGAGTCGTCTAAAACACCGCAGCAGGTGAAGCAAGGTCTTAAGAGAAAGATACAGCTTGACGCATCGGATCAACTCTTTAGTCAACTGCGAGATGCGAACTTTGCCATAGTGGGTGACCTGCTAAACAAGGTGGCTCGCCGGCTGGAAAATCAATATGAAACACGGCACACCGCTCAGACAACGAATGAACTCCGCGAGTTCGTCAATAAACTACCAACTTACCAACTGGAGCACCAGAGCCTTCGAATCCACGCTAATCTGGCGGAGGAAATTATGCGACTCACTCGATCGGAGACGTTCCGTAAAATACTCGAAGTGCAACAGAACAACGCCGCCGGTGCTGATCCAATCTATCAACATGAGACTATCGAAGAGCTCATTTCACGGGACGTCTCATTGAAAAGCATCCTACGCTTGTTGTGTCTAGAGTCGTGCATGTCTGGAGGACTGCGTCCTAAAGACTTGGAGAACTTCAAAAGACAGGTCGTCCAAGCCTATGGCCACCAGCATCTCCTGACTTTCTGGGCACTGGAGAAGATGGAGCTTCTGCAGCCTCGCTCTTCAGCCACGGCCATGCTCCTCCCGACCTCCGGCGCGCAGGCCGGCTCAAAAACCAATTACGGGTATCTGCGAAAGAATCTGAGACTAGTGATTGAGGAAGTCAGCGAGAAGGAACCCAACGACATCTCCTACGTTTTCAGTGGCTTCGCTCCACTTAGCGTTCGCCTGGTTCAATGCGTGCTCCAAAAGCCACATATTCTCTATTTGCTTAAGGGCGGATCACCAGCGGCATCAATAAACAATGCGAGCACGGCATCACCCGGTTGGCTCGGCTTCGAGGACGTGGTCAAAAGCGCTCGAGGGTCGACGTTCAGCATTGTCCAAAAGGGTGATGATAAGGCTGTTCGAGCTCGGCAGACGCTTAGCGGAAACTCTGCCACAAAGACTGTGTACGTGTTCTTCTTGGGTGGAATCACGTTTACCGAAATTGCGGCGCTGCGCTTCATCGCTGCTCAGGAGGCGCCGCGGCGCAAGATTATCATCTGCACCACGGGTGTCATAAGCGGCGACCGCATGATGGAAGCAGCCATTGAGAAGGGAAGTTTTGCCAAGAAGCCGGAGTAGTCCATGTCCTTCCGAATTTAGCGTTTACTGTTGGTAATAATTTTCATGATACCATTGATTTCAGAATACAGCATGAAATGTCTCAACATGTTGTCGGAACAGAAGCAGCAGTGGATCCCGGAGAAGGGATATTGTAAACCCGCATGTATTAGTCATTTTTATGCCCACATAAATTGCCAGATAGGGGCTTGATAGCAATTCAGACTTGTTGATAACGTATCCAATTGGTGCGCACCATGTTTTACTAAGCAGCATTTCCGTGTCATGTGAATACTATCTTAATCTGAATATCATAACACCTAGCCTCTTATTCCTGAAGAAGGCACCGTTAATATACCCGCTAGATAGAATACTCGAACACAATATTTAAAAACTAGCAAAGAACTTGAATAATGCTACCAGCTACAGTTGATATTTACATCTCCTTCCTTAGTATAATAAAATTTCAGATTGGTCGGTAAGATCTAAGCCGCTATACTGATAGTTCAGTTCTTACCGACTGAGGCCCTCATGATCCGTGGACCAGCTACCTAAGGGCAACCTAAACTTTGTGAAATAGCTTTATACATGGTCACCTGACCGCGTACTATCTAGGACCTCTCTCTAACTGTTGATTTAGCTCTCTATTCTCTTCTTCTCTTCTTCTCTTCTGTTTTTGCAAGTACAGTCACTGAAAAGAGACAGCATTGACACCGTTGGTGTTCACTACTCTGGTACGCTCTGGATATGGTACCGTATCTGGATGAGAAACATGAAAGCGATCAAGGCCAAGTATGGAGAAAGATAGTATAGGGCGAATGTTATCCGGAATACACACCATTGTATTTCTGGATTCTGATATACCTTAGATATAGGACATGATTCTCGCCTAGTCTGTCATTGCCTCTCGCGAAGGCATAGCCACCTGCTACCAGATGGTTGTCTTCAAGAACCTGAGTTCGACTCATCAGATTAACGGTGTCCCCTCTCAGTTTGGCCCGGCTGGTGCTCTTGCGGCTATTAAGAAGGCGGGAAAGTCTCAGTTGTGTTAGATGCTTTGTTATTCTGGCTATGCGGCGGCTCCGGGGTTGTGGCCGCTAGGTGTCGGCGTCAGGGATCTAGGATTGGTTTCAGCCTGACCTGGACGATAGATGGATGAAGACACAAGCATACATTAATCAATCGATATTCGCTTATTGGCATGATTTCTGTTCACTTGTAAGTAACACGCAGTACCTAGCTGGCGATGTTAAGAGTATCTTCAGTGACTTGAAAGAGATTCCCTCACTCTGACGGATATCTCTGTGGTCGTTGCTAGGACCAGTGTTTGTTGAAACGTTTCCTGCTGCGGCCTATTTGGGCCGTCTGTCCTCTTGCTTTCTTCTTTTAATTTTCTTCTTCCTAGTTGCTCTTGCTCTAGTTGCTCGAACCCAGGAGTTTTTCGCTGTTTTGGTCGTTGCCCCTACTTCCTTTGTGTAGCCGCTTCGTCATAATTGTGTTAGCATATTAAATTGAAATGGCAAGATTGAGAACCAGATCTTTGATAATTTTTTGTGTTTCTAGTTATTGTGCGCCTGTGTCTAGTCGAAAGGGTCTGAGATAACTTTTCTGCTATTATTAGATGCCCTTTTCACGGGATAGATGTTTTGAGTAACACTAGAAGGTTTAGGTTCCAAAAAATATCTTAAAAAACATCTGCTCATGTCCGGACTATAGTCCAGTCTTGATTCCGAGTACCCATATTCACTCCGAAATACGTATCCCCCAGGCCTACAAGTGCGATGTGGTACAGACACTGGGAAAGAGACACTCCAGTCGTACCCATGGAACTTCCCTGATTATCGTTGAAGATCACAGGAGAGTACTCCAGAACCCATTGTCTGTTCACATCCACCTTGCGGAGAAAAACGGTTTCGTCGTATGTCGTTAGGAAGCCATGCTTGATCTCCGTCTCAAGCATGTATGTTGCAATCTGACCTATATATAAACCTGTGTTAGTAGGTAAAAATAGGATATGAGGTGTTGGGTTACCTAGCAGGTGCCGAAAATTCTCTTCTGCATGCGAGTCAAAGAGAGAAATGGCATCGCTTAACGAATGTTGTGGTACCCATGGTACCTTGGCTTCTCCAACAACCTTTGCTTCGCCAGATGGATGCATGACGACAAAATCGGGAAACTTGCGATATCCCTCATGCGGCAGCTTGGCGCCTTTGAAGCTGCTGAACGTAAGGTCCAGCCGCTGGTCCTTGAACACGGCGCCGAGAACTTGACCTGCGCGCCCCAAAAATCTCCCTTGAACATCTGTCTCGCAGGAAACGACAACATGTTCCTCGGTGGTTGAACTAGCCGCATTTAGCCCTGTAAACCTGGCATCTATCGCTTGCTGGCTCCAGGTCTGAGTGTTGTAAGTGTTAAGGACCTCGGCCGGGAAGTTAAGCCACGGCCGCATGTCTCCCGTAAAATCGACCGGGTGCAAGGCGGAACTGATGGTGTGCTTGGCGCTAACCTTTAGGTCCGGTAAAGGCTCTAGGAGAGCATCGTGTGCGTTCAAAGATATGAGGTTTGCCATCCTTATGATCGCCTTGGGATATTGGAGATGACTTGTGAGAGAATGGCGTGGTAACGAAGAGGGATGAAAAGACGTTGTGTACGTGCAGAGTATTTTTCAAAGTGGGATGAGCACCTACTTCTTCTACACGCGTGCCTTCTATATTGGAAAACAGCGTAGAAAGCAACACAAAAAAGGTAGTGCTACTCCTATTAGGAAAGCTTGAGTATCTCCCACCACGCGTTTGATGGAGATTTTGCTTCGGTAGCCTCCTATTTCGCCGGCCTCGCGCCGTTTTTCTGCTGGCCTACAAGAGGCCTCTGCTGTTTAAGTCCCCTCTTTCCTTGAAGATCTCTAGAGATATCAAGACTTATACTTTTCTGATTGCTTCTTTTCCGTAGGGGTAGACTGCGCCATGTTCTTTGCTATCACATTTTAACGATATATGCAATATAAAGAGAGGACAGTCTAGCCAGAAGGGAGGGGTGATATATGATATTGTAGTTGACTGGGGAAAGGAACGAGGGACAGGCAGGACGAGGACGACAAAGTGCCCAAGGAGGTGGATGAACGGAGGCCGTGCAGGGAGCCCTATAGTCTTCAATTCCCCACAGCCGAGCTCACTGATTCTGAATTAAAGAATATCTGATGGTAACATACACCAACGGCTCAATCTAGCTAGATTGACCACGAAACAAACCAAGGACCCCCAATCCAGAACCCACCCTGACGTTACCCACGACCAGATTGCTACGAAAAATGCTGGGGTGACTTGACGCTATTTGTAGACAAACAGGCGACGATAAGGCGCGTGACAGAACGGAAACAAGCTCAGGTCAATGAACTTGGCCCAACCTGACCTTGATCTGATATCGCCTTATTCTAACAGCCTGGTCCAAATCAGGTGGGCCGCCGGGGATATGAGCTAAATAAGCAGTAGTGAGCGCCCTCAGGGACGGATGGAGGTTTTTATTGATCTGCCGTAAGGCTATCCTAGGGTCGAGAGCCTACTGGTATTGAAAGTAGAGTTGGGAGAACTCGGCCTACGCTAGCTGCATTCCGGAGAATCCTGAGTAATGGGGATTATGCGATATACACCGTCAACATTCAGAGAAGTAAGAGGCTCCTTGGCTAATTCAGGGGCTTGGAGAATACCCTCCAGGCCCTACGGGCCTAACGACTTCACACGGTTGCGGCCACAGAGCCTTTGATCTTGCTATAGGGGTGAAAACCACGACTGGAGGAGTGTTAGGAGTAGATTTTATTGATACGGGCATGAGATGGATATGTAATGTATGTAAAGGACGAAGGGCCTCCTAGCTCTTAATAGTGGTTATCCAGAAAATCGGGCCCTGGGTTAATAATGCTGGGGTGGGATACGGAAGGAGATCAACGACCGCTTGTGTCCAATTTGTAAAATAATCGCCGGATTTATTGGCCTGGAATGGTAAATGTATCCGATAGGTAAATGTAACCGACAAGTAGATATGTTAACCGGTTTATAAGGACTACGAGGGCGTATTTGGCAATGAGCATCGGCAAGGAAAGCCCTAGGGATTGCTCAAGGCACGATGCCTGCTCCGGGGGCTTTGAAGGCCAGTGAGTTGTCCGAGGGCGAGATTTATGAGCAAGCAGAGGAGTAGCATGTGTTACAGAGAAATCCCGGAATGAACCTGATTGAATTTGCGCAGGGAAGAAGCATCGAGCTCACAACAGGAGATGTGGGCGGTAATATACCACCAAGATTGGGAGACGGTTCGCTGGTGGTGAGACCTTGAGAGACCGAGCTCAGCTCAAGCCCAGCCACAGGATACAGTTGTTTGGCTTTCTTCCTGGAGGGAATCTAAACTGCTTGGTTCCGCTGTCCAGGTCGACGAAGAGCAGAGATGGTCGGCGGGTCGACGGAAATGGCCGAACGCAGGAGTTCTCATCTCAACGGAGATGTCTCTGCGAAGCAGAATTAGCATCGAGGGCCGCCTGAGGAAGAGGGGTCCGAAGCTATGATAGGCGACAGAGTGCGGATGTAGTGCGAGCGGGAATGATATTCCTGGTAACCGTAAGGTTGGGTAAACGACAGGGGCCGACTAACCGTGTGAAAGGGACGAGGATCAAAGGAATGGCACATGCTGACGTGTGGTAGCTAATTGTGTTCGATGGATGTGTGAGTGGCCTGTTGATGCGAGAGGCCTATCAGTGCCAGGTAGGCGAGGAAGGTTGCCTTGGTGCTGCAAACCCCCAGACACACGATTGCTATATGTGTTAGATCTCATGGTCTCGCGCAAATGGACTCGTAACCTGACGAGAGAAAATAGCTAAAAAGGAGGAGAGACACAAGATATGATCGACTAGACTGCTGGAGCGAGAAAAGGCCAGGCAGAACCACCAAGTCCACTCTTATAACCGGAAAGTATCAGTGTTATGATACCGCAGGGAGCAGTAAGAGTGTCGTCATTATCCTGAATATAATTCGAATACAAAATCTAGTAACATTTCGCACTTGGTACCATGCTGATGCGCTAATGACACCTACTGGCTGACACGATGCAGTAGTGGTCCGTTTAGCCTCATGTGGGGCCACCTGACCGCGGACTATCTACGTCTCCCCACCAACCGTTGGTTGATTCAGCTCTCCATTTCTCCTCTCTTCTCCTCTTCCAATCCTTCGGTTTCTCCATCATCGACACTCCACTTTCCTAATCCCACCACTGCTTCGGAGGCTATCAAACTTAAATCATCTATCCCCACACGTCGTCATCATTGATCAACCTTCTTATCTACGCTCTCTTCGCTTCCATCATGCCTCCCTGGTTCCGGAAAGGCATCGACCCTGGTACTATTATCAACTTCGACCAGCCCGTTCCTTCGCGATGGCAAATCGTCCAAAAGCTAAGTGAAGAGGACTGGCAACTTACCGAAGCCGAGTACCGCCGTGGTGAACGCCTCTCTTTCGCTGTCACCAAGCTCCTATGTTGTAACCCGAAGAACCCTTCAACCTTCGCTTTTATGCGAATCTATCTCCAAGTCCCTTACAGTGGAACTGAGATAGACGACGCGGATACGAGGGCTACCCAGGCTGCCACACTCATCCCGAGAGAGCTCCTTGCCTACCAGGACCTTACTGCCCAAGACATAGGATGCACTCCGAAGCTCCTCGGGTATAAAGTCTCAACGCAGGATAATCGGGGTCCAGTCCCGGGAGGATTCGCAGTCTACCTAGTATGGGAGAAGGTACCAGGAGTACGCCTCGGCAATAAGGATGGGTCGAACGAGTTCTGGGCCTTGGATAATGCCGAGAGAGAAGAAATCCGGCAATACTTCGAGAAGAACCTCCAGTAAGTACCTACCCTCCTTTCTCTACGTTTATAACTAACCTAAATCCTAGGGCAATCAGGGGAATCGGGTATTTCCCTGACACCTCCGCGCTTAGTAGCTTGGTATGGGACAAGAATTCGAAAACCCTGTACGTTGAAGCACATTTCTCTTACTGAACGAAACAAAGCAACATATGCCAGGAATTGCTTATACAAGCTAGTACTAGTACTAACAGTCCTTAGTTACTTCATCGGATTTCGCCGCCGCAACATCGTATCCACGGCCCAAACCGAACCTCCCCCTCTTGACATGACCAAACGACTAGCATTTTTTGGGCTCGTCGAGCCGAACTCCCGTGCATGGCTCAAAGAGGGATGGGATCGGGACACCACAAAATGGAAATGGTAATTTGGGCAGGCTTCAAAGAAGGGGATCCCACACTGGGAACATCCATGTAATCGAGATTTCGGGGGTCCTGGAAAGAGATTTGCAAGAACAGAGAGTGGAACCCTATTTGCTTGTTTCATAGGCGTCACGAATGATATCAGCTACGGCCAGAATGGCAATCTTGATGTTGTCTTTGCAAGTTCTGCCCTAATAATGGGTACCGGAAATATAGGTTTATCTACATGGTTGGTGCGGTATGGGTGTTGGATTTTGCCTGTGCGGATTGTAGAAGCTCCTAGGGCAAATGGCACCCCCAGAAGCATCTTGATGCGGGGCCGTTGTGTACGAGGACTCAATACTTCGAAAGGGCTTGCTTCAAAGTCATTTAGAGTCTCGAACCCTGAGTCTTAGGTTTTTTGCTAGATTCCTTGGTGCCGTCCTGGAACCGACCGTTTTCTTTGTGCTAAATTGAACAGAGGCCGTCCATTCTACAAAGCGTGTCAAGAGCAGAGTAACAAGACTCGACTTGTTTCTGTCCACCATCAAAGGCATCCCTAAGTATATCGATAAATTAAGGCTTATTCACGTGATATAGTATTTATAAATGAATCTTGACTGTAAAACGGTTGGATACATACATAAGGTGCCTCTTTCGAGTCGCAGGAGCTTTGCCGTTTGGGCTTAGCCCGGGCTTTAATGGGATCGTGAGTTACGCAATCTGCAAGGTTGTCCGCTCCCAAAGGGATAGTTGCCGAAAAGGTCGGCATTGGCGGGTATTGGCCATTTTGCTTCTGGGCAATTGCCTCTCGAATAAGATCTGCTTTCGGATCATCCTCGGAGGCGGGCGTGGAGCTGCTGGAGCTGCCGAAAGAGAACCTCCAGGCGGGGGTGGAGTTTCACACGTTGGCTGACTTTGAACCCCGTACGTCGTTCAGGTTTGCCTCGGCCAATAGAGCAATCGCTAGCCGTTCAAAATCTCGACTTTGACGGCTCTTGTGCCCTACGGCTCGCTCCAAGTTCCGGCGGAGGATGATGGTTGGAATGCACGACTATCGCAGTGAATAGAGGCCAGGGGCGGCCGTAACTGTGGGTCTAGGGATTCTGCCGATTTTTTTTCTATTAAACTGATAATGAAACTGCTCTTAATCGCTTGTCCCCAAGTTCTCGCCAATTCCTTCACTCTCACCCGACGAGTATTATGCTAGGCTTTAACTGACAGAGGCTTTTGGAGGAAGAAACAGTCTATTAGTGCAGCGCCACGTGGCATGAGTGACGAGCAAGACTATTGGAGACAAAGTCGCTTCTGATTGCGGATCGTAGCGAAGCATTATGTCTCTTGAGTAGGCGGTGCCCATTTGAGGATCGCGAAAAAGACATCGCTCCTGATTGGTCAGTTCGTGGCAAAATTTCCGGGCGATGAGAATCGTAACAGTCGCGACCTATAGTTACTAATAGTATGACTTACAATACCTAATTTTTTTCTGTGTCCTTATACTTCTTAAGAGTGGCTAAAGCGAGCTATTTAAGGTAGATAGTATTATTTTCTTATTCTCGTTTATTTTAATACTTAAGGGTAAAGCCACGTAACGCAGCACGTGCAGTTCTTTCCTCAAGTTCCTTTTAGAAGTCTTTTAGGAACATCTTTAAAATAGCTGAACGCTGAGAAATAAGAGCAGAAGGCCAGGCAGCCACCCAGCACTCATATTTATAGGCTGATCTCCAAGTTAAAGTGGGTGTATGGGTGATCCTGGTAAGAATTCTCACCCGCTCTCGCCCCGTTCTCACCTCTATCACCCTAGTCTCCAGACTTCTCACCTAAATCACCCACACTCACCCTAGGATAAAATCGGACGCTATTTTAAAGCTCAGGGCGCTTTGAGAATTAACCCTATACTATAGATGGCTTGAGTACGGCTGAGCGGACGGGAAGCCCTGTTCTCCACACTCTATGGTCGTATGTACTAAATCTCACGTTAAAATGGAAAATATGCTTCAAAATCTTTAATTCAACACAAAGCACTGCTTTAGCGTTACCTGATAAGGGGGTGAGAAGGGTAGTGCGTTATAAACACTACAGATAGCTCTATTAAAGACGAGGAATCTAAACATAAAACGGATTCGAGATCGCTACTGCTTCATTCTTGATGACTCGATCCCTTTGACCTCGAGGGTTTGCAGGGTTTGTCGTCTTCTTTGGCCCTGCATGAAGCAGGCCGGGGTTTTCCTGTCAGGACCAGGCCTTGTTCCTTTCCTTTGTGCTTCAGGGCCTTATAGACCCTGTTCTGTTCCCTTCTGCTTCTTCTTCTTCCTTTTTTTTCCCAGTCGTCTTCGTCTTCATGCTCTAGATAGACCAATTTGACTCAGTCTCCCTCTCTCTCTCTCTTCGCTTCCTGTGCCAGCAGTGCCGTGGGCGCTGTCAATTCTTAACGACTGAATCGACATAAAATTAGTCACAAATTGACACAGAGGAGCAGGCAGCGTGAGGTTGACTTGAAATCTCCTGAAGACTCAGGAGGCCGAAAATGAAAGAGAAGAATGGAAATGTCTACATGGCATTTTCGAGTTTTCCTTTCATCCAAGCCTTTATGACTCTCGCTCCTCAACGCGTGCAAGGCGTTTGAGGCACGACAGATACTTGTTCCGGTGCAACGCATCGCTCCCATTCTTGTAAGCCCTGAGGATTTCCGAATTTCTCTGCTTGATTGTATTGATCATGTACTGAATGCCATCAGCGGCAAGCTCCTCCAAAACCTTCTCATTGGCTTCCTTCGCTTGGTCCTGAAGCTCATGAAGTCGCTTCAGCCAGAACATATATCGCCAAGGCGAGAATCCAGCAGGTGATCGCTGTCCGAGCTCCGATTTGAGGAACTCTTCACCACTCTTGCTTATATGGCTAGGGCAGTCATTCCAATACACTTCTGATAGCAAGAGGAGGTTATGGCTTGCTATTTTCAGCCAAGCAACACCAGCGGGTAACAGATGAAAGACCTCAAGCTGCTTAGTACCTCGGTTGGGGTCTTCCTCGTCTGATTCTTCCCCAGAGCGAAGTACTTGAGGGTTTTCGAAGAGAGCACGGAAGATCAGAAGAGCAATTTGGCACAGCCTATCCTTAGCGATACGGACGGATGCAAGTTTGGCTAGGAACGTTGCAAAGTTCAGACGGTGTTTTCCCGACATAGAAGCGCTATGATCGATCCAAAAATTGGTCATATCACCAACCAAAAAGGGGAGATCGTTCCACAGTGTACCGTCCACGGTTCTTGCGATATCAATCCCATAAACTCCCCGTGCGGGTCTAGTCAACGGTCCCATTCCTTGAATGCGGAGGATATCGAGGACTATTCCCTCATGCTCAGGTGATTCAGAAGATATGTTCCGGCCAAGCTCGTAGTACATATACCACAGGGAGTGTATGTGGCGTTCAAGGGAGTCAGCACCGTCTCCAATATCGCAGTATCGGCTGGTAACGACCCAGGTCCTGTTACTGAAAGCGATTTCTCGGACCTCTTTAATGTCACCCCGAGCGATAGACTGGCGTGTGTCTTCCTGATCTCTGCGAGCATGATCGATCGTTCCGGTAGACTGTATGTCCCGAGGCAAAGAGCTCAGCAGAGAATCACGGAGGTGGTCCATTTCGGAAGGCGGACAATGTCAAATGATGGTGCAATTGCTATTCGTGGGAGAGAAAGAAGATAATATGAATGTGAAAGTTTGGTATAGTGGAGCCAACCGTGGACTTACGTCGTTGTAAGGGTCAAATTGAACGAGGGGACCGAGAGATGTCTTCTCTCCCAGGATGGGGACCCTCCTGGACACCTGCTAGGCAGCAACGTAGATTCTGACAGGGTGCCAGCCCAGTATCTGAATCTGGACATGTGTATGTGTTGATGGGCTGACCTATTTTCTTTGTTTGTTGAGGATCAGCCGGCAGCCTAGGGCGAGCACCTTCTGATGAACTAACCAGTCCACAATACAGTTACCTATATGACGAGGAATACCGTGTATTTCTTGGATGGCCGGAGCGGCCAATCTGGTGGAATCAGAAGCACCATCATCTAGGGACGTAGTGGTGGCGGGGCTGGTTGGGGGCGTTTCAACACTGACTATCTAATAGAGCTGCAGTGGCACGCCTGCCATTTCTGTTGCATACAGTAACCTCATATCCCGTTCTTTGTCTACCCCAAGGCCTTCGTGTTTCATTTGTCGACTAATCGGATGATACTCAATCCCCTCCAGCGAGCCTGAGACTTAGAAGAGATACAAGGCCATTGCCCGACCGAATTTTCTTCTACCTTCCGAGGCAATTATGGCGTAGGCCCTCAATTCCAAAATTTGGAATACTGGAGCCTTGAGGTCTCGGTATCCCTGCGAGTCACTCTTCAGGGATAATCCCTCTGTGGAGCAAAATAAAGTGCCAAACTCCAATTCAACGATTTCTGATGTGATATGCTACATGAAGCTATGAGCAAATCTTCATAATCAGATACGGGTCGGGCCGAGCCACAAAAAGCTGGGCGCATGAAATAAATTTATCGTCGAATACTGTAAATCGCTGATCATTATTTGGCGCTTCATTCAAAAGGCTTATCTCACTGAGTACGCTATTATTGTAGAGCAGGCTACTGCTATAGAAGAAAGAAACGAGGTTGTTAATCCATACGATTACTTTATTGTACTTCGAACACTGCACCTCAAGTCCAGTATTGCGGGCTGAACTAGATGCATATACGTTCAAGGCTCTAATTCCAAGGGGTCTTGCGAACTTCTGGCGAGTCTGTGGCTATCTTAATTCACCTCCTTGTTTTGTACATGTACATATAACTAGACAATTCACACTTTTACATACCATGTGTCTTAAACCTCTGGCAGTGTTACATCGCAGAAACGCCCAGTGCGTCGGAGTTCGGCCCCAGCCTTGGAACCGGCCACAATGCTGCTTATGCAAGGTTTGCGGCTCGACCGAGGGCTAATCAGTAGTACTATCAGCATCAAGCCAATGATAGCATTGCCTATGCTGTACCTCGCAGGAACGCCATGCTTCATCTATGCGGGGATCTGAACGTCATTCCTTTTTCCGAAATCACCGACAGTGTAAGGCCACCTGAGCTTCACATTTTTGCTATCGGATTATTTCCCTCGATACTTGCCTGTCTCAATTCTTCTGCACGAGCTATTACGCATCAAAGTGGGACGCTTACCGACAACTCGGCTACTTTACCTCGAATATCGTACCAACTGACAAGTTGGGTTTCTGGATAGATGAGGCATATATTTTGCTAGATAGCGTGGAAGGGCTTTCAACCGCGTCCCCAGTGATGACTGAATTGAATCTGAGGATGGTATGTGTCAAATATCACACTAATAGGTTGTCCAGCATTTTCTATTTAAGAGACCTTCACGGCCGTCCAATTTGTATATTATCAGTTTCATCAACACGGTTGCTCTCTCAATTACTTCACCGCAAGCTTCTACAAGACCAATCTTCCACCATGCAAATCACCAGCATTGCTATTGTTCTCTTCGCCGCAATGGGCGCGGTTGCCAATCCCACCGCGACCGAGTCGGACGGCCTTGATGCCCGAGACGTGGAGCTTAGTAAATACGGAGGAGTAAGTTCTTCTTATGAGATGTCCATTGAGAGATGGCTGACATTTCTGAACCGCTTTAAAGGAATGCAGCTTGGCACACAACACCTGCACATACCTCAAGGGTGGAAAGAACCAGGTAGTCGCTTGCGGTACGGCTGCCAACAAGAGGGTAAATTCTGATTCGATTCCCGGCCAATTGATCTGTTCTTATAACTTAATCTTTGCGTATAGTGCAAGACTGATCGCCACCACTGCGAATACGATGAGTACCACAAGATGGTTGACTGCCAGACCCCGGTTTGAACCAATTATACGGTTCCGCAAGAAATAGAAATCTTGGCTGGTTTGACTATTCTTTGGCTCATCGTAGTGCTGAGATGGCTTGTGTCTCTCAATACCAATGATTTTATTCCAAGAGAGCTTGGAACAAGCAGTGGATTCAGTTGATATTGGGGTGATGTCTTCGTACATTCCCAGTATTCCTCTTTGTTTGCAGTTCTCGATGTCGTCACACTCATTATGTATCTAGCTAGCTCTACTCTATCAAAATTGATGAGCTACTATACTGCTTTCCAGTCTGTGCGTGGCTTTTGTCCAATCAAGTCTCGAGTGAGTGTCACGTTGATGGCTAGGAGGGTAATATTATGTCAGGAAAATGGACATTGGCACTGTATTGACTCGTCAAGAACCTATACGGTATCTTGAGGGCTACAAGTTTACAATACCCCACTCCTTGATCTACACGTACTCTCGGTGTATTGCGCCACCTCGGATTTGTTACCCCCGAGTCACTCATGGGTATTTCAACCCCCATGCCATTCGATAATTGATGGAGTTTACGCCAGTTGCATAAAATCGTTGTGTACACAAAACTGGACTTGTGACACAGTAGTGGTTGAAGAGAGACTAATCATAAGAGGGAACAAAATCGGCTGGTTAGACTAGAATGTCAAGCAACATAAGAATGGCAGAATAGTCAAGTATGTCCGGGAGTTCTCTCAGTGATCAACAAAGATGTCAAACTTGTTCCATTTAACTAGGAAACAGAGCAGTATTTTAACATGAGGTACACGATAAAGGATCATATAAGAAAATCAAGAACATCCGAAAGATAGACTTAGGGGAATGCAAGAATGTTAGGATTCTCGTTGCTTTTTTACCCGACTAGGATAATCAATAATTGACTACAATTGACATGTAGCTTGCTTTCACATAAGCCACATTGCAGATGGTTAATATGATACATGCATATATATGTATATATTGACAAATGCTGACACCTTGGTTGCGTTTCCCTGATGACGACTCTCCTAGCAGGGAGCTATTATGTAGAAGCAGCCACTAGGACTCGTCCTAGTGATGGCGGACTAGAGTTGACCTGTGGCTAATTAGACGATCATACTTCTATGTCGGAAAAATCTCGAATGAACCTAGTGATGACGATACGTCACATAGAAGACGTCTACGTCTAGTGTGTTCTTATGTTTCATCCGTCGGGCAATCTTGCATTCGGCCGGAAAAACATTGTCCAGAAACTATTTGCTATATAAGCATCTGATCTATGGCAAAGAAACACCCGTACTCGTCGCATCTGTTCGCGAACGGCATCATTAACACGACGGCGGGTGAATAGACTAAAGTATTGACATAGGCGACGCTAATATTCATCGTATGCCTAAAGAACTTTCGTTCGCGAGGCTCTGAACATCAAGTCAAAGAAGTTCATATAAATCGTCTGATCCTCTAAGAGTAGATAGTCCACGTAGGCTTGCTGGTGAAAGTTTCGGGTGGAAAGGCGGCCGTTTCTGACGCCAGGGGCTGTCATTTTCGGCGTCGATTTCACAGGTCCTTATATTCTATTTGTAATATTCGTAGTATCATCCCACGGCTTAATATTTGAAGCCTGCATTGACGCCCATCAACCGACCTTGATACCGTTCTATGACCTCCCCAAGCCGCACCATTATCCCCGCAGCCAGTGTCCGCACTTGCTCCTGCGGGTCAGCAAATGGACCGGAGTCTGCTTTACTGCTCCCCGAGGGCATGCGATCAAAGATTTCAGAAGCCCACTCGCGTAGCTCCATGACCCTGGTAGCATGTTCGGTAACGAGGCGTTCTTCGCCGTTAGAACCAGATGCAATGTTTACATCCACAACCGCCAAGAACAAGCTCAGCAGTGCCGCGGTAACGGTAGGCTCACTGGATATCGGGGCTGTGTGGAGCGACAAGAGCAATGATAGTGTTTCATGGGTGAAGCCTGGGAGAGATGGGCTATGTGGGCCCGCAGTCGAGAAGATGAGGGAGAGTGTTTGGAGAAAGAGTGTGAGAATATGTGGTACGAAGAATGGATTGTGGGAGGGGGCTGAGGACCTGTGGTGTGAATGTTAGCACCTCGAATACAGAACCCCGGGGGGGAGACTAAGTCTTACGAGGCGAACTGCAGCATCATGATCTCGAATCGGCCTTGGAGAGGATAAAAGAAGCCCTCGGCGAGCACCTTGTGTACATCTTTCACAACATTCTTCTGTCGCTGAGCCTCGCGCTGCTGCCGCTTCTTCTCGACCTCCATTCGCGATGAGAAAGTGCGCACCTTGAGTGCGTTTGGACCTGCCATCCGGTCTGCTGCATCGGCCGCCAGTGGTTGCAAGGATGTTCGCGACATCTCTCTGGTGAGAGTCGCAATAGGAGATTCGTTTGCGCCCATGAACACGGCTTCCAAAGCAGGTGAAAGCCGCTTGGATGGGAATGATGTATCGCCCAGAGTCGGGAGAGACAGTGCCTTTGCATCCCCTTCACCATTGCCTGCAATCTCACGGGCGCTAAGACCCAAGGCTGTAAGCACGGCAGATCGCTGGACTTGGGACAGATCTCCATCGAAGAAGATTGCGGTGAACCAACGGCCCATTTTGAGTGGCTGCGAGACTATGAGGGCAATCATGCTCTGCAGACGTGATTCGTGGAAAGATGGGTGATTGTTGTCGTTTTGTAGACTGACTAGAGTTAAAGCCAGTTCCTCAACTTGTTCAGCGAGTTCTGTTCCGAATCCTGTCTTCCGTCTGATCAAGGATGGGGCAGTCGAGATGGCAAGATGGTAGCGTTCAACGTTCTCAGTATCACGGAGGTATGAAATCAAGTCGCGAATGTATCTGGAAGGTTGTTAGAGATAAGAATCGGTAGCATCAAATTATCTTTCAGGACCTACACAGGCGCGCTTGGCTTGTTCCGCTGGATTAATGTAGGGTCCTCGTCCTCATCCTCTGCATCCTCATCCGGTTTTTCATACGGGAGGAGATCATCGTCTTCCTCGGGCTCTTCCTCGCTGTCATCTATTTCTTCAATAGCGACAATCTTGCTCGTTTGAGGTCGGTTTGAGCGTGCACTTGGTTTCTGATTCCGATTGGGCTGTGTGCTTTTGATCGGTTGTTGTGTGCTTGAAGATGCTTTCTGTAGCGTTTTGATAGATTCAACTGGTCCAACCTTGTCATGAACCGTGGTGAGACTCAAGTACCAAAGGGCCTCCTCGCTCTGCATTTCGTCAAGATCAAATTTCATGGCCTTGCCGGGCTCTTCAATGAGTTGGGAAATACCGGTTCCCACAATCATTCCAAGGAAACGGGCTCTATTTGATGAGGCTGCGAGTCGATTGGAAACTGCGTTGAGAAAAACACCTGTACGTCCAATTCCGTGCACCTGGAGTGGATCCAGTCGATTGAGCTGACCTGCTGCTAGCAGGATAATTTGAGCATTCGCTAGGTAATAGTTAGCTTCAAATTATGCCAGAAAAATGTCGAGTTAGACAGACTGTTTTGTGTGATGTTCGGGACATGTTTGATAAAGAACTTGTCGCCAAACTGCTCGAGACTGAGCGCAAGTAATGACTTCAAAGTATCTGATCGCTATTAGCTAAAGCAACTGCAGGAATTTGGTCCAAACATACCAGTAGAGTCATTGTACGTCGCGAGTAAGGCACGGCGTAGACCGACTGTTTGGATTGAGCCCCCTTGACTTTTCGAGAGCCAACCCAATATTTGGTCTTTCAAGAATGGCCGATCTGCGATGACAATTTTGCAAAGGGCGGCCACTCCTGAGATGACACTGTTGGCTGCATCTGACTGCTTGAATGACTCTGAAAGATCATCTGAAAAGTACTTTTTCTGTACGTCACGGAAGATAGCTTCCAGCACAGCAACCTGCTCCGGCTGTCTGAGATGGTCAACAAGCAAGCCAAACTGTGCATAAGATGGCTGCTCAAATAGCAATTCCGAAGCGATCTCTCGGACTAGTTGATCTGGGGAAATGATTAGAATCTTGTTATGACCGAATGACCCTGGAAAAACTTACCAGCATAGCCTAGACTTAAGGCCCGACCAGTAAGGAAAGCGAGCGAAGTCCAGTCATTGACTTCGTCTACTTTGATTTTCGAGGCTAGATGGGCGATGATTCCACCCAGCCAGGTTGCATAACGAGGGCCATCCCCAATCCAAGAGACGGATGATAAGGGTTCAGATGCATTTGCAACGGTAAGCGCTTCTGCTGCCGTGGAAAGTATTTTACCAGTAGCAACGAGAGACACGAACTCTCTCCATGCAGCTTGCTGTCGAATTCGATTCTCAGGAAGCGATACGATATCGGTGTAGATGCGAGAGAGGAAGTCCTTTGGTTCCAGCAGAGCAGCAAGAACAGACAAGAGATCCTGGATCATGAGATGCTTGTTTGAGCCTTCAGCTTGATGAGCTGCCGCTCGAGAACTTGCGATAAGAGTTCGAAGTTGAGCCACAAGAGACCCGATTCCTGCTATGCTGCTAAGGCAGCGCAACAGAGCTGCTCGACATTTTGCGTCCTTTGCCTTGCTGTCCTTGCCATTCAGAGATGCCCAATGGTCTGGGATGGTGGTGCTGACTAAAATTTGAAGAATCTGAGCTGTTGTCGGACCTGGAATGCGAATGTCAAGCTCGTCGATTTTTCTTGACTTGTTGAAAGGGTCCAGAGCCGCAAGAGCTGCTGCAAGCTCATCGTTGCCAGGACGCGACTTGAGTATCTGTCCCAGTTGCTGGTATGATATATCTTGGCTCAGATCGACAGCGGGTTTGACGAAAGCGTCATTGCGAGTCTGAGCCTCAACAGCGACCAACGGGGATTCAGAGTCCCGGTTTATGGTCTTCACAGCAGTCAATAAACCATCCATCTCGAGAGTGCGAATTCGAAAAGAAGTCGTCGTGCCTGAGGTTGACTGTCGGAGCTTGTATGCGGAAAATCACGTGATGGCGCTGCCGCACCTTCCCACGTTGGGATGGTCTCCTCTATCCTCTCACCATCTCAGCCTCACTGATACGATTCCCTGTTTTCCCTGAACATCTTGAAGTGGGACTTGGAACTCCTGGAAGACTTCCCAGATTCCACTTCGTTTAAGCCTACCAGTGTGGTCGGAGAGTCTGTTTTTGACAAGTCGGGTGGGTCTATTGACTGCCATCCGGAACGTTCTATCACGACTCAGCACTTAGGGCGCTACATCGACTTTTGATGAATTCAGTCAACATGAGCCAACAAGGCCGATGGTGAGCAGTAAAACTCATTGAAAAGCCTTTCGATCAACCATCAGGTTCTTACACTTTATAGGACGCACCTTTATAAGGTTTTGTCCAAGCCTGGCCCCTACTGCGATGAAGACTGGGTCCCAGGATCAGAGACAATCAATACTCTGGAGTCTTCAAAGATTCTGTAAGCTTCCCTTTCGCAGACTTCCGACTATTGCTAATTTCGGATTAGGGTTATGTTCGTATACCAAAAAACAACCCTTGTCATGCAAAAGCAGTGACTAATATGATTCTAGCGGAGCCGGTGGATTGGGCTGTGAAATCTTGAAGAACCTTGCTCTGTCAGGATTCAAGGACATCCATGTCATTGATATGGGTATGTCCTACCGACTGGCCTTGAATATCATCAGCTAACGGCATGCCGAAGATACCATCGACATCTCCAACCTGAACCGGCAGTTCCTCTTCCGCCAAGCTGATATTGGCAAGCCAAAGGCAGAGGTCGCCGCTGCCTTTGTTGAGAAGCGAGTGAAAGGAGTCAAGATCACTCCTTTTGTTGGCAAAATCCAGGACAAAGATGAAGACTATTATATGCAGTTCAAGATTATCATCTGTGGACTGGACAGCATTGAAGCTCGTCGCTGGATCAACGCAACGCTGGTCGGAATGGTGGATCCCGAGGACCCAGAGAGCCTCAAGCCTCTGATTGATGGTGGAACTGAAGGTACGACGAAATAATATTTTCTTGGTTTAAAATACCAAAGCTGACCGTCAAACAGGATTCAAAGGTCAAGCTCGTGTCATTCTACCCACTCTCTCCTCGTGTATCGAGTGCCAGCTTGACATGCATGCTCCTCGTCCGGCAGTCCCGCTCTGTACGATTGCCACTATTCCACGCCAACCCCAGCATTGCATTGAATGGGCCCATCAGATCGCATGGCAGGACAAGCGCAAAGATGACTCCTTCGACAGCGACGACATGGAGCACATCTCGTGGGTCTACCATGCTGCTCTGGAGCGGGCTCAGCAGTTCCATATCCACGGAGTGACTTTTCAGATGACCCAAGGTGTCGTAAAGAACATCATCCCGGCTATTGCATCGACCAATGCTGTTATTGCTGCGTCCACAACCTCGGAGGTGCTGAAGATCGCCACTGGATGCAACCCGTATCTCGAGAATTATATGATGTATGCCGGCGAAGAGGGTGTCTACACATACACCTTTGAGGCTGAGAAGAAGCCGGATTGTCCAGTGTGCGGTAATCTTGCTCGGAATATGGATGTGGACCCTGACACGACTTTGGGAGAGTTCATCGAGAGCCTCGGAGAGAGGGCTGAAGCGCAGCTGAAGAAGCCTAGCATGCGAACCGAGGAGAAGACATTGTACCAACAGTTCCCGCCTCAGTTGGAGGAGCACACACGGCCTAATCTGCGCCTCAAGTTGCGTGAACTCGTGGAGGATGGCGAAGAAATCGCGGTTAGCGACCCAGCCTACACTATCGACTTTCGCTACAGGTTGGTGTTTAAATAGACACCAACATTTTCGACTCCCTGTGCATGTAGGGACTATGGTGTTATGATTCATACGATATTAAGCTTCAAGTCTCAACTCTTAGAATTCAAAGACAATTGCCAGCCTTCTTTGATCTAACAATAATGGTGATATCCGGACTCCGGCCTCGTAAAGCCTAACTTTTGACCGAACTCTTCGTAAATGTACAGCGCGAACGGAGCTCAAAGAAACAATTCCAACGCCAGTGAAATGCATCATATAAGGAACAGCACTGGTGATGACCATATGACGGCTCTATGCCATCAAGTCGGTCAGACCACGCTTCCAGCGGGCGCACTTCAGCTTCAAGACCTTCACAGCTTCCAGGAAGAGAACATCGCTCTCGAACTGGCCAGTGCTCTCCACGTTGAAGATGAAGTGATCCCGAATGCGACCAAGTTTGACCTTGCCCTGGAACTCCTCGTGGCGCAAGCACTCTCGGCTGACGGTGTCGTTGAAAGCGTCCCGTACGACAGCCTTCAGCTCGCCGGCGTGTCCCTCGTAACCGCTTCCCTTGCGCCGGGCCTCCTCAGAAGTAACCGGCTCCAAGGCAATGACGCCCTTGGGGAAACACTTGGCAAACTTCTTAGCATCTTCGCCAAGGATGGGACGTTCAATCTTGATGTCTGGCATCAGACGATAAGACGCAGTCGCAACCGGGGAGAATTTAGCGTGATCGGCACCAATACCCTTGATACAGTGCAGTTCGAGGTCGATCTTCTGACCAGGACGCAGCTTGGCGATCAGAATATCCGGGTTGACAGGCTGGATAGCACCCTCACCACTGAAGAACTCCTCCTGGCGACCGACTGGGGCGAATGAGATATCCTTGGCGTAGATGTGGGCGTTGTGGTACAGCTTGCGCGGGTCGGTCTCGTCGTCGGCAGCAGCGGGGTTCTTCGTGCACTCGGCGATAAGGTGCATAACGACAGTGTTGAAATCGCTGGGGCCCGGAGGAGCGGGTCCATCATCATCCTCTGAGGGCTTCTTGTACCAATGCATCCAGTTGATTCCCTCGACGGAGCCCTTGAGCGGGATCAGACCCAGACGAGAGGCGAGAACCTCATCTTGGATGACCGAGGTGTTGTTTTGGACGAAAACGTATTCGATAGCGAGAGTGGGAATCTCAGCCATGAGAATACGGCGGAAAGCATTGGCGACCGCGGCGTCGAGTCCGATCAGCGAGAACGAAGCTTCGTATGGGTCATTGCGGTGGTATTCGACTTTGAAGTTCTGATGAATGAAAGCTGTGAGAAACAGTGCTTTGTAGAATCGCAGTTTGAGAGATAGAGAGCACATACATCCTTGAATTGGTCGAGCGCCCAGCCGTGCGATTCTCCAGGCCAATGGCCAGGGAAGTCCGTGGAGGGGATGTTCGTCACAGTCTCTGCGTTGATGCCGATGATCTAGCGCCTCATTAGTTTTTGGTAAGTATTGATTTTGGAAAATTTCTTACACGACGGCGCTGCAGCTCCCCTTGTGATGGGACAAGAGGCGCCATGGTGGGCAAGCTAGTAGTAGTTGAGGGCAAAGGTGGAAGTTCAACGACGGCGATAAGAATAATTTCTCAAAGTATTTTCTTGGAAGCCTGAGGCAGAGCGGAGGGTGTCTATTTTGTGACAGAGTAGAATAGGCTGATGTAAGGAATTTGGGAGGAAAGAAGAGACGCTAAACTAGAAACAGACTAAACCACCGGATGGAGTAGGTGCATTATAAAGAACCCACTCGGCCAACCAGCACTCGTTTGATGACCGAACAGCTCTCCCACGTGACTTGGCCAAATTGGAGCGCGACCTCATCCTCATCTTCAAACCGCAGGCTTCCCTACCCGCAGCGAGCCCACTCTTCACCCCCAGCAATTGAATGCGTCTGGACTGAGGACCAGCCGTCTTTCTTTCCTCTCCTCGAACCTCCCCCTCAATCTCCTCATGGCCGCCTCGTTCGCCCGCCTCGCGGGCAATGCGCCCAAAAGACTCTGTCTCCGCCCCTCCAACTTGATCAACACATCGGTGCCACGATCCCGCTCCATTGCGACTACTGTTCCTCGCCGACATGCCGAGGCCACTAGCTACCAGGCTACGAGGCTCGTTCCGACCGACCCGACCTTCACTCACTTCGCCAACAAGGGGTCTCCCGAGGACCCAGAGGCTGCTGCTCTCGAGTCCGAGGCCGAAGGCATTGACCGCAAGATCCGTCACTACACTGTCAACTTCGGTCCTCAGCATCCTGCTGCTCACGGTGTGCTCCGATTGATTCTGGAGCTCAATGGCGAGGAGATCGTTCGCGCCGATCCCCACGTCGGTCTGCTTCACCGTGGTACGGAGAAGTTGATTGAGTACAAGACTTATATGCAAGCCCTGCCTTACTTCGACCGATTGGACTACGTCTCCATGATGACCAACGAGCAGTGCTTCTCCCTGGCCGTTGAGAAGCTCCTCAACATCGAGATCCCCGAGCGTGCCAAGTGGATTCGAACCCTGTTTGGCGAGCTCACCCGTGTCCTGAACCACCTCATGTCCGTCCTTTCCCACGCCATGGACGTCGGTGCCCTGACTCCCTTCCTGTGGGGTTTCGAGGAGCGTGAGAAGCTGATGGTAAGCGATCGGGAAATTGCTCGGATAGCCTCGGGAAGTCATAGCCAACCTTCTAACGCATTGATCATCATTTAGGAATTCTACGAGCGTGTTTCTGGTGCCCGTCTCCACGCTGCCTACGTTCGCCCCGGTGGTGTCTCCCAGGACATTCCTCTCGGCCTTCTGGATGATATCTACCAGTGGGCCACCCAGTTCGGTGACCGTATCGATGAGACTGAGGAGCTGCTTACGGATAACCGTATCTGGAAGGCCAGAACCCAGGGTGTTGGTGTCGTTAACGCTGCTGATGCTCTGAACATGTCCTTCACTGGTGTCATGCTCCGTGGCTCCGGTGTTCCCTGGGATATCCGCAAGTCTCAGCCTTATGATGCCTACGACCAGGTCGAGTTCGATGTTCCCGTTGGTGTCAACGGTGACTGCTACGACCGTTACCTGTGCCGTATGGAGGAGTTCCGTCAGTCTCTCCGCATTATCCAACAGTGCCTGAACAAGATGCCCGCTGGTCCCGTCCGCGTCGAGGACTACAAGATCATGCCCCCTCCTCGTGCTGCCATGAAGGAGAACATGGAGGCTTTGATTCACCACTTCTTGCTCTTCACTAAGGGTTACTCCGTTCCCCCCGGTGAGACCTACTCCGCCATTGAGGCTCCCAAGGGTGAGATGGGTGTCTTCTTGGTCAGTGACGGTAGCGAGCGTCCCTACCGCTGCAAGATTCGTGCTCCCGGCTTTGCCCATCTGGGTGGCTTTGACCAGGTTTCTCGTGGTCACCTGCTGGCCGATGCGGTCGCTATTATCGGTAAGTCTCTATTCGTCTGATACTAAGTCAACCCGTGCTAATGTTCTCTATCAGGTACCATGGATCTGGTGTTCGGTGAGGTTGACCGGTAAAAGCACCACGCGCAACGCAATATCCAAATTTAAAATCCGAAAAAAACCGGAAGAAGACTTCGATATGGCCCCCTTTTTAGACGGCTCTTATGCCATGTTGGGGGTTAAAAACCAGAGAGGAGGAATCCTCACGTCCTCTATGTGATAACCCTTGGACCCCTTGACTCTAACCCAGGTGTACCAAATTCTCCCATGTTTTCTTCTCATGGCGTTGTTTCTATTATGTCTTGTCCCTCCCCTTTGTCTCCTCCTTTCCTGCCTCCTACCTCCTATTAGGCCCCTGTGTATAGTGACCATCTGATTATTCTGAGCTATTTCTTCCATACCTTGTAGTCTCTGCTTGTAGTCTATTCATTAAAAACACTGGTGGATTACCACGCCCTGATAAGTAGAACAGTTCTTCTAGATCATAGTATGTTCGAAGCTTGCGGAATGAGATCAGTGATTCTCTCACTCTATGAACCACACACCGAGGTGTCAAGGCAATCTTGACGGCTACTGATGTCTGATTGGTTGGATCGCATATATGCCCATAAAGGGGAGCTGGTGGGTCTCGTCCTTCTTGTAAGTGGCGAATCGGAACGACGAAGTGCATCTTGCATCTTTCACCTACAAGGACGACATGCACAACCTGGAAGAAAACCGCATAAACCCCTTTTACAGAATTCGTACAGCATTCCTGAAGCGGTACCAAGAGAAATGCCTGCTTCATCAGGAGGCCGAGCGCGTTCGGAGGGACTATCTATCAGCCCCCCGTCTCATCGGAGGAGACGAGACGGTTGTACGGAGTGTCGGAGGAAGAAGATTAGGGTAAGATTTCCTGTTCTAACGTTCAATTACATATGCGGCTAACGTCGGATGATCCAATCTAGTGTGACATGCAGAAACCTGTCTGTTCACGTTGCAAGCGATATCCCCGAGGATGCCATTATGATTTGAGTATTATCAGTCAAACACCAACTAGACGAAGACCCCCAGCAAGACTTGAAGTAGCAAGACCCGAGAAGGCGTTAATAGTCTTCACTGAATGTACTGAAGATGCTGTGGATATGATGCAGCTTGTGCATCAACCTCTGCTCAACCACTCGCCTTTTCTGTCCTCTGATGAATCACGATTTTTGATGCACACTTTTGCGACGCAGACAGCGCAAATGCTATTCCCAGCGGCCCCTGAATTCTTCCTGCAGAGAGTGATCAGTTCTGCAATGGAGACGCCACATCTTCTCTACGCGCTCTTGGCCAGCTCGTGCAGTCACCATAGCCGACTCATTCAAGACTCAAGTCCAAAGCCGAAGATGATATGCCTGAAATACACAAACTTGGCTATAGCTGGACTCAGAGAAGCCCTCTGTGACCCAGAGCAGGTGACGAAGCCCGAGATTGTCACTACTGCAATGGCCTTGTGCACAAACGATGTCTGCAATGGAAACATGAAGATATGGCGGACTCACCTTCGCGGAGTTTTGCGAATCCTGATGGCAGTTCTGGAACATCAAAGGGTGTCGCTCAAGGTGATGAATGATCCTTTCATTCAATGCCTAGTTAATTGGTTCAAAACCATGGATATTCTAGCCGCCTTGTCGGGAGTTCATGGTGAGTGTATTCATAACCCTGGCAATGGGCCGTTGAACTCACTTTCGGACTATACAACCCGGCATGTGGATGATATTAGCGGCTACTCGATGGAACTTATTCCGATACTGGCAGAAGTGTCCAACTTGGCCAGTCAAATACGACTATATGAACCGGGAGAAACCGCCGCTGGAAAGGAGTACATACCATCCCCAGAGACAATGATGCAGGCCGATGAACTCGAATCAAAGCTTTTTCAACTTCTGGACCGACCTGTTTGTAATGAAACATTGTCTCGTGGAGGCAGCTTTGCTTTGGAGCTACAGAGCACACATCTTGCTTTTGTCCACTCGGCATTACTTCACCTACACCGGCGTGTGCAGTTGCATCCCAAGGGCCATATCAAGGTCAGAACCGATGTCAAGAATATCCTCGATGCCTTGAGCCTGATTGAACCAAATTCATCTATGAACATACTCATTCTCTGGCCGATATTCAGTGCTGGATGTGAGACGGAAGAGAGCGAGGAGCGGAATACGATATTTGCACGCATGGGAAACATGCAAAAGCTCGGCATGGGTAATTTTACAAGATCCAGGGAGGTCTTGCGAAAATACTGGATATCTGGTAGTCAATTACCGTGGGATATCTACCTTGCACGGCTTGGGCTCGAGCTTGTTCTGTTTTAATATTTATGATGATCATGATACCCTTACTTCATTCGAAAATGCCTTTCAACAACCTTATAATTGACATGGCATGATGCCTTCACCCTTAATCTACCTGCACTGGAACCTTCTCATATCCGTCACGCATAAAGTTGCGGAGAGCCTCGAGACCATCAACCATGACCTGGCGATCAGGAACGTAGCCAACTCGTACATAACCTTTGAAGTCTTGTCCATTGCCAAAGCACCGACTCCCTGGAACGAACATCACTCCATACTTCGCCAGCAACTGCTCACAGAGAGCCACATCATTGACTGGATGTCCACTCTTGGCAAATTTGATGAAGGCAGTCGTGCCAGCCTGTGGTCTAGTCCAGGATGCAGTCCATTCAAACTCATGCACAAACGCCTCTAAGTCATCAAGGTTCTGCTTCGCTAGCTGGTAATTGCGTTCAAGCAAGTTCTCAACTGTGGGACTTGAAAGGGCTTGGGTAGCTACGCGGTCATCAAGCTGTCCAACAGAGATGAGGGTATAGTCACGCGCAGAAGCGAATGCTTCGATCATTGCAGCGTTGCGGGAAGCGATCCAGCCTAATCGAATACCAGCCAGACTGAATGCCTTGGACATAGATCCGGTTGAAATGGCCTTTTCGTATCCAAAATCAAGGATTGATGATGGGTTTTCTGGCTGATTGGAGTCAAGAGAGTGGAATAGCGGCCGGTAGACTTCGTCACAATGAATGATAAGGTCATGTTGGCGTGCCACGTCGACAATTTCTTGCAACGTCTCACGGTGGAGGACAGCACCAGTTGGGTTTTGAGGATTGCTGGTTTTCTTTTAGCCAAGTGAGCATAAGTGTAGATATAGCGAGACTGACTTCAGAATGATGAGTTTCGTGTTAGGCTTGATCATGGACTTGAGCTCCGTCACGTCCAACTGCCAACCATTTTCCTCAGATGACTTCCACAAGCTGATATCAGCACCTAGAGATGCAGGAACAGAATACAACTGTTGATAAGTCGGATAGTGACAGATTACATGATCTCCTGCACCAACGTTGGTATAAAGAGCCAAGAAGTTGGCCTGAATAGCTCCGTTCGTGACAAGTACATCCTCGGGACGCAGAGGCGCCGAGGTAGCTGTTGAGTACAGTCGAGCAATATTCGACCTGAGAGCGCTAGAACCACGGATTGCACCGTAGACCTGTTTCTGCGAAAAGTCTATGAGGTCCGTCTCTCTGCCCGAGAAGATCTGAAGATCGTTCAGAGAGATCGACGCACAGCATGTCTCGGCGAGGTTATGTATGGCGTCATTTTCATAAAGATCCATCCACTAGCAAGATTAGTATGATATGAAGAAGGAAGGTAAGGGGTCAAGCATCTTACTCGCTCCACTGCAAATTCGTCAATTTTCACCATTGTTGAACGTAGAAATAGGTAGGGTTCCGGTAGCTGGAAGCAAGATATCACAGTGTGTAGATATAGCTTTCATGAGCAGAAATTAAATGATGGGATTCATTCTTTTATACTTGAGGAATCCCAGTGGACGCACCTTTTAACTGGATTTCCACGTTGATTGGTTGAATCGGGTCCATTGCCGGTTTTGGCAGCCCAACAGGTTCTGACCCACTGTCAAACCCATAGAATCATCCGGCAACACTTCAAAAGTCCAAAGGCAAGACGATACGAGAAAGTTCAAAATGAGTCAACCTCTGATTTATAATTCTCGTAGTAGGTCTGTTCTTCTGAGAGAGTTTCACCCCAGACGCCTGGATTTTGTTGAGTTAAAAAGCCGATGTAGAGGATCGGAGCTTCCCGTTACTTGTGCTATCATGGGTTGTAGCCAGAATCTTCTGCGGATCACGGATTTTACCTTAGAGCCAGACGAAGAGTTCGCAACTAACATAGTCTGTGGAATGAATCGAGTCAGAAGCATCAAATGTTGAAATATATTATGCAGGCTGTGCGGTAAGTCAGCAGATCTGCTCTCTGCATAATCATTTCTCTAAGCCTCTAGACTAATCGAATTAAGAATGACTTCAAATAGAAGCCCCAATGCGACTTTATTCACTATCCAGCAAAGCCTCGATAACGATAGCCAATCTATTGACCCCCTCAACCAGTTGCTCATCATCCTCCCACATAAAGCACAATCTCAAACATCTTTGCAGATCCACGCATTGAGACTCTCCCCCTGGAACAGAGAATAGGTGACCATTCCCTAACTCCAGATTTTGCATTTCGATAGCTTTCTCACAGACCTGGTCCGCATCAAGAGGGGAAGGTAACTTCACCCAGACGTAGTAGCCCCCAACCACTGTATTCTGTTCGGGATCTGGAGAGAATGTAACACCAAGAGGTGTCAAGCGTTTGCGTATGGCAGAAACCATCAGCGAATTTCGTCGATGTCCTTCTGGGATCACTTTCGTGGATAGATGCTGTCGCAAGGTATCTGTTTCCAGGAGTTCGTTGATAAAAGTCGACATCAACTGCGAAGGTGCACCTCCGGACTTCGTTTGGCCGCTGAATAATGCGTAAGATAAAATTGTAAATTTCGAAGCAGAGAAAAAGAGGTTGACTCACGCCTGTGAAAGTCCATAGATAAAAGCTTCAGATCCCTCGGCCCATCCAACTCGACATCCAGGACCGAGGAGCTTACTGAATGATCCATTGCTGACCACGTTACCAAAAGCATCCTGTGGACCACCGTCAATAATACGGTCTATGTCAACCAGACGCTGTATAGAGTGGCCTATTGGCTTTGATTTCGGTCCCTCAGTCCAAGCGAGGAAGTCGTAGACATCGTCACATATGACCAGAGCGTCATATTTGCGAGCCACGCGGACCAGTGCCTCACGTCGGGAACATGCCATTGTCGTTCCCGATGGATTAGAGAAAGTGGGTACACAGTAGATGACGTGTTTGTAGATCTTCCTGTAAGATCGAGCTGGTTTGCCAACCTGGGATGTGTTAGGTACACGGCACCAAGCAAAAGCGCTGTAAGATAACGTACGTAGCTTTTATGAGAATTCTTGTCACCTCCAGCATGGGTCAGCTCTTCAAGAGCTCGCTCGAGTGCCTGAACATCCATTCCGGACTCATCTTCCGGGATAGCTCTCATCCGTCCATAAAAACCCGCATCTTCAAAAGGCCGAAAAATCAAATGATAAGTTGGCTCCACAAGCCAAATCATTTCCGTTTGAAGAGGATCAGTAAAGACCTGTAAAATGCTGGCCAAATTTTGACTCGCACCACCAGTGATGCAAACCCGGTCTGAAGTGATGGTTTCTTGCGGACCGTAGTAATCTGTTAACCATTTTGCAATGTTTTGCCTCAGTGGGTGATATCCTTCATCTGGTCCGTAGCCAAAGCCAGCCTCTGATATCGATTTGCTGGATAGAGCCTTGATAGCGGCATCCTTGAGAGAATCGACTGGGATTAGCTCTGATGCAGGCCATCCTCGGAAGAGGTCGATTGGAGGTAGGGAAGCCATGGGAATGATTGTAGGGAGATTAATTTCAAAAACAGATAATAAATTAGTCAGGGATGAGCCTTTATTAGTTCGTACATATTATTCTGCAGTTATGGACCTACTGATGGACCCGACCCACACGCCTCAGGTTTGGCAGTTTAAGCGATTAGGCCAATCATATCGCTGGTGAGCGGACGTAGTAACTACGGCCCACCGAAAATGATCTAGGCTCCACGGAATGGCCTTGCTATCCAGATCGGTCGATTCTTGTTCTCCGTTAGTTTCATAGCTGGTGAAATCTCCACTGTCCTAGCATGGTAAGATCCTTAAATCGGTAACATAGGCGACCTTCTTCCGTAGACAGTTTGTTGAAATCGGTCTTCACTAGCCACCGAATGATCCAGATCTACTAAGCTGCGAGGAGCCGTGAAGAATGAACAGTCTGCGGAATTGCCTCTAGGAGCCTTACTTTACGTTGCAACTGTGACAATTTTCAAGATCTCAATGCGTGGGAGGAATTACACCCAACTCGCTAAGCATACCACAATTCCCTAAACCCATCAATTACTTCATAGAACAAAGACCACGGGCCAACTCCAAAAACAATGCAAATCCCCGAAAAACCAACCAAAGGGAAAGAAGAAGCATTCGCATCACGACCATCACGACCATCACGTTAAAAAGTGGTAACAAACACCCCCCAAAGCAGCTCCAGTTCAAACACCATCCAACCACCATCCCCCTTCAAACATTATCATCCTCATAAACGAAGGGAATATCTCGAATCCGCCTCCGATTATAAGCCACAAACTCGCTGTCACCGGGGGGCCGCTCATTCCGCGAGTTTGCAGTCAACATGCTCTGAATACTCATGCAGACGCTTTCGACGGTTTGAACGGGGGACCAGCCGGAGGAACTGAGGAGGTCGAGACAGATGATACCGTTGCTGTAGATGTGGGGGTGCATGGGGATTGGGCGGGGTGTATCGGAGGTAGTTGGTAGTTCGATGAATTGGACCTCTGGTGGTTCTATTGTCAAGGGCATGGACATTAGCAAGTGTGCTATATAGTTTGCTGCTAGTGGAGAGTGGGAGAGGGAGAGGTACCGATCGGGTATTTGTTCGAAAAAGTAAACTTCAACCGATAGGTGTCGCCTTTGTAGATTGGGTTGTCGTCGAGCACTTTGATGTCCATCTGCCATTCTTCCAGATTATCGGATTTGGCGATCGAGATTCCTGGTGGGACGTGGTCTTGCATCTGGAATAAGAAAGAAGAGTTAGAGCTAGTCATCAAGCTATTATTACGTCTCGCATGTGAAAAGCGCTTCAAATTTGAAATGTGGTCCTCGGTGAAACCTTGCGGGTAAGGTAGACGGTATCGCGGAGGGGTCGGGAATTAAGTAGTAGTACCTTCAGGAGCTCCTAAATAGGTGAATATGCGTGTCAGTAAGAACGTCTTTGATGTATATTCTAAGTAGTAGATCCTTTTGCCATCTCGGTTACCAAAGCTCTTACCTTGCTCAAGCGCTTACTAGCGAACATATTGGCCATACAGTATATCCTCGCTCAGGACCAAGAGTAGCGTTGATGCCGATCGGGGACCCCAAGATCAAACGCGGGGTTGAAGATCCGGGAAGGTTGATGATCCACTGGGGGAGAAGCTTGGGCCGGTGATGACTTCCCACCTGTTGGGACAGGCTGATCCAGAGTCAACTTGACAGAAAACTCTGGGGATCACGGAGATAGAAAGAGCTGGAGTAGTACAAAACTGTCCGAAAGGTGATGCAACCTGCGGGGAGATAAGATTGTCCACGTGATCTGGAAGTGTCTCCTGTGCCAAGACAGTAGTGGTGCTCTTTAAAAAGTGTATACAATTAGAATCAAAAACACGCTGAACAGAAGATGGCAGATAAGATCTCGAAATTCCATTGAAATCGACTGATTATGTGCAGAAAGCTATGAAAGATGGGGAATCACACGACTATATCCAGAATCAAGGGGAAAATACAGGAGCATGAACCAGCATCATCGCAATAAAACTTTGACAAACGAGAACGAGGTGCAGATTTAATGATGCGATGCCTTCTCCCGGGCCTCTCGTTCGACCTTCTCCCGCTCCTCGTTGTCCTTGGCTTCACGAACCTTTGCCAAGACAACTTCTCGGAAGATAGCTCCACGAGCAACCTTGCTAAGACTGCGCTTCTTGGTCGTTGGGGTAGTGGCGTCAGCATTCTCGATGGGTTCAGCGGCAGCGCTGTCCGCAGCCATGGCCATCGGACTGGGGATATCTTCTTCCTCCCCGTCTTCTTCGTGCATCTTGAGTGCCTCGATGCGGTTGGCGAGCTTGACAATCTCGATACCGCGGCGGAGACGGGCACGGGCAATGTAGGCACGGATCTCGGGCAGCAGATCGCGGTCGCTGGCAGATTCTCCGGTCAGCCACTCGTGCTTAAGCGCCTCCTCGGAGGTCACACGCTTGTGGGGATCCGGTTGCAGGAGGGTAAGAATAAAGTCCTTCGCATCTTGAGAGACATCCTTCCAATAACGCTCGTGGAATATAATGCGGCCCGTACGGCATTCTTCGATCAGGTCGGTCAGGTTTTCGGATCGGAAGGGCGAGTAGCCGCAAAGGAGAGTGTAGGTGATGACGCCCAGCGACCACATGTCGACAGCCTTTCCGTGGCCCTGCTTGAGCATAACCTCTGGGGCAGCATAGCCGAAGGATCCTGCCATGCTAGTGAGGACTTCGGTCGGGTTCTCTAACATCTTTGCGATACCAAAGTCGGCAAGCACCAGCTCCGAGTCGGGTGCGCGTGTGAGGTAAAGAAGGTTCTCGGGTTTCAAGTCTGCAAGTCTGTCAGGCAAACTCAAACATAGGCAATTGGGGGAAAAGCAAACCTCGGTGGACGATGTTGCGCTTGTGCAGGTAGTCAACCGCGTCAAGCACCTGGCGAATAGTTTGCGAAGCATCCTTCTCAGTGAACTTTCCGTAATCGCAGATCCGGTCGAACAACTCCCCACCCACGGCTAGTTGAGTGACAATATAGAATTTGTCCTTATTTGCAATTAGAGTCTGAGATGTTAAAGCAGTTCTCAAGAGTACTCACCTTGGACTCGAACCAATCCACAAAGGAGACAATGTGCGGGTGCTTGAGCTTCTGTAGCATCTCCAGCTCATCGTAGACCATGCCCTCATTCCCGCGGACATTCTTCTTCAAGATAATCTTGACCGCAACCTTCTTTCCATCGCTAGTTTCCGCCTCCCGCACAATTCCGTATGTGCCTGCACCGAGCGTCCGGCCGAATTTATAAAGGGCCCTAATAGAGGCATTAAGTGTGAGTAGACGTATTGTCGGCGAGGATTGATGGAACCATACTTTTTCTCATAGCTCTCTGGCTGGCCAGACAGCTTGTTCAACATGTTTGCGACTATAAATCCAAGGGTTAGTCCATCAAGTTCTTGTCAAGCACATGAAAACGAGGGCCGTTGCGAGGGATGCCGAGGATATGGGCCGATTTGAGAAAAGGGCACGCATTGAAGGAGCAGACCATCGTGATAAAGCGCGGACAGCCCAACAATAAAGTCCGCAATGTAATATGCGACAGATAAAAGAGGAGCGCATATAAGGACAAGCATTACGACTGAATCACAGCTCGGAGTCGTGCCATGTGGTCAAAGCTGAGACAAGCCGAAAAAAATCCCCCAAGCACGGCCGAAGAGCAAGGACCTCGTATACCACCCCCAAAATCGAAGGGTTGTACCATTCAAAACACTGCACACGAAATTGACTCACAGCTCATGGTGTGGAAAATAGGGCTGAAAGGGCCCGAGACGATTGGAGTTCGGTATGCGATGGGCTCGAATGGGGAGAGGGACCGCGTCAGGTAGCAAAGGTGGGTTGTCGGACCCCGCAGCGGAGAGGGACGAGGAGGGGGAAGAAGACGAGGTGGTATGAATCGAGGGTAGACGTGTTGAAGAGTTGATTCAGGGGAAATTCGGAACTCTGAAAGAAACGAGGTGTCAGCAGCCAAAAAAAGACACCAGATCTCAGCCGCGAGTCGAGCAGGCGGCGGGGTTCAAGTGGGCGGGTTCATCATGGCTTGCAGCCTATCGCGATGGAGGAGCACAAGTGGGGGGAGGAGAGAAGGGGAAGGAGGACTCCTACCGATCCGATTGTATCACAGGTCCTGATGACAGAAAGAAGATGTTAAGGAAGAATGAGAGAGGTCAACGAGAAGGAGAAGCTGGGCAAGGGGAAAGTAAGTAGCAATGGACCCCGAGAAGAGGAGGGAAGATCAGGAGGAGATTCTAGACGCGATAAGGAGAACTGCTAGGCTGAAGGCTGAGTGGTGAACGGGCTCCCAAGGGCCGTAGGGTTTAGTGGGCCCTTGGCGTGCGTATTCCACTACTCCAACCACCACAACGGTCGCTGCACCGCCACAGCTGAAATTCTGGACTCGACTAGATGGACTAAATTGACTAGGATGAGTCGTTTTTGTTTGGGGGCCATCCGTGGATTTTCCTCAATGCTCGAGAGTTGACTGGTTCGATCGGATAGGCCAATTGCTGCCACTGCCAGCATAACCAGCACAGTCCCGTTTCATCCTGTCGCTCAGCTCTCAGCCACATCCCTCAAGGCAGCTTCTCAGCCCAATATTAATTGCGCAAGACTAAATCCAATCTGGGGTTATTCACCGCTACAGCTCAATATCTCACAGGCGATCGGGAAATGAGGTTATGTTTGGAAAGCGACCAACCTTAGCTATGGACTAGATCCTACGCTTAGTGTTCTGATGTCGATCCTCCTTTGAATAATGATACTCGATCATATTCAACCCCTTACTATTAATTATTGAAAGGGAATCCTTTTGAGGATATAGCCGTTTAGGTACCTGTACCTCGATACGAGGCTATTTCAGAAGCCTGACAAAATCTACAGGTATGGAAGGGATGGTGGACGTATCCATACGGGCGCGGCCCATATTGAGGGGATCATGGAAAGAGACTCCTGCTGTTGTTCTTCCTGCTAATTGATTATCCGAGAAAGTATGCAGTATCGCTCTGATATTCCTCGCCCTAGACCGAGCAGCTTAATTCTCCGTATGCATATAACCGACCGTACAAATCTCCTATACAGAAAGATTTTCCCGCTCGACCATGTCCGTCATGTATAGCGGCCAGCCAGTGCATACATACTACGATGGAAATCCCCGAAGACCAACAACACAAATGAATTCATAAAGGAATTACTACAGAGATAAATTCAATCATGCTTAATATAAAGCCCTCGTCCGCATTGCAGCTACATGTCCGAAGACTCCACTCAACGGCCCGTGTCTGCACCGACAGCGTCATGTCCCACGCCCTGCACGTCATAGGCTTCTCTATATGACTGTATGTACGTACCTCGCGCTCTGCCTGCATATAAACCGCACATCAAGACGAGTGTCTCGCATATCTAATAGCCATCGAAAGAAATCTACCTTGGAAACGAGTTCTCTGGAAAAATGTTCTATCTTATCCTTTTCCTCGCACTACAAATCGTCCTCTTCGGGGCTTGGGTATCGGGTACCCTTGACCCCTACCAGAAGAAATTCCAGGAGATATTGCTGGAGATGATAGGGGAGAATAAAGTTTCTTATGGATTGAAGAGTATGTATATCCATCGGCTGCAAAAAGACATGCTTTCTTTGAGACAAATACAAGAAGGTAAACAGAGTAGCTGACGTTGATGTTTATTTTAGAGAGTTTAACTGGCAAGAAACTCATCGAAGACGAGAACTTCAGCAAGATCCAAGATGCAGTGGGTAATCAGATAGGAGGTGTGTTTGGGAAGGGAGGATTGGGCGATGGATTGGGAACTATGCTCAGCAAGGGCCTGTGAATTCTGAATTACCCCTGCGGATGGGACCTGTCACGGCCTATGACCAAGGCTCGGACAAGTTTACGGAGACGTACTCAATGATCTACTTACAATGGGAATCTTTCATTATATTAGGCTTCATTTGATATTGTACATCTTCAGATATTATCATACAAAATCGGCTTCTAGATGACACCGCCGCGTAACCGCCTCACAAACCTCCCCCCACGTGTTCATCACAAAGTTTGACATCATCATATCCACATAAAATCGGGACACATAAAATCAAACAGACTATGTTCAGTTTTCCACAGACATCTCCATCAGCACCATGTTACAGAAATCTTGGTAGTACCGGGCTCCCTTCCAGTTGCTGCGGGGAGAGCGCAACCCTACGGTAGTCCAGCCATCGGCTCGAAGCCGGGCAATTCGCTGTTGTTTGGTCTCTTTGGTCAAAACATTGCCAAATCGGTCCATGATTAGCTCCGGCTCCGGTTCGACTTCGGCCTCTTCTTCTGGGTTGACGGGCGAAAAGGTCCAGAAGGATGCTTGGCGCTGTATCTTTCGTGCCCGGCGAGCTCGTTGGATCTCGGTGACCTTCTCCACGTGCTTCTGGACATCAGAGATATTGGCCTTCACCTGTGAGCGAAGGAATTCAATCTCACGGTTGAATTTGACAATATGCGCCATACGGGTAGGCGTGGTGACCTCGTCCCCTAAGATCTTGTCTTCGCGATTGTGCTCATTGCGCTTGGGAGCGAATTTCTTTGGTGCAAGTTTCTTTGGGACAAGCCGAGGGATGCGACTTGGGCTTGAACAACCAGCCAGCTTATTGGCAGCCAGTCGAGCAGCCAATTTGCTGCTGTCAATCTTAAACGGACTTGGCCGGATATCACTCAATGGACTCGGGCCGGGGCTCGATCTTCCTGGCTTCGTGGGGGTATCGAACATTGTGGGATATCCGCTATTCCGCGGAGGCAAGTCGCACGCATCCTTTCGAAAGCGAAGCGGGGATGGCACCAAATGATTCTTTCTGACGGTCTCCTTGGCCTTGCTTCCGTTTCCGACTTGGTGCAGTTGAACGCGGATGAGCCCGTTGTGCTGCAGTTTGCCATGACTAGCCTCATCAGACGCACGGCAGGTCCCAACGAATTGAGTCGGCCATTCATTGTCAGAGTCGGAAAGGAAGGGATCCTCGACATCCTGATCGCCAAGGGAAACATCGATCATGCGCTTGAGGGCGTCGAAAATGACCGGCTGTTGAGGCGAACGCTCTTCAGCGTCGTCGAGCATCCCAAGAAGACTGTCAGGTGTTTCAGGCGACTGCGTCTGGGACACGGATTGAGGGCTGGGAGGAGGAGTCGGGTAGACTGCGGGCATCTTTGGCAGCGGAGTGGACTCTGGAAGAACAGAGAGACAGTCCAGGAAGGAGTCAAGCGCGGCATGGAGATTGGTGACCTTGTTGTTGGAGTACAGATGCGCAGCTTGACCGAGAAACTCGTAAGAGATAGCCCCATAAAACGCCAGGTAGGCCTTGTAAATCGGATGAACCTGAACAAAAGCCGTCAGGCTCTGAGGCTTGACGAGAATCTGAGATATAAGACACTTACATTCGTTCCCTTGATCGTTCTGAGGAGGTCCGCGGTGCGAGCTGCACATTGCTTGTACAGCCGGTCGAAATAGAGGCGTCTGACCTCCATCAAAACTGCTTTCCATTCGGTAGGAGATGTTTGTGGCGGCGAGGAGGGAATGATGAAGGATACCATGGGGTTCCTGGTAGAGTATCCCCCCAGCATCGTGGATGGATGTGGGAGTCGAAGGGTTAGGCTGCCGTCGGGATTGGTGGATGGTGAGAGAGGATGGAAAAGAGAAGGAATTTTCAAGGCCATTTTGTCAGTGATCGAAGACAAATATGTGGGCGTATAGACTGAAACGCGCTTCAAGGACGCGTATAGACCAGCACGTGTAAATAGAAACGTAAACGTTGTTGCCATATTCAGAGGTATCGCCGGGACAATGGGTTCCCGAATCGGAAGGAACGATTCTGCTTTGCTTTTGGGTGGGGGAAAAGATACCACGATAGGCAGATAAGATGGGTATATCCTACGTGTGTTCATAAATCAAATTGTGACTTTGCAGGGGAAAGACATGAGCCTTGTATGGTCGTGATTAAGTCGTGGATCCATTTGGAGGTGCTAGATGAAACGTACTTCTGTGAGCTACATAATGTTGAACTAGATTTAAGAACTTCATATGCCAATGGGGGTTTGTGGAATAGGGGATGTAACTCTTGTTTTATTCATGAGCGTGAAAGGAGAACATTGACATGGTTTGGTATCTACCATGGTTCCTATGATGAAGGAGAACAACAAAGGTGAAAAACAACTATTGAACCTTTTCAACAACATGAGCAGAATCATCTGTCCCGTGATTTTCAGGAATAATTCTTGCAAGTGCCTCCCCAGTCGCAGAAAGGGCACCTAAGAAGTCACCCAACAGACGATCCAGCTCTGCTGTGATGGTAGCATCGTCAGCTCCCTCCATCAGACTCTCCATGCTGGGTGGAAGAACAGCCGGGAATGAGATAGCACCTCGCTCAGTCTCCCGTAGGGTATTGGCTTCTGACATGACATCTCGACGAGCAGTCTGCAAAGGCTCCTCATAGATAGGAGAACCTGGCTCGGAGACCGAGTGTGCAGTACCCCCGGGGCTCCCATGGACAGGGATGGCTGTAGGGAGAGGAGGTACATCGTCTTCAGACACTACATCATTATGCTCATTCCACAATGGGTGTTCCTCCTCTTCATCAGGACCGGGTCCATCGAGTACCCCAGCGGATTCCGATTCATCATCCGTTGATTCGGTCAGTGTTGGGAATTCGGAGTTGAACGAGCTCATAGGTTGTGGTGAAATGCCTGGAGGAGTGGCCGGGCGATCAAAACGGAATGGGTCGTAATCTGAATCTGACATCGTAGATGTATGAGAGGCTGAGGTAGATGGGCGAGAGATAACCGGCTCTTCGGCTGGTTGTTGCTGGGGAGGGACGATAGGCGCTCGGAGAGTATCATGGCGTTCAGGTTCATCATTGGCACACGTATCATCTGGTTGGTTCGACATAACTGGGAATGTCCACTCCATCGTGGCCCGCTTCTCAGCTTGGAAAGATTTCTCATCCATAGGCTCCGGCTCCGGTGCAGGTGCAGGTGCTTCCTCCGCCGGTGCTTCTTTCGCAGGCTCTTCTTCTGGTAGCATAAAGCCTGGGAACTTCCAGTCCATAGTAGGAGGCCGTGGACCGGAAGCAGGCTGGAAGCTCTCATCTTGGGAGTCGCCGCCTTCCATATCGCTGTTGGACGACTGTGAACTATTTTCATTTGAGTTGCGATGGATTCTGAGACTTGACCGATTTGCACGAATGGTGTCCGCATTGGCCAACTGGAACGGTTGTGCAGACGGTGCGCCAGCTGCGTAATGTGAAGAATCAAAAGACCCGATATCGATGTCTATGAACGTTGATGTCACGGAAGAGCGATCGGTCTCTGTGCGCAGAGGTAGATCTGATGCCGGCTGAGGTGGCTGGATAGGAACGAAGTCGTTCTTTGTCTCGTACTTGTAGCTCGGCTTCTCTTCGTCAAAGAGACCCTCCATTGCCGCTGCACCTCGTCGCACCCGCTCATCGAAATTCGCTTTCTGTTCGGGGTCCATATCGATATCAGAGGCATCTTCATTAGAATCATGGTCCGGAAGCGTTGTGGTCGGGCTGATCGCTTCGTCCATCTCAGCTAGCGAGGCAGCTATTTGGTCGAGGTCAATAACCGAAAACCGTCGCTCAAAGCCATCCGTGGTGCTGAAGTTCCAATCGTCCTCGGACTCCTCGGTGCCTGGAAGTTCGGCGGCTGCAGCGCCTCCCGGGTGAAATAGGGAAATTCGCTGGCCACCTCGTTGTGACCACTGGTAATAGTTTCTCACAAGCTCGCTAACTGATGAAGTGGGATATTCTTCGTCGGTTCCGGAAATGTAAGGATGGGCCAGAATGTCTGCCATTGTAGGACGACTAGCCGGATTGGAGTCCAATGCGAATGCAATCAGGTCTTTGAGACCCTCGCTGTAGTTCTCGCTATCAAGCTTGGGGGTATTACGGTTGAGTTGCCGTCCAATTTGCATGCGTTCACGTAGCCCTGAGTTGGGTGGGTTACCCGTAGCGAATTCAAACAGTGTACATCCATACGCCCACACATCGATCTAACCAGGTTAGCAAGCCTATAGAGCGATAAAGAATAATGAACTTACTTCGCTACCATATTTGTGGGCTTCCCCACGAGTTGCAAACATCTCAGGTGGCATCCAGTGAGGTGTTCCGATCCACGTGGATCTCTTATCGCGCTGTGACTGAAGAACACCTGCTACACCAAAGTCGCAAATCTCCAGTCGACCTTCTTCGTGAATGAGAATATTTGCAGCTGTAGATGTGCGTCAGTAGATGCCCTATAGATTGAGATAGTGCGAAAAAAGCATACCTTTGACATCACGATGAATGATACCGGCCTCATGAATCGCATGCAAGCCCACTGCAAGCTCGCGCGCAATAGGAATGATGTACTTCTCATCAAGTTTATCATTCGTCGCTCGCATCTATACCACATTATTAACCGGATGGTCAAAGGGGATTAACGATGAAACTTACCAATGTTCGTACACTTCCACCCGGACAATATTCACAGACCAACCACAGTTGGGAGTGAATAGAAATTGCTTCAATAAGTTCATTAATGTTCTTCGCTCCCGAGTCCTTGACTTGTTTCATGACCTTGGTTTCATGAATGAAGTCCTTGATGGACTCATCCCTGAAATCACGTAATGACTTGTAGTCAAGTGAGTCGATGTCGAGAACCTTGATAGCCACAAGTCGACCGGAATGTATCTCCCGGCCTTTGTAAACTCGTCCATAAGCACCCTTGCCAATCAATTCTTCAAACTCATATGGTGGTACATCCGTCTTTGCACGGCGACACATCTCTTTCACAGCTGTTCCTTGCTCTCGCGCTAGCTTGATTGCTTCCGCTTTATGTCTGGTAATCGCTGCCATGGCAGACGATGGGTCCAGGAACCGGGACCCTCGAGGATCCATCTTGAATCTCTAGGCAGTCTTTTGGTGAGGAAAGGGGGGGAAGGGGGTAGGTGTTCAAGGGAAGGTACAAAAAATGGGAAGGCAATAGAGGACGAGTACTCTGACACTAGGACACACAGCTTAATGCTTGGCTAAGGCCTGCCGCTGCTTGAAGATGTCGGAAATGTGTCGTCTGGGGCGGGTAGAATCTTTCCTCTTCAGGCTAAGCCGGGGTTGCGGGGAGGGGGAAGTAGATTCGCAAGCGGACGATGAACTTGGAGACCGCAGAGACCCAGAGGGCGAGGGTGAAATGAATTGACGATGCGAGAAAGGCGTTGGGAACGGGCCGAAGAATGTGGGCGACAGAACAGGCGCAGAAGCACTGGATTTCCGTTGCTTCTTTGGAGTAACCGGCGGGTTCACCTCGGTACCGGTGTCAAAGACAAAGCTGGCCACTGACTGAGAATCAATGCTGTTTTTCTGAGTGGCAACGGTCTCCGAAGTAGCATCCAGCGGAAATTCTTCCACGAGCTCCTGGTACGACTCAATGAGAGTACAACCGTGAGTATATGCCTCTAGAGGTGGACTATCTTCAGGCGTTGCAAGAGATTGACTGGATTCCAAACTGTCCACCTCCGTCTCGGCTTTTGTGTCTGCAATGCTGAAGTAGTCCGAGGGGCCGGATGAGGACGTGACCGTGGACTTGAGAATAGGCCCAGGAGAAAGAGCCGCTGCCTCTTCAAGATGGTCAAGCAGGTCAGAGAGGAGGACACTTGAGTCGCCGGTAGGCTCGGAGTCGGTGTCACTTTCTACTTCCTCGTGCGATGGCTCCTTGTCTGTTTGACCACTTTCATGGGGTCCAAAATCCGATGGTGAGATCTTCGGCAGCTGGAAGCGAGTAGCCGAATCCCTGATCGGTATTTCGGTTAGAGAAATGATCATTCACAGGTACCAGACGGAAAAACTTACGTCAGTAAGGCAAATGGAGAGGTCGCGTGATCCAGGCTCTCCGTATCAACTCTGAGAGGCGGGCGACGAGCAGGCCTGCGTTGGTAAATGCTGAGCGGCAGGCTTGGAGAACCCGGCGACTCGATGTATTGAACCAAATAGGCCTTTGTTCCTGGTGAGACACGAAGCGATCCTTCTGGAGAGTGACCTGGGGGAGTCTGATCAGTCATATTGACATTTGATGCAAAACCACATTCACATAGAGCGTTGCCTGTACAAGGGGAACGGAGTTGCGGATAGAGGTGATGGAAGGAAAGGGGAAAGAGAGCAGGGAGAGGAGATGGCAGAAGGAAGAATTCAAACGGCATCTTCCAGCAAACATGTGAATCGGGCGAGAGGACAAAGTCAGCTTACCCAGTAGAACCAAAAGGGTATCTGTGGACAGGCGATTTGATCGATCCCTGGCCGCGTTAATTGAACCGAATTGACTATCCCGACGGTCCTTTTTTCACTTCAAGCGGTATTCGACAAAAGACGCAGGGTCATTGGATTTAATTTATTCGAGAAACACGACCAAAGCATCCCCGCTCTGACTTCTCGATGTCTCATTGGCATCACGTCGTGCTTCATGGATGTTGGTGGTGCGTAATCAACACGTGACCTTTGTGACTCTCATGCCTGATACCTGATGCCTGAGGTGTCTACCAATCACTACGAAATACTCAAGACCGCCAACATATACGCAAGAAGTGATTGAGGTCCAATATTTTCCTATACATAATACCGATCATTGAAGGCAATTTCTTCTTTATGCTTTCTCAGACTCCCAAAGACTGGTCAACCCATATTTACAGACCGAACTGGTCACGAAGGCACTTAGCAAATCGAGCGATAGCCTCGTCAATCTTCTCCGATGACGCAGCAGCGTAAGTGGCACGGAAAAACATCTTCTCCATAACAGCTGACTTGTCAGCCTTGAACCAACTGCCGCGCGACAAGAGGACCTGGTGCTCTACAGCAGACAAGAAGATCTCCTCCTCAATAGCCTCGCGAGTCTTTCCGGCGGCAACGCCAGGGTGCTTGCGCCAATCGATCTCAATCCAGTGCTAGAGAATTATTAGTTTCTGCGTCTTAATTTACTATATGTGCCCTCGATAGTTCACTTACGAACATGCCTGCCGTGGGAGGTACCCAGTGGGCGATCTCGGTAGGCAGATGCTTTTCACAAGAGTGCATCAGCGCATCGCGACGGTCGGTGTATTGCAAGCGCAGGTTGATAAGCCAGTCCAAGTATCCGGAGTGACCCCAGTGCTCATCCAGGAGCTTGAACAGGACGATCTGGGAGATACCACTAGGGTTCTGAGAGGAGACCTCGAAGTTGCGAATGAAGCGTTCAACCATCTGCTCGGAAGCAACGATCCATCCAACTCGGGAGCCAGGAGCGATCACCTTTGAGAAAGACTCCAATCGGCACACGCGACCGTCAACATCAATGCTCAAGAAAGAGGGAACAAGAGCCTTGATGAACTCTTCGTGGTTAGCGGGAGGGGGAGGTGCAGCGGCGCCCTGTCCGACATAAGGCTGCATCTGGAGGAAATAGTAGGGTTCATCCTCGACGATGTAGATATCGTGCTTCTGAGCAACCTTATAGACAGCCTTGCGGCGGTCAGCCGACTGAGTGGCACCGGTAGGGTTTTGACCGGTGGGAATGGTGTACAAGACGAAAGGCTTGCGCGCGCCGCGAGCGTTCTCGTCCCAGTTGCTAAGGATCTCATCCATGGCCTCGGGGATAAGACCCTGTTCGTCAATGGGAATACCGACGGCCTTCAGACCAAGAGGGAAGGCGGTTTCGGCAGCACTGGCAAATGTATACTCTTCCATGAGAATATAATCACCACGCTCGGTCAGGAGTCGAAGGGCTGTGTCCCAAGCATAAGTGCTGCCGGCAGTCATCGTACATTGCCAGTCAGAATACGGGGGGTTGTGAATGATCTTGAGAAAAGTCAGTATCTTCGAACGGGTTTGCAGCTCTTACGATACAGACCTCTGTGTGCTCGGTGATGAATCGGAGTAGTTGAGCAGCACCAGTAGCCTGGCCATAGTTAAGCGCAATTTCAAGATCTAACGCCAAACCCCGTTAGTACAATAGACAAGGCGAATTGAAGCTTCGAAGAAACCACAAACCATAAAGACTTGTGCCATCCTTTATATCATGCTTTCCAGCGCGCACAACTGAACCGGACTCTCGTGTAGCTTCCGGGGAGAATCCGGGTGGATTGGGGACCTTGATGTCGATATGTTCAAAGGGGAAGTAGTCGGCAGAGGGCAGACCACCACCAAGAGAGATAATCCCTTTGCATTGATGTCAGCCATGCAAGATTCTTCAAGAAGGTGGTTAAAGATGTGACAAGCGGACCTGGGTTCTTAAGGTATTGAGCAGCTGTCTTCAAAGTGGAGGCCTGAAGTATGATGTCAGTACAACTATGCAAATATGGTATATACTCCGCGGTCAGCACATACCTGGCGAGACTTGGCCTCAACAGACAGTAGGTCTATGTGCATTGAGTCAATTCGTGTTCGCCCTTCCCCGCAAAAAGTATTTCAGACATACGATCGAACCGCTTTGCTTTGGGCTTGGTATAGCAGGCCTATGACCACCACGAAAGAATTAATCAGCACTTCTCCTCCAATTACAAATTCTGACCTCATGGTTCAGTTCCCACAGATCTGCCATGGTCATACCGGACTCTTGAACATATCACTGCTGGACGATGCAGCAACCCCAGTGGGCATCTTCGCCGTCTTCTCGCGCCATCCTGAGACACCATTGACAGTCAACGGGTCCGGAATGGTCACAGCCGAGGTATCAGTAACCCCCACCAAATCAACATCCAGCGGCGCAGGCGGGCTCATAGTTTCGGCGAGTGTATAGGGTTCGGTGAGTTCGGAGGCGTATATCTTTTTGTTTGTGTGTTTGCCGCTCGTCACGAGACAGGTTCGGCGCAAGTAGCTGAAGAGCTGTGGAGCTGGCTAGGTATTCGAAGAAGTGTTTATCTCAGGCGAGAGAGGCACAATTATGTTCAGGAGGGAAAGGAGTGACGCCGGAGTTGGAGCGGTAGTGGAGGCAAAACTGGAGCAAATGGCGGAATTTACAAGCAGTGATATCCACTCGGCAGCGCGGATCCGATTGGGAAGCGTGACTCATCAATGCCGCCCAAATATCCAAACTTTGGAGAAGCTTTGAGTCGGATGAACCAGTGGCCATGCTCGCGATGGGTTTCTGTTATCTAATTCTCCCCGCGCAGGGTTGTTGCTGGTGGACAAAGACGCACTGCAGCTACGCCCTTGTCAGGTGTAGGGCGTAGGGTGTAGGGCGTTCGAGGGGCCCTGATACGATACCATACCGGCATTCGCTTCTCGGCAGGTGCAAATAGGCGGGGTACAAAGTGAAATACTGTTATACTAAAACACAAAGCCCCGCATAGATAAGGCTATCGCCGGCATCGGCGCGATAAGCTTAATGCGCTTGGACTCGTCGAAGTATACGGTCACGGGGTACAATAGCATGCTTTATGTCTACTGAATCACGTCTTCATTTGAAGCTACCCTTCAAAAACATCTTTCTAAAGATTAGAGCGCTCTACATACTTGCCCGCTGTTCCATCCAGCTGTGCCTCCAAGACCGCGCCCTTTCCATTCAGCACACTCTGGATAGCCTCCGGCAGCTTCTGTGCTAGCTCAGCAACGGTAGAAGCTCGACCAGCCCATAGCTCACCACCTGCCGCAGCTTTAGCAATACCCGAGTAATCAGGCGTTGGGGCGAAGGAGATATTCAAATCCTCATTCGTAGCACGCGATCCATCTCCGTTGGGATGGACAAGTAACATGCTTCGCCGGGGTGCGTTCCATCCCTTATTGTTTAGGACGATGGTCAAGACGGGAATTCCATATCGGCGTGCGATCCAGTAGACGGACCCAGGAACAGAGAAGAGGAATGTTCCGTCTCCTACAACTTGGACCACGAACTTGCCCTTACCTGGACCGCCATGTTGCACATCGGAAGCAAGCTTGATGCCCAGAGCACCGCCGCCGGACCAACCCAAGCCTCCTCCACCACAGTTGATCCAGGAGTTTGGCAGTGTGGCGCCAACTTGATCTGAGACTTGATGAGTGAGGGTCACAGATTCAATTGCCCAGATGGTATCAAACGGGACTCCCTTGCGAACTTGCGCCATCATGTAGGAAATATTCAGCGGGGCACTATCGCCGCCGGCTGGGACCACCGCCAAATCGGCAATTTCCTTTCGGCGCTTCGCATAGTCTGCCTCACGCTGCTGGCCCATTGCATTATTCTCAGATGAGCCCGTGAACTGCTGTAGCGAGTTATTGCTGATGATATGCTGGTTGAGCTGTCTCAGAGCCGTGGCGGAATCCGCACGGAAAGTAGCCATAGATGGGATATAGAACACTGGCATCTGTTGCTTCAATGGGTCCACATCGATATGAATGATCTTGGCAGAAGCAGAGGGCTTGCATTGTGTTGGCACCCAAGGTACGTCGCAGTCAATCACCAGGATGAAATCGGCCGTCTCCACAAGATCATGTCCCGGGTACCGCAAGCCGAGCCATCCAGGGTGATCAGCCGGGAAGCACATATCACTGCCACCAGTGTCCAAGACACGGATACCCTTGAAGTGATTGGCCAGTGTCACCAATTCCGTCACTGACCGAGCATTCCGACCAGTATAACCCACAATCATCAGTGGGTTCTTAGCAGCCGCAAGCTCGGACGTGATCAACTCGATGCCCGACGGAGGTAGCGCGGCCGGTGCCACGGGGCCCCAATTACTCTGATTGAGCTGATATGGCTCAATATCCTCCTCCATCACCTCACGAGCTCCCATCAGATAAACGGGGCCCTGTGGATCACTGGTTGCGAATTGCAGTGCTCGGTTGACAATCTGTTTCACATTCTTGCCAGACTTGATCTCCCCGGTATAACGGCAGTATTGAGAGACAATCTGCTTTTGATCGGGTACATCCTGGATCCAATGGATGTATTCGGTTCGTGAGCCGCGCGTCTCGCCTTCAATTGTATAGGGCGAAAGTCCCGCAAAGATTAGGACTGGGGCACGTCCACAGGAAGCATTGTGTACTGCCGCGCCCAATCCTTGTGTTCCAACATCGACGTGAACGATTACAGCTTGTGGTTTACCGGTTAAGCGAGCATAGCCGTCAGCCATTGAGAGTGCGACCATCTATCCAGCTTGTGTCAGTCCGTCTTACATAGTGCCCATGGAACCCAAACGGGGGGATGAATAATTGCGTCTCCATGGTGAGTCGGCGGTTATTGGATGATGCAATTTTGGACGTACCTCATTGGGGCAGGTAATGATCCTCGGGAATCGGTCCTTTTTCTCCTTCTGTCCCTTCACCATAGCCTCCAGGATGGACGGATGGTCGGAGCCGAGATTGACGAAAACATGGCTTACGCCGCCCTGCCTCAGTGTCAGTGTTGCACATTGACATGACTTTGGGTATCACAAACCTCCCAGAGGGCCTCAAAAAAGGCAAAAGATGCAGTATAGACCCTATGTTGCCGTCAGATTCGTACTATTAGGTATTGAGCAGTCAACCAAATGCTCCAACTTACATCACTGATTTTTTATGGGCAGTTATAGTCTCACAACAACCAAAGACACTTAGATGGATTGAAGAAAAAACGGCCGACACAAGTATTAAAAGGGCCAGAAGATGGACGAGCTGGAAAGGGTAGGTGGAGAACTGGAAGCTGATAAAGCAGGATAGGTCGGAATTGCCTTTCCCCTCCTCCCCGGACAGAACACCGAGCTCTACAAATGCAAATGCGGAGACGTGGGGGTATCCTGCAGCTTTACTTGCCCCGTTACGCACCTGGGGCAGTCTGCATCAGTCTTATCGCCACAGATCCTCCAGTAGTTGTTTCACGGTTATCCTCGGTAATGCATTTCCAGTTGTAAATGTCGGTAATTGGGTTCATGCAAGCTGTAATATCGCCTAAGCTTTCAGCTAGTAGATTGAAATTCGAAGTACTACCTGAGATCCATGCCAATTTCTAAGCAAAGCGGAGATCCAATAAATCTGAAGGCAATCAAAGCCGAGGTTCCCCGGCCGAAACGAATCCGAAGTTTTGTGGAGGAGCTTAACTGTTTCAAAAGGGATAAGCAGAAAGTGAGAAAACAACTTGACATCTCCCAGATCCAAATTGTAGCTAGAGCGTGTAGACAATCCGGATGATTTCTATCGTAGTGGTAATGAGCCGAAAACTGTCTGAGAGAGAAATGAACCGGTACAGATATTTCAACACCTAGCATGACCTGGGGATTCAATGGAATCTATAACCTTACTTGAATCTCCTGCTTCCTTTGGTTGGACCCAGGACGCAGATTTGCTGCTGAGTTCGCCTAGGATGGAGCCTGCATATGATCAACCGATCGCCGACATCGCACAGTACATTTTCCACTATGAGATCGACGAAGCGGATGAAAATGTGTGGGCGAGGGCGCGAATGGCGCTACTCGATACATTAGGCTGTGCAATTGAAACAGCAGCTACCAGCGACGAGTGCCGAAGGCTACTGGGTCTTACGAGGAAGGGTATGATCGTTCCAGATGGGTTTCGAGTTCCGGGAACCGATCTACAGGTCGATCCTCTAGAGGGAGCGTTCGATTTTGGTGTTCTTATACGATACTTGGATCATAATGATGCTTTGGGAGGGGCGGAATGGGGTCATCCATCAGGTATGATTTGTATGATGTGAAGATTCATGTAAATGTTCATTTAGACTGATTTTTAGATTCAAGACAATATCGCAGCTATTTTGGCTGTGATGGACTGGTTATCGCGCATGTCGGCCTCGGCACGCCTCACCCATACCGGACCGCCACTAACTATGCGAACATTGTTGATCGCAGTGATCAAAGCATATGAGATACAAGGCTGCTACCAAATGCTCAACGCATTCAATGCCTACGGCATCGACCATGTGGTATTGGTCAAACTGGCCTCGGCTGCCGTCGTTTCTTGGTTACTGGGGCTCACAGAAGAGCAGACCATGGCATGCATCTCTCATGTCTGGATGGATGGGCAGCCCACAAGGGTCTACCGAGAGCGCGATAACACGATCCCACGGAAAGGGTGGGCTGCGGGAGACGCTGTGCGGAGGGCGGTACAGCTTGCTTTTTATGTCCAAGCCGGCCAGCCAGGCTCGCCGGGGGCTTTGTCCTCAAAGCCATGGGGTTTCTGGGCTCGAACATTCGGGGAGGCGGGCTTCCAGTTTGCTCAGCCATTTGGCACTTGGACAATCCAGAACGTGTTATTCAAAGCCATGCCGGTAGAGGGGCATGCGGTATCTGCCGTGGAAGCCATCCTGCTCCAGATGCGTCGCTTCAAGGCGAAGGGGTTGTCAAATCCCGCACAAGACATAAAGCAGATGGATTTGCGCACCACGGCCGCTGCCGAATTGATTATCAACAAGAGAGGGCCATTGCGCAATGCTGCAGACCGTGATCATTGCATACAGTATGCCGTTGCTTTGGCATGTTTGAAAGGGAGTGCGCCTGACGCTGCCGATTACCTCGACACAAGCCCATGGGCGACAAACCATGAGTTGAAATGCTTGATGGAAAGGATCACGGTGTCATCCGACGCCGAACTGACCCGTGATTATTTGGACCTTGACAAGAAGAGCATCGGGACAGGTGTTACAGTCCATCTGAAGGACCAATCGGTTCTTCCGGAAATACTAGTTGAGTATCCCATGGGCCATGCGCGGAATCCTGAGTCAAACGCGTTTGTGGAAGACAAATTCTTGCAAAACATGGCGCGAACGTTCTCCAAGACAAAGATTGCTCAGATTGCGGGGGCAGTCCACCATCCCGATCTGCCAGTGAGTAATTTTGTGGATTTGCTTGCATGCCCCGCAAGCCAGCCACAGTTGTGATGTAAAAGAACACAGACACTCTGTATTCAGAAGGAAGATCGAGGGTTTTCTCTACTCAGTCGACCTTGCCAACACCTTTCAGGGTCAGATATACGTCGGTTCCCCACCCCCAAAGACTCTGTACTGCAATGCTGCCACCGAAATATTCGGCGTAGGCTCGACTAAGCGGCAATCCGTATCCAAGGCCCGCGATGCTGCTGAGATGGCCCCCACTGCTAGAAATCGTGTTCAGTGCGTCCAAATTGCCATTCTCCGCGTTGAAATCCATATCTGAGAATGTCGTAAAGCTGTATGACCAAATGTGAGGGAGGACTTCCGGAGGAATGCCACCACCCCGGTCACGAATGCGAATAGTAATGCTCTGCGAGGAGGGATTGGAGGCTCCCATTGCCTCACTCGGATACGCCTCATCGTTGGAATCGAGCTGAAAGCCCATGTCGGCGTCACCTGTAACAGGTGGCTCTTTTCCCGGCACGTCCGGGGCAGCGGCAATTGTTACCTCGATAGGCTCCCGCTCGTTTCCAGACTCGATGGTCGCCCGGAATGCATTCTTCAACAACTCTGTGATTATGTACTCCACGTGCACCGGAACGTGGGCAAACGACGCCTCGGGCTCGCCTCCAATGACCAGACGCGGACGCACTCCATATTTCAGCTCGCAGATTTCTCCAACGAAATCCTCACAGAGACGGATGATTCGCGCGGGCTGGATCGCGGTATCAATCACGCCAATATAATTAGACGGCACCGCATCTTTCGCATCTTTCGCATCTTTGGCATCTTTGATCGCGCGTGGCTTAGAACGGGAAGGCGGCTCGTCACTGACCGGCTGAGAAGCAAAATGAAGCGCCAAGTGCTGCTCGGCAATCAATCGAGTACCGATACGTGCACGCAGATGGGTATCCAAGAATCGCGTCACATCTGCGGGGCTCACGTATTTCCGACACTCCAAAAATCCCCGGGCAAGGACTGGAATCGTATTAGTGTGTGTTTGTACAAGGTCCGCAAGTACATCGCCGAACTGATTTTCCTCCTCGAGAGTGGTGATTCGCCTTTGTTGATATGGGAGAAGGGTGGACAGGGAATGGCGGTAATTTTGGTAGATCTTCGACACGTGAGGATTAGACACGACGATAAAGGGTAGGTTCCGTAGGGCTTGAATTCGGGAGGCAAGACGCGCCGGGAGCAAGGAGAGTGTGAAATTCGCTGAAGCCAGAAGCGCATCTTTAGATAGTGGTGGACGCCCATGTCTACCAAACCAGCTCTCGTTAGCTTTCGAATTTAAATCTTTGACGATAATGTCATTCTCACCTTAACAAGTCTGCCAATGTCAGGGGGCGACGCGGACTGGCAGCCAGCTGGGCAACCTCATCTCTGGCAACATCTCCAGTCGTTTGGTGATTGGACCAATCCCAAGTTTTCTGGGATGTCGAGGCATGGCGGATTAATCGTGGCCTCGTGCGCAGGAGTCGGACATGCCCTCTCGCTGGCATTGCCGCAAATATTGTGGCTGCCATTGTATGCTTGGAGGAGGAGAAAGTGGGAGTGAGGGTGAAGCTCGGAAATTGGAGGCGACGGGAGGGGCGGTGACGGGGAGATCTGCACGATTTAAACGGTTGGGGACCGGATATCCTCGGCCCCAAAGATCCTTAGTCTTACAGTCCCGTCTTGTCCGAATATGGAGAGTTCTAAACAAGAATTGATGCTCACATTGATTCCCTGATCTACACATTATTGACTGTACCGGGTGGCTCTAAACTTGAGTGTTGATAGTACGGACAAAGGTTATATATCCGCAGAAGGGAACCCATTTGTCGATGACGTCGATGGTGGAAGCCACCAAACAATACACAACTCAGACTACCTACAGACAAACCTAAAAAATATCTCTTCAATTTCATAAAATTTCGTTACTTCATTGTGATCTGCTGTAGGGTTAAACATCCTTGCAGTCAAGGACGTTCGCTAGGTAAGAAATATGTACATAAAATGGTGGAGCAGCCGAGCGTAATCATGTTGGTATCAAATCATGGCGCTGAAGCAAAAGGCCCTCCACTACCTGCTAGAGTCGACTCGTGTGGTCAATCGGCTAGGCATATATGTGTAAGGCTTGGATGGAATCTAGTCCTGGGTCTTCACCTCGGCATCCTTCTCAACGTGGACGTGGTCGTTGGACTCGAGGGTATCCACATGGTCATCAGGGAACTCGACGCTAGGCAGAGAGGAAGCGTTAACCGCTGATCACACGAACAGTGTATATGCTGAATAGGTTGGGTCGTTGTGAAAGGGACGATGACGGGAAACATACACGAAGCCCTTGATCAGACTGTACTCATGCTTGATGGTACCGCCCTTACCAATAGCTTGCTCCTTGGCACTAGTAAAGGGAAACCTAGGTTAGAAAGTGTTATTTAAACGATGTATGATGGTGGAGAACGTACGCCTCGAGTTCTTCCGCAGGAGCGTCGGGCTTCAGAGTGACCTAGGCACCATTAATTTCAGCGATAACAGAATGCCTGGAAGCAATCACTTACATTGTAGGAGAGAGGCATGATTGTGGATGGGCAGAGAGAGCGAGTGTTGATCAAACGAAGTGTGGTGGCAGGTCTGTAACGCGAGATGGTGGAAAGGTGGAAAGGTGGAAAGGTGGAAAGGTGGATGGGTGGAAGTGGAAGTGGAAAGAGGAGAAGAGCTGAGCTGAGATGGTGGAGATAAGGTAGAGTGGAGGAGGGGGAGGGGTCGATGAATTTATACTGGTGGGACAGTCTTCGCCTGATAAGAGCGACCGAGGACGTGGCTTTGCTGGCTTCACTGTGTCTTACGCCATTTGTTTAGCTTTGCAAGGACCTTGGACACGCCTTGTTTCTACCATTTCTACCGGCTGCACCGCTTCTGACTTGTCCCTAGTAGTTGGCATGCAATCTATTCTGCATATTGGGTTGGGGGAATATGTTACACTACTGGCCTAGTCTCCACACTTTTCGACTTGAAAATTGTCGTGTGAATATCTATTCCGTTTTCTGTTTGGCGTTGGCCAGGCTGCCGTGCCCGGTGGAATAAGATAGTTAACTTAGTAGATTGATGAGATGGGTGACTCATTGAAGGAGGCTCATGCGCCCCTTGCGCCCGATTACTGTAATACTGATTTTGAGGCCTCCACTCTACGCATCTACAGGCCCGAGATCGAGATTGACTCCGTTGACCCTGGCGTCGATGTAACAATGCAGCGATGACGCTATTGTTTCCGTCAAACGCGGGGCAGATCACGTGATTATGCTGCAAGTCATTTCCAGATGGCGCAACTGTCGATTGTTGATCCATCCCTAACTAAGTATTGTTTTGTCCATTGACAAGGTAGCTTGACATTATTGGCATTAATTTTTGCGTCTGTATCTGATAATATACTCGGTGATCGTCCAATGATTGTGGAAATCATGGGTACTCTCTATAGTCCAACATATCCATCTTGATACCGTGGAGGCATGGTCAATCCGTGCATCCCCTTGTATGGTGGACATTCGGGTGCCTTCCACCCATCCAGAATCGTCTTCTCATCCGCCAACTGATACACCTCAACACCCAGCGGGCGGCAAGTGGCTCCCATTCCTCCCTCCTTGTCGTCCCATCCCCAGTTGGACAGGTCGCCTGCAAATGTTGTTAGTAGCTTTTCCAATGCAGTCTGGTGGGGGCAGGGTTGAAACAGACCACCAGGGCATGCAGACAGCGCGCAGAGAACATCCACCTCGGCAAAGAACTCGAAGTACTCCCCTGGCTTAGCGGGGGAGGTCTCCATGAAGTATCGACCTTCTTCATCCAGCCCGGTCACCTGGAAGACGTTCAACACATCGTGAACATCAAGCTCCGTTAATCCGTAGGGGACCACTGATCGGGTCAGGTTGGAGTGGCAGTGGAAGTCGAATGTCTCGCCGCCCATCAGGAGGTTCACGTAGGGATCGCAGCGAGTACCCATCAAGTCATGCACTCGGCCTCCAAATTGCGTTGTGCCAAAGACCACCTCTGGCTTGCGCTTCCCATCTGGGCCCAGCACGTCATGCAACTGCCCGCCATTAAGCGAGTCGCCGGTGATGCTCACCAGGGGCCGCAGATACGGGAGGTTGGACCATAGGCGATCACCGACAGAGACGTGAGAGGCGTGGATTTGACGGGTACGTGCAGCCCACATCCGTTCCCGGGGATTGTGTGCATTCCAAATGTTTAAGTCACCGACTTGCGGTCCCTTGGGTGTTGTCAGACGGCAGACATGACCAGCAGGCACAATCCATGCCTGGCCTGAGCATGGCCGAATCGTGAATGACTCTTTGGGGATTCGGGCGGCGGGATCCGATGCGGTCTTGGAGATTCTTTGGTAGAGCGCAGATGTCGCGTGGATACCGGAATCTGGGGCGGAGTCATAGGCTGGGGGAGGTCGACGAGCGGTTGACATTTTGGAGGATATACTTGAAGCCTATTCAATAACGAGGTTGCGACGTGATTAAAAGCGCATTCCAACACCGGATGCCAACCAGAAGTCCTCCATATACCGGGCCGGGGGCAATCAATCCATTATATAATAAGCTCTACAAGTTCGGAGAATTTGCCGTTATCTGGCTCCATCTTTTGGTTTGGGGCTTGCCCCGCAAAATGAGAGCCGAGAGCGCTCGCCAAAAGATCAGGCAATCGCCTTGAGTTGCCTAAATTGCGCTAGATGAAGCGAGCAGAGCACTATGTATTACTAGTCGAACAATAAGTCGGCCTTTGAGTTCCGATGCTCCTTCCACAGTGGCCATGAGGGACCAAAATCCCTAAAGAGATCCACCGTCCACGATGCATCGGCCCGATGAGGGGATTCTTATCGCGTATCACGTATCGAGATAAGAGACAGGGCGCTCCTGCCTTGTTGCCTCAGGCGACCAGATCAGTGTCAGCTCCTAGACGCTCTAACTTTAAAAGGAAACACTTTTTTTCTGAACGGCCCCATATTCTTCCGCGCCGAGATAATAATTTTGGGCTAGGTCAAGTCGCAGTTCGCCGTAGAGTCAACTTGTCGTCCGAATTCCAGTCCCTGGAATTATAGTGGGAGAAGTTGTGAGGTCTGTGGCCTCTTTATCTCCACCATGGAGCAGCAGTCGAATAGGACGCATCGCCCCGCGAAGGAGAAGAAGAAGTTCGAAGGTACGCCTCCAGAGCGCTTCCGAGATGGAATTTGCGGAGATTGCTTTTGCATCCCGGTTGAAAATCTGCCACAAATACTAATGATGGGATCGCTGTAGGATCAAACCCAAAGGCCTTTGCATATTCCAATCCTGGAAAACTCAATAGGCAGGCTGCCCGATCGCACGATGTACGTTTACAAGTCACGCGAGCCGCCCGAAGCTGAGATGCAAATACTGACTCGGATTGCTGCTTCTAGGTCAAGGAAAAGAGATTGCATGTCCCTCAGGTGGATCGCATGCCCGAGGAGGCTCCTCCGACGGTTGTTGCCATCGTTGGACCTTCTGGTGTAAGTTCTAATGTTCAACCTGATGTTCAATCGAGAATCGCAATTCTGACCAGCACTCTTTTCTTCAAATCTACAGGTCGGCAAGACAACACTTCTCAAATCTTTGATCCGTCGGTATACCAAGCAGACCTTGAGCTCACCGCAAGGCCCGCTTACTGTGGTCACCACTAAGCGCAAGCGCCTCACCTTTTGGAATGCCCCTCCGATTCCCTTGCTGCTATGATCGATGTAGCCAAAATCGCCGATATCGTTCTCCTTATGATTGACGGAAACTACGGATTTGAGATGGAAACCATGGAGTTCTTGAACGCTTTGTCTACCAGTGGTATGCCGGGTAATGTCTTCGGTATTCTTACCCATCTCGACCTCTTCAAGAAGCAGAGCACACTGCGCATGACGAAGAAGCGCCTGAAGCACCGTTTCTGGAGTGAATTGTACCAGGGCGCGAAGCTTTTCTACCTCTCCGGTGTGATTAACGGCCGCTATCCCGACCGCGAAGTCCACAACCTTTCGCGATTCTTGTCAGTCATGAAGAACCCGCGTCCACTCATCTGGCGTAACTCCCACCCTTATGCGCTTGCCGATCGCTTCTTGGATATCACCCCTCCCACCCAGATTGAAGAAAACCCCAAGTGTGATCGTACTGTTGCGCTGTATGGCTACCTCCGAGGTACCAACTTCCCAGCTCAGGGTGCACGAGTGCACGTTCCTGGTGTCGGTGATCTTACAGTCTCCGGTATTGAAGGACTTCCTGACCCATGCCCGACTCCCTACATGGATCAGCAGATTGCCAAAGCTACTGGAAAGTCTTCCAGGCGTAAGCTCGGTGAGAAGCAGAAGCTGCTGTTTGCTCCCATGTCTGATGTTGGTGGTGTCTTGGTTGATAAGGATGCGGTTTATATTGATATCAAGACGAACACCTTCGACCGTGATTCTGACGAAGAGTCTGATGATGAGAACCGCGGACTCGGAGAGCAGCTGGTGGTAGGCCTGCAGGGCGAACGTCGCTTGCTCGGCGAGGCCGATGAGGGCATTCGTCTCTTCCGTGGCGGTGAAAAGATCGCTCAAGGAGATGAGGCCGAGGAGACTGGCAGGAAACACAAACGCCAAGCCCGTATTGCCGACGGAGAGCGTGTCACTGAGCTCAACTCCGATGACGAGGAGGGTCTTGACAGCGACGAGGACGATGAAGAACTCGGAGACGATCAGGATGAGGACGATGACTTCAGTGGCGACGAGGAAGACGAGATTGATGTCTCCGCACCGGCGGACTTCGAATCGAGCTTCAAGGAGCGCCAGAATGGAAAGTCCAATGGCGAGGATGGAGACGTTGCTTTCGCTGACAGTGATTCCGATCTCGGCTCTATTTCGTCAGTCGAAGATCAGGAGCTGGATAGCGGCGATGAGGATGAGGAAGATGATGGGGAAGAGGGCGAGGACGACGAGGATGATGAGGGCAATGCTCGATGGAAGGACAACATGTTGGCCAACGCCAAGGCTCTCCATGGAAAACGCCCTGCATTCCGTGTCAATGACCTGTCCCGCATGATTTACGATGAGTCGATCACTCCCATCGATGTCGTGCAACTTTGGCGTGGTGAAGCAGACGACGAGGACGAGGAGGAGTCCGACATTGAAGCCGATGAAGATGGCGAGGATTTCTTCAAGAAGACCGACAACGAGAAGCGGGATCAAGCCGATTTCCGCGCCGTCCCCGAATACGACTACGAAGAGCTGGAGCGCAAGTGGCGAGACGAGGAGCTGATCGAGTCGTTGAGACGTCGCTTCGTGACTGCTAAGCTTGGTGGCGGTGGTTCTGATGACGATCTTGAAGAAGGAGACTTGGACGACCTTGATTCAGATGACGAGGGCGATGGTGCTTTCGAGGATCTGGAGACGGGCGAGGTCTTTGATGGATTTGATGACGATGAAGACAAGGACGGAGATGAAGATGAAGACGAGGGTGACGAGAAGGAACCCGAAGGCCCTGTCGATCTTGATGCAGAGCGCGAGCGCAACGCCAAGAGGAAGGAAGAGCTGAAGCTTCGCTTCGAGGAAGAAGATCGTGAAGGCTTTGCCAATGCCAAAGACGGCAACCGAGATGGTCTCGAGGGTGAGTTTGGCGAGGACGATTGGTACGATTTACAGAAGGCGAAGATGCAGAAGCAGCTCGATATCAATCGTGCCGAGTTTGACGAACTTGACCCGGCCTCGCGTGCTCGCGCCGAAGGCTACAAGGCTGGAACTTACGCCCGAATTGTCCTCGAGAACGTGCCTTACGAGTTCGCCTCCAAATTCAACCCTCGCTTCCCTGTTATTGTGGGTGGTCTGGCTCCTACCGAGGATCGCTTCGGATACGTGCAGATTCGCATCAAGCGACACCGCTGGCACAAGAAGATTCTGAAGAGCAATGATCCCCTGATCTTCTCGCTGGGATGGCGCCGATTCCAATCATTGCCCATCTATAGCACTTCGGACAGTCGAACCCGTAACCGCATGCTCAAGTATACACCTGAGCACATGCATTGTTTCGGTGTATTCTACGGTCCCCTCGTTGCTCCCAACACTGGTTTCTGTTGTGTCCAGTCATTCTCCAACAAGACCCCCGGCTTCCGCATTGCCGCGACCGGTGTCGTTCTGAGCGTGGACGAACATACAGAGATTGTCAAGAAGCTGAAGCTTACTGGTGTTCCTTACAAGATCTTCAAGAACACCGCCTTCATCAAGGACATGTTCAACTCCTCCCTCGAGATTGCCAAGTTCGAGGGTGCATCTATCAAGACGGTTTCGGGTATCCGTGGTCAGATCAAGAGAGCCCTGAGCAAACCCGAAGGCTACTTCCGTGCCACCTTTGAGGACAAGATCCTGATGAGTGACATCGTCTTCCTGCGTGCGTGGTACCCGATCAAGCCCCACCGCTTCTACAACCCCGTCACCAACCTGCTCGACCAAGAAGAGGGCGGCACAGCCGATAGCGGCTGGCAAGGCATGCGACTCACTGGTGAAGTCCGTCGGGATCAGGGCATCCCCACACCAATGAACAAGGACTCAGCCTACCGCAAGATTGAGCGTCAAGAACGCCACTTCAACCCTCTCCGCGTGCCGAAGCAACTGGCCGCCGAACTTCCCTTCAAGTCGCAGATCACCAAGATGAAGAAGCACACGGACAAGACCTACATGCAGAAGCGTGCTGTCGTCCTCGGTGGCGAGGAGAAGAAGGCCCGCGATCTCATGCAGAAGCTGACCACCATGCGCAACGAGAAGTCGGCCAAGCGGGCGGCTAAGCAAGAGGAGCGCCGTAAGGTCTACCGTGCCAAGGTTGCTGATAGCTTGGAGAAGAAGACTGCTCGTGAGAAGCGGGAGCGTAATGATTACTGGCGGCGCGAGGGCAAGAAGCGCAAGAATGATGATGAGTCTGGTGGTGGCCGTGGTAAGAAGCGCGGTTGATCGAGATGTTGATCGAGATGTTTGTTTTACACATGCCTTAGACGGGCATGAATATTCTTTACTTTGCATAGATGGCGTTCGTGCACCAAAAATAAAACGCTTGTATATGATTTCTCACACAATTATTTTCCTACTATCAACTCCATTACTAGAGATTCCTTGTGACTAGACGCGGGCAACTCTCTCTCCTTTGTTCTCCAGGGTCAGACCGGCTGCTCAGAACCGTGGAGTAATGGCCTGATCCTATTGCTCCTCCGAAAGCTGTTGGGATACCTCTCGTTAAACTATTTAGATGATGAGGACTAATCTAATCTATCGTTTGAACTTTGAAACAACCCCAGGGACAAGGAGGAGTTTCCATCAACTCCTTATCATTAATTCAGTCCAAGGATGCTGACGACGCGTACTCTAAGCGAGCTATACGAATACTAAGCACTCTTGGTGAACGGTCTTGGCTCCGCTCCTAGTTCAATTTTGGTGTTTCACCGTGCACAACTAGACCCCACCAAGTTCGTTAGACATTTAATATGAAACCACCATGAATGCCCGAGGTGCCGCCGGAGACCAAACCCCCTGGTCAAAGTGGGCCCCAACTCATCGATTTTTGACCTTTTCATGGCACTTGTAGGGTCAAGCTATGTCACCAACACCCTTAGCTCCGTTCGACGGAGATATAATATGCGGTTTGCCAGGGGTTAACAGATTCCATTGGTGGATATTAAGGTCAAATTAAGCCAAGGTCTCCGAAATAGCCGGACTAGAGGTCATCCAGATTCCAGAGTATGGTCTAGTTCGCTGCTGTTGGGCCTAGCATGTTGGAAATAGCGACCAAGCTTTAGTCAAGCCGATACAAGTCGTGCCGAGCCGACACAGATGGATGTATAAGACTTATTCAGCCCCGTCAGGCCCAGGAAATTCCTGTTGTTTTCGTTCTCCATCGTTCTTTTCTCTCTTTGTCGTTCACTTATTCATTCTTTTCAAAATGCGCCGTGCGCTCTTCCTTTCTCTTGTCCCCATTGCCCTGGCTTGCAATAACCCAGCTAGCCATGCCTGTGCTTCGGCTTATACTGCGTCCAGCTCTGCTGCTGCAGAGTTCTGTGCTACTTTCACTGCTAGCGTAGTGACCGCTACGACTGGCTTGCCTAGCTTTGCTTCTGCTTGTGATTTCAAGACCAAGTCTCTCTCGAGTGCCTGCACCTGCCTCGACACTGCCTGGGCTACTGCTGGATCCGGAGTACGTCCTCAATAACCGTTTTTATGACTTTTAACCCTAACGGATAAATATTAGTCTGGATCGGCCGAGACCACTGCTGTTGCAACAAGCGCAGCTACTACCACCGCTGCTGCTGCTACTACCACCTCAAGCGTTTCTTCTACTAGCTCGACTACTCTCGTCAAGACCACCCGCCCGGCTTCCTCCACTACCTCGTCGGTTGATGCCCCAACCACCACTGCGGCGACAACCACTACTCAGGCTGTGACCACTGTTGCCGCAGTCCAGACTGAATCAGGCACTACTTGTGTTGTGTCTGAATACGCATCTCTCTCTTCTGCTGTCAAGTCTTGCACCAATATCGTGCTGTCCAACCTTTATGCTCCTCCTTCGAGCACCATTGATCTGCAGAGCCTTCAGACTGGTGCTGTTGTGACCTTTGCCGGTACCACTGTGAGTCCGAATTCGATATATACGATTCGAACATGCGACTGATCTTTCAAGACTTTCGGAGATACTTACGATGATGATTTCGATCCCATTGTCGTCTCCGGCCACGATATCACCATTACTGGTGCCGAAGGCCACGTTATCGAGGGTAATGGTGCTGCTTACTGGGACGGAGAAGGTTCCAACGGTGGACAGGACAAGTCAGTTACCAATACCATACAGATTACGTTTTATCGCTAACTGATATGCCCAGGCCTGACCACTTCTTCGTCGTTAAGAAGACCTACAACTCCAAGATCACCAACCTGAACATCATGAACTGGCCCGTTCACTGCTTCAGCATCACTGGAAGCCAGAACGTCGTCTTCTCCGGTCTCGTTCTGAACAACACCGCAGGGGACGAGCCTAACTCTGCTAGCGGCAGCAAGGCTGCAGCCCACAACAGCGACGGATTCGATGTCTCTTCCAGTGACTACATTACCCTGGAGGATATCGAGGTTTACAACCAGGATGACTGTGTTGCAGTTACCAGTGGAACTCAGATTGTTGTTGACAACGTGTACTGCTCTGGTGGCCACGGTCTCAGCATTGGCTCCGTCGGTGGAAAGAGCAACAACACCGTTGATGGAGTTACTTTCAAGAACTCTCAGGTTATTAACAGCGAGAACGGTTGCCGCATCAAGAGCAATGCTGATACCACTGGCAGTGTAAGTTGATGACATGACATTCTTCCCCTTTTACTTCGCAACCAGGCACTGACAACGTAAACAGATCAGCAACATCGTCTACCAAAACATCACTGTCTCCGGCATCACCGACTACGGCATCGACGTCCAGCAAGACTACCTCAACGGCGGTGCCACTGGTGAACCCACAAACGGCGTCACCATCAGCGGCGTCACTTTCGACAACGTCAAGGGCACAGCGACCGACGATGCCTACGACTACTACATTCTTTGCGGCTCGGACAGCTGCTCTGACTTCACTTTCACTGATGTCTCTATTACTGGCGGCGGTGAGACCAGCAGCTGCAACTATCCTTCCAGCGGCTGCCCCTGAGACACTGGTCATTAATCCTTTTTGTTGAAATGTGGTCGTGGGGACTCGGGGCTTTCCATTCTATCTATGCTTCCTTACAATACAGATGAGACTACATTGTCGCTGTTGATCGGCGCTCTCAAAATTGAATCTGTTAAAAGTAATCTTCGGCTCAATGCTTCTTCTTAAATCCTTAAAATAATCTTAAGATAAAAATTTTGGACTTAATTTCCACTAGTCATACTTTGTCTTCCGCAAGTGGTACCCATCCACGTGACCGTGTCTCGAACGCGTCGCCGCAAGAAGGAAAGCCGAAAGAGCGACGTTGACTTCTACGAACGTCTCAACCTCACGCAATTTGATTTTGGGCAGCTAGTATCAGTCTCTTTTCCTCAGTCTTTAAGGACCGAGTCCCTCTCCTCGAGGCTATCGAACTGTGTGCAGGGGTGTGTCTGCATGATTACTTTCCACGAGCGGAGGCTGCCAGTTCACCGTTTTGCCGCTCGTGGTCAACCTTGCGCGTACTGGTCGATCGCCACTGGATCGGGCAGATGCTTCTGACACCCACAGGGCATAACCAGCATTTCTGCACCATCCCGAGGGCCCTCGGGGATATTTAGATCCCAACCGTCGGTCTAGCGTGCATCCTGATCAATCCACGTCGGACATTCCCGGTGTTGTCTCGATGCGGTGACTCGGCGCAACAAGTTACATCCTGTGTGTTTATTAGAGTCTCTGGCGCGGCCGCGTCAGTTCGCCATTGAGGATTGGTCGCGTATGTTATTGTCTTCGGTACTTGTTTCTAACGCAACATCATCCCGCCATAATATCCCTTTCGTTATGAATGACAGTCACGATGTCTTGCCGAGTCGTGGGGCGCCATATACGGAGGCCAGTACGACCACCGAGGGTGTGGCCGTGAACCCATCAACAGTACCAGCGCCCATGGAACCGCCTCGCGCAGATCACGTCCAGGTTCCACGATCTCCTCAGCTTTTATCCTTACGAGTAGATGGATTGAATGCCGGGATTCAGGACAAGAATAATCACACTGCTGCCTATGTCGAATCCTCCGAGCGTGGTAGTGACACCTCCGCGGATGGTCAACGACCAGAACCACACTCCGCGAGCACCTTCACAGACTCCATACCTAGCCTACCTGCCTCTTTATCGAACGACTATGAGCATACCACGGTGGACAGCTCTCATTCTTTCATCGAGAACTCGCAGTCATCACGAACAGAGCCGGGATCGCAAAATTCCCAGGACTCTTTGCATACACTGTCGGTCAATGGGAGTGGGGTAGATATACTTCATCCACTCAAGTCGGAACACAGCTGCAATGGCTCCCTCTCCCCCGTACGATCTCCCAGATATAGTACCTCACGATCGGGTATCGACACACAACTTGCTCCGAGACACAAGAGGACAGCAACGGGGGATATCAAGCCTATTTCGGCGCAGCTCATGACACCACATTCCCACGACGCAAATGGGGCATCGCGACGCCGTTCAAAAAGCACAGGTTCTCCCGCACATGGGAGCCGCATTGCACAGGTATATTCAGTTTTAAGGCGCGCTCGTAAGTGTTGTTTTAACGCATCGATAGTTGTCTGTTCATATTCGGACACGATTGTCCTATGCGGCAGCCAAGATAGAAAAGTCCCGACAGTCACAAACCAGTTCTCAGCTCGCACTACGTGGGCTAGAAAACCTATCTTCTTTAGACTCACAAACTACAAACGGTTCTGCATCTCCACACAACTCACACCTGGCATCTCATCCTCCACACAACTCAAATTCCTCGACTCCTCGACCCTTCCCATCACATCACCGCTCGCAGTCAGCAATTTCATCGCCTGGTAAACTTCTCGCTATACCTAAACTAGCCCCGCCTGTGGACATCATCTCTTCCAATGGAGAAACACGGCGACGGAGGCCGAACCCGAATGAGCCAATGCAAAAACCGGCTGGCCGCAGTCCATACGCCCATCATAAACGGCATCATTCAACACAGGAATTGTCCATGTACAGTTCAACGAATGGTTCACCACGGGTCGTAGGCCCAGGAACACCTTTAATCCCTCCAACTTCGCGTGCACCGACATCTTCTCAAGAAGGGTTCTACGGACCCAGAACCCAGTCTCAAAATACGTCGATGGAACAGGACGCGATTGAAACGCTCCTATTCATGTCCAGCCCGGAAAATTCAGGCTATCGATCGAGTCCAAGGCCATTACAGCCTCTGGCGACGCAACGAAGTCTGAACGAATCGATATATTCCAATCATAATCCAGTCCAATCCCATCTCAGCCAGGGCTCGCAAAGCAATGGCTCGCAGAATAGTGGGGATTCGAAGTACAAAACTCTCGGTGTAGGGTTGGAGGCCAATGCGGGTGATGAAATCGACCGCATTTTAGACCAGATGGAAAGTGACAGCGAGGATGATGCTCGGTATGCGTCGCATCGTCTTCATGTGAAAACGCAGTTTAGAGGGCATCAGGGCCGTCCAGGGTGATTTTGAGCTCATCATGCCGGATATTAGCTTGCATTTGTTTTGGGTTTGCTGGATCGCATTTGAGGGGTCATATTGCATGCATTTACTCATGCCTATCAGGCGCATTGCATTTGAATCAAGTATAAATGCTAATTGATGATGTTTAGACATGGCTTATTATAGCCATTGCATTCATGTGGTAATTGGAGGTTAGCAGAATGAAATTTTTGTCTATCCGTATGAAATTGTTCTATAAATTAGTCTAAGTCTATAAATGATAATTACCGAAATGCTGTGACCACGCCATGAATCTTTTCATTGTCATCATCACTCAATGCGCAAGTTCCTGTATTTGTGTCAGTATCTATAGTAGCCTCGTATTTCAGAATTGATGCACTCACACTCGCCATCTTGCTCCTCGCACGAATCTTGGGGCCGTAAAAGGCAAGTACCCATGGCACAAGGGTCAGAAGAGTGCCCTGTTTTCAAGAGTTAGCGACTGCTTAGTTCATCGACGAGGCACTAGACGTAACTTACAAGTCCACCCAGAAGACTCGATGCTCCAGGGTAACCCAGATTGGTAAACATAGCCGTCGTCACCAGCGGGAAAACACCACCGAGAAGATTCCGGCCTAGAGAACAGTTAGCAAAACCGTCGCCTAGACACCCGTTATGATCGAAGGGATGGACTTACAGCAAGACTGAGCCGCAATTGCAGAACTAGCATACCGATGGTACGTATCGGCCAGATAGTTGAAAGTAGCCAGGTAAATCGAAAAGATACCCATGGTCGCGCACCCGACGGCCATGGCAGGTACAATCCAAGGCACGGACGGGAAAGAAGTCCAGCCAAACCAGAAGAGACCGATAGGAAGGAGAATAGACTCGACACAGACGAAGTACAAGCGTCCTTCAGCGGATGAATTTGACCATCCGAAACGTGCGGCGATCTTCTCTTGCGAGATACTGATGATGGTGATGAGGATGACACCGACGCACATGGCTGGATATGATTAGTTAACGGATTGTTGAGGGTAAGTTATGTCGGGTGATTATGACATACCAGTGAATACAGCGCCAGTCTGCTCAACGTTGAAGCCGTGGTTGGTGCGGAAGACGAGCGGGACAGAGCTGAACTGGAGGTAGAGCGTAGCCCAGCTGAAAGACACCCAAAGGGAGAAGAAGAAGACGACGGGCTCGGTGACGAGCATATCTGTATTTTGGTATTGGTTAGAGCGACACTAAACAAATATAGCATTGGGGAGACTCACGGAAAGGCCTGTACAGCGAGATCTGGATCATCTTGGCCAGGGACGCCCGCTGCTCATCGCTCTTGACCTTCCACCGAATACGGCGAACACACTTTTCGTCAGAAGCGTCCTCACTCGACATGATGACACCGTAGTGACCAGCCTCCTCGAGCTTCTCATAGTAGCTGTTCACTTTCTGCGCCTTACGGCTAAGCAGGACACTGCCACGGGTCTCCTTGAAGAACACGAAGATGATAATGACGAAGACTGCCGAGACGATCGCATGGGAATAGTAGATCCATCGCCAGGTGGTGTGAGTGACGATTGCGCCAGCGAGCATAGGTGCCAGACCGGTACCGAAGAGGGCGGAGCCTGAGAAGAGAGCCATTGGAGTATTTCGGTCATGGGCGTGATAGATGTCACTGATGACGCCGCCGACCATGGTAGAGAAGGTAGCTGGATGATTGTTAGATATGTTCGCAATGTATACATGGTCTCAGCCCAGAGAATACGTACAGCCTCCAACACCCTGAAAGAAACGGGCGATTAACAGTCCTGCAAACGAGTGCGTTCCTCCACATGCGATAAGCATAGCTAGGAATAACATTGTTAATATAGATCCAACCTAAATTCTCTTTGATATCGAGACAACATACCCACGAACAAAATGCCACTTGCAACGAAGATTGGTCTGCGTCCATTAATTTCCGAGAAAGGCGCAAGAATCATCGGTGCCAGTGCGAAACCAATGCAAAAGACAGTGATGCTCAAGTTATACACAACAGAACTAATGCCCCATTCTTTACACAGCTCTTCCGATGCAGGGCTAACTTCACCCGCCGAATAACCCGCCAAAGCAGTAACCGCACAAGAAATATAAGTCATCATCGACTTGCGCCATTTCGGCCAAAGGAAAGGCGAAGTATACTCTTCCAAGCGGGGAGCCTCTGGCGGGGCCGACTGGCCGGGCCGGGGAGGTAAAGTGATGCATGGCGTCGGCAACGGCGTTTCCAGCTCAAGATAGAGATACTCAATCTCCTGGGGTTCGACCAGGGATTCTGGACTAGCCTCGCGTGTATTCATCGTGACGAATGGCCTAGGTTTGGAGAGATCGGTCGTGTTGGTGGCCATGTACTTGAGTATATATGGGTGGTACTTGGTACCGTGCTGGGGATTTGCTTTGACCTCTTTCTTTTCTGGGCGATTACTCCTCACGCTTGGGTGCGTTTTGGCTTTTATGAAAGACCAGGGCCTTCTCCGACCATTTAGGCGTGGGGCACAGAATGATTGAAAAAAAAATGGAGTTGGAGAAGGATGGCAAAGCGGCAGATCCACCCAAGTATGGGTCTAGATACTTGATAGAGGTGTCAAAGGATAGAGATGTATTGTGATGGTAATGTGGAATATATGCTAATGGAGAATGTTACATCCTGCATGAATAATGAGTCAGGTCTTCTATTATTCACGAGCAAAAAGGTCGGGTATTCGGTCTTTTACCCGGATTATCATCAAGCCAATGCCAATGCCGGTACGCCTTCCGAAGACAAGAACAGGAATGAGTAGAACTTCTCCAAAGTGATGAATTAGTCAGAATGGCCAATTTGGGGAAGAGATTCTCCACTTTTTCTAAAATCTCCAAATTGGAGACATATCGGGGCCATTTTCCAAATGGGAATGCCCAGGAGAACAGAGAGATCCGAGGTTGAATGAATCATAGACATAAACTAGGAAAGAAATCAGAGTCTAACTGAATAATGAAGATCTACTCCATGAGAAAAAAATTCCATTTCGACATGCCAATTATTGTTCGGACTCTGTGCCGGTCACGAGCCGGTCGGCATCACATACAACCTCGTTCGGAGTTGGAACTGCCCTCCCCGACTGCTCTCTCTACCTCCACGTCTGAGAGAGAGGGGAACGTCACCCCGTGGAAGCCATGCGCCATGAGCTATGAGCCATGAGCACCAAGCCCTATCACTGCCAGCGATGCCCCCGGGCTTTTGCCCGTCTCGAGCACCTGCAGCGTCATGACCGATCCCGTAAGAAACGTTCGCCCCACTGGCTATCAAGTTCGCCACCTAATCTCTATCAGATACCAAAGAGAAGCCCTATGTCTGTGTCCAATGCCCCAAGGCATTCACTCGCAAGTACGTTGATATGAACGAAACCCGTGGACTCTAAGCTCAGCAGATCCTAACATTTGATTAAGAGACCTTTTGGCCCGTCATGAACGGCTTTCTCATCAGCCTGGGGGTAGTCCCGCTAGTAATCAAACACAGACACCTTCCCCTGCTCGTACCACCATGGATGGGCTAGACACCCTGGCATCTGTCGTCGCTGATCATGCGCAAACGGATCGCCGAACGCTGTTGGGCACTAGTCCGCAATTCGTAGAGGGCCTGTCAGTGCATCGCACGCCAATGATGGGCACGCGACTTGCAAATCCCGAAACCCCATCAGCAGCGCCCCCAACTCCTCTCCCGGGTCCAGAGTTTGGATACTCCCTCGGTGGCTTCACAGGATCCTATGAGGGAAATGATTTCACGTCATTTCTGGATAGCGTACCTCTACCGAGTCACCCATTTTCACCGGCATTCCAGCCCCTGCCTCTCTTTCCGCCCTTGACGTATTCCCCAGTCACAGACTATGATCAGTCCTCGGAGAGAGGTCAACCCTCCGAAACCACATCGACTCCCTCTAGCTCTGTTCTACCACGGCATGGGGCTCAATTGCCATCTCTTCAGCCAGAGGGCTATCAAACTACCCCGAAGGCGCGACAGCCGACAGGATTCGTTCCAGTCACTGCGCAATGTCGGGATAAGGCTCTTGCATCATTGGCAGATTATGCCAATGTCGTACCAGATCCATCATTACCCTCAAGACATGCCTTGTCTCGCTGTTTGACAGGGTATCTGATGGGATTTCACGATCACTACCCGATCGTCCACAAGCCGACATTAGACGTTGATGCAATGTCACTACCACTGTTTCTAGCCATGGCAGCATTAGGTGCGAGGTATTCTCGGGAACCAGACACAAGCATGCGTCTCTATCAGATTGCTAAACCAGTCACACTCGAACGATTCCGGCGAGTGTTTCTTTGTGGTACAATGCCTTCTGTGAATGTTGCCAATGACCAAGACACACTGGAACTGCTGCAAGCCCTGCTAATGTTGATATCTGTTTCATCGTGGTTTATCAATAATCCACCCTATCATGAATCATTATCAATTAGAAGTCACATGGCTACACTCCTACGAAAAGATGGAATCAACCGTCTCCCCGAGTATGACGGGACTTGGACGAGTTGGATTCGTCGCGAGTGTGTCAAGCGCACAAAGTTAATTGTCTGCTGTTTCTTTAATATACACACCATCGTCTTTGATATTCCCCCTGTCATCCTCACCGAAGAGCTTTCCCTGGATCTGCCCTGCACGGAGAAGGAGTGGCAAGCTCCCCGGGCTGATATCTGGCAAGTCGCACGTACCCAAAGCCCCGGGGAACCGAATCTTCAGGATGCACTTTCTGCACTATTCACTCCCAACAGCGGCATGGAGCGTTTCTCCTCGCTCGGGGGGTATGTGCTCATTCACGCGTTACTGCAAGACATCTGGGTGATGACCAAAGCAGGCCGTCTCGCCCTCTCCCGCGGTTACCGCCAGGGCTCGTCAATCGCATCAACTCCGGAGCTGGTCTCCATTGAACAAGCTTTGGAACGGTGGTGCCAATGCTGGGAGCGCAACCAAGAATCATCTATTGACCCAATGAGCCCACACGGCCCGGTCTCTTTTACATCAGCCGCGCTCGTTCGGCTGGCATACATCCGGCTCAACGCAGACTGTGGGTCAGCTAGGCAACTGCAAACCTGGGACCCTGTCCAGATAGCCACAAGCCTTAAAGACAATCTCCGCGTCCAACGTGGGGATCGTCTGACCCGCGCAGCACTCCACTGCGCCCACGCCCTTTCCACCCCAGTCAAACTGGGCATTGGATTCGTCGCCCATTCGCAGGTGGCACTGTGGTCGAACCAGCACGCCCTATGCTCACTAGAATGCGCCGTATTACTGGCTAAATGGCTAGAGGCGGTGACGGTTCAAAACCCAAACCCCGGGCTGACGGAGCAGGAGACCCGCTTGCGGGACTTTGTGCTGGAGATGGTGATGGAGGTGCAGCATGGTGTCTCGCGCGAGTGGCTGCTGGCAACTAACACTAGACTCAGTGCGGCGGTGACCCGCCTCTGGGCGCGCCTTTTCACTGCTGACTATATTTGGGAGATGGTTAGCTTGATTGGGCGGAGTTTGAATAGTTATGCCGATTTGTTGGAGGAGCAGACGTAACCGGGGAATAGCTGGGATGAGTCCGGGAGCAGTATACAATGATAATAAACTAGTCATAATATGCATAGAGAAGCCACAATTACGCTCTAAGCAATTAAGAGATCCGTCAAAATAGGCACGTATACCTGAATATGACGTTCACACGGCTGTACCACTGCCGACCTCGGCAGCCATCACCCCATGCTTGCCGTATTCTCGTATATATGACTCACTTGTCCCCTGAATAACAAGCCAAGTACCAGAACTATTAACCCTTAATATCTCCCATCAGCCTTAATCTATCACCAAGACCTCATAATCTTATCTGATCCGTCCCACTTCCACATCCAAACTTTGATCCTCAGCCATGGCACCCCCAACCCCACTCGACGCATCCCCCCATCTTCTCGAGTTCCTCAAGACTCTGCACTCTCAGTCCCTCACCCAAGAGGCAACCGTGGACTGGTACTCGCTACCCGATCAACGCAGTGATGCCTTTGATGACCTCATGCGTGACAAGTTCATCGCCCTCGATCAGGACAAGTGCGAGCTGGTCTACCATATTCTGCGGAGTATCAATGCGAAGACGGTCGTCGAGGCTGGGACAAGCTTCGGTGTGAGTACTATTTACCTTGCTCTGGCGGTTGCGGAGAATACGAAGCGAAATGCTTCTGCGACGGCGAGAGGGAGGGTTATTGCGACGGAAAAGGAACCGTCTAAGGCTAGCGAGGCACTGAAGAACTGGGAGCGTGCTGGGGTCGAGATTGAGGGGATTATCGATTTGCGTATTGGCGATTTGCGGGAGACTTTGACGAGGGACCTGGGTGTTGTGGATTTCCTCTTGCTGGATAGTGAGTGCAACTGAGTTATTCCTGTTTAGGTTGAAGTTATTGACTAACATTCATCAGTCTGGGCACCGCTCGCTCTTCCAGCGCTGAAGCTTGTACAGCCATGTCTTCGTCCTGGAGCTGTTATTATGGCTGATAATACGGTCAAGGCTGCTGACAAGTATGAAGAGTTGTTTGCGTATGTGGATGCTCCCGGTAGTCTCTTCCGTCGAGTGACCCTTCCCTATGAAGGAGGCCTTGATATGATTATCTATCAGTAGGAGGTAATGGCATCCTATAAGTTTGTTATCAAGTAAATGAACTGGGCGTAAAACCAAGCGCAGACTTAACCGTGGTACTCGGTTAGATTTCCATGGATCCAGCCCGAGGCCCAATTTGATACTCATATCAATTATAAGTCTAGTACACAGACCATTCGAGGAATAGTCGCTAAAATTTGAGAATTTGATCGTGTATTATTTCCTTATTCATTTGAAGCTGTGTTCGAAGAGTTGTTTTGCACACCAAGTCAACAGGATGGCGCAAACCACGCAAATGCCCATAAGATTGACCCACCTTCCTCTTGAACTCCTACTCGAAATCCTGGAACACTTGGACAAAGTTTCCGATCGTGCATGTCTCGTTCTTTCCATTCATAAGCTAAAAGCTTACGTCGACGAAAGACCCGATCACCAACCCACTCGATACATCACTATCGAGTGGGAAGAATCCACCTATAGCGAGGAAGAAATGCACCTAGCTCAATACAACTGGTTCCCCAAAGGGGTTTTCAGCTTTGGAGCTCGATATAAAATCCTCGCGAGGCTATCCCACGATACCCCTCATAACATTCCGTGTTGGAATTGCCTAGAACTCCATCACTGGCAAGATATCGGCTATACAGGGCCACAATGGACCCGCCCTTGTCGACGGCAATTCAATTTGGACGATCCCCCGTTACACATTCCTTTGTTTGGGGATGTGGAAAAAAACTTCAGAAGGCATCATTTCCACTTCATGCACCTCCAATCAATGATGCAAAGATGCTACTACGGATATAGGTTTGGCATTCACCCCGAGTCGGTGTCTTTTATAGAAGTTCAGACTCTGCAGTCATTATGTGGCCAGATCAAGAAATCTGTTCTATCTTTGAAGGACGCATTCATTATTATCTGCCGAGTTTGCCTTCAGGCATCGTGACATCTTGCTTGCAATGGAGGGTACCCGTTAGACTCGTCAGTCTATAGCTGCAGCCAATGATTCTTGCTAGTCTCTTCCACAATGTCTTTTATTCAATTCATCCCAAATAAATGGATTAACAGGAGTTTAGTACTTCTTTCGGTCCCTCATTGTTGATGCAGTATGGCAAGCAGAAGCAGAGGATAGTATCCATCAACATCCAACCCCACAGCGGAGTTACAGCCGCTCTCCTCCATTTCCCCCATTTCCCCTCATCTGATACCAAATACCTACCTCTTCGTTTCCAATCAACCATATACACATCTACATACAATCGACCCCCTCAAAAATGACATCCAACTCCTTCCCAACAACCCCCCAAAACAAAGAAGGCCACTTCTCCCCCGGCGGCCCAACACCAACCTTCAACCCACCCCCAACCCCCTCCACCCAAAACTACCGCCTAAACCACCTCGCAATCCGAATCAAAGATCCCTCCCGCTCACTACACTTCTATGTCGACCTCCTCGGTATGCGCGTCATCTTCACCATGAACGCCGGGCCCTTCACAATCTACTACCTCGGCCACCCACCGCCCGGCGAGGATCTAGATGCGTGGGCTAAGAAAAAGAGTGAGATCCCTGTTATGACGCGGACGAGTGGATTACTGGAGCTTTATCATGTTCATGGTACGGAGGAGGTGTCGACGGGGAATGTCCCGCCTTATTTGGGGTTTGCGCATTTGGGATTTACGGTGCCAGATGTAAGGGCTGCGGTGGAGAGGTTGAGGGGGGATGGGGTGAGGATTTTGAAGGATTTGGGGGTTTGTGAGAGGGGGGATATTCCGTTGTCGGAGTGGGAAGAGGAAAGGGGGGTCGGGGAGGGTGAGATTCATGAGAATTATGCTTGGTTCTTTGAGAAGTTTGCTATGGTGGCGGATCCGGTGAGTTAGATGCTGGTTGCTGGTGATGAGTTGCTTGCTGACATATATTGAAACAGGACGGGTACTCGGTAGAGCTGATCCCTCAGGATATTTAACTTACGCAGATCCTCAGCTACGTAATCACCAGAACGGTAATGATATCCATGAAATAGATAGTAAGAAAAGGGCAACGGGGAATAGGCCATGCATCCCGCCCGAAGAAACAACATAGTTTCGAAATATGAGCCCTAGACATAACCCAGTCTGATAGTACATGAGGTTTGAAAATGAAATATCTTGACTAAGCACCCCAGCTGTCATCCTCAGCAACATCGTAGTCCATCTCACGTTGAGGCATGTTCCCCGGTGCTGTCGTGTGAGGTGCCGGCGTGGTGTCCATGGACATATCCTGATCATAATCACCAAGGCCGTTCTTCTCTATCGGCGTCGCAGTGGGCGTGATTGTGATGGGCGGGTTAGGCACCCAGGATTTCTGGACCTCACCTGCGGAGGGAGCGTTCCAACGGCTGAACATGAACTTCTCCGCTTGATAGCGCTCCTTGAAAGCCACAATCACCGAGCCAGCCTGGTCGGGGTTGGGTTCGACGGACTCGTACTCGCCAATGCCCTAGAAAGTGAAAAGTTAGCCATTTGTCTCTTTCCAGACATGAATAGAGAGAGAACCTACAATCAGGTGCTGCCGCAGGGCCTCGTCGTTATCAGAACCAATCTCGATGCCCGAGACAGCGACTCTCCTGGGCCGGTTATCCAATCGAAGCACACCTCCACCGCGACCACGAGGGGTGAAACTACCTCGGCCGCGATATCCACCACGAAATGAAGGATCATACCCTCCACGTCCACGGTATGTGCCACGGCCGCGGTAACCACCACGCCCACGGTACCCGCCACGAGCGGAGTCGGCGTTGGCAGGGTCAATGCCGAGAGTCTTTGCTTCCGCCTCGAGAGCGGCTAGCTGAGCACGCAGTTTCTTAGTCTCGTCGCTCACATTCTCATCAGAAGGAGCACCCATCTCGCCAGACTTGTCATTGGCATCATCTGTGCTAATAACCATCTCATCGGAGGCCCCGACACCGATACGCTGTAGCAGACGCGCCTTCTCTTCTTGGTGCTTCTTCAAAAGTTCATCGCGCTGACGTTCAAGGGCCTGTTTGGCCTCTTCAGCTTCTTGACGCTTCTTAGTCCTTTCTTCGTGTGCCCTTTGCGCTTCTGCCTGCTGTTTCTCAAACTCTTCTTGGTTGAACGCAGGAGTCTCGTGCTGCGAATCGCCATTCTTCTCGTCCCGCTTGGGCTTGTGCCAGTAAACCTTGACAAAGCGGTTATCGAAGATCACCTTCGGGCTTGACCAGGCTTGCTTGGCCTCGGCAAAAGTCTCGAACTTCACCAGCGCTAGCTTCTTGTAGGGCTGCAGGGTCACCTCAACAATATTGCCAAATTGCGAGAAGAACTCACGCACCGCCTCCTCGGACAGCTTATCCTCAGGAATTTGCTCGACCACAATCGTTGTGACGGATTGATCATCGTTAGGCCCTGCTGACGAGAAGTCGGACCGGCCGCCCCGTCCTCGTGCATTGGGCCCGCCGCGTCCACGGCCACGGCCGCGGTCACCACGGGAGGGACCACCATCTCCTCTATGCGCACCAGCCGATGCAGCCTTCGGGTCATACTCATTCTGGGACCCAGCCTCGCCATGCTGGTAAGGACATGTAGCACCTAGATAGCAAATACCCTGCGTATCGTAGAATGGGCAGCGCTGATTGATCGAGCCCATCTGACCAGCACCAGGCTGACCAGGAGCCCCGGGCATTCCAGGCATCCCAGGCATAGGCATGCCGGGCATCTGCGGGAAGCCCATACCCTGCATACCCTGCATCATCATGGCCGCTGCCATCGGGTCATTCGGGTCGAACTGAGGGAAGCCTTGCATCATAGGATTGGGGAAACCGCCATGCTGGCCCTGCGGATACTGCTGCGCGCCATGTCCCGACCAATCCCCACGGGCACCACCGCGGCCACGGCGTGGAGTCTTAAACGCACGGTTCTGCGGCACTCCGGTCCCTGCATCTTCCTCGCCCTGGAATCCCTCGTTGTAAGTCCGTTTTCGGTTGTAGAAATCGTTCCTGGGAGCGGCGGAGGCATCGAAGCCAGAGTGCGCCTGAGGGATGGGCTGGGCAGGCTGGAGCGGAGGAGCTGTCACTGGAGCAGCTGGCTTGGGGCCGAATTGGGTGAAAAGCTCGTCCACGAATGGTTGGGTATCTGTTTTGTGTCAGAGGGAAGAACAAGCAGAGTACAACAAAAAGTGTCAAGCGCACTTTCTCTCAGGAAATCTTCCAGGTTCTCGACAGAGGTCTGTTTGATTTCGTCATCTGGCGCATCCGACCTGATAAGCGCGAGCACGTAGTCTGCTAGGACATCGGAATCGGCGTCTGAACTGTGAAGCAAAGGAAATAAGGTTAGTCGTGTCTTCAAGTAGAGTAAATGTGACCCATCTGCGCGAGCTGGACTTACATGTCTTCAAGCCTCTTAACGACCCAAGTCTTCACATTCTCCGCCTCCTCGTCGCTGAAATGCATTGCGGCGGATGGAACTCAACAGCCTCTGGAAACCTGCTTGACAGGAGTTCTTTCGAGGATTGAAGCGCAGCGTCACTGGGCAGGAAGGGTGGGTGTACGACAAGCTAGAAAAGCGTCTTCGACACGGTCTGACGACGGTCACGATTAGGTGTGAAGAAATGCGGGAGACAATGATGGGATAAATCCGAGAAAGTAATAGACTGGCAACAAAGGATTAATCGACTAACCCCATTCTGAGAAGTGGATAGGAGCATGGATATTGAAAGCGTAGAGTTATTGACTGAAAGAACGCGAAGGCGCGCGATGCAGTCACGTGATCATCTAAGGTGCAAAATCGGAGCGCACGGACGTTGGAGACAATGCAGCTTGGCAGCTTGAAATCAAGCTCAAGGATCGAGTCATGACCATTGTGAAGTATAAAAATCGAACTAGTACTGTAGGCTGATTTACATTATCTACTCAGATGCCGATAGAAACTACGCAGCAGTGGACATTGCTTGTGCCTAGTATACCATATTGATTTTCATGCCCAAAAGGTAAAACTAGACACGGCAAAAACACATACAAGGAAACTCATCAGAACAAGAAAACAAAAAAAAAAAGAAAAGAGACAGCTATGGAGACAAAAGCAAACGGGCAGTTACCGAGGTGCCCGAGACATCCCTCGGCGCTCCGCACTTTCTAGAGACGACAGTGGCTGTGAAGCAAGCCCACATCGAAGTGGGGATGAAATTTTTAGTTGAACCGGGGAAGTTGTATTGCATTCATCAATTTCATAAAAAAAGATTCCACGCGTGACTGCCAGACGCATACTGGTCGGTCATGAGCATTTTTACAGCTTGTCGTAGTACTACGAGAAGATATATTAGTAAATGTGTTATGGTAATCGCAGAGGTAATAAATCTTAAAAGGGACACTCACGTTCTCGTAGCCGGGAACAGTGTCCTTGAGACCCTTGCGCTTGCGCATCTCCTGGACGACCTGACCGGGCTTGGTGGTGGCGTCGAGGGGAGAACCGCCGGGAAGGATAGCCCAGTGGTCGAAGACGGACTGGGGGAAGGCCTGACCACCGGTGGCGGAGCGCAGATCGGCGGGGAAACCGAAGGACTCGTTGACGGGGAGGTAAGCCTTGATGTTGAACAGAGGAGTACCAGGGCGCTGCTCCTCGGAGTAGACGTGACCACGACGGCGGGTAAGGACACCGTAGATACCACCCATGGCCTGCTCGGGGACCTGGATCTCGACGTTGAAGATGGGCTCGAGGAGACCGGGGTCGGCAAGCATGGCAGCGGCGTACAGGACACGACGAGCAGTGGGGATGAGCTGACCACCACCACGGTGGATAGCATCAGCGTGCAGGGTAACATCGAGGATGTTGAAGCGGACGGCGCGGAGGGGCTCCTCAGCGACGGGACCCTCACGGGTGGCCCACTGGAAACCGGAGACAACGGAATCCTTGATTTCGTTCAGGTACTGAACGGCCTTGGTCTGGTCAACCAGCAGGTTGGCACCGGTGGTGTCGGGACCGAAGCACCAAATCTTACGGGCATCGGTGACATCCCAGCCGTACTCGTCAGCAAGGACACGGGCACGGGCCTTGAAATCGTCACGGGGGCTGATCTTGCCGGCCTCGATGGCGAGAGCGACCTCCTCCTCAATGGGCTCAGCAGTCATGTAAAGACGGTTGTGCTTGTTGGGGGACTTGGACAGAGCGGTCATGCTGGACTTTCCGGTGACGGTCTCACGGTAGGAGACGACGGGGTCGGAAATGCGGAGGGGAACACCGGCGTGGTCCTCCTCAAGATCCTTCAAGCAAATCTCGAGGTGGAGCTCACCAGCACCGGCAACGACGTGCTCACCGGACTCGTTGATCATGGTCAGAACGCAAGGATCGGACTTGGACAGACGCTTGAGACCCTCGACAAGCTTGGGCAGATCCTGGGCGTTCTTGACCTCGACGGAGCGCTGCACAACGGGGGAGACGGAGAACTTCATGACCTTGAGGTTGTGGGCGGTCTCATCGGTGGTCAGGGTACCGGACTTGAGCAGGAACTGATCGATACCGACCAGACCGACAATGTTACCGGCGGGGACATCCTCAATGGGCTCGACGAAGCGACCCATCATGAGAATGGTACGCTGGATGGCCTTGATGTACAGGTCCTCCTTCTTGCCAGGGGTGTAGTTGGGGCCCTGGATGCGGACCTTGATACCGGACTTGACGGTACCGGCGTAGACACGACCGAAGGCATAGAAACGACCCTTGTCGGAGGTGGGAACCATCTTGGAGACGTACAGCATGAGGGGAGCAGTGGGGTCACAGTCACGGATACCAATGCAGGCCTTGTCGTCAGCGGGACCCTCGTACAGAGTCTCGGCACGGTACTTCTGGGCAGTGACGGGGGAAGGCAGGTGGATACAGATCATCTCGAGGAGAGCGTCAGCAGCGGGCAGGAACTTGCGCATGACGACCTTGAGGAGGGCCTTGCCCTGGAAGTCCTTCTCCTCAGTAGTGAGCTTGATCTCGAGCTTCTCGAGGAGAACGGAGAGCTCATCCTTCTTGTCGTTGTTGACAGCGGCGAAGACCTTGAAGATGGGGTCCAAGATGAACTGGTTGAAGGCACGCTCAAGGGGCTTGCCATCAGCATCACCAGTCTTGGTCCACTTCTTGGTCTTGGGGTTGAAGTAGTTGTCGCCCCACAGACGCTCAAGCATCTTCTTGCGGTCAACACCGAACTTCTTGGCGTACTTGACGGCGAACTGGCGGACAGTGAAGCACCAGCCGTGGAGACCGGAACCGAAAGCGATGGTACCGCGGTCGGGGTAGACCTGGACATCACCAAGAGCCTTGTCGAAGTAGGTGGAGATGATGACGTTGACGGACTCAATGGTACGGGAGAAGGACTGGTACAGATCCTCCTTGGAAACCTGGAGCTCAAGCAGGGCACGGTCGACCTTGTTGATGCAAAGAACGGGCTTGATACGCTCGGTCAGGGCCTGACGCAGGACAGTCTCGGTCTGGACACAGACACCGGAGACACAGTCGACGACGACCAGGGCACCGTCAGTGACACGGAGAGCGGCAGTGACCTCAGAAGAGAAATCAACGTGACCGGGGGAATCGATCAGGTTGATCAGGAACTCAGAACCGTCGACCTTCTGGGGGATCTCCTTAAGATCCTCGGGGTCGGGGAACTTGGCGTACAGGGAGATGGCAGTGGACTTGATGGTAATGCAACGGTCCTGCTCATCGGGACGGGTGTCCATGAAACGGGTCTCACCGGCCTTGGCGGCGGAGATAATACCGGCACGCTGGACAAGGGAGTCGGAGAGGGTGGACTTTCCGTGATCGACTGGAGGGAAGAAACTGGTCAGTCCCTATCGCACCCCCCAAAAAACTTTTATCAAATCAGGTTTATCAGGCAGGAATACATACCGTGAGCAATGACGGACATGTTACGGATGTTGGCCGGTCGGTCCATCAGAGACCGGATCTGGATGTGGTGTTAGTATATCATTTTCAGACTGGTGTGGTGCAAGCCGCTGGAGACGGGAGGAGGGGAAACCCCTCTCTCCTTGACCCTGCCGGCAGCCATCTGAGGGCAGGAATATCAGGATACGGACCTCCTCAATGGTGAAGCTGTACAGAACATATTGTTAGTTGCATGTTTTTGGTGGATTCGAGGATGACCTTCGATGAGGCAGTTCAACTTACTTAACCATCTTGACGGTTTTTTTTCCTCAGATAAGCCCTAGAGGCGGGGTTGAGTTTTTTTGTTGAAAGGGGAATAAAAGAAGCAAGAAAACACACAGATGATCTTTCACGGACAAGCCCGATGAAGATCAAAGATACTGAGTGTAAACTGCTCCAGGAGGAGAAAGAGGGATGGGGAGAGGGGAAAGAAGAGAGAGGGAGGAAAGGGTAGAAGAGGGGAGGGAAAAGTGGGAGAGAAAAAAAGAGACGAAAAAGTGGGGACTTTTTTCGCTCTGCCCCGCTCGCTGGGATTTTGTGTGCGTTTTTTTATCACCAGTCCATTCCCGTCCCAATACAGTTGCTTACCAGACTACTTTTAGTGCATTGGGTACACTAGCATCCTTACATACTGTATGATTACCAATCCCTCCTCTTCTCGTCTCCGACTGATTCTTTGCCTCCTCCCCATGTGTATCGCTCCGTAGAGAGTATGGGACGAAGGTATAAGAAGTTATAATTGCTAGATATAAAAAGGTTCGTGGATTTGAAATCACCACAAACTGCTTAGCTCTTGAGTCATTCCGACCATATCCGTGGTTCTCCGGAGAAAGCTTGCAGAGCTCATAGCAAGGAGCTGACCAGCTAACCAGCTTGCCACACACCCTATGGGCCGCATCTGATTCGAGTACGGAGGAGAGAAAACCTTCTTACTACACCACCACTACTAACTATGGGCAGTACTATGTTACTAGTACCACTACTACTGTATGTAAAACGTTTCATTTACCAGCCCCGCCTCTCACCGCCCGCGCGGGGCAAGTGGTGGATTAATAATACATACTAAGTTAACTAACGTTAACTGCCCGGCACCGCCTCTTGGGCATGGAACCACTTTATGATAATGATGATCGTAGTTGTGTTGGGTTGACCTCTCGCAATTAGGTGAATTTACCCATAACCTAATATGGATGATTGGGCAGAAGTAAATATTTTGAAAAAAAAAAAGGGAAAATTGTAATATTCAAAAGGCAATGTACAAGAGTCCTCCCAATGAATTATGACCCTGTGTCAACGAATGCTCCTATACACCTCAAAAATTCCAACTCCAAGAATGCATACTGCTTATGTACATACTCTCTCCTGACTCTCCATTTCTTCAAGTCCCCAGAATAGTCCCATACGCATCCTCGACCTCCTTTGCAATCTCCAACAGAGTCACGATGATGATCTGATGTGTGACATTGGGCAGCTTATCACGTTGCAACCCTATCCATTCCAGTGGCGGTGTTGCTTCACCCATGTCCCGCAGTTGTGGCGTTTCAATCACTGGCGGCTCCAATGCCGTGTAGGTGTACTTGCTTTGCGGCACATTCACCACTGCCGTAATCTTGTCCTGCTGCTCGGCACCCGCGCCACCTCCTTCTCCTTGGCCACCGCCGCTCCCGGGTCCACCGGTGATTCGGACTGCTGACGGGGGTAAAGGCTTGCCGAGTCGGGAGGCCAATGCCCGTGAATGGGTCTCCCACATATCGCGGATGAAGCTGATGCGCGAGTAGTTCCAACCCACGTCCACCTTGCCTTCGAATGTGCTGTGGAAGATGTAGTCAATCTGTCGCGTCCCGGGCACCTGCCAGGTTTCCATGCCGGCCACCAGTCGCGGCACCTTGAGAATGGTGCCACCCCGAGAGGCGGCGGCACGTTGGGCGATTTCTTCGACAGAAAGCTCGTCCAGGTGGGCGGACGGCGGGCGGCTGATTCCAGAGAGAGCTACGCGTAGTTGACCAAGGGTGAGACCGAGTGCGCTGTGAATCTTGTTGGATTCAAGTGACACACCAAATCGGGCTTGGGCATCGTAAGCCTCAACCTTGAAGATCTGATTGTCGAAGAACGAGCTGGGGAAGGCTCCGAGGTTGACATGCCGGATATTGACCACCACCCCGGTGTGAAGAGAGCCAGGTGCACGTTCCGGCTCCTCGTCTTTCTTGGCTAATTCCTTGCTGCGAGCCTCTATCCGGCCAGGGAGTGCGGTAGATTTGCGCCGCAGATACCGTTCCACCTCCCGCAAAGATGCCTCGTAGGCCGATTGCTTGTCTTGCACCAGACGCTGCCAAGCCTGGAATAGCGCCAGGGTCTGGGACGCAGTCAGAGATGTGCAGAACACCTGAACCTGATCACCCTCGAGGATACTGAAAAGTCGCTCGCCTCCTTTGCCGGGGGCATCGCGCACGTTATACATGAGGAAATCGAACTCGGCAACATGAGCGACTAAGAAAGGCTGGTAGTCAAACGACACCTTGGCCTGCAGATGCTGGAGAGCGATCGAGGCCTGGATAAGAGGCGTGTGGCCAGCCGTCTCCTCGGGCCATTTGATGGAAGTGCGGACCTTGAAGGAGTTTAATTCAACGATTCCAGCCATGCGGCCCTTACACTCAATACCAACAGAGTCGAAATTGATACACATGCTCTGTTCGCGATCCGATGTCTTGTTAGAGGAAACCCAGACATTATCAATCGCAAATTGGGCTTTGCCCAGGGTGGACCCTAAGTCGAGCGCAATCTCCAGCTTTTCGACAGCGATGGTAGTATTCCAAGGGAACGCGGATGTGGATGCCACCTGCTGGTATCGCTGCACGATGTAGGTTTGGGCTTCGGGCTGCTCTGGCTGTGGGGGTGGAGACTCGGCGCCGGGTTCATCATCGTCCGATGGAAGCCAGATTTCTCGAAACAGTAGAGAATCCTGGAGCTGCTTTGCATTCAAGGAGACTTTCATGGGGCTCACCCGCAGGATTGCTGACATTCCACTCATTCGGCCAAGATGTTTGCTATTCATGAGAGACAGAACCATTGACCGAACTTCGAAGCTTGCCGTAGACTCGTTGGAGTAAACATGCTTAACCGAAGCCTCAAGGCCGTTGAATGCCAGGGACAGAGCAAGGAAACGACCCTGCTCTGTCGACTGCACCGTATTGACAGTCACGTAAACACTCTCAAATTGCGCGGTAGCAGCTACCCTAGCGATCGGCTGGCAGCTCAAACTGAATTCTTGTTTACAAAACAGCAACCCAACATTCACCTTGCACCGTCCCAGGATGGAGTTCGGATCTGGAGCGCCAAAGGGAGTCTCTTGCATCAACTTCTGCGGTTGCAATTTTGCTGCCGCAGATGCCCGTCGTGGGTGGCCTTGCTGAGTTTGTTGTTGTTCACCCATAATCTCTTTCACCGTAGCGCTCATCTGCTTGACCAAGGGAACAAGAGTTGGGTACAGAACGTTGGTAGATGGATCAACCTTCAATTCCGCGTTCAGTACCGGATCGTCAGTGCCGTTGTCTTCGAATTGAACCTTCAGGGCCACGCCTGGTGCTCGGAGAGTAGCCGTCGTTGCCGAATCTCCTTGCACATATTGACCATACTTTGACTCCGAAAGTCTGCTGCCCTTCAACGTGGCAGTCAACAAAGTCTGAGAATCATGGCTCTGCTTCCCCTGTAGCGAGACAGTGGCACCAGCGAAATCCACGTCAACGAGAATCGATCGAAGGCGCCTATTACCAAATAGATTGCTGTCCTTGTCGGTGTTGTCCGGAGACGGTTTCGTGGCCCAAGCAGCCTTGCCCTCTCGTAAGGCCTCGCTGGCAGATCCAATGGAGTTCCGTATCATGTTAGCCGGAATGATGAATTCGGATGTTGCGCGGATATCAAGTGATTTTCCGGCCGCTTGGAAAGCAAGCCACAATTCTTTTCCATTGGAGTAGTAAGCGACATTGAAAACCAATTCCGGCATGAGAGCAGAATTGAGGGAACGTTTCCTTCTATCTGCGCGGAATGGTACCATCTGAAGCTGCATATTTTCAATCCGGAGCTTGGCCGCATTCTTCTTCTTGTTGGACAGCTCGACCTGCTTTATGGAGAATACTAAGTCCTCCGGCTGCCGGCCAGAAGACCCGCCGGACAACGCCGTCGACATATTCCATGCTGCTTGGATATCTCGGAACTCCAATGAGTAAAAGGCATTCAAGAAAGCCTGCGCAGGATCATTATCGTTCACATGAATCTCTGGCGCCTCGAGGGGAGTTCTCGGTCTGTTATGGTGCTGGTTGCGATGTCGAAGTCTGCGCAGGCGTTCGACTTCGTGAGATAGATCCAAAGTCTTGATGCGTTCTTGCGTGTAGATGGCAATGTCAACCACCAGTGCGGCCGTCTCAGCGAACAATTCGAGGTCCAACTTGTCGCTGGTAAGATGGTACGCTCGCATGACCTCTCCATTTTCTCGAACTGTGGACGTCCCTTGGAGCTTGATGGCAGCTGAGATGCCACCATAGGGCTTGCTCTTTGAATTTTCTCGCCGGCATAACTCAAAATTGATTTGAGAGGCATCAACACTAAACTCGGGATACTCCATGGCGTAGCCGCGGTCGAGACCATTCTGAAGACGCATCTGCATCATTCCGAGGCTGAAGATCATTTCTGCAGAATATTTGTTGCTGTTCAGACCGGGTGCAAGTGCGTGTATTTCAAACCCAGCAACTGTGAGTCGAGATTTGTACAGAATCACCGAATCCTGAGTGACTGGTTCGGGTTCGGGCTTCGAACTCTGTAGCGAAAGGGTATCTTCAAGATGAGACTGAAGCACGTTCACATTCTGCTTCAGGTCTGAAATGAGATGGGAAACATCTGGTCCGGTCAGAACACCGAGAAGGCTGCGTACAGAACTAGCTTCTACGCGGATCAGCTCAATTGTCATGTCAACTTCCACTTCTTTCCGCTCCGAGAAGACATTTGCAAGGATTCGGCCATTGGCAGGAGGCATTTCCAAAGTTGAAAGATTCCGGGATCGGTCGCCTTCGCCCGACGTGAAAATATGCAGATTCTTCTTATTATCGAAATCTACCTCGATCTTGGATGTTTCAGTGGGCAAGACGGACATTCGGGCGACTTCGCCGGATATCAGATAGGTCAAAGAAGGTAGAAGACTGAAGCTGAGCCGGTAATCTTCCAGGAACATGGCCACGTTAATCTTGTTATGCGTGGGTTTCTTAGATACCGTGGCTAGATGAGGCTGGGACTTTGGAAGTTTGACATTGTCCACCAGCCGTCGGATGTACCGAATTTCGTCTTCGATCAGACGATCAGCAGTGTGGGCCAGGCTGACCGGATCCTCCTTCATCTCATACCGAAGCTTCCGGCAAGAGCCCGCAACCTTCCATTCATGCTTGCGCTCGAGTTCATTCTCATCAGAGATCAGCGAGAGGTACAAGTATGGATCAGCGATCCTCGACAGCATCAGAGTTCTGGATTGGCTGAGAAGCTCTGACGAGCAAGCTTCCGCACTAAAAAGCAGGGCAAGGGCCTCGTTTCTTGTATTCTTCGTGCCCTGTGAGGTATGAATGACAGATCCACGAAGAGCTCTAGAGACTAGGGCCAACTTCAAGTTAATGGCGTCGAGTGTGACAGATCCGAAGTCCGTCCCGAAAATGATTTGAATTTCAGTTAGCTTCTGCTCTGCAGGGGCAGGAACAGATGGCTTAGGTGATGATTCCAACGTCATAGGTGACATAACCTTTATCACACCCTCGACAAGGTCCACGACCTCCCATCTCAAGCGGAGAGCAGCGGAAGAAGAGTACAATTGCAGCGTGGCGACCTTCTTGTGCTTGGTCTCGCCTCCTTGAGTCGCCTTGTGAGGAATAAGCGATGCGACAGCCGAGAGATCCTCAACGATGAAATCGCTTTCTCTTGGGCCTGGATCCAAGGAAACTCGAAGCGTTTTCACAGTACATGACAAAGACATGAAAGGCTCCGAATTCACAGCTTGTGGTTCGGGGCTTGACCAAATCTTGCGCATCACATAACTTTTATCGACATGAGCAAGGTCCCAGGCTCGCCATTGATCGAAACCTCTCAATACTGTTGACTTGGCATCAGGTGGTAAAGAAAACTTATCGCCTTGACATTTTCTGTCTAGCTCACGCTGGCGATTCACTGGCAAATTCTGGTAGATGTTGCGAATGCGAGAAATGATCTTCCATGAATCATGCTGACGCAGGTGACTGGAAGCGATACGCAGGACATTCGACATGCGTGTCAGGAAATTGGGATCCGGGATATCGCCAGCCGACTTTGTCAAGAAGTGAATGAGGAACCGCATACGTTGTTTGCTGGAAACCGAATTGTGTTGGAAAGCCGATGCCACGGAGTCAAACATGGTTATAGCTCGACGAACAAGGAAAGCCAAGCGTTCGACAGACTTTGCGGATGTGACAATATTGAAATGTCGCATCTGAAGATGAGACCGAATATTCGGCTCGGATACAAGCCAGAAATTCATATCGCCCAGGCTACAATTAAACCTGGCCTTTTCCTCGAATGAATCAGTTCGGCTACCCTCAACTGAAACCCAAAAACGATCGGCCGCTGCGTGGATGGTAATGCCCTGCTTGACGCCTTCCAAAAGATCTCCTTTGTGTCGCTCGACTCGTTTTTGAAACTCGGCCCGAAGGTTGTCCACTGAGATTGTGTACTCATCACGAAACTCAACCTGTCTCTGGTCTGGACAACCCGATACATCAACGAGGCGCAACTGAATTGTCGGAACTCGAACGGCGATAGCTGTTGACTTCTTTGGCTGGGACATCGCCTTGTCATATCCAACAATATCGGAAATCACATCTTTCTGGAGGGAATCAATGATTTGGATTGGACGTTTCGGTTCCATTCCATCCATCAACAAAGCCACGCTGTGAATAAATTTAGGGGTGCAGAAACCTCTAATGCCCAGGGGAAGATTGACAGCAAGATTGGTATACGTGGTTTGGTCATCCTCAAATGTCAGAAACATTGATTTGCTGTTTGCCCCGGTGTCAGTATCCCTGTCGCGCGTGTTCTCCCCGTTGATCGACGATGGTAGCTCTGTTCTATCCAAGGAAAGCTTCCAATAGGAAAAATGAGGTATGATCCAAGGATTGGCATCTCGAATAGCCGTTGGGGAATATGGACTGTCCTTAGCCTTGCTCAATTGCACAGTGGACCAGCTTGCATCCCGAGGAGTTGGAACGGGTCTTCCTTTCGGCTCGGATCTAGATGAAGATCGAGACAGGTTCTTAGGGGAAGATTTGAGACTTCGGAGGCTTGATCTCTCGGAATGTACCAAGAAGCTCCTGGAACTTGCGGCTGCATGTGTTCCCGAGAACCCGCGATAAGAGGCAGTCGCCGATCTATGTCTTCCGTTTATGGGCTCGGGCATAGATGGTATTGGCATCGTAGGGGGCGAGATCGTATCATCCCCGTGCGGAAGTGATGAGGTTGGAGCGATTTCTTCCCAATCAAACAGAAGCCATTGAGCCCGGTGGGTTCGCTGATCTTGAACCTTGATGTGTTCTTGTTGCAAGCGTCGGCTCTCCGCAATATCTCGCCTACGAAGGGCCATCTTAAGCCCAATTGCCATTTCAATTAGACCCAGCGGAGATATTTTTTTGTCGGTCATCCGAAGAGACAGGGGGACCGATTGACGATCCACCGCAGCAAGGGTAATGCCGGGGGCCGTCAAGCTCAATCGTTTCGAAAATTTCGAGTTTGCCCAATCATTGAATCTGATTGACAAGGGTTGAGAATCTAGAATAACAGCGATTTCGTCAAGAAGAACAGAGATGTGAATCGAGGCAATGTTGGCTCTCAGAAAGGTGACATCAAAGAGGATCGGCGGGAAAAGTGGGTGTAGCGCATTCTCTTCATTGTCAAATGAAAAGTCGAAGCTTTCAAGACCAGACGCCAGGCACGCAAGGAACTCTGTAGAGCATTCGCCCAAAACTTTACCAACATCAAAGTCCCAGTTGCAAACATAAGTCGGCTCCGCGGGAGGCAGTCCAAAAAGACGATGACCATAAGCTGAAATGCCATCGATGAACAGCTGGGTGCTAGATATGACAGAGGAGCCATCAGGCCGAGGAGATTGCAAATCCAGCTTAAGCGGACTGATTGAAAGTTGCATGTCCATGTAGTAGTTCGTGAACCTCAGGTCAACCTCGAGCGATGCAGCACAGATGCGAGAGCATCTTGAATTGTCATAAATGCTTTCAGGCAGCAAAGCACATGGACGATCAACGGTGACATGGACCAAAACGTCCATATCGTTCGACTTCCTGTTAGGGTTGATTCCCGTAGGATTTGAAGGCTGCGCGTCGGCATAGGCAAGTTCTTGATATTCCTCCAGGGTCTTGAAGTGCATCTCGTCGCCGAAATAGTTCTCTCGAACTGCCATGAAGCTCTTTATTAAGAAGCCATAGAGATAAAGCCGTGGTGACACACCGTCAATGTTCAGAGCCAATGTATCTATCAGCTCTGGTGACGTGGCGGAGAAATAGTTGTAGGATCCGTCGATGAAAAGGCTTTCCAGTGTTGCCATAGACTTCCCAGGCAGGAAAGCGTGTAGTGTGTCCCACAGAGGGATGAGGTAATCCACGCCTCCATCCTCGAGATTGACCTTGAATTCGACTGCATTTTGCTCTGGCTGGTATTTGTTCAGAGGTATCATGACGTTTGACGTCAAATTCCTGCCCTTGATGACAATGAATCGATTGTCCTCCAAATCGGAAGGGTTGCTGATGATGTTACGGTCGTTCACATTGATAAAAAGCTGAAGGTTTGAGAAAGTAAGATCAATGTTGTAGATGAAAGGCACGAACGTATGGTAATCAGACGGAGGCCCCGATGCCCAATCACTGACGAGATCTGTCAAAAGGAAGATGTGATCCCGCAGGAGGAATAACTCCATATCTTGGCTCTTGACGTTAAACTGCCACGATCGGAGATTGTTCCAAATGAGAGGGTTGGACAAGTCACAAGTTACCAGATGACGAGGACACTGCCATAGCAGCCCATGATTCACACTGGATGACATTTTCGACTCTCGAAGATCCAGTGAGAGCTCGTTGCAAAACCCGACGCTCGAAGCAACCATATCCATAGTATAATTGACGGTAGAATCAGGGCCAACACGGAGAGAAAGCCATCCAAAAGGGCGAATGTCAGGGCCAATGTGTCCCTTCTCGCCCTCTTTTGGCCGGCGCTTCCTACTCTCGGCTTGCTTTTTGGCCTTTGAGGCTCCTCGAATGGCGTCTGCTCGGCCCTTCCAAATCCAATCCTTGGACGGCTCTCGGGTCGGAATGCGGAGAGTGAGCTCCTTATTGATTTCCACTCGCAACCTGAAGACCGTGCTTTGTCGCAAGACCCCCGGTGCCAAGTGTTCAGCAGGTTCAGAGCTTCGATAAAAATTCGGAAAGAAGACATTTTGTAAGCCGACGCGTTCCCTATCCGCCCAAGGTCCATAGTTGATGTCACCTCCGTCAATCTTTAGATCAATCCCCCATTCCGGCGGAAGAGCCTGGTTGATATTTGTGTTCGTATGCTGGTCTGAGTGCGCAAGTCTCGGGACATCAGGGCCAACGCGCCCCGGGATATCCCAGAAATAGACCAAATGCAAGCGAGGACTGTCGAGGATCGTGGAGAATCGACCATACTCAACCGAGTTCCATTGTTCGTGATCATCGTCATTCTCTTCGTCCAGATATCGAGAAAGGCCGACCCATCGAACGTCTGGAAACTCAGCCTGACTTCGTGGCATATTTTCATTTTGCCTGATGCTGGCGTGGAATGACTCAACGGACGTCTGGAAATACGGGACCAGCTCACGGACGCTGTGCCATATCTTGCGTTTCTGCAACTTGTAGCTGAAAGGATACCGCTTACGCTCTGAAGATGAAGTTTCCTCTTTGACCGCACCAAGGATCTTTGCAGTCGTGATTTGGCTTTGTTTGAAATCTGGATTTGGTCGCATTTGGATTACCGGGTGGTCGAACTTGAAGGAAAAGAGTTGCCGATATAGGTCCAGTGGACCTGCATTGCATGCGGCGATTGTACCCTCTGCACTGTCAAATGTTGTGGTGAGAACAGATCGTGTGTTTTCATTACCCATAACAATGGCTCCTTTTCTGCAATCCAGTTTGACTGGGAGCAGCTGCAGCAGATTAGACACGGGCTCGGACAGTTCCGAGTCGCGAATCTCTGTCTTCCGAGGGTTCAGATTCTGCCCTTCACCCATGCTGTGCTCGGACAGGTTGTCGGATGTCGATTTCGCTGCATCCCCAGGCCTGATACTTGATGTACTATCGGTACCCCGGGGCTCCGATTGAGCCTCTGGTGGAGACAGAAAGGAACCGTCGTCTTCGCGTAAATTACCGTCTTTGTAGCCAAAGCCTGCGAGGATACTGTCATATGCTGGGGTCCGGTTGTATATGAACCACTCAAGGCCATAGGCTGTGATTGAGATCCGACATGGTAGCTCAATCGTTTTCTTGACACCGCCTTGTTCTCCAATTCTCTCGTCCGAAGGGTCACCAGGAAAGGCTTCGCTCAGGTCGTTTTCGGGGGCATTTGAACCGTTGCTCTTGTGTTCCGCATGTGAAAGGTCCGTCCGCTCGACTGTGCGCTTCCAATACCGCCATGTTATGAATCCTCCGTGGACGAAGATTGTCTCGTTCACTCCATGATACCGAATTCCCTTGAAAAATATTCTGCCTCCCAATAGGGATATTTGCAGCGCCTTGATATCGACATAAACGCGGTAGTAGTGCCAGGTGTAAGCTCGGATCGCATAGGAAAGGAGGGTCGCAAACAGCCGGTTGAAGTAGAAAAGAAAAAACAGAGCACTGTTCCTTTTATTAGCAACGATCAATGGCGGCTGATGTTGAAGGCACTTGCAGAATTAAGGATACTATGAGCTCCAGGAGAAAAAACCTAGGGATATTAGCTTTATGAGCTTTCACAAACAATCGCAGTACCGACGAACCAATTGAAGCTTGGATCGGGCGTCAGGTAGGAGGCCGTCAAGCTGGTGCTGGCCATTTCTCCAAGAAATCGCCAAACGGCGTGAGCATGGTCTCAGCGAGACAGAGCGACTCGCGATCGACGAGTCCAAGGTGCACGCGCGATCATTCAGAGGGGTTTCTGGTTTGGAGGCAGTCGCGAAATGCGGGTGCGGAAAGTGTCAGGCGGTGTCACGAGAAGATCGTCATCGGGGCCACGCCTCCTCCCTACAACTTTTCCAAGCTTGTCGACAAGCTCCCCCCTCACGTTCAGGCGGTCATGTTTTACGCCTCTTCTGATGGTACGAAATGAGTTGACGATATAAATACACTGACAGAACGCGGTCTCTCTTCCCCTATCCGCGCTCGTCATTCGCGACATGTTCTCCGCAGCTATGGCAGCACCCGTCGGCGGAGGTACAGGCTCAAGCCTGGCGCGAGCAATCATCATCACCTCCGGTGTCTCGGCCCTCGTCTCTTCGCTATTGTCCTTTGTGTGAGTTCTCGAGCTTATCCCACTTAGGTTTTCCCCTGGATCCTGCGACATGGCGGTCATCATTGCTTCATGGCTTAATGAGCTAACAGATTACTTGGATTGATAGGTCGATATGGTTTCAACTGTATGAGCCTCGTTTGCGCCTCCAACATTCTTTGCAGCAGCTGATTGAGCTTTGTCTAGCAAAAACTACCGGAAACCACTTCTCCAGCGATACGTTGTGCGCATACTGTTGATGTTAGTATTGGGTGGCAGCCTAGAGCCCTCAGGGGTCAAGGAAAAGAACAAAGCTGATCAAGTGCAGGGTGCCAATTTATGCAGCATCATCATGGACTGGTATTGTATCACTGAAGGCAGCTCAGTTCCTCGATCCTGTCCGTGATATTTACGAGGTATGCGACGCGCAATGACTAGCTTCTTAGGTCGGCTTGCGCTAACATGGCGGGAACTTTGGCTAGGCCTTCACGATCTACACATTTTTCCAGCTTTTAATCAACTTCCTCGGAGGAGAGCGAGCCTTGATCATCATGGCACATGGTCGTCCACCGGTTTCGCATGCCTGGCCGCTTAATCACGTCCTTCCAAAGCTCGACATATCCGACCCACACACGTTCCTTGCCGTAAAGCGCGGCATCCTTCAGTATGCCTGGCTGAAACCCATTCTGGCCATTGCTTCTATTGTGATGAAGGCGACGGGCACATATGAGGAGGGATATCTGAGTCTGTCATCGGGCTATCTGTGGACCGGTATTGTGTACAACCTCAGCGTCACCGTCAGTTTATACTCCCTGGCTATGTTCTGGGTGTGTCTGCATAATGACCTCACGCCATTCCGCCCGGTTCCTAAGTTCCTCTGCGTCAAACTCATCATTTTCGCATCATACTGGCAAGGATTCTTCTTGTCAATCCTGCAGTGGTTAGGAGCTCTCGGCAACGTCGCAGGATACACCCCCGACAATCTTGCTGCGGCAATTCAGGATGCTCTCATCTGCTATGAAATGCCCATCTTTGCCGCCTCCCACTGGTATGCGTTCTCGTGGCATGACTATGCCGATCCTACCATCTCGGCTGCTCGGCTGCCCGTCAAGTATGCAGTTCGTGATGCGTTCGGGCCTCTTGATCTGATAGAAGACACGAAGATGACCCTTCGTGGTGAGAACTACGAGTATCGTCTCTTTGACTCTGGCGACAACATCATCGCGCATGAGGAGTCTCATTCGCGAGTCAAGCGTGTCATGGACGGTATGAGATACGAGCGAGGTGGCAAGGCAAAGTATTGGATTCCGAAGCCCGGAGAGGCCAGTAAAGCGGTCGAAGCCAACATTCGCACGCCACTCTTAACTGGTGGGGACAGCAGTACCCGCAGTCGAAGTGATAGAGGAAGTCGCAGTTCCACCGAGCGATACCGGTCTTATAGTGAGATCGAAGTCACATTGGACGACGAAGATGAACAAATTTTCAACCAGGCTCGAGCTCTGGAGTTTGGAGACTGGAATGTACGTTGGGATGGGCTCACCTTTTGGGAGCGCTGTTTTCCATCTATTTTCCCCTTTCGAAGGCTACTCGCTTACACTTCACAGTATCCGGTCATTACGGCCAATGAAGTTCCTCGGGACCAACGACTCCCTACGCACAGGAGCTACCAAAGCTCAAGGACCGGAGGCGATGTGAAAAAGTCCCGTTCACACCGCAAACGCCTAGCGTCAGGCAGCGAAGGCCGGCGAGATCAAAATAATGCCAGCTCTAGAAAGTCCAGCAAGAGCTCCGGCCCGCCTCGTCCCTTGCAGCGCAACGCCAGCTCCACGAGCTCCCACCATTCGCATCGCAGCCAGCTAGTTGATCTCGTGGTGGAAGACCACGAAGCTGAGGAAGAAGACCGCGACCAGGCCCAGCGAGAGCTTGGATCTGCCTGGGCGGGAGATGAAACCCGACGATTCTTGTACGTTTGAATGACTATTGGCCAGAAGGAATCGTTTCATTGACCCTTTTCTTATTTTCCAGGAGGCCATCGGGACAGCCAATCGAGGAAGAGGCTGAACCCGAAGCTCCGATCAGGGAGGTTCCAGCCGAGCCTGTTCACCAGGCGGAAGAGGAAGAAGACCGGTCGCCTTCACGGTGGGCCTACGGTGCATTGGAGGAGGAGGATAATGTATGGGGCAAATAGCGTTCTCTAGTGTACTTTTTTTCATGATTGAGATACGATAAGCATGCCCCTCATTCCGGATATGATTATCGTTGTGTACAGTAGTTCTGGCTTGCGGGTTCAAGGTTGACGGAATATACAAAGTGTACAAGAACGAGAACGTGGTGCCAGCTATTCGTCGCCAGCTTGTAACTCTCGAAACCCTACATGAAACGAAACGAAATCATAGAGTCCCTAGAAGATGATTCGAATAATCACTGTCCCCTGAAATCAAAACACGAGGGCCGAGAGCCAGCGCATAGGGCCGGTGTTCCTTTACGCGCCCAACTTTCCCCCTCCCGCGAGTTTAGCTATACTTAGCAAAGCTCGGTGATAAGCAAAAGATGTGACAACTCCACAGGCGGCCGACGAATGAGACGTGCGAACGGACTCCGCTGGGTTCATCACCCCCAGCGATCGCGTGTGCTGGTCAGCCGTCGCGAGGATGAATTGCTCTCCTGAGTATAGCTCCGCATCCTTAGCGGCCGCCCATCTTACTCCTTGGATGGTCCCTGGACGAGTCACGAAGCCTGTTCTGCACGGCTGGGCAGCAGGATCCTCATCTGTGGGTGGTGGGGTCCATGTCATCCTGGCTGTTCTCGAACGACGCTTTTATGATCACGACTGGAGGATTAAGAAGTTTGCTCTTCTTCCCTTCCTTTCTTCGTCTTTTTTCCTATTGTATTCCACCTTCCGGGAAGGCGATGGATTAATCATTCAAAGCGCTGGCCGCCATGACGCTGGCTTTTGATCAAGCGAGCTCCCTACTCACTGGCTGGGTACGGTCATGCTGGGAGTGTTTGTCAGGCGTGGAGCCTCAAGGTCAACAGGGCCAGCGACCGGAGGGAAGAGGTATGCAATCGGTCTTGACTATCAAACAATACCATAGCGAGAACTCCAAACTAATGACTACCCCGCTTGATCTGTAGGAGTTGAGCGAGAGATGCAGGTATGCCACAACCAACCTCATCTCGTCCCTCCGATGAAATTGGTGGTGTACGATGACCTTCCCAGTCCGGGTATCCATCATCAGTCTCGCAACTCGCTCTCATCGTGGCTTGGAGAAGGCCGGCACCTTGCATCAAGAGCATCTGGACGAGCAAGTATCTCCTGGAAGAGACAAACAGCGACTCCATTAAAGATTAGCGCCCCGTCAGACTTTCGTCGAGTGCAATCATTTCAACTCGATCCATCGCCGACAAAATTTCAACCTATCCAACTCAGCATTCACCGATCTAGCAATCGGTTGTCAGATCTTCCTTCCTTTGAATCCTTCGATGTGGACGAGAATAGCCAACGCATGACGCTGGCAGTCCCACCACGTGCTCTTCCTCCGACTGGAATTCAATCCAGACGGTGCCAATCCAGCGAGGCTCGATTTTCTGTGTCTCGCAAGCCGGTCGGCTCTGTAAATCGCCGGTCGCTTGCCAATCTGGAAGAACCTCTTGAACCGCCTCGGCCGGTTCGTATTGCTAGTGCTCTGATCCCACATTTCTGTACCGTCATTCCAGTCGAGCCTCTTCTATCAGAAGAACCGATGCCCACGCCAACTTTCGTACCCACTATTCCTGCTGTTCCCACCATTCCTACGCATATCAGATCAAGGTCTGAGGAAAGCAACATCACCCTAGGCACCGAGCTGAGTTCCCACGTCAGCAACAAAGTGTCGAGAGAAAATGTCGCTCAAACTCCCGCAGCGTCGAGACACGGCGATGAATCCACAGACGGTCCATCTTTCAAGAACTCACCGTCATCAGCCAGCTCGCGTACCACGCCATCTCGGATCTCCTCTTTGCATCATCCTTCTACTGCCGAGAACCGCAAGACTATCGCCTCGGTACCCCTTCCCAGTCGTGTGACACAGTGGTTTTTCCCCAACAAGCCATCGGCACCGCAGCAAGTCTCGCTTGCCGGCGAGAATCGGTTTGATTGGGAGAGAACCCGCACTTTGAGCGGCACCACCGTCAACTCAACTATCACGACTATCACGGGTGGTGCGATGGCCCGGCGTCATAATGCTTCGATCTCTAGCACGTTCACCAACGGGACCACTCCCCGAACCTCTTTGCAAGGTCCATCTTCGACTGCAGAGAAGGATCTTGAAGCTGGCTACGGTCATCCGACTATTTTCGAGGGCCGAACACAGCATTTCCCTTACTCTACCTCTCTGTCTAGTAACATACCTCAATATCGAGGCTCTGCTATTGGTGTGGCCTTCTAGTTAATTCTGTTGATCCACGTGTTTCGGTGGTCATTCGAAATTTCTTGTTTCGTTTTACTCTGGTTGTTTATATTTGGAATACCCCTTATCGGATGGTTTCTTGTGTTTCTCGTTCTCTGTTTGATTTGAGTGTTGGCCAGGAGGTAATAATAAGCCAACCTATGGGTGGCATTTCGAGTGTGGAGTTTAATTGAAGAATGGAAAGAAGGACAATTCTCACTTCCTGCTTTCTAAGAAATGAATACTGGGTAATTTCAAGAGAAGCCTTTATGTCTAGGTGTAATAGATAAGGGGGTTTCCCCAGGGCTATGTGTGTTGCCGCCTCGAAGCAGTTTGCTACATAGGTTCTTCCTAATGGGTGTGGTGTGGTTGTCAGTGGCCACGCCTGGATCAAGAATGCCTACTCATTTCCCATTACCCATAATCAGCGACGGAGCCGAGACGACTATTGAGTCTGGCGGGCAAATCAGTGTGTGTAGAAATGCTCTATTTACAGATGCGGAGCTAGATGCAGCATCTGTACCTCAAGATTGCTTCATCCGGTCGGTTTTGACACGAATCACTATGCCACACTTCAAATTAATTGCGCCCGGATTAGAGGTCCCACACGACAAGGAGGCATTTGCAAGGCAAGAGAACTTACCTTACGAAGAGGGAACTATACCGGCAGTCTTGTTGTTTATGGCATCCGACAGAACTGTGGACTTCAATCGTGAATTACGATCTGTGTTCACCCGAGACAACCATCGTCCTATTAATGACGGTACACCTACATTTCCCGGACTATATAGCGAGGCTGTCACTCGGAGCTGGGACGACATGGAGGAGGCAGGATTCCGCCTTTTACTTCCATTTCCACTTCAACCTGATCCTCGTAATCAGGCTGATGGTGCGCGGATGAGTGATGGTACATTGATCACCAAAGGATCATTTACGGAATTATTTCAGCATGGCAGGATCCATCCATTGGGAGGAAGATGGCGGGCATAAAGAATGGAGAGGCTATTCAACCTATGGACTGAGTTAATCGAGGATGGTGTGTGGACAGTGGGCGAAGACGGCGTTGAGGGAGGAATCGAAACGTTTAAAGATGCGGATAATGGATCCTGGGCATACTATTGCATTGCACCGAACTGGTGAGAAATGTATTGGCAACTGAAGGTTTCGCAGATTGGACTACGCGCTGCGCGCCATGTGTAGCAGAACGAATGTCGAGTACAGAATTCAGTGGAAGAATTGCTAATTCTTGACCCTTGTGAGGGAACATCTGACTCAGTTCAAGCTCTTGTTCTATTGCACTGCCTTGCATGCCCCCATTCCATGGTAAAATGTTCTCAGCTGATTCTATTATACACCATTTGCTTCTGTAGGTATGCCGTGGGATGATTGTACAAGTCTTCTACCTCAATCTGAATTCCTCTTCGTTCCCAAAATTCTTTGAGGGCATAGGCTGCCAATGGGCTGCCCCACAGCTCGTAAAATGGTACAGACTTGTCTTCAAATGTTGTCTTCGTAGATGAGCTTTCCAGAAGACATTCAACCCAGGCGTCAGCCACAAGCTTCTCAGCCTTCTCATACCGGTCATGGTGAAGCTCCTCAAAATTCTCAAATGCCGCTGTCTGAGACGTGATCTTGGTCTGACTATCGATGGGAGTGCGGTATGTCGCGCAGGGCCTGGAAATGTTGATTGAGGTAGGGCCGCCCAAATTTTGTATTGTAGACACCAGACTTGTCAGAACTGCGGATGCGAATGAATTTGAGACCAGAGACGTATTGTAGTTGATTTCAACCCAGATTCCGTCGCCATGAGGCCGAGAGTATACAGCCAGGTCAGCCCGATCGGATTGAGATCGGAGCTCGCTAACTTGGATATGACCATCATTTAGCGGGAAGCTTCCGATATCTTGATCCAAATTCTGGTAGAGGAGAATTGAGCTAAGGCGTTCCCACGATCGCCAATCCGTGCAAAGATCGACAATCCGCTGATACCCGAACATCTCATGGGGGATGGACTCAATAGCCTGTTGCTGCACTTTGTTCACAAGGTCCAAAGGCGAGAGATGGGTTTGCAGATTTACTCTGACTGGGATAGTGTCCATGCAGGATCCCATCGCGTTTTCACCACCTGGGGCATTACGACCCCAAGTTGTGACCCCGAAAACAACATCTGAATTACCAGATATCTGGGATAAAACCATGGCCCAGGCGGCTTTGATAACAGTGGCGATGGTGATACCTGAAAACTGTGACTTGAAACTAGGAATGATTTCCTTGACTGCACCATCAAGCACATGGGAATATGACGGAGAAGAATGTTTGATGATTCTTGTCATCGAGGATCCACGAAGGAGATCAATCCAGTACTTTTGCGAGCTCTCGTCAGAATGGAGTTTTATGCTGTGAAGATATTCAGGAAGACTTGAGGTGGCACCAAGCTCCAAAGCATCGCAGGCTGCGCAGAAATTTTGGATGAAGCTGATCAGCGTAGTCCCGTCGTACAAGGCTTGATTCAATCTCAACACCAGCCGATGGCATCGTTTTCGTTCTTGAAGAGCCCAAATATTTAGAACTGAGTTCTCCAAATGGACAGGACGTCTTTTGTCTTCTTGAATGGCCTCTTCAGTCACCTGGTTGATTGTGTCGCCAAGGCCAATTTCCAATGCCTCGAGTTCCGGCACTTTCTTCAAAATTATTTGATAAACGCGTCGATGGAGCACGGTGAACACAGTTCGAAAGATTTCAAATTCTCCAATCGTTTGATTGAGGGCCATTAAGACCTCCCTTTTATCTCGCGGTGGATTGAAATCGAGGAGTACATAGTTTGTGCCTCCACGATTCTTCGTGGTCCAGGTTCCGAGCTTTGCAGCTTGAAAATCAGTAGCAAGATAGACATCTTGAATCATGTCACGATTCACATGAATTTTGGAGCAAATTTCGTCCCGCAGATACGTTGATTCTTCGAAGAAAATGAACGGGCGATAAGCTACTTTGCTGGTCTTAATGCGTGACCTCTGCTCTACAATTGATGCTTGGGCCTGCAAAGTTGGACATCGAAGGATATCTGTCACAGTCAACTCAAGCCCATCAGCTCGTGCTAGTCGTGCTAGGCGCATAGCTGCAATTGAATCCCCTCCATGGTGGAAGAAATCGCTCTTCAAATTGACAGTCCTTGTTTCGAGGCCGAAAAAATCTGTCCAAACTCTCTGCAACTTTCGTTCAGCGTCCGTAACTGGAAGCTCAGCTTCTGTTGTAACTGAGCAATCAAGGCTTAGGGCTCCATGTGGAAGAGATGCACCTAAGGCTCGTAGCTGTCGGCGGTCTACCTTTCCGGACATATTGCGGGGAACTCCATCGAGAGGGATGAAGAAATTTGGTATCATGTAATTCGGAAGTACCGATCTCAGCCGCTCCTTGATATTTGAGACCGTATTTGTGAATTCAGCATCAGGGATCAGAATGGAAGACTTGGAGCCCCAGGCAATTTCATTATGAGGACGCCAAAGGAATGCCATAAGGACAATTTGGCCTGAAGAGGATGACGATGCGGTCTCAACAGCGGCAGCAAATTTCTGATCGACAACTCTCTCGACTTGACATTCAATTTCACCGAGTTCGATACGTTGACTTCGGATTTTCACTTGTGTGTCTTTCCGTCCAATAAATTGGATGCTCCCATCTTCTTGGTAGCGGCCCAGATCGCCCGTTCGATACAGAGCGGGCAGTGCGACTGTAGAGGGGCCTTTCAGCCAATCGACGCCTCGCAGAAACCTCTCGCGCGTTTGCTCCGTGTTCCCCAGATATCCACGGGCCAGACTTGGCCCTTGTATCATAATTTCTCCGACGGAGCCAATTGGAGCGAGGATACGGTGATTATGCGGTGTAACAATCCAAAGGATTGCATTTTCAGTCGCCCAGCCGACGTTGTTTCGAGGGAGATCGGTTGTGGCAGAGATATCTCTTATTGCACTGATGGGACAACATTCGGCGGGACCATATGCATTGATAAGACGGACTTTGTCCGCCCAAAGACTTATCACTTTTTCAGTCGGTGCTTCTCCAGCAATGCAAAGGGTTTCCACACATTTCGCGCTGCTAGGATCCAGCGACGCCGCAAGAGTCGGTGTCATAATCATCCAATTCACACTAAGACCGGTTATTGCTCCTTCAATGTCGTCAAGCCGCGCCCGTTCTGATGGAATGCATACACATCCTCCTGCCATGAGCGTCATAAAGATCTCGACCTGAGTAGCATCGAAGCTGAAAGACGCGAATTGAAGACAACGGGTATGCTCATCCATGTGGAGAGCCCTATTGATAGCTCTAGCACTCGTGCAAAACGCGCCATGCTCTAGGGTAAACCCCTTAGGCGTGCCAGTTGAGCCTGAGGTGAAGATCACGAATGCCGCATCCGTGGCGTGATTTTCGTCAAGGACACAGACACCATGCGGTATGTTTTGCAAAAGCTCCTGACTAAGGACAGCACGCGTTATCGGAAGATGTTCAACCCGATACATCAACACTGGAGAGACCACCATCACTGAGGACTTAGTTTGTGTGAGAATGCTTTTGATCCGTTCCTCGGGGGTATCGGCATTGAGCGCCAGTACTGCTCCGCCTGCTTTGAGAACCGCGAGCATTGCGACGACTGCCCAGGATGATCTCTGGAGAAGAAGCGGCACGATAGACTCTCGCCGTACTCCAAGTTTTCTGAGATAATGAGCTAAGCGTGTGCTAGCTTGTTCCAGGGCGCCGAATGTGAATGAACCATCCCAAGAGTGAATAGCAGGGGCGTTTCGATCGTGATCAAAAGCTACTCTATGGACCAAGTCATATTCAACGTGTATCGCCTTGTTATTCCAAGTATATATTTGCGCAGCGTCAGAGTCGTTTGTCGGATCTATATCCGCAATCTGTCGCTTATCATACGCTTGGACTTGCTGTAAGCATTTATTGAAGCATTTGACCATTCGTCGTGCTCTTGGCTCGGATTGAATATCTTCTTGAAATTTGAACTTCGCAATGTTGTTCTGGTCAATGGATAAGATGTGCGGAGGAGTAAACTAAGACCAAAATAGAGATTAGTCTGCATTGTTCGAACTATTACGGAATACTATCAGTACTAACATTCAGTTGCAAGCTCGCATAATCGATGTCGCTCCCATCTGCATCCAGTATCAAGACCGAAGTGCTTATGAATTGATCATCCTCGGCTTGTCCGTGGTAGGGCCCCTCCACAATTAGCTGGAGAGACTGAGAGACAGTAAGAAGCGGATCGAGGTGGCAGTTGAAATGCTTCAGCTGCTTTTCTCCTGCCAAAACTAGCAATACCGATATGTCACTTTCACCTTCAAAGCATGACCGTACTATCGCCAAGGCTAGGACATAGGCCTTTGGATCCATGCTCAACACTGGCACCTCGAATTGAATGGAAGGATCCAAAGCCTTTGGTCGGGAGATATTAAGGCTCATGACACCTGCTCTGTAGCTTTCTCTGGAATTTGGGGATATGCAGAATGACGGAGGGGAAAATTTCTAGAGAATAGGCCACGGGGAGTCACAGTATCCGCAAAAGATTTGTATTTTAGGATTGAGCTGGGCTCTACGAAGATCCCTTCGGCAGTAACTTGGTTTGGGTGTTAGAAAAATGGAAAATATGGGAAATAATCAAGAAAAATTAAAATAGAGCAAAAAAAAGAAACAACGAGAACTAGAATCACATTGAAATGAAAAAAACAGCAGAAAGGAATGCTAAGAAACTGCAAAATATGAATATCAAATGAACAGGACAGATTAATTACCAAGCTGAACAAATGAAGGATATGCTGATTGCAGTGACAGGGGTTGAGCGTGAATGTCACCTCATTACGCAGCACTATCGCTATTTGCAGACTCCAGCAAATGAGATCCTCGGGGCCTAAATTCGAACATTGCGTTTGCTTACCTCTAGTATTTCTTGGAAGACCGCAATGGTGTTTAGTACACATCTTGGCAAGGTGCCTGAAGTATTTCGCAATAGGTCATCCCGACTTGACCGTCGGCCTTAAGCCGCCCATCACTTTGATGAGTATGCATCGGACATACCGGCAAAAGGCCATGAATCCTTTTTTACCAACTTAGATGGGTCTAGCTAGATGCATCCGCAGAATATTGGGAAAAAACATACAATATTTGCGTGTCTTGAGTTGTAGAAAAGTAGCTGATGATTTTGGTAACAACCGCGAGCTACCAGCATACCTGCCTGATCCGGATAAGTGGATGAAGCCGCATCCTGTAAAATTTAGTAATATTCAATCATCCAAGTGTTAATATTCAGTAGTACTATTGACCTCAGCCTCAGAAATAGCCCCAAACTTGGTAAGTCCGTAGTCGCGAAGCCCGAGCTGTGGAGGTATTTTGGATCCGACTGCATATGCCTTGGTGTTCAAGCTTCTGTCTATTCTCTATCTCCAATTTTTCCCCCAAATCTGTCTTTCTGATCTGACTTCGAATCAACGAAGTCGTCACGATGATATCCATTATTCCCGAGACGAAGCCCAATATCATGATCATAGGAACTGGGCCTCATGCCCAGAAAACCTATGTACCGCACCTGCAACTGCTGGAAGCCCGGTACGGTCCCATGATTCAAGTCCTCGTTGATATCGAAGAAAAACGCGATTCAGTCACAGAATGGGCAGCAAAAAAATGCCCAGGGGTTCACCTGCACTTTGTCCCCATGTTCACAGACTTGATGCCCAGTCGGGCCCGGGCAGAGCTCGACGAAATCGCGGTACGGTTCCATATCAACGGCATTATCATCGCCACGGAGCCTCTTTCGCATCAAGTATATGCACTTTGGGGATTGGACCATGGATTTCACATCATGATGGACAAGCCAATTACCACCCGTGTCCATGCCGGGACCAGTGTCTCGGAGGCAAAGGGCATTGCCGACGATTACCAAGAGATCCTCGCGGCATATCAAAAGCTCCAGAAACACAAAACAACAGGATTCGTGGTCAGCAGTCACCGTCGCTTCAATCCTCTTATCATACGAGCTCATCAGTACATTCGTGAGATTGTGGAACGAACCGGTTGTCCTGTGACAAGCGTTTCTGCCTCGTACTGTGACGGAACTTTCCGACTGCCTATTGAAGTGATTCAGCAAGATTATCATACCTACAAGCAAGGATACGGGAAGGTCTCTCACAGTGGCTATCATATCATTGATATGCTCTGTGAATTCGCGAAAGCGGGTCTCGTCCAAAGCAAACGCCCCGACGAGGTTGAGGTCATCAGCAGCTTCATCCTGCCACGAGGATTCTTCAAGATGATGACCCAGTCTGATTATCAGAAAATATTTGGAGCCGAAGAGTATTCAAAGACCTGCAATTTTGATGAGCAAGGCCTTCTGCAGCGTGTCGTGGGCTACGGCGAACTGGATGCCACTGCCCAGCTCACGTTTCGCAAGGAGGGTGACCCCGTCATCCTTGCCCAAATCAGCATGTCCAGCAATGGATACGGCCTTCGGTCTTCGCTGATCCCGAGCAAAGATCAATACAAGGGTAGTGGTCGTGTTAAACATGAGTCTTACGAGATCAAGTGTGGACCCTTCCAGAGCATTTACATTGAGTCACGCTCCGTCAAGGATTCGGACGAGCCTTGTCTGCCAGGAGACTTTCAAATCGGAGCAAACAACCACTTCGAGATGAAGGTCTTCCGGAACTTTGAATTGACCGGACACTCGGGTGCTTTGGAGGTCCTTCACTTGGCCGATCTGGCGGAGACAGAGGGCTATGATCACACCAAGCTCTACACTGAACAGGCAAAGGGAAAGATGATTCTTGAGTTCGTCCAGTCAATCAAAGGTGAACTACTGCCTTCTGAATTGACATCGAATATTGATGATCATCGCTTGCCTGTTGAGATTATGAGTGCTATGTATTTGTCTCACATTAATCATCAGGCAAGCAACGGCAGCCCCATTGTGAAAGTGCAAGGCGTCTAGGAGCTCGAGCTGTGGGACGCCACCCTGCCAAGGTAGTCTAGAGTTTGCGTGATAGTGTGAGAATTCCCATCATTCTAGAACCAAGTTTATTATCACTCATTAAATTCGAATACTTTTTGACCCTTTGCAAATCCGCATATTTAATCGAGGATGTCCAATCCCTTCTTCCCTTGGCGATGACCCTCTGTAATGTCAGGGATCATTCAAGGACCTCTTCTGCTTGGCTAGCAGGATCTTACACATTTCGTTCCATCAATGCCCCTGAAAATCCTGCTTAAAGTGGCGAATACCCGGACGAACTTGAAGAATCACGCTAAATTCTGATACTGTCGGAGGCGCAGTCCCAGCCCCAGACCCAGAATCGGGATGAAGGACGAGATGAGGGATTCCTTCCGCCGGAATAATACTTTACAGACTGGGGTTCGTCTTGCCTGCATGGCAATTTCTGGCCGACATGTGAAGTGAGTCTTGGCTAGGTCACTAAAGCTAGACATGGTACGTTTGCTTCGTTACATCTCTATTCTTGGCAGTAGACAAGGCTCGTAGCTCAATAATAATGGTAAAACCGAAACGGTTGTTGAAAACCCAAAGAACGCAATCCACCTCCTGTGGGGTTTATTTCAGAAACCCCGCTAAATTGGGTAGTTGATAGCCACCAATCGATCCACGGTCAGGATCCTTCAGACAGGGGCGAATGACTGCTTTGGCAGCGGGTAACTGACGAATGTTAATTAGACCGACTGAGACCGTTTGTACGTCATAAATTACTCACTTTGGCCCCATCTGCTGAATCCCCAGTTGAGCGAGCCAATGCCCCATATCCACTGAGGTTTTGAGGGATTCTTGCTGCACAATTCCGGCAAGAAGTCCTCCCGCAAAAGCGTCTCTGAAGTCCATTACAAATTTGGTTAGCTTCGGCGCGACATTTTGGTTCGGGGTTTACATGGTCGGTCAAACGATCTTTGAGCTTTACTTACCCGGCCCCGGTAGTGTCGATAATCTCCGCTGCAGAAATCTTGCGAACAGGGATCTCCTCATGACCCGGAGTTCCTGAAACTGCAACGATCGTTGGAGAAGATCCTTGAGTTATCAAGACTACCCGAGGTCTGTTTGCATTTGCCTTTGGGAGATTGGCGAGATGACCGGCAATGGTAGGAATATCCTCAGTCTTGCACTATGTCAGCTTGATGGGAACTACTATCTGAGACCCAAGGTGCGACGTTACCTCTAGACCATGCGACTGTGCCCATGCCAGGGCCTCACTCTCATTGCCGACGAGATAGTCCCAGTAAGGCTCGGTCTTATCTAGGGCATCTTTGAACGCAATTGGAATAAAAGGGGCAGATAGTGACATCACATAGATCTGGCGAAGCTCTTAGCCATCGAATATGACTTGTGGAAGAAAAAAATCCTCGAATAGAGCGTACCTTATTCTTGGCTGCAGCCTCTTCCGCCAAAGCCAAAGCGGCCTCCGGGCAGACGGTTAAATGGTAGCCACCAACAAAGTAGATTTGTGATGACTCTACCAAGCTCCAGATGTCGGGCTGCTTGAGATGCTCCAACTTGTAATGATTGGCGGCGCCGAGCTCAGTGCAAAGGCTTCGGTTCTTGTCGGTGATAACAACACCGCAGCGACCTGTGGGATGAGCTTTATCGACAAGGTATTCCGCACGAACGCCTGCCTTTTGGCATGATTCTCGAAGAGTGTCGGCGTAGGTATCATCTCCCACACAACCAAGGTAGACAACGCTACCACTTGGAAGAATGTACTAGAGTAAAGTGTTAGCTACTGTGGTTGGGCTGCCAAGACGAGGGACTGGGATGAGGGGCAGCATGCCTGGGCGCCTCTGGCAGTGTTCTGCGCTCCACCACCAGCGGTGGTTTCCGCAGCAAAGTTATTGATCAGGTCATCAAAGAGACCTTGGTGTGAGGGCTCGGCCAGAATGGCGTCATTGGCCTTGAGTCCATATTTCTTGAGGAGTTCCTGATTGCTTTTGTCGAGTTAGCAGAGCTCGTGACAATTGATCCTAGAGCCGTCCAATGTCGTCGTACCCAAATGCTTGAACATCTAGTTGGAAGGGTCAGCTAGGTTCAATTGACAGGATCGGAAAGTAATAGTACCAAGCAAAGGATTTTCCAAACACAGCAAAGTAGGCATTTTGTCGACTTGTTGATGGTATGGTGAAGAAGACGCAAAGAGGGGAAGTCCCGGCGGGTTGCCTGATTGTCACCATCGACTAGGGGACTTTCTCGTCACACCGCCCGGCGATATTTTTCTCGGACTGTCAGCTTGTATACACTGTCTGGCCAGTCAATATCCAATAGCGCTAGAGAGAAAAAAGATCGGATTATTGAATCCTTTGAAAAGTTACGGTAATTAACAGGCGGTTTACTATGCAATGTAGAGAGGTAAGATTGATCTGGTAAACAGGATACACATAGTACTGTTAGGTGCCACAGTGGGGACTAGACCGCCACCTGGCCAGACAGTGGAGGTTGACTAACGAGTTATTCGTTGGTTTATTTTTAATTTTACATTAAAAGTTATTTCACGTGCATCTTGCACGTTATTTCGTAAGCAGAAGACCTTGGAAACTACGCACTACGGACCCGACTCTGGAGCTAGAGGAACAGGATCAATGCATAGGATCGATCGGAGTCTCCAGGGTGCGACATGATTGTTCACTAACTATGTTCCAAACTCAATTATCCAACATCTGCCCCTTTGTCAACAATCCTGTTTGGACTTTGCGGGGCCATTCTGCCATCGAAGCAAGGTGCGAAAATGCATGATTCGTGCTTGATTCAGGTTCCACACTCCCTCTCGGACATAAATGTCAGACTCAATTCTGCCAAGTAAACCCCGAGTGTCTTCATCCGACACAACCATGACGGATCCTTTGAATGGGCGGGTACCCTCGCTGACATGCTTTTCGAACAAAGGACCTGCATACCGGGTCAATCCAATGAACAGGGGTGAGTAGTCCAAAAAAGGTAGTGGGTCAGGTAGTGGGCCAGGTAGTGGATTATGTGTGGAGCAGTGGAGGTGTCCACTTACCAGCCCATGTCACATAACCCTCTTGGTGCAATCGAACAAAGTTGGGCGAATGTTGGGGCCGGATGGCGATTCGATGCATGAGCTTTCAGCTCATTAGTACTAATTCCCTTTCTTGGAACGGGGTGTAGAGAATCCACAACTCACGACTCCAGGGTTGTCAGGTATGATGGCCAGAAGCTCCCTCGGACTGGCTGCGGGTTGATCCGTGGGCCCACTTAGTGCCTGCGCATGAGTCCCTTGGCCAGAATACCGGCGCAGCCACCATGCTGATGGGCGCGACGCCTCGATCTTGGGGGTCTTTGGTCTCATTTCACTTCTCGCGGCAGAGTTCCTTGATCTGAACAGAGCTCGGAGGCATGCCAAAATATAGGGCCAATTTGTGTAATATGACCGATGAAGAGAGTGGATACCCTCACTTTTCTATAAGTGAGTCCTGTCAGATGCGACGCTGACGACGAGGCTGCGAGGCTGTTTGTACAGTTGTAGATCTCGTTCGGGGGAGATCAATCTCCGACGGAGAAGCGCGCTTGGCATCATATTGCAGATGTCACCATCGATCAAAGTCCGATTATTTGAGGCGCGGCGGAATTCGCGAATCGCTGTCTCGCCTGACGATGAATCCCTGTAATACAGCTGATGGTATATTTCTGGATGTTGGGTGCAAGGCTGAGGCTATTATATGCCGATCACAAGATGATTGATACCCGTAATAAACATTCGTCTGCCGTCCGTTAGATGAGCATCGTCTTGGTATGGGCGACTACATAGTTTTGCAAATTTCACGGTTGATGCTGTGAGGAAACATAGGTCTCGTCTCACGAAGCAATTGAGTGATGTCTGAAGAGAAAAATAAATAGAGTGGATTGTACCGTATATAGATCTATTTGATCGGTCCTTGATTGGAATAGACACGAGGCTGTTAATCGCTCGCTCTCGATGAACATGTTTTCAGGGGCAACAGCACGCGTAGCGTTACGCGCTCGAACAAGGAGCACACTTCGTCTCCCTACTAAAATGTCCATGAGAAAGCTCCACGAATTGTTTGTATAACTCCATCTTTACCTTTGTGTCAATTGCTAATCCATAATACAGCTTCGTTGTAGTCCGGGACCGACCAGGTGCAAGCAGGGAGAACATTCATTTTGACCTACAGCCCCCTTTTTATACATTCGCGGGCGAGATTCTCAACGCTGCTGCCCCTATGGGCCCAGGCTCTGATACCACAATTCTCGGGAATGCCTTTGCATGTGTGGCTCGCGATGAGAATGAAGTTCGAACTAAAATGAAGGACTCACAATACTACAAACAGGTATAGTCAGGCACATTACTCCTGTCGGACTTGGGAGACTGACGGCTTTGATTAGGGCATATGGGAGCTTTCTACCGTCGAGATTTCACCTCTAGAGACTGTACATCCAGGGAAGCCTCCATTGTAATTGAGCTGCAATGTGTCGCGTTTTGTAATTACACGTAAAAAAAATGTCCTAGATGCGAATGCCTTGTCTATAAATTTTTGAAGATTTTGTCCAAGTCCTGCAAAGTACGCGAGAGTTGACCCTCTCTCCATTCTGTTCATAGCACTTTATTTGAATTCCCCTCCGACGATGATTTAGATGAAGCCGTGGTCACATTTTTCGAAGAATATTAAATTCTAATTGCTCGAGCGGCCTTACTCTTGAGCCTTTCGACGGAAAACTCGCACCCATTCCGTAATCATGAACGATCAGGAAGATAACGCCGAAAGCGAGATTCTTCGGCGTCAGATACAGACCTCACACTTCGAAGCTTCGCCATTTGAGGTGTTCCGGTACTATACTGCCATCGATTTCACCATTGTTAGCATAAGTGCATTCGCCGCCTTGCTTGCTGGATCTACGCGTATCTTACCAAGTGTACGTGGAGGCGCACCATTTGCGTGAGCATGTTTGCTGATTTTTTTCTGCCAGATTGTGTTCAGTCAACTTGCCGATACATTTTCTCAAATTGAAAATGGCACATTCGAGGAAAAGTCGGCAAGCAAAACGATTCAAGTCAAGGCACTGTACTTCGTTTACATCGCAATTGGCGCTTTTGTTTGTCAATTTCTCTCCCGGTTTGGATTCATCTTCACCGGCGAGCGGGTTACCCATCGAATCCAGAATGCTTATCTGGAGTCAGTCTTGCGGCAGAATATGGCATTCTTTGATGACAGGGGCTCGGGAGAGCTCGCCATGCAGCTAACAGCTGATACCGAGAAGATGCAACAGGCACTCTCCGAGAAGTTGGCGATGATGATTAGCGCTCTTGGGACACTCGCTGCCACTTTGATTCTCAGCTTCGTCTTGTACTGGAAGTTGACACTGATCCTCCTCTGGTCACTCGTCTTCGGCGCGCTCATCTACTTTGCCGGTAAAAGAGTGGGGAAGAAATTCACTGCAGACGGACGCAGTGCGGAATCCGCTGGAAATTCCATGGCCGAAGAAGCAATTAGCGCCATTCGAACAACCGCTTCCCTCGGGCTCGAAGACTTGATCTCGGAGCGATTCCACAAATACCTGGACCTCATGTCCAAGAATGGACTATTCATGAAAAGCTTTACGGGCCTGCTCCTTGGCTGTGCCGTTGGTGCTGGATACATTAATTTTGCATTGGCTTTCTGGCAAGGCACTCGATTTTTTGTCTCAAAGGAAGCGTCCTTTATAGATGTTGTGACTATCGCCCTGGCCACCAAAACGGCAACTTTCTCCATTTTAGGGGTCAGTGGGAATGTGGACGCGTTCGTATCCGCCATTGCTGTATCCCGCCAGCTTTTCTCTGTTATTCATCGCACATCGCCTATTGACTCCGCTTCGGCCACTGGTCTCACTCTTGACAATGTAAAGGGTGAAATAGAGTTTCGGAACGTCAAGCACATTTACCCTGCTCGTCCTGAAAAGGCTATATTCAACGACTTGAACATCCGTATCGAGGCCGGGCAAACTGTTGGCATCGTCGGTCTTTCTGGCTCTGGAAAGAGCACCATAGTCCATCTTTTGGAAAGATTCTATGAAATAGCACAAGGTTGGATTTTGCTTGACGGGCAGGACATCAAGTCGCTGAACGTAGCATGGTTACGAAGTCAGATATGTCTTGTTGATCAGGAGCCTTTCCTGTTTGATGGCTCTATCAAGAACAACATCCTAGATGGTCTGCCTAGGACCACTCTACAGCAGATAAGCAACGAGGATAAGAATGATCTGGTTGAGACTGCGGCAAAAGCTGCTTGTGCTCACGATTTTATCATGAGGCTTCCACTGGGCTACGACAACTGGGTGGGAACGAATGGTTTGAGTCTTTCCGGAGGGCAGAAACAAAGAATTGCAATTGCGCGCGCTTTGATTTCTACGGCGAAAATTTTGATTTTGGACGAGGCAACGGCGGCGTTGGATACAGAGACTGAACGAAGTATCCAGCAGGAGCTGAAGAAGCAAAAAATCAACCGCTCACAGCACCGCACGACTCTTATCATCACTCATCGGCTCTCCACTGTCGAAGAAGTGGACAATATCCTCGTTTTCATGGAAGGCAAAGTCATTGAGCAGGGTACCCATTCATCTCTGATGACCGCTAAGGGCTCATACTACCATCTGGTTGAAATGCAAAAGTCTGAAAGCGCTTCTGCGAGCCCAAAAGAAAAACAGATTGCTTGGACTGAGAAGGAGAGTGATAATATCGAGGACAGATCAACTAAGATTTTGGATCAAAAGATTCAGGAAGATTCTCCCTCCAAGGAGGGTGAAAAGTCTCTGGATTCGCGGGTCTCGCGGCTGAGATTCATTGCTTCCCTCAGCAGGCGGGAATTCCCTGTGATATTGGGTGGCATAGTTTCTTCTCTGATCGCGGGCTGCGAGGAGCCTGTTGCTGCCATTCTATTTGGTGAATGCGTGGAAATTCTTTCAAGAGGGATAAAGACAGGAGATGATGACACGCAATCGAAGGTCAACTTCTGGTCCTTGATGTTCCTTGTTTTGGCTCTGGTTCAATGCTTTGCATTTTGCCTACAAGGGGCCGCATTTGCATACTGTTCCGAGAAACTTTTACACACTGCTCGATATCGAGTTCTCCGTGCCATCCTCAAGCAGAATATTGCGTTCTTCGACAGCAAAGATCATTCTGCGGGCAGCTTGATCTCATTCCTTGCGACCGAGACCACCCACCTGGCCGGAATCAGCGGGGCCACATTCGGAACGGTCTTAATATCTCTGTCCACACTCGTTGCTGCTTTGATTGTGAGTTGCATATACGGCTGGAAACTCGCCCTGGTTTGTGCATCTTTGGTTCCAGTCATTTTTGCCGGTGGCTTCTACGGAGTCAGAATCGCGGGGAGTCATCAGGCGAAGACTGCACATCTCTTTAGCTCTGCGTCAAGCTTTGCGAACAACAGCTTGTCCGGAATACGCACAGTTACAGCCCTCAATCGACAGAAGCAAATTCTTTCCACATTTGGTACCTACCACCGCGATGCACAAGAGAAAAGCCTTGGAATGAACACAACCACCTCCCTCTTCTTTGCCTTGTCGCAATCTGTACTGTACTGTTGCATGGCCCTCGGGTGCTGGTATGGAGGAACGTTGATCACATCACGAGATTACACTCTTTTCCAGTTCACAGTGGTCTATTCCACTGTTCTTTTAAGTTCTCTTTCCGCCGGCATCGTCTTCTCATACGCCCCTGACTTTGGACGGGCTTTTCAAGCAGCCTCCAAGTTGCAGGATTTACTTGAAAAACAATCTACAATCGACTACACTTCAAATGATGGGTTGCGCTTGGTTGATCCTCGCGGTGAGATTGAGTTTCAGAATGTCTCTTTTTCCTATCCGAGCTCGCCCGAAAAAGAGATTCTTTCGAACTTCTCGTTAAAGATTCCCTCACAACAGCATATCGCCTTTGTTGGTGAAACTGGCTGCGGAAAGACGACAATTTTTTCATTGCTGGAGCGTTTCTACGACACTGATTCTGGGCAAATTTTGATTGATGGAGTTCCAATAAAGGACTTGAATGTCCGAGACTACAGAAGATTAATAGGCTTGGTCACCCAGGAACCGGTCTTGTTCAGCGGCACCATACAAGAAAACTTACTATGTGGTCAGGATGACGTTCCGGATGGGGTGCTTGAGAAAGTTTGTCGAGAGGCCAATATCTACGACTTCATTCAATCATTACCGTTAGTTGAATGACCTTCTGTTCTATTTTGCTTACTATTGACATATTGATCGTCTAACTTTTATCTAGTTCGGGCTTCTCCACGGTCGTCGGTACGCGCGGGGTGATGCTCAGTGGTGGCCAAAAGCAGCGTTTGGCCCTTGCACGAGCCTTGATTCGCAACCCAAGAATTCTCTTGCTTGATGAAGCTACGTCGGCCGTTGATGCCCAGTCCGAAATGCTTATCAAGAACGCCATTGATGTAGCCGTTGCGGGACGAACTACGATCACCATCACGCACCGCCTGTCGACCATCAGGAATGCCGACAAGATCTGCGTGCTCGAGCGTGGAAAGATCATTGAAGCCGGCACTCACGTTGAATTGATCGAAAAGAGAGGCCGGTATTGGAAATTTCATGAAAATACAAACTAAGTCGCCGGCCATCATGGCGGTGGCATAGAGCAGCGCCAGAAGGAAAGTGCCACAAGAGGGCAATTACTACAGCCTTAACAATACAAAATTCAGGAGGAATGCATGGAGGTAATTGTTTCGAAATTAAAAGGAGACATATCCCTCGCATTGCAATGAACTAGGATTGAGTGTGGACGTTTATAGAGATACCTACGGTTTTGAAAGAATCAATGAACGATCAAGATATGAAATGTCCTTAAGCATTAAGTTCGACTTAGATAGGCTAATGAATCAAGGAAAAGTCCACAAGAAGGTACACGGACAAATCTTCTTCCTAGGGCTTCTTCTTTCTTCTTCTTTGTTGGAAACTTTCGCGATAATTCAAATTTCAAGCGTAAATTTCGTAACACGAAAGGCCCCAGTACGGAGCGCAGACTGTCTCTCTTGGCTAATTGGGAAAGCTCCGTCTCTGTCTATTTTTTTTCTCTTGTGTCAATAGTTTCTAGACGGATGAAGTGGAGCTTTTGCCAAGGACAGTTTTCCCACTTCCTGCGATGTAACGACAGTCTGACAGACGGAGAAAATAGTATTGACATCCATTTGCAGTTTTCTTTCCGGAGAAGAAATGGCTCTAGGGCTTCTGACATGCAGACCAGGTCCCATCACACTTTCAGGGGTCAGCCTGCTGGTCCTGGAGTGGGAAGTCCCGTAAGACGGCGGCGACGATCAGCCGTCGCTTGGCATTTCTGCCGGGAGGAGCGGAGATCGACACCCCACTAGTGCACCATCAGCCACCTCGCATGCCAGAGGTCGGTGGTACGGTGGATCAAGAATCTATGGGTTTGTTAGAAGCTTCTCACAGCCTGTCAGGAAAACGGTCCTGAAGAAAACAGCTATGGCTTGAAGATGACCGGAGTGAAACCTCTCCGTCTCCACCACATGCTTGCAGCACGCAATCACCAACGGGCTAGGATTATATCAAGGAAAGAGGTTGCCAAGCATCTGAAATTGAACCCTCATTAGACGAGCGAAAGCCCACGACAGGGCTGGCAGGTTACACGCGCCTTTTTCCAACATCTCTTTTCATTCACCCTCCTTCCCCAATCCCTCGATCTGCACACCTCGTTCCACCCTTGATGGCCCAGAAGCAAACGGAATTGGGAGCTCCCGAGACTACTGAAGTCTCGTCAGCGGCGGTGCCAGACCCTCCAGATGGAGGTGCGGCCGCATGGACCCAGGCTGTGATGGGGCACCTTGTGTCGTTCAATACCTGGGGCTACATCGCCAGCTTTGGTGTATTCCAAGCTTACTATCAATCTGAGCTTGGCGTCTCACCTTCCGCAATTTCTTGGGTGGGATCGGTGCAAGTCTTTCTCATTTTCTTTGTGGGGACTTTCTCTGGCCGGGCATTAGATGCCGGCCTTTTCCGCCAGACATTCTATGCCGGGGTGGTATTACAGCTGCTGGGGGTCTTCATGACATCCCTTGCGACACGTTATTGGCAGCTTTTTCTCGCGCAGGGGATCTGCACCGGCCTTGGAAGTGGCCTGCAGTTTTGTCCCGTAATGGGACTGGTGGCTACCTACTTCTCCAGCCGCAGAGTCTTCGCCTTAGCATTTAGCCTTGTCGGCAGCGGCACGGGTGGTATGCTGTTCCCCGGACTGGTCAAAGCCCTGATACCGACGATCGGATTCGCATGGACAGTTCGGGTGCTAGGCTTCGTCATGCTGGCCACGAGCGTTCCAGCCATCTTGCTGCTCCGGCCACGGCTGCCCCCGCGTAGATCGGGACCTTTGGTGGACTGGATCGCCTTCAAAGAACCCACCTACGTCCTCTTCATTCTTGGCATGTTTCTGAACTTTTGGGGTTTGTATTTTGCCTTCTACTACGTGGGGGCCTTCGGGCGCACGAATGTCGGCTTGACCTATTCGGACTCGACAAATCTGATTATTGTGACAAATGGCGCAGGCATCCTGGGCCGCCTGATCCCTGCCTACCTTGCCGATCGTTACTTTGGTCCTCTCAACACGATTATACCGTTAACCTTGGGAGCAAGTCTGATGATGTTCTGCTGGTCGGCGGTGTACTCGGCAGCGGGTCTTTATTCCTTTGCCGTCCTGTATGGTATTTTCTCCAATGGTGTTCAAGGCCTCTGGCCTTCAACCCTTTCCAGCCTGACTCCAGATTTGAGCAAAACGGGCGTCCGCATTGGCATGGGTTTCACCGTGGTCAGCTTTGCTTGCTTAACGGGTCCTCCACTTGGCGGCGCTCTTATTGCAAGAGCTCATGGTTACATTGGCGCGCAGATTTGGGGCGGATTGACGTTTCTTCTGGGCGCCGTCATCCTCGTCTTTGCCCGATTCCTGAAGACTGGAACAACTATGAAGGCCAAGATTTAAGGAAATAAGCCCGCATTACTCCTTGGGGCTCTTCTCGCACGCAAGTCAGGCCGAAAGCAGCCAATGATGGAAAGCTCGTTCATTTCTTTTCGAAATCTTTTGTGTTTCATTGCCCTTGTACTATTGCTGGATTAATCACAATGGAGAGGAGCCTATACAGCCAATACTAGGGAGAGGTATATAGATCCATTGGCAAAAAAAGTTGTTAATAATTACGTGTGATGAATCAGAGCTGCTTTGTCTTTTAAAAGGATGAAGTATCTATCATGGCAGTCTTTTTGGTGATTTCAGGCCTGGATTATATCATGAATTTAAAAAAACAGTGCGTTGGCTCAGCCCTGTTGCGAGGCCACAAGAAGATTATTCAATAAAGCAGCGATGGTCAAACTACCAAGCCTTGGCACGTACTTGGAAGCAACCTCGAGAATATCCGAGTCGAAGTTCTAGATCAAATTGTTATTGCCTTACAAAACGAATCACCAAATAACTTGTACGTACCTTGTCTGAGGAAACATTGATGCAGATAGCTCCATGTTGAACCCATCTCTTGTCCACCTTGAATAAGGCGTTCGGGACTGCTGAGACTATGACATTGGACACCTTCACAGCATCCTCCAATGTCCAGCCAGCAACTATCTCTTGAGAGATTCCGGTTTTCCATTGAGATTCGACTCGCTGGAAAATGCGAACATCTTCAAGATCGACGCTGTAAACTTGAGCGCCTTGACTTGCCAACAAGTCAGCAAGTGGTTTTCCCACCACTTCCGAGCGATTGATAATGCAGATTGTCTGATTTCTCAACTGGGTGGCCTCCGGGACGGACTGGTCGTAGATTCCTATCCATTGTAGTATCATTGAAACGGCCATTGCTGTACACGGTACCGGTGAGGGGATAAAGCGACCATGCCTTAGCCCGTTTGCCTGACCGGATGAACGTTGTTTGTGCTGACGATTGAGGCCCTCAACATCTTTTGATTGGGTGACGAGACCTCTGAGGTCAACATCTCGATCATCTCCAAAAATAGGATAATAGACGATGATGCCGTTGACATGATGATTTGTGTTCAGGGCTTTGATGTACGTTGCCACGTTAGAAGGAGATACGCGAATAAGACAGTACTCGATGCCACTGGATACCATTAGCAACGAGCACATATTACTGTATAGAGAACCTCGATCACCCACACTTGTCGACAAATTTCACGAGTCCATTCCACATATTTGCTTGAGCCGGTATCATCGCTGGCCAGAACACCGGCGAGAAGAACTTTCTGAGAGGATTTTCGCACCCTCCCTGAGAGTTCGACATACATGTCCTTTGCCATGTCTTCGGGTGACAAAACCTCACCGTAAGCAGAATCCATGATGATGTGCTAAATAGATACAAAGTGCGTCCAATATGTGATGAGAGAATCTACACTTGGAATGTACCTTTTCACGAGGACGAAAGACATCATTTATAAAGCGGAACAGCCAGGGCTGCTGAAATCAATTAATCTGAACTTCTGAAACCGCAAGCTCTTTTCGGAAGCATTGATTGTATCCTTACATGGCCTATTACCGTGGAAGGCAAATGAATCGTCTCAAAGCCTGCCGAAACCGCAGTAGATAGGTACATGAGAGATCTTCGGTGCATCTCACCAATTATTATCCTCAGATGATCCTTCGAGGGGAAAATTTGAAATAAACACAGGATCTACGACGTACCGTGGCAATTAGATTTTGTTTTATGTAATATAGTTTGTAAACCTGATCAAAACATAGTCGCCGAACGTTGTTCTAGACTACTTAAATTGACAGACTACGTGATAGAACTAAGCACTAAATGTATTTGGCAATGCACCTCAAACCTTGACGCATTTCTTTGATTAGATTACGAAGTTCAATATTGTGATGCCTGCAAACAACGTCAGCGCTAGTGTGAGATCTTCGCCATCAGAGAGAATCCTTTGCAAGATGCGCTATACTTTAACAGGGATGTTAACGCCACGTATTGCATCCGCATGTTTTGTGTAGATGATGAGATTCCAATTGGTATTTGCTCATCCCCGTTACACTTCACCACAGCGCCACTTCCATGCATACCCGCATCCCTTTTGGCATGGAGTGCAGGATTAGTAGATGGCACTACATCGATGACGGATGAATAGGGCCAAAATGAGGCCTTTATGAGCTTCAGACAACCTTGGCAGACAGTACTGGGCCTTGGCTCTGCAAGTGTGCATCGGAGACTTTCTTCAAGCTGATTTTGTGCCAATTACGATTTTTTATCTCGTAACGCGAGCTTTCCTTGGCCAATTTCAGTTTATAACTTCGGGTCCTGGATATAAAAGCGCTGATTTGGACCCTGCCATGTTATATAAAATAACAATTATCAGATCTCTTCTTATTCAAAATGGCTCCAATCCAACCGCAGACCTTGTTTTCTTCAACGTCTGACGTTGCCATAGTTGGGGGCGGTGCAAGTGCTCTTGCAATTCTTCTTCAATTGATTGAGAGGTGCAAACATGAAACTTTCTTTAGCAAAATCGTTGTGCTTGAGAAGAGTGAGCTTCCTGGTCCAGGGCTTGCATATTCAACCTCATGTGAGGGTACCATCCTGAACATGCACACCGACACTATGGGGCTGTACCATGACAGACCCAAGCATTTCACCCAATGGCGAACCAGCATGAAAGGGGGGCAATTTCCTCCTCGGGAGGAATATGGACAGTACCTCCAAGCTACTTGGTCTCAAGCCATTGAGGAAGCCCAGCAAGTTGGGTTAGAGGTTTCTGTCATCCACGAAGAGGTCGAAGATATCGAGCGATTGGATGACAGTATTTTTGAATTAAAAGTCAAAGGTGGAAACCGACTTGTCTCACAGGCTGTTATTCTTTGCCTAGGCAATTTCACATCAGTCCGCAATCTTCATCTTATGGACCTCCCTGGCTTCTTCCCAAGTCCATGGCCGTTGTCAAAATTGAAAGCCATTCCGAGTGATTCCGCCGTCCTGATTGTGGGCTCTCGATTATCTGCAGTTGACGCAGCTACTTTCCTCCACGATAATGGCCACCGAGGCACGATCACTTTGATGTCACGCAGTGGTTGCTTGCCAAAAGTCCAAGGGTACAATGAACCCTATCCTCGTCGTTATGTGCTGCACGATCTCGCGGAACAGACCGAGTCCGATCCGAACGAGGCTCTACTACAGATCATGCGTGGCTTGATGGATGAGCTCTCACAGGCAACTGATGGTGACTGGAGTTGGCTTATCGATGATACATCACCGATGAAGCAGCTCCAATATGATATCCATGCCGCACAGACAGGTCAAGTCCAATGGCAAGCAGTCTTACGAAGTACAGCGCCGGTCATTGAGCGATATTGGAAATGCCTCTCACCAGGAAGTCAAGAGCTCTTCATGAAGGACTTCTATAGTATGTGGATGAGGTTCCGCCATGCAATGCCCTTGCACAATGCACGAAAGATACTCCAGATGATGAAGAGCTCGCAGCTGCGAGTTGTTCGTGGAGAGTCTGTGCATTGGGATGGCCGCTTTAGAGCAGATACTTCAGATGGCATTATTGAAGTCGGTCATGTTATCGAAGCAACCGGACAGGAATGTCGTCTCAATCACATCCGCTCCCGGCTCATCCAGTCAGCACTCAAAAAAAACTTGATCAAGTCACATCCTCGTGGCGGCATTGTCGTTGACTTTGATGACTTGAGTGTGGCACCAGGGCTTTACGCTATCGGCTCGCTCACCCGTGGGACACATTTCTACGTGAGTGCGATCGACCGCATTGCGGCACATGCGGCTCGAATTTCCTACTCCTTGACGAAACAACCTTGTGCACGATCATTGCATGTGGCAATCTTCTGCGGATCGGATCTGTTCTCTCAACTTATGATGAGCGAGTTGGTTCCAAATCTCCTCGCTGACGGCCATGTTCCCTTCATATACCTGCCCAAGCACAGGGCCAGTGCTAGTGCTGTTCCGTTTGAACTTCGAGAACTAGCCTTCTTCGAACGAGAATTGCTACAGCAATATGTCCGGCCGTATTTTCAGGGAAGAAATCCCACCGGTGCTACACATCAGACAATTGACCAAATCCGAAATACGTACGGAATTCTCGTTGAAGACGTGCCCAACATCAACAAAATTTCCTTTATTGAAACACTCGCAAAACACCACATCAACGTTGGTCTATCAATCCGATGCTATCAGCGGTTCAAAACGGATATCATTCGGTACTTTTCCCAGCCCCGACGCCTGCTCAACCTTCATCCTGGGACTCTGCCTGCTTACCGTGGCGTGATGACAACGGTTCGAGCCATGAAGAATAAAGAAACGCATTTTGGATATTCTCTCCATGACATTGACGAGAATTGGGATGCGGGAGATGTCATCGAAATTCGCAAGCATCCCATCGACTATTCCAAGTCAATGCTTGCCTACATGGGAGACGTGTATGGTATCGGGGTGCAGATGGCGCGAGATGCAGTCGACAAGATTGCCAGGTGCAGGGAGATGCCAAAGACACCACAGGATGCCGAGACTAGTGGCTATTACACATTTCCAACGTCTGAAGAACTGCAGGATATCCGAGAGAGCGGCATACGCTTGGTGGATGCTGACCAGATCGTTAGTATTGTGGCTGAATCTTTCGCGTCGCCTGGTGAACAAGTGAAATTTCGCGAGTATATTCAACTCGTTGTGCAGGACTGGTACAGCCGGAATGGCGTTCAAAGTTGTTGATAAAAGTTTGTTCATAGTCTCACTTCATTAGCCTAACTTTTTCGTTTTATCTTCACCGCAAATGATACGAGCCAGCCATGATATGGTGGAGATGAATATCATTAGATCATACTGAGAACAACAATGCAGTATACTGTATTGAAAAAATCGAAAGAAAGACAAAGTCACAATATGTCGAGCAGAGTATGTGCAGTGAGGGTATCTTGTCAAAGGGTGAACTGCACACGAAACCAAGTCAAAAAAGAGAGGAGCCTCCCGAGGTCTCAAAGTAATTTAATAATGTACAACAAAAAAACTAAGTCTGAACTCGCAGCCATAGCTCTTAACTCTCACAAAGAAAAAAAAACTAATCCGTGGATACAATCTCCACACCCTCCGGACCGACTCCACTGGTCGACAGAGTCTTGCGATGGCCATTCTGCATTCCCATAATCTGCCATGCTCGACCCATCATACCATGGCCCAAGCCCTGAGGGAATTCAACAGAAGCCTTGTGAGCGTGCTTGGGAAGACGATCGCGGAGCGCACGCTCCCTCTTGGCAGCGGCCAGGCGGTCCTGTTCGCGCTCGTGGTTGACAATTTCGTCGCGCCATTCAGACCAGTGCTCGTAGTGTTCCCGCTGTTGAAGAACCTGGTAGCGGAGACGAGACTTCGATGGACGCCATGTGGTACGGTTGGCGGAGGCTTCATCACCGGTAGATGATACCATGCTGGACTTCAGATCACACACGCGAGTGTCCTTGGTGAGCCTGAGCAGATGAGTGAGAACATCCCGACTTTCAAGGGCAGTCCGCTGGGTCTTCTCCTGCTCTGGTGTTGGAGCAGTCCGAGTAAGAGGTGCATCCAACCAGGCGTGCATGTCGGTCGTCCGCTGCACCGAGTAGGGGTCAAGGAGATTCGCGCGGCGGTTCTCTTCACGCAGGAAACGCACAGCCGCTTGGAGGCTTTGAACTTCGGCACGGAGGGTCTCATTCTCTTGCATCGCCGCCAGAGAGGCCTCGTTGTCAATAACGATGGCGTCGCCGGTAGCTGAGACGCCTGCGGTTCCAGACATGCGCTTCATTCTTTCGATGCGAGCCTTGAATTCATCACGTTCAGCCTCGGCAGTCTGAAGTTCTTTCTTCTGCAGGTCAACGGTTTTCTCGAGCTCCGAGCTCGTTGCTTGGATCTCTTCAATCTTAGTTTCAAGCTCCTTCACCATAGCTGCCTTTTTAGCTGCCTCTCGCATGCGTGATTCAAGAAGCTCGATCTTAATACTTTGTTCCTCGAGTGTGTTATCTTTCACGCCGAGGGCCGTGGAAACTTCGTGAACTTCGTTCTTCAGGCGACGGATCTCCTCGTCAGCATCTGGCGATATCGTCTTGTTGGACTTCAATTCCTCTGACCGGGCTACCCAAGGGAAAGCTCCCCTCTCGAACTCGGCTGTACGAGAGAGATCCCCTGCGATAGAGTCAAGTTCTTCAATCTGGGGGCCCATGTCGCGCAGCCTGTTGATCAGCAACGAAACGGGATCATCGGATTCGGTGGTGTCGTCAGAAGGCTGTGTAGAGGCTGCCATCGCCTGAGACATACCATCCATGATCTCCTCCATGGAGTAAGGTTCAGTACGGCCCTCGTCACTAGTGGCAGAGATGACACTCTCGCACATTTTGCGAGCGAGCTCCGACAGCTGCTTTGTCAAGATCTCCATCTTCCTGAAAGGCTCATCGGCCTCCTTGGAAAGCGCGAGGGACCTAGAACGCAGATCTTCAAGGGAACGGTAGATTTTGCCCATGGCAACCTTGAACCCACGCGCCTGGGACACGAATGAGTCCAATTGCTTGAAAGCGAAAGAGCCCTCCTCGCGGAGTTCGCTACCCTCTGCCGGGACCGGAAGCTTAGACTGCACTAACGACTTCAGCCGAGCGACAACCGCTGCCATATGATCAAGGTACGATTGGGACAGAGTTGCACGCATGCACAACTCCTCGGCAAAAATCTCCGGGGTACAGGGAAGCAGGCTCTCCGTCAAATGTGAAAGTAAGGCAATAGAGCGCTGTAACTCGACTGCAAATTTCTTCGCATTGACCTCATTTTTCTTGAGGTTCTCAAGCCAGAAATTTAAGGTGCGCTCGACAGGCTCCATCTCGAACAAAGCCACCTTGATGTTGCCGAAAGCTTCCGGCGAACAAGCACTGATGTAATTAACGAAGCGATCGCATACAGTCGAAATCCACAAGAGACGCTCGGAGACCTCATGCGCGTACAACATCTCCTCCTGGGTGGAGATGGATGATTGCTCAGCAATTCGCTCGCGGACGGTCTGATGCATGACAGTGGCCTTAAAGCTAACCCGCTTAAATCGAAGAAGAGCGAGAACTGAGTTTCGCTCTCCTTCATAATATTCAGGAAGGTAGAGCTTAACGATCGCCAGGTGCTGAGCGGCTTCTTCAGCATCCATGCGACTTAGTTCCACGTCAATGGATTTCGTCTGCGCCTTTGACACGGAAGCCTGTAGCTTCATATTTAAATCCATCATGGCTCGTGACCGGGTGGTCAAATCAGTGGCTTCAGCTTCGGTGATCTGTTGAGATGCCCGCATATCTTCCAGATCGGCTTGCAGATTGGTAACCAACTCCCTAAAGCGAGACAGGGTGTACTCCAGGTCCTCAATCACCTCGTCTTGCTGCGCAATCTTGCGAAGCTGCTCCGTGAAAACGGTATCACGGTAGTCAATTTCGTCCTGAAGCTGCTTTTCAGTCTCGATATGCGTAGACTCCAGCTCATCACTGATCTCTCTCAAGTCTTCCAGGTCGTCGATGGCCGCCTTGAGCTCATTGATCTCTTCTTGGTAACGCATGTTCTTGTCGGCTAGTTCTTCGATCATCTCCTCGGCTCCCAATGCGGTTTCCAGTTGTTGCTTTAGGTCATCGACATTGGTCTCTGCCACGAGAAGCTTTTCCTTTGTGGCTTCATAGTCAGCCTTGACCGCAGCATACTCTTCAAGGTCATCTTCAAGTTCTTTGATCTGGGCCTTGAGATCCGATTCCTGCTGTTGTGTCATATCTCGAAGTCGTATCAGAGCATCGCGCAGACGCTGATTGGCCTTTTCCATCTGCAACCATCCTTGGCTGGATCGTTCTTCTGGACTCGTGACTTGAGCGAACTCTTCGTTCTCCTCTCGTAGTACTTCAACTTCCAGCTGAAGCTCTTCCAGCTTTAGTCGTACAGTCTCGCACTCGTGCTTGAAGGCTTCGGCCGTTTCTTCTGCCATTTCCCGGTCCAGAGTGGCCATTTCCATAAGTGATTCATGCTCAGCTTCCATTCGCTCCAGGTGCTCAAGACGGCCTTGCGTTTCTTTCAGAGTTTTCCGCAGCTCCGTAATTTCCATCTGCTGCGGCTGATACTTTGCTTGGAGTTTCTGGATAATCGATTCAAACTTATCGCGCTCCGCTTGCAATTGTTCCAGCATCTTGAGCTTCTCGCGGTCGTCGGTCCGTTTCTTTTCCATCACTCGGAGTCGAGTCTGGAGTTCCTCCAGTTCTCGAGCAACAGCAGCATTTGGTGTTTGGCGGGTCGTTGACGGCACAGCACCCGGTCGAGAAGTCGCCGAGCGAGTAGCTGTCAGTGACTGTCTCGATGCTCTGGGCGCAGGCGCAGCTGCCGGCGCTGGCGCAGGTGCGGCTTCTTCATTTCTGGGGCTTTCCCCTTCATTTTCTAGGGACTCCGCGTCAGTCGGGCCTTCTGATGGTCCGCTTGTTCCTGTTTCGCCAGCATCCGAGGCCTTTGCGGAGGCAACCTGGCGCAATGACGGTCGCTTAGATAGACCGGCGTTCGAAATGGTACTCTGCGATCCCGGTCTTGACGTCCTTGTTGTTCCAGAGACCGACGGCCGAGATGCCCTTGAGCTGGCTGGTTGGGCTCCAGGTTGGCCCATTGAAGCTCTCGCTGTAGAGGCCAATCGCGGGCGATTGGGTGCGACTGTGGAGGTACGTGAAGCGCCGACGATCGAAGAACGGTTGGAGGGCGCTGTAGCAGAGGATAATTGTTTGGTAGGAGACTTCGTGGGAGACTAAATTATATAGCAAAATTGAGTGAGTCGCGCAGTTGGGACAACGTAGTATCTCAACACAAAGGAATATGGACATACCCTCAGCGATGGTCGGGAGCCTGTCTTTGGTGCAGGCGTCGGAGTACCAATTGCATTTGTGCTTTGACGCTTGACAGCTGTCGGGGGCAATGCGACAGATTTTCGTACACCTGCAGTGCCCCCCGCTTGGGATTGTCTGCCGGTAGGCGCATTGGAACCGGGTCTGGCGGTTTGTTTACTCTCCCGCGACGGTTGTTGAAGAACTGTACCAATGGCCGTTGGGCGGATGAACATGCCAAATCCTGGGTCGCATTGGAAATAACGCTCTCCTTGAACCTCACCGTCATTCTTGCCAGTGGCGTCGTTCAGTTCAACACCAATCCACTCTCCATTCGCGAAGTGGGTGAGACCGATGAAACGAACAGTAGCCTGCCGTCCGTCGGTCAACGTAATCACCGTGTCGGGGGAGATCTCTTGACCAGTCATCGTGAGATTCAGGGCCAAAGTCCCACGACGAGCACTTTCAAGATTGGCCGATGTTGGTTGTCGATGGGTGGTGGGCAGACTGGGAAGGAAGCACTAAGGAGGTCCGCCGCAACACGCGCCGCCGATCGTTAACGGCCTAAGGCACCAAACATAACTTGCCGCGGTGCCACCAGATCTATATAGATCAAACCTATAAATCAGGGGGACAAAGGATCTCTCGTGTACTAATTAAGATGGGAAGAGGGACTCTCCCCAGATCCATGCCATGGAATTTCAGAAGATGAGGTATATTCTATATGTTTCTATCATAGCAAGTCTTTGTGAAGGGGAAAACAGTCGCTAACTATATACACCTGTGGTGCCCATGAATGTGGGAAAGTGTCCCGAGCCTGCATGAAAAATGAATATCTCACTGTTTTCATCAAGTCGTATACTTCAGACAGATTCAACCTCTTGGGGCTTGAAAATGCCTGGGAAATGCACTGGTAGCTCGTGCAAACTGGAAATCAAGTATCTCGAAGCTGGTACTCGCGGGATGGGAGTTCCGGCCTCCACCAAGTGAGCCACTGTCCAGCCTCGTGCTTCAGCATGTTTGCAATTGAGGTGTGAGTCATCTGTGGTCGACATGGTCAGCATGTGGGGAAACACCCCGCTCTCGACATGTACTTTCAGCAGCCACAGCCAACGGCAAGCGGCGTGACGGGAAATGCAATTACGTACCAACAAAGTAGCAAGACTCGGTGCTAGGGGCACCGGCCTCCTTCTCCGCCTTCGCATACATCTCCTGGCTGGGCTTGCAAACCAACGGCAACTGGCCATAGTCGCAGTACGTGATTCCTTCAAACAGATCCTCCACCCCCAGCAACTTGACGACCCGTTTCCCATGGCTGACATAGGCGTTTGTCAGTAGCCAGGGCTTCACCTTGGTTGTATCCAGGCTCTCCAATAGCTTGCGCAGCTTGGGATCGGGCTTCAAGATTTCGTTAAGAGGAAGAGCATCATCGACTTCGTAGTTGAACTCGAGCGGATCAATTTTGTGATGTCGGGTAAGGCCCTCAATTGCAAGACCATATTCCTTGTAGTACTTTTGGTGAAGCATGTGCGCATCTTCTGTGGTGAGGTCGAGGTGCTTGACGAAGAACTTGTCTGAAGACAGCATAAATGACATTAGTCGCAGAGCGCGTGGCAGGACAAAGGAGAGAACACGCACTAATCAACTTTTGCATCTCATCGTGAATATTACATCCTAGGCCCGCCTGTCAGTATTGCCTCGGTGGATCTTCGTGATGGACGATGGCTTCGAACCTTTCGAGTAAAGCTGCGATTCCAATTATTCTTAGCAAAACCGATAGATAACAGCGCACAGCCAGTACCCAGCGTGTCACATACACAATTGTCAATGTCAAAGAAGAAAATGGGTCGTGAGTCAGTGACTCCGTTTGCGCCGTTGATTGTCGCCATTGTAGAATTCCAGCAGGCGCTTGGGAAGAAAGCCAGCTTAATTGTAGAACGAGAAAAGATCAAAGGACGATATATCTGGCGACCAGAGAAGCCAGAGAAAGCGCGATGCATGGAAGGGGTATGGAATCGCAGGGCGAGGGGAAGAGCGATAGAGAGGGCGAATGTCCTAAACGCGCGCGAATGAATCACACCCACGTTTCCCCGTGATTGGTTCGATGATTCGACATTTGTATGGCCTTACCTAATCTCTCACTAGTGGCGCACTGGCGCGCGGAAAAGCAGAAAAGCGGATCGTCACAAGCTCACCAACTTTTTCTCTCCTTTCGTTCTTGCCACACCCTCGTCAATGGTTTAGAGCTTGGGAGTTCTTAGATTCACACAGCTCTCTCCATCAGGGTGATATGCCGAGGACATCTGCCTTGTAGCAATATTTTCCTCCCAGAGCAGCTTTCCAAAGCTTGATCTCTTGTCTATTGATCCTCGGATCCCTTTCTACAAAACTCCCCTTGGATCATGGCTACTGCTCATGGATCCACCACTCACCTTTCAACAGGGCCGTTGCCTGCCACGGCACCAATAAGTGCAGATGAACTCAAAGAATACGAGCGCATTTTGAAGATCAGTGATGAGATTTTCGCCGGCTCTCACCCACGCCTCAAGGTCCCTCAGCAGTTTGTACGCAAACCTGTGGCACGGAATAGCCAACATGGCCATCCAGCCCAACAGGTAGCGAAAAGCAAACATTTTGGGGTTCCAGCAGGCAATGTACCTGTATCCAACACAGCCCAGCGCCCCCAAACCTCACAGGCTCCTCCCGCAGCTGGCAATGCGCCAACGACATCGGTTCTAAACGCTGCAGCACCCCCTTTCCGAATGGCTCCTAAACCCACCTCTGAAATCGATCCTATCTTCTTGACCAAGTCGGATGATCTCGTTCGGGCAGAAATTCAATTACAACGGCAGAGGGTGGAAAGGACATTGCGTGATCAGATTGAGCAGAAGAAGCTGGACTCGAAACTGAAACCCGCGATTCAAGATACAAAACCAGACTTTGATGTCTCAGATGTTTTGGATCGTGCCCTAGAGATCGTGCGACCCGTTTCACTGAGTGATCCATCCGAAGTCAATGGACCGAATGATTCCTTCGATGAAAATTCCTTCTACTCCAGTAGAGCACCCGACTCCCCCCAACCAGCCGGGGCTCACCGAAAGTCCTCTCCAGCAGCTCCAGCCCAGCCGTTGAGCTCTGCCTCACGGGTTCCGGTAGATCATTACGCAGATGAGTTGCAACGACTGGAAGCTCTGAACCGATCGGGATCTGACCAGGAAATGCATGATGCTTACCCTGTTGTTGACCAGCTCGCCCCTAATCCTTCAAAGCCGACGCTTTCCTACCAGCCAAAAGCCTCCGGTCATCTCCATGAGCTACAACTAGCGGATGCCCCTGAGGAACCGGAATACTCTCCACCAGCACCAGTGGCACCCCCAACTGATCCAAGACACTACGAGCGAATGGCAACCGGTGACGATCGAGGCAGGTACGCCGACCGAACACAGGGTATTCAGGGCGTGACATCACCTGCGACGAACGTGAAGGTAGTTCGGAATCACATCACCTCCCCGGCTGCCCCTCGGCCGTCACGAGTGTCCCCGTTGGCGACTGCCAAAGTCCCCTCGGTTCAGCAACTTCGGGGCGGACGGCCCGAGCGCGGATCTGAACAGGTATACTCGGACCCTGACTCTGGTCGCGCAAGTCCCAGTGGGCCAGCTCACCAAGTCATGTCTCGAAAGCGGAGAAAACTACATGGGAAAGAGGACACACGCTTGGTCTCTCACAAGAGTCAGAATGCTGGGCCCTCCGATGCCTACATCAAAGCAGAGCCGGTCTCACCGCCGCCTTTTGCTGATGATCCGGCTGTGAACCCGAGCCGGCACCCTCAAGAACGGCCCGTGTATATTGACATTGCGTCACCACAATACACTCCCGTGGTTGAGAGGCATGAGCCGTCCGTGCGGGGCCCAGCCTACGAGTTGAATCCTTATCATGAGATTCCAGCTGAACAAGGAACACTCCGTGCGGTTTCTCAACTGGGTGATCGGCGGGTGGTTCGTGACGATAGCGATTTGCGACGGGTCACCACTATGCAGTACGCTAGACAACCTGAATATCCTCGCGGCTATGTCGAGACGGAACCCCGTGGTGGTCGAGCTGCATCTTATGCAGTCGTGGAAAGGTTGCCGCAGGAGCGACCTAGATACTACGAGGAAGTCCCCTCTTCATATGGACCTCGCTACATCACTGTGGATGATGGTCACCAGCCCGCATATCAAGATCCGTATTACGAAGAGCATCCACCGGTTCGCGTCATGGCTGCACCTGAACGCCGCTTTGTGGTCGATGAGCATGGCAATCGCTTTGAGATGGTCCCAGCACCGAGGATGCAATCTATGGCACCGCCGCCGAGACCAATGTCCCGGGCACCCAAGGCCGATGTCTACAGTGACCACGTCCCTGTCCGTACAGCCAGTGCTCGAGCGCCATCGGTCATACAAGATCCCTACGGTGAGCACAGATACGTGCAGGAGATGCCTCCACCCCCGCCCACATACCGAAGGGTGGTTTCGGACTATGCTCGCCCGGTCGCCGGAGAACGAAGAGCGTACGCGACACCATTGGAAAGTCACGATCCATACGCACCAAGTGAGGGTGTGCAGCTAGCCGAATATGTTCCTCGTCGACCAGCATACGTTGAGGACCATGCCCAGCCTCTGGAGAGGGTCATTCGCACCTCGAGTGTGCGGCCACAACCGGTTCGGTACGAAGAGCCTCTTGAAGTCGTCCAACGTGTCGGCAGTGTTCGTCCTGTCGGACCCAGTCGCGAAGTGAGCGTCTTTCTGGATGATCGACAAAGGGGCGAGTACATTGAACGACCCTACTATGTTCGGGAGCAACGATATTACGAAGGTGATGATGGGAATCGCATGGCGTTGGATGGTCCCGCAGACTCGGTTCAGCGTGCCCAGCCGCGCTACTAACAGGCGCATCTTTGTTTTGTGTATTAGCATTTTGTTGCATATCATTGTAGTAGCCTCTACTTTTCATTCGATGCATTTGATTTAATGATGTACCGGGCCCATACTTGACTTGAGCCACTCGTTCCCTATCGAGATAACCTTCACTAACTTGAGTCCCGATGGATCCTCCCGGTCGAGCATAGTCAATCATTGTATTGCCATCGCTCCATACGATCAACTATCGTAGCACTACTTCAAGCGGGAGCCCGAACCTCATGAAGTCCTCATAATGAGAGCCAGGGTCTAGATATCCTGGGTATCCTCGCTCATCTACAGACCCGAATAAACCTTATCAAATTCCATAAGCCTGAGTGAGTAAGTAGTCTCCGTAGGATATCTCGTAGCCAAGGCTCAACAATCGGCTATTTTCATCTTCTCACCAAATGCAACCATAGTTTAGTTGGCAGTTTCGTGACACTTTTTCTGTTATTGGGCCTGTTGACATGTCTCAGTCAGCACTGCTCTACCGTAAAGATTCAGAAACAGCATCTCCGGGTCCATAGCTCGCGTCAGGCTGTATTTTTTTCGTCATGCTTGGTTCCGCGTTGGATTGGGTCATCATTCGCGATAAGGACCCATTGATTGTATCCGTTCTGGTTTTTGGATCGAGATCATGCACTCACTTAGCTTCAACGCACATAATAAGTTCCTTGCTCGGGTATCCAACGATCTGATATTATCTGTAGCGAAATCGGTACGATCGGGGGCTGTCGTGAGGTGAGTAGCTGTCAATTGTGTTTACTTTATGCTGCGGGGATTTATCGCAGAGACATGGCCCCTGAGTAGACAGGTGTAGCGCTGCCATCACATCAGACAGGCATTCGTCTCATTGAGGTGTTCCAGAAATAAGCACCCGGCATCCTCTGCGAGGAGCAGTAGATAAAGCACGAGTGAATAGTGGTGGGGTGGGAGTTCTCATCAGCCTAGGCAAGGAGACTGGGGAGAAATCAACAATCCGGGGTAAACGAGTGCCGGAGGATCCTGAGGTTAGTGTGGAGCGGGTGATGGCAGGAAATGTGAGAGACGAGAGAGATGGAGAGTGGATGGGCAGAGAATGGGAGCTGACACTCTAGGCCGTCAAGGGAGTGAAGAAGCGAAAGAGGGAGAGTGAAAAGAGGAAAAGAGAAAGTGCGTGACTTGACGAGGTGTCATCCACAACCTCAGGCATCGATTGTACTAACCCAAATAAGTTAGCTACGAGTCCCTTGCCTTGGATAGTAACCCTTGGGGAAAAAAAACAAAAAGATCTCGTCTATGTACTTTCCTTAGTATGATAGATATTCACTATGATAAGACTAGGAAATAATAGACTAAAGAAAACGTTAAATCCCAAAGAACTACAGTACTTCGTACATAGATGTTGACAGGGCTCCATATCATCCATTTGGACCATTCAGAGGGCGGGGCAACGGGGCTGAGTTTCCACGGCACAGCCCCACAACAACCAGCTGTATGTATCTGAGGCTCTAAAGTCTGCTCACTATTCATCGGTCCTGCCTCAGTATTCGTTTACGCTCCGAGTCCTGCTGATAACCAAATGATCCACAATGTCCGGACTAGAGGTCATCGGGATCGCAGCTAGTATTATCCAAATCGCAGACCTCGGCACCAAGTTATCCGTCAAGTTATTCTCCTTCTACCGCCAGATCCAAAATGCTGACAAGGCCATTCAACATCTCTCAAGCGATGTCGCTTTGACATGTGCAATTCTGCGCGAGCTCGGAGACAGTCTCAAGCAGGATGAACAGTCAAAACTATGTTCACCCGAAGCCCATCTCACTGCAAAGCAGATGCTGAAACAGTGCGAAGAAGTCCTACAGCAGATTCAAAATATGATCGACGAATCTCGGGCTCCTTGCAAGTCTCGCTGGCAACAAGCGACGAATAAACTGCGCAATGTTCTGAATGAGCCGGACGTGAACCTTGTCAGAGGTAATCTTGAAAGGCTCAAGTCAACAATGCTCCTACTCTTGAATGTGGTTATGTTTGCTGGTCAGCTACGGAAGTGAGTGGGTTAGAAAATGTGTCATGAGGGCGCTACTAAAAGCTGAACAGCAATCATGTACCTGATGTGCTGAATGAGCAACGTAATTTGATAGAAATTCTTCTCAAAGAGAAGAAGACCGATCAGGTTACGACAACAAGCATGAGCTCGACAGTATGCCTCACCAGCATGCCCCAACCAACTACGCCCTCTTTTGCAGTCCGAAGGGGCTACCAACCCCAACAAGTAGCCCCAAGTCCTGCAAATCAAGAGGTTCAGGGCTACAACTCACTGATCAGAGCTATGCTTCGAGAGATCGACGGTTGCAAGTCCAAGCTTGAGAAAAGTCGGCACTCACGGATTCGGGATGGTGTTTTGAATGTCCACTCGAGCGAGATCGTCCATTTTCAGCGTAGCTACGGACCCTCAATCTTCCAGTGTTTTGATGATTCTATTTTCGAGACCGATTTTAAGGACGTAACCTCGACCCAGTGCGCATCCAACCCTACTGTCCCAAGCTACATTCTTGATAACACTATCGTGTATGTATGATCCGATTGCCTATGATAACCAGCAGGTCGAAAGAAATATTGACGGGACATTGAACTAGGCAAGAGACTAAATACGTGGGTAACAGCAGTGAATTCGATTTCGCGGCCCTGTGCAGTCCTGCTTTGCGCCCCTGTGATTCCAGTTATACAAGGAGAGAAAATGATCGCACGGGTACAAATCCCACCAGAGTTCCTGCGTCTCGAGAGAAAATTAAATCACGATATTCTGTGATCATTCCCAGTTCCCAGCGATCTCAGCGACGCCCCATACAGGGAAATGTTAGTACGTGGGATTTTTTGATGAGAATGTAGCCTCACTGTGAACCACTAACAATTATGAATTTACAGAAATTTCACCAGCCACGGCCTACGTATCTATCGAGTCTAAATACCAGCATATTCTCGACGAGACTCGGGTTCCTGGCGTCTCCTCCCCGGAAACTACACCTACAACCTTAACTTCCAAACGAACCAGTCAGAAGATCGCCGAACAAGCCCGCCGTAATCGCATCAATAATGCGCTCCAGCAATTGGAGGCATTGATGCCACCGACATTTATCCAGGATCAAAAAAGCCAGAGGCTAGCCGGATCGAGTGTTACTGTTGATGAGGCGGAGAAGCCAGGTAATCACTTCTTCGGCAAGGCCTTTATGGTGGAGACGGCTATTCAGTACATCAACGAGTTGAGGACGTGTCTTGAAGGGTTGGACACTTCTGCAAGAATATTTGTTCCTGCGGCCCTGGTCTTTGAGCGCGGCCATCACAAGATCCAAGAACAAGGCCGTCGAAATCGTATCAACGTCGCGCTGAAAGGACTTGAGTCAATGATTCCATCCGAGTTCATCCAGGCCCGACTGGCTAAAAACAAGGCAATATCTGGGTTCAAATCTGAGGGGAATATTGATGATAAATTCGTGGCCCCAGCATGCAGCAAGGCTAGTATACTAGAGATGGCAAATGATTATATCAGGGAGCTGCAACGAGATCTTGTATGAAACCGAACCTCGTTTGATAAGTTACAGACTGAGCTAACGAGATCAACTTTTTGCCCACAGGAAGATAAATCAGAAACTCTTGCACTAAGGCTCATGCCACCCCGAGCGCCATCCCCGGATGGGCGTACTGAGACACCAGACAAAGAGTCAAGATCGGGAACAGCAAGCCCTTCAGACGATCAAAAAGAAGAGGATTCTGGAAGCGCAAGCAAATTGATGCCTTCAATTGATGGAGACGCAATATCTGATGCAAACCTACCTTCACCTCAAGACCCCCTCTCACTCAGCAATCCTGGGTTATACGAGGCAGAGACAAGGCGTACCCCACTTGAAGGAAGCGAGATTTCACAATCCAACATCGTAGATAGCATGGCTTCGTCACGAAGGCCGCCAGTCGATGCAGTGTCCGTCAAAGATGGGGGTAAAGCATTCGCGGGCAAGGTCGAGACCCAGCACAGTTCTAGCAAAGACGAGATTCGGCCACCACCAGTGGACTTGGGGGAAACGTCACAGACTCCGAATTCCCGTGAAGATTTTGGCACTTCTTTGAATCTAAACGATATGCAGTTTCAATTTCTGGATTCTTGGGTGGAGCCTCCAAGAGACGATTGGCTCACCCGCCCATTGCTTGAAGGTTATTCAGAACTCGAAGATGACGACCTACAAGGAGACACTATCCTTCCAAATCTCAGAAAAGATGTCAAGGGTGAGGTACAAGTGCACAAGGCAGACGGCCTGGCCTGGAAGCCAGACAGACATCGGCACAAGCGAAGGTTCTCCACAATTGATAATAACAGTCCTTCCCCGATGATCTTCGAACCCCTGATTGAAAAGCATCAGAAGCGGAGCGAGAATACTACCTCTCAAGATATTCTACTTGGGAAGTCAAACCAGGAATTCCCGGAAGACTTTACAGACAGTCCATGGCCAAGCAGTCTCGAGAAGGCTTTAGAGCGATGGACAAATCTCAAGCAATATGAATTCAACACAGAAATAGTTGGTTGATGATTATTGGAAAAAAATACAGCCAAGGAAACGAAGGATGAGGCTGGATCGTGGAAATCTTCTTGTTAGTTTCAGCGTTTTGCGTGCTTAAGTTCTTTCCACTGTTTTCATACTCGTATAGACAATCTTTCGCATGGAGTGGTACCTATATTAATATGTCGTCTCTTTTTCTAGCTACCGAGTAAGCAAGTACTTGACAATGGAGGTGCAGGATAGTATTACAGCATGGATAAATGGTCAAGTGCATCCTCAGCGCCAGGAAAGATCTTCTACGGACAGGGTTGACTCTGTGGGCATCCACGCTGGTATTCACTCACCTCCCGATCTAACAGCCAATTGATTGTTGCTTATCTTTTGAACGGCAAGACTCACTGTCACGGTCGGTCTGCCCGATGGCGTGCGTGGGGGCGATGCGATTAGTCACACTGACCTGTGTCTTCAATGTGACTTGAGACTTTCAGTGACTCGCGGCTTGCAATCACGACAACACCCATTCAATCAACCGAGGTCATACTAACAGTGAGTCTGCCTTGAAATAACGTCAAAATGGTGCGAGTGGAACCGTTTGTTCTTGACAACTGGGATATGTACTTTGACCCCTCAATTTCGGAGGTGGCACAGTCCTCGCTGACATCTTAATCTGTTGGTGATAGTTCGCCAGCTCAAAGTATGTGGCCCGAAATTTTTGCTTTAGACGAATTCAAGCTCATTCTACTATCTAGCCACTTGCAAAAGAGTCTTTGCACAGTATACACGGTGTTCCTCTCTCAGGTTTCCCAAATAACTGAAAGGTGACTAGGTACTAATGTGGAGCCACTTTCTCTCCAAGATCTGACACGACAATCCGCAGGAGATAATTCAACCTCTACCTCTAGGCCTATCAATGAGGCCGAACCACTCAGTTATGGCTCTGTTCTAGGAAACCCCGGGCTAAGAGAGAGATCCTCTCCCGGTATCACTCCGAAGACGATCCTCAACACGAACTGTCATTGACAGTCACACAAGGAGCTATTGCAGCGAACTTCATAGTCCTTGATACCCTTCTAGATTCGGGGGATCATGTTGTCTGCCAGTATCCGACCTATCAACATCTCTACGATGTACCTCGCCGTGCAGGTGCCGAAGTGTCCTTGTGGCACACCCAAGGAGCGAAAGGATGGATTCCTGACCTCGAAGATCTCTCCTCGCTGGTCAAAGAGAATACTAGAATGATAATCATCAAGTGCATATATCCTTTCTCTCAACTACATCGGGATGCTAAGTGTTGGTAAAACAGCAACCCAAACAACCCCACTGGCGCAACAATCCCTGAAGCCGTCCTCGAGGGCTTAGTAGACTTCGCTGCCAAGCGCAACATCATCATTTTCAGCGTCGAGGTGTTCCGTCCACTTTTCTATACCCAACCCATTCCACCATCCATAATGGGCTTTTCCAAGCAATACAAAAACATCATCGCCGTCAGCAGCTTATCAAAGGCCTATGCCCTACCCGGTATCCACATTGGATGGGCCATATCGCCTAATCCCGAAATTATAGAACAGATCACTCTGGCTCGAGATTATACCACACTCTCCGTCTCGCAGATAGATCATGATATAGCGACTTTTACACGGGGCCTCGGCATCGAAAATGGTCCTCTAGGTCGTTCTTGGGAAATCTGCAGAACTAATCTCGCCTCGCTGGAGAAATTTATCGCTTCTTATCCTGACCATCTGCGCTGGGTAAAACCCACCGGTGCTTCAATGGCCTGTGTGTGTATCATTGAGACGCAGACTGGTCTGCCTCTGGATGACGCTTGTTATTGTGAGGGCCTTCTAAAGGAGACGGGTTTGCTGCTTGTGCCTGGAGGGAAGACGTTTGGTACTGAGGGAGATGATGACTTCAAGGGGTATATTCGTGTGAGATTTTCAGTTGCGCCGGAGAGTTTTGGATGCGCATTGAAGATTTGGGGCGAATATCTTAATCGGTCTTAGACTGTAAAGTCCTGTGGCATCAGAATGATTGCCCGAAGGCTCGCTGGAGGCGATAGTATGACTAGTTGGTCCCGTTTAAAAGGATCGAAATGAGCATCACCACGTATCATCAATTCATGTCTATTCCTTGTTTACCAAATGAAGGCAAGAGATTACTGCTGTGGAAACACACCTTTTTTGGCCTTGGATGCACATACTAAATATTGCGGCCTCAGGCCACGCTCTATCCGGTTCACGCGGGCTACACTCACTTGTATCCGTGCCCTTCCCTTGGCTGGCTATCCTAGCAGTCGGCACACCCATTCGCTTACACTCATGGGTACTCCCCACCGGAATAATGCCTCCCACCGGAATGGTGACTCCCACCGGAATGGGTATTTCCAAAGGTATTATACTTTTTGCCTTTTTCTTTCCATCAGATGCTACAGACCATAGTACTGGTTCCCCACTAGTGTTCGATGGCGGCCAATTACAGCCCACGGGCAAGTTGGGACTCCAGTCTTGACTGAATATGATACCCTTGCGGGTCCACCATCTAGAACTCGGCACCAAGTTGAGGTTTCCGTCAATAATAATAATAATAACTGTTCGTCTGATTACCAACTTCATGATATTCGGAGTTCCCTTCTAATCAATATTTGTCAGTGTTTGTCAAGACCTATCTACTATTATAACAGTTCGCCTCCACTGGTGATCATAAATAGCCAGGTCTTCCTCGTTGCAAGTGCTCCAGAACAACATTCAACAACATCTTTTTCCAGCTTTCAAATTTCTACTCAATTCCAATAATATTTATTTGGATATTACTCGATATGGCTCCAAATCTTCAAGTCACCCACATTGGCACTGCCACTGCCATTCTGGACATTAATGGCGTCAATTTCCTTACCGATCCCTTCTTCTCTCCCGCTGGCACCTCGTGGTCTGATGAGCGTATCACCCTAACTGTATCCGACGATCCTGCCCTCAACCTCAACCAGTTACCCGTAATTGATGCGGTGCTACTGAGCCACGAAGACCATTTCGACAATCTAGACGACCTTGGCCGCCAACTACTCAATGGGCGCCTCGTCTTCACTACCGTCGACGGCGCCAAGAATCTGGCTCCTCGCCCTGCAGTGTATGGAATGAAGCCGTGGGAGAGAATCAACATCACAATCGCTGGAAAAAAGTTTGAAGTGATTGCCACTCCAACTCGACACATTCCAGGAATGGAGTGCACCGGATTCATTGTTACTGGAGAAGACTTCGGTCACGGTCGAGATGGCCTGCCCAACGCGATCTACTTCACCGGGGACACGGTCTACATCGAGGAGCTCAAAGATATCGCAAACATGTTTCATATCAAAGCGGCTGTGATGAATTTGGGTGATGCTCATGCGCCAAATTTTGCAGATATAAGTGCTCCTCCTATTCAGGCTACCATGGACGGCAAATCTGCGGCGCGACTTTTCCGCGATATCAAGGCTGATGTTCTGATTCCGATGCATTATGAGTCTTGGGGGCATTTTACTCAATTTGAAGAAGGGCTGCGACAGGATTTTGAGGAGGAAGGTATCAGTGATAAGATTTGTTGGCTGAAGCCAGGGGAGGAGGTAGTGGTCTTTTAGATCTTTTTTTTTTGTATTTAATCACGAGACTGATTCAAATATGAGACACTGGCTAGATTTAGTGCAAACTTTCGCCAAACACTAGAAGTGGTGCAGACAGTAAGCCCTTCTGGACTAATTGGGCGACCACTCCTTTAATGAAGTGAACACCGCTTTGATACCGAGCCTCGTCTTTCTTGAACCAGATATATGCAATCTGCGCGGGAAACAATGTTGACTCTAGTCCAAAGAGCTTCATCTCGTCCTGGAATAAATAGCCCATACTTGAACAAATCAAATAGGCTAAACGGTCCGATTCAGCTTGGATAGCATCACAGTGCATATCCTCGACCAGGTCATCATGTATCCAAAGGACCTGGGAACACGCAACAAAATGTTCTCTATTTCTAGTAGGCAGACGATTTGGAAAGACCAACAATGAGTCAATCCGTTTGCGATTGAAATGTTAGGAAAGCATGTTGAACTCGAGGAAATTTGGGAGATATCGAAATTGCTGGGATTCAGGTCGAGAGTTGAAGAAATTATAGGTGTTATTTTGAAGCCCAAGCTCTTCTCCCATGCGGAAAAATGACTTGAGATCCCGAGAAGGGAGCCCGATCAATGACTGCAAAGCAAGTGAGCTCTCGAGGCTTGATATCTCCAGAAGCATATCGACTTGCTGCAGAATCAATGGTAGACCCGCAGCCCGGCTAAATACTTCTTGGGCATGGGACGGCGCTGTCATCGAGAACGGGATGTTCATACAGCTCTCGGTGGCTAAGAATGTTGGCCGTCAATCGCGCACTGCTTCGCCGATCTAAGGATATTAGAATGGAGCTTCATACGTTCGAATTTTCGTGAAAGAACCCACGAGAAATGGCCGAAAGCCTAAGAAAAGCTTATGAGGTATCCCTGAATATAGCGCTTCCGGGCTATAACTCTGAAACAATGTTCCAATAGCTTGGAGATGAATCTTGAGAGCAGGCACCGAGTCCGCAATCATAAGCTAAACAACTAGCACAATATGGTCAATTTGACTAGAGACCACATACTTCCGCCAAGGCAAGACACATGATGGCAGGCATCAACTCACAGAGCCAGACCATTAGCAACAATCTGCCTGCGCAATGTGTGTATAACGTCGTGGTAACATTTGGGGGACTCCACATCAGATGAATGAGAAATGTTCCCTTTTTGTGAGGCTAGTAAAATGGCTAGTGCTCGTGTAGCTTTTGATAGCACCGATGTATCGTGGGTTAGACAAGGGAGCATGGGAAGTACTTCAACCCACGCCCCACATATGTGAGCTTCTTCGTGGCTATGACGACCAAGTGTACCAAGAACTTCAGGAAGGTTGCCGTTTTTGACGAGTTCCGCTATGTCGCTCGTAAGCGGGCGTCCATGGGGTCAGAATGTCAACAGGGAAGGGGAATAAATGATCCGTTTCGTTCCCGCTTGTTGGCGGCCTTTAGGTGAAGGCTTGGTAGACGAGCTAAAGGCCATATGAGCTGTCTGATTCGCATGTTCCGATGCAATTCGATTCTGCATCGTGTCGAGTACATTTTGACAAGCACCCTGAGCGATAAATTTCCAGTCTCTCTGGTACCCGTCGCAAGTTCTCCCAGTACTGCAGGCATTGGCTACATCCAGGTCGTTTTCCATCACACTGAGTGATTTCATTAGCTAAAATATTCCATGATAGACAGAAATAGGCTAGACTGGTTGCAATTGAGGAAGAACCGTACGCCTAATTTCCGATCTCGACAGGTCTGACAAACGGATCTCCGCTTGACTTTCATGATATCGCAGAAATCAACCAACAGCCCGAGGGGCTTGGCTTGCGCGAATAGAGTAAATGACTCTCAATTGAGTTCATGCGGTCATGGATGCTTTGGTAGTAGTGACCTTGTGATTGCTAGCTTGGAGGGGTAGAAGGTAAGGCGAAGAATATACAACGATAAGGAGGCCGGCGCATGTTGATGTTGGTATGCAACCCTGTACCTACGATGGGAAGGTGGTCGTTCGAATCACAAAAGTCTTGGCGGATTTTGTTTCTCAATACGCTTAGTTACAGCCGGCATTCGTGATTCCAGATAGAAGGCCTGAAGGAATTATTTAGGTTTATGGAGTTCAAGACAGCGACTATAAAAACGGAAAGAGTACCTAAGCTAAGACCTGGCATAGTAAATCCAGTCGGTAGGTCAAGGTGAAACCTAAAGGGTAGGCATATATATCCTCAGCTGTGCATCTACGGGCTCGATCATTGTATAGATATCGGGTCCGGAGTAGGTAAAAATGAATACGTGGGGTAAAGAGCGGAAAGTCAGTCCAATCTTCGAATCCAGTCAATGGATAAAGCGCATGTATGAGCTACAAAGTATATTTGATCGGCATTCTGCCACTATTGAAGCCCGGTACCGGCCAAGGAGGAAAAAGCTGGGAGATGCGGCAGCGTGTGGCAACTGCAGCCAATTTTCAAAGCGGCGTGGTTCCTCCAGTCGGAACTGGTCTCGAAGGGTTTCGAGTCCTCCTTATCCCCCGTCCTCAGCTGAAGAGCGTTTCGTGACCCACACGCTTATACGAGAGAATGACGTCGACCACTTTTGGGGCTGGGGGAACCTGGTCTCCGGTCATCAGCTGACTCTCTGGAGCACAGAGTCGCCAGTCCCCCGTCGTTCCAGCCCTAGGGATGCCGAGGCCATAGGATGGAGGGGTAAAACGAATTCGGGCTGGACCCTCGAAGACCTTTGTTGCAGCAGCAGCAACAGCTAACTATTGAACGAGGAAGTGCCCCGTGGAGAGAAGGCAGGAGAGAACGAGAGGGCTACCGCACATCCTCGGGGCCTCATTGGCCCAACGGTGGGAGTATGTGGGCAAATTGGGCAAAGTGTCCTGCGAGGTTCTGTGGCCCAAGGTTCCAGGCAGTCCGATGCTTCATTTGAGTCTACAGAGTACAGTTTACATGTCTGGCATCGAGTCAACAAAGCAGCAGAGGGACGAACAGCCCATCAGGCTGACCGGCCGCCTGGCATCAATACTGGGACGGTCAGGGAGAAGCTCTCGCATCCTCCACCATCCACAGTCCACCATCGACAACCCACATGCCGGGCTGACGCCTCCAACTTGCTTCGCGGGGTCCGTAGCGCTGTTCGGTGGCCGTGTCCGAACCAGCCGGGCTAGGATGAGAGCCTGCCACTACCCGCCCTATCAGTACTACGGGAGTACTAACTTCTAGCTAAGTCCCTCCTCCATGGGAGGGGAACGCCCTCTTTCACGAGTGGATCGAAGGGAGGGTCAGATACGCTGCTGTACAGGGCGTTTTTCTCTGCAACGACCTATAAGATGATCAATGTACAGTACAAAGGACGGGCCATGCAGTATGTACAATGCTGCGATCAACCGTATTACTATGTACTGTCCCCCCTCAGCGCGGAGCGCGGAAGGAGTCGGATACCAATGAGACATGAGTGTGCGCTCTGCTTGCATGGGCTGAAAATGAAAATCTGGATCGGCCAGATGCACCGGTCGCGCCGGACCCAAAGCCAAGAATTATTACGCTCTGATCAGCCAACGAAGCCAGAACCAGGCATCCGGGGTGGGCTTGAGTCTAGGGAGATTCGGGGTCCTTGAGGCTTGAGAGGAGGCGCTAACTTGCTAACTTTGTTAAGTGTACATAAAAGACTCACGTGATCTAGACTCTTACAAGTTGGAAGTTGGAGCTGACCAGGTTGTTTAACCCGGTTTAACTTGTTTCTCCAAGGCTGACCTACATCCTCCGTACTATTGTCCGCTTTTCTATTTTGTCTACCTGAAGAGTTGGCCAACCTGCCAGGAACCCTCTTAACTAAACAAGGCAGGGACTAACTTAACTAGTCACTACTGTAGTTAACTACCTAACTGTAACTTAGTAGTGGAGCCCCCGCGAGGGCCAGGATCTGACCTGCCAAGCGCCCTTGCGAGCGAACCCGACGGACATTCTCTGCCGGATCGGCCGCATTCTTTCCAGCGAGGCAGTGCTGAAATGTGGATTCGAGATGAGAATAGGAGACGACGCTTTTCCTTTTTTTAGGGGTTTTTGATTCAGGAGTAAGGAGAGACAATCTTAAAATTGAAGAAAGGGACTGGATCTAGAACACAATTAGAAAAGGGAACTATTAATATTGTCAACAATAACGTATGGAATACATAGCAGTCACTAAACCCGCTTGGGCTACTCTGGTTTATCACTAACTAACTAACGTTTAGTACATAGGCAAAGTGTTGGGTACGAGAATGACAGGAGTGGAGGGAGTCGAGAGCCACGTACGGGATTTACAGGATAGTAATACTTAGTATGAAAGTCATAGAGCTGGAACTAGATATCCATACACCTATACTAGCAGAATTACTACTTGAAACCATGACTATATAACTGAATAGCTCGATACTACTTAGCTATATCTTCCATCGGAAAAAAAAACTGATAGGCCCGAATCGAGATGACCATACGGAAGTACTGAAAATGACCCGCACAACTACTGACGACACTCTTCCTTTCTCTTCCAGTCCAACACTCCAAAGGGGGTTGCCATTGAACCACTTTCCCCCTCGATCTATTCTTCTGGCTTATCTCTCATCCTTATTTTCTTCTTCGTGATACCCTCAATCCTGGTTTTTGCTGGTGGGATCTTTGTTCGGGGTCGAGTTGTTGTGGTCCGTTCCCTTATTCTCCCCCTCCCCCATCGATCGATCTTCGTTTCCACCATTCCCGAAACGCCCACACAGCGGCCATTCCTATCCCTGTCAAGAACGGCAGCCTTGGATTCACCTTTCCACTCCCTCCAAACATCCTCCCTCCCTCCCACCCACTCTCCTCACTCTTCCCCCGCCATCTGACCGGGGTGAGAGATTCTTCCTTCCGACCTCTGGTCATGCACAAGATCTCCAACTTTACGGGCCAGGCCCGTCATGGTTGGGAACGAATGACGCCGACCTTTGGGATGTCCAGACCACACACCGACATGACCTTTCGCCGGCCACACGGTGCGCCTCCCATGACGCCGCCGACGAGCATCGATCCGACCGTCAATCTGTCCTTCAACGTCCCCTTCTCCTCCACGTTGGCTGGTCCCGACGTCGAGGATGTCCTCCACGCCAGTCCCAACGCTTTGCAGCGCTGGACTTTCCCCGAAGCCACCCCCGAGGGCACTCCGGTTCACCAGCTGCCTGTACACACCAGCAATGTCGAAGGTCTACGGAGGCTATGCCGGCAGATTACGGAAAGCAGCGGTGGTCGTATCGAGGCTACCCTCACGTCCTCAGAGCCCAAGGCGGTGCCTTCGCTACAACGGCGGCCAAATGGCTTTGTGACCAACGTCTGTGTGACCGGTGACGGGGAGACAGTACGGAAGATGCGGGCCAAGATTTTGAACGAGACTCCGATTATGTTGGTACGTGGATGAATTTTTTTTTCTCTTCCAAGCACTGGGTCCTTCTACCTTGCACCGATGTTGGACTCGGAGATGGCACATCCCTTGCTAACTTTTCGCTTCTCATTAGCGATGCGCGACCGTCGACGTGGATATGCACTTGATCATGGATGGATCTCCGAAGGGTATTCGAGCGAGCGTGCTCGAGCACATGGACACCTTGGCCGCCTACACCGGGACCGACATTTTCTTGCTGACACCCAAGCTCCACGACGCCGACAGTGCGGTGGTCTCTTCCTATGGCTATGCATCTGATAACGGGCTTGAGCAGCGCTTCCGAGTCGCCATCTACGGTGACATGGAGAGCTCGGAGCACGCAAAGACGCGGGTTCTGATCATGATCGATCAAATTGTGGGTCACTTCTGTGTGCGGGATAATTTCGACGGGAACCGGGCTAACGCAGAACCTCAGCTGAAACGCCATGTGGACGCCATCAAGCTGGAGCTGACCATGCATACCCTGGTCTGTGGACGGACTCGCAAAAACATCAAGCTGATCGAAGCTGCCACCGGCACCGCTATCTACTTCCCTCCTCCATTCCCCCGAATCTTTGGCTATACCCCTCCCGGCGCGAACCGTCGCAGCGAAGACGAAGTCTACATCACTGGAGATACGCCGGAGCAGATTGCTCGCGCGAAGCAAAAGTTGCGAGAGCTGGTCTTGGGGGTGAAAATCTATGTCAAGGATGTCGTGGTCAACTCGAGCAAGATCGACAACATCTTGCTCGATCGCTTGGATAAGGTCCGCAAGGTGATGGAAATGAACGGTTCCTACGTTCTTTTCCCGCAGTTGGGCAGCCAGCGCGGCCTGGTCCGGATTCAGGGTACTGAGGTCTTGCATGTCGAGCGAACCGTCAGAGAAATCATGGCTCTGGTATGAAGCGCCCAAGATATGGGATCGTATGAATCGTAACTAACCAGAAACTCAGGCCGGTCAATTCTATAGCGCCTCTTGGTGGATCCTCATGCCCGATCCTGCGCAAGGCGGCATTCGCGCCCCTTCGACGACCGACATTCGTTCTATGCTCTCGGATATCTGCACCAACTCCGAGGCGGAGGTCAGCTTTGATAATCTGACGTTCACCATCAACGGATCCGATGATGCGGTCAAGGCTGCTATGACTGTCGTGAACCAGATTCCTTTCGTCACTCGCAGCCAATACCAGATGCGAGTTAAGATAGAGCTTGCCAACGAGCACAAGGAGTTTGTCAGTGGCAAGAAGAACGGCAAGATCAACAAGATCATGGGTCAGAGTGAGTACCTCGTTCTTCCTCTTCGCCTTTAGTCTAAGCTATGGATACTAACCCCCTGGACAGGCAATGTTCAAATTATCTTTGACGGCTTCAACGAGTATAACTTCTATATCGACGTGTGCGGCAATCAGTACGACTCTACCAAGAATGGATTGGATCTTGTTGAGCAGGAGATGCCCGCCTCCATCTCATTCCATGTTCCGGACCAATACCACAAGCGAATCATCGGCATTGGCGGACAGCACATCCAGCGGATCATGAAAAAGTACTCGGTGTTTGTGAAGTTCTCCAATGCCATGGACCGCGGCGGGATGGGCAAGGAAGATGACGACATCAAGGTTGACAATGTGATCTGTCGGACTCCCGCCCGCAATGCCCAGAGCCTGGACCTTGTGAAGCAGGAGATCATGGACATGGTCGAAAAAGTCGACGCCGAGTATGTCTCGGAGCGGGTTGTCATCAACCGCTTGTACCATCGTGAGCTGTTGGCTCGCATAACCGAGATCGACGAGTTGGAGAAGAAGTGGAACTGCAAGATTGAGTTCCCCAGCACTGAGCTTGCCAGTGATGTCGTAACCATCTCCGGGCCGGAGTACCAGGTGCCCCAGGCTGTTGATGCTCTTCTCGGTATGGTTCCGGAAAGCCACGAGCTGCACTTCCAGAGCTCTGCAGAGCTTCAGGAGTACTTCAAGTCCCCCGACTTCATCGCGGACGTTCGAACCAAGCTCAAGGAGCAGTATGAGGTTGACATCAATGTCGACACGGCTGCTGAGCTCCCCACCAAGGAGGAGGGCTCATCCTCCCCCGAGCCCGCTCCCGAAGATCGTGTTGTGCTTGGCTACACTCGTAACAATGCGGGTGGTCTGAAAGATGCCATTGACTTCCTGATCTCCCGCCTCGTCGCTCATGGTCTCGACGCGAACACCGTCAAGGGTGCTATTCCCCGCCCCAAGTCGGACTCGTTCGAGGAATCACTTCCCTTCTTCGACTCGAAGCTGTTGCAGCACGCTCCGGCCCCTCTTGTGACGGACTCTCCTACCCGTCCCAGTTTCGCCGATGAGACTAGCGAGCGCGGCTCGATCTTTGAGCGTCTGCGCAAGCCGGGTAGCATTTCGTCCTTCTCCTCGTTCATTGGACGCAAGAACCACTCGGCCTCGCCCGGTTCCTTCTTCAAGCACGCCTCCAGCAACGCCTCCAAGGCCTCGCTCGTCTCGATGGAGTCGCGAGATAGTGGCTACCGCAATCCCTGGAATGACTCCGGGGTGAACCTGCCCGAGGACGATCTGCCCGTCCTCGGCAGCTCGCATAGCCACAAGAGCAGCAGCAGCAACAATGGCTGGCCCACGCGCTTCGACACCAAGTTTCCTTTCGGTACGGCGCCCGGGGACATGACACCCAAGCATGACCCGCGCGCCTCTTTTGACAGCGGTCGCCCTAGCACTTCGAATTCTACTTCTGGATACCCGGCCCCGATTGGGCCACCGCGTTAAACCCAAAATATCCATTTACAGCAGCAGTATACCCTTTTGGTTGATTGATTTGTTTCCAGCGTGTCTCGGTTTGACCTGTCTCTGTGTTTTCGTCTGTGTTTGATGTTTTGGTCTTTTTTTTATTTTTGTGTTTTTCTGATTTTTCAAGTTGATTGATACCACGGAAACGCAAGCAATGAGGGCGTCAGAAAAGAAAACGAGAGATATCCAAGAAATCTGCGTGAGATAGAGCGGATTTTCATTGTTACTGTTTTTGTCTTTCATGCTTCTTTTTCTTTATCTGATCAGGAGGGGAGAGAAACATACGATACTCCTTTTTCTTCTTTTCATCTCTCCTCGATTTTTCTTTTTGATTGTTCTTTTCTTCTATCTTTCTGTGTTTCTTTTTTTGTTGTGATGTCGATGATTCCGGTGTGCATGGGAGGAAACTAAGGGGGTTATATGTTGGAGCCTTTCGAATTCTCACCCTTGAGATGATGATGCCCTCGCCGGCATGGCCGGTCTGGTTTTCGGCGATTTCGATCGACCCGGGAGTTTCCGTGATGGTGATTTTGAGTTTTGTGTCGATGTTTACACGTTCTGATATCCCCCATCAATGAGATTTGACTTGAGATAATGTCCAGCTTGCATCACCGTAGACATTTAAATTCTCCCAACTCGTATTCATTCTTATCATTGTCTTCATTCCACACCTTCAATTAGTTAGACCACGCTGTTCTAACATCCTGGTTCTTGCACAGACGTGTTTCAGCGACGTGGAACTGACGATCTCCGCGCTGACGTAGCAACGTGGGGTCGTTCAACCGACCCCCGCTCCTTTTATAGTTCAGTTCATACAATGACCTTCCATTACACTATCATTCACACCCAATAATTCAATTGCGCCCGATTCAATATCAAGACCAACTAATCACCATGGTATCATCATATCCACGCCCTGATTTCCAACGCAAAGGCCTGAACTGGGCCCCTCTCGACGGGACATGGGACTTTATCTTCGACGACACCAACATTGGCCTATCTGAAAAATGGCAAAGCAAAGGTGTCCCACCACAAACAGCCGACAAACAGCCCAAACGCGAGATTAAAGTCCCCTATGCATTCCAAACCCCAGCATCTGGAATCGGTCTCCTCGAGGCACACGAGTTAATGTGGTATGAGCGCCGTATCGACGACATCCGCACCGATTCGGAAAAAGCCCAAGGAAACAGACTCCTTGTCCGCTTCGGCGCAGTGGACTTTGAGTGCTCCGTTTGGGTTGATGGGCAGTTTATCGGTGGTCATCGTGGAGGTCATGTCCCCTTTGACCTGGACGTGACGGATGCCTTTGCATCGGATGCGAAATCCGCGCGTCTGAGTATGCGTGTTAGAGATTCACCAAATGATCTTGCCCAGCCGCGAGGGAAACAGTATTGGAAGCCTGTTTCGGAGAACATTTTCTATACGCCCAGCGGTGGGATTTGGTTGTCTGTTTGGATGGAGAGTGTACCTGCCATGCGATTGTGTTGTGGTAGTGGCGGGACTGTGCTTCGCTCAGACGATATCGAGCATGGTGAACTCCATGCAAAGATTGCCGTATCTGGTCGATCACCGCAGGCTGGATGCAGTGTTGAGGTTGAGGCTAGTCTTGGTGGAGTACCTGTTAGCAAGAACAAGGTCCCATTGCCGAGTGAGAGGGACTGGGCTGCTCTGGACTTGAGCATGAAAGTACCTCACATGAAAGAGCTGCAGAAGAAAGAACCTTACAATACCGAAGGAGCTTGGCATAATTCCGTGGCTCTCTGGGCCCCTGAACATCCGATTTTATATGATCTGGTTCTACGTCTGTACGATGCCTCAGGAAAAGTCGTTGACGAGATCGAGATAACAACTGGCATGCGCAGTCTATCCTGGCAAAGCGGCGACGGTACATTCCGATTAAACGGCAAACCGCTGTTCCAGATGTTATTCTTAGATCAGGGCTATTGGCCCGAGACAGGGATGACACCTCCTTCATCCGAGGCGCTCAAGGCTGATATCATCATGGCGAAAGACTTGGGTTTCAACGGGTGCCGCAAACACCAGAAGGTCGAAGACCCTCGGTTCCACTACTGGGCTGATCGACTGGGGTATCTTGTTTGGGGTGAAATGGCCAATGCGTACGAGTTTGGAAGTGATTATATCGAGCGCATGAATGCTGAATGGGCCGAGGCTGTGAAGAGGGATATCAATCACCCGTGTGTTATTACGTGGACGCCGAATAATGAGAGCTGGGCCTATACGTCCTTGAAGGATAACATTGATCAGCGGAATCACATTCGCTCGCTGTACTACCTAACCAAGTAAGATTTGATGTGCTTCTGGGATTGGAGATCTTGCTAACACAGAAGCGAAAACAGGACGTTGGATCCCAGCCGACCCATCAACGACAACTGTGGCTGGGAACATGTTCTTACAGATCTAACCACATACCACGACTACGCCGACTCGCACGACCTGGCAGAGACATGCTCCAAAATGGAAGGCGGGATCCTAGGCCAAAAGGCTGGTCGGGAGATGTTCACAAAGCCCATCTATTCCGGCTTCTCAGGCCATACCCTCCTCGACCCCGGTACACAACATAAAGCCGGTGCACCTGTGATCTGCACCGAATTCGGTGGCGTAAATATCGCTCCTCCGAAGGATAGCCATGCTGGTGAACGTGACTGGGGATATACCACCGCCACAGACGTTGAGGATTTCTTGAAGAGGTTTGAAAAGCTGGTGATGGCCATTGTCAAGGGTGGGCATACCTGCGGTCTGGTGTATACACAGCTGTAAGTGGGATTTCCCGTGCCAATATTGGATATGGATAGAATGTGGGCTTGGTTTGCTAACTGCGTCTGCCAGGTGTGATATCGAGCAAGAGGTTAATGGGCTGTATACCTATGATCGGAAGGCGAAGGTTCCCGTTGAAAAAGTCAAGGCTATTATGGATGCTGCTCAGGATTATTACTATCAGCATGTTCAGTCACATGCTCCGAAGGGCTTCAGGAAGTTGTTGCATTCTTTGCATCGATCGTGATTGTTAGCTGAAGATGTTAGCCTAGTATGCTAGTATGCTTCTTGAATGCGGCTGCTGTATTGGGTAGACTTAGCCAAGAGGATGAGACACGACGGTCAGGAGCTTTTATAGAGTGATATCTTGAATAGAATTTGTCCAACTCTTACACTCTACTTGCTGGAGAAACATATTATCCGTTTTTAGTCCTTCTGAGAGGTGACAATGCCTGCCTGTTCTTCATTAAGTGCTTCAGGCCCTCAAGAGCAAATGACAATGATTTGGACTCCCTTATCTACCCAATATCAATCACCTTCGCTTCTAGTTAATTGTAGTCTACGTATAGCAAGCTGCTGCTAAATAGGCTAATCTCCAAGTACTTGGGTCCGGAGCTCTCATACCTCACAACAAGGACCGTCCATGACTCGAGGCAACAACCTACTCGCTAAGTCTTCAACAGTTCTCACGTTGAGAATGTCAACCTCTTATGCAGAAAATTGGGGTATAATATATAATAACACTTTGGTCGGCACAAATTTCCGTTTCTGCAGAATAGCCTACTAGTCGACTCCACTGCCTGTGCGGGGTTTGGACTTCAGTATGCCTTTGCTCCCTGTCAAGAGACGTCAGAGTACCACATCAACCCTGGTCATGCTGCTGAGCTAGTATCCCGCGTCTGCGGGGCCTTGCATACATACAGAAGTAGAAACCTCCGTGATTGTAGAAGACAGGCTGCGCCATAGCGGCTGCATAACGACATCATTGAAATAGGTTCCACGTGAACAATGACGCTAGCTCAAGGCGGAAGGAGGCGCTGTGATGTCTCTTCGCAATAATACGAAGGGATGATTTAAGCGATTCCAGGGTATTCAAATTGTACTACAGAGGCTTCTTCCCATGTGATACCCGCTAGACAGGTCCGCGTTATTTAAGTCTGTTGTTAAATCAAACGGCCTTGACTATTAACAAAAAGCACTCCTTCACGGCTGCGGGGTCTGCTGGAGATTCTTGAGTCTTGGATATCTTCACAATGGATTTCTGGAAGGCTGTACTCGGAGGATCTACCCCTGATGGCATATCCACTGCTCGCCTCGCGGTGGTAGCTATCACCACAGCAGTGAGTTCTTCACCCCACTGTATAATTTTAAAGATACTGACAGTACACCCAGTTTCTAGCATACAGAGTGTGGATAGTAATCTACAATCTCTACATCAGCCCGTTATCCATATTCCCCGGCCCCAAACTAGCAGCAGTCACCAACCTCCCCAGTCTATACTGGACATCCACAGGACAAAACCAATACAAACTCAAACAGCTCCACGACAAGTACGGTGACGTCGTCAGAATAAGCCCTACAGCACTCGTCTACCGAAGTGCCCAAGCATGGAAGGATATCTACGGCCATCGTAAATCAGGGGATGGGTCATTTCTCAAAGATCCTAAATTCTACCTCAGGGGACCGAATGGACCTAACCTCCTCAATGCGGATGAGGCCGACCATGCGAGGGGGAGACGACTTCTCTCCCATGCTTTTTCTGAAAGAGCCCTGCGAGACCAGGAAGGTCTTATCCAGTCCTACGTGGATTTACTAGTTGAACGATTGAACGGAGAGATCAAGGCTGCTAGAAAATCGGTCGATATGACCCAATGGTACAATTTCACCACGTTCGATATCATCGGCGATCTAGCCTTCGGTGAACCATTCGACTGTCTACGCGAAAGCCAGTATCATCCATGGGTGAAGATGGTTTTTATGAGTACCAAGATGGCCATCCTCCAGCGACCGCTGGTGGTATATCCCTTCCTAGCTCCGATTGTGAGGGGGTTACTTCCCAAGACACTAGCCCGAATGCGAGCAGCTCATTTTGCATTGAGTGCGGAGAAGGTCCACCGTCGATTAGAGACCAAGACTGAACGGCCTGATTTCATGACTTATGTCCTTCGATTCAACGATGACCGCGCCATGACTGCCCGTGAAATGGAGAGTAATGCTGCACTGTTGATTCTTGCCGGAAGCGAAACGACTGCGACACTGCTATCAGGCTTCACATACTATTCCCTCAAAGATCCTGCAGTCTACAAGAAACTAGTAGACGAGATCCGAGGATCGTTCACTTCTTACGAGGAGATTGACTTCCAAAGAATCAGCCAGCTGAGTTACTTGAACGCAGCTCTGGAAGAAACACTGCGTGTTTACCCACCCGTTCCAGCGATGATACCGCGAGTAGTACCTCCAGGGGGAGCAGTGATTGATGGCACGTTTATACCGGAGGGAATATCCGTGTCTGGACACCATTATTCAACATACCATGCCGAAGCTCATTTCGCCGAGCCGGACTCGTTTATTCCGGAGCGATGGCTCGAGAGTCGAGATGAGCGGTTTGAGAATGATGATCGGTCTGTACTTCATGCGTTCTCACTCGGGCCTCGGAATTGTCTTGGGAGGAAGTAAGAAATAGACACACTGATTCATTTTTTGAGATTTGCGCTAACTACTTGCTTTCTTTAGTCTTGCATATGCCGAGATGCGACTTATTGCGGCCAAGCTTCTGTGGAGTTTCGACATGAATTTGGAAGAAAGTGCTACGGGTTGGCATATTCAGAAATCATTCAACGTTTGGGAGAAGAAGCCGCTGATGGTGAAATTATCACCAGCGCAGCATATGTAAACGACTGAGAAGAACATTATGTCTTTTTTTTGGATCCTACTTGAAAGGACAGGACTGCATTGAATGAAACACCAATATTGCTTGGTCATTTAAAACTAGGAGCCACCAGGCCCCGTGCTAAGTACCGCATTCGCTGAAAGTGCACTGCTCAAAGAAAAGAGAAAAGAAAAGAGGAGCATGACAAGACTAGTAGAGATAAGCAGAGAAAACGACAACCAAAGAGCAGTGGCAATGGCAAGCCCAATACAGTCAGTCCCACGTAACGCCAGACATGCCGAAATATTTTCTTGTTAGAACGAGGAAGTAAAAAGAAACGTGCGCTGATAGATGCATATTACAAAAAGGGGTGGAGATTAGAGACGATGCACGTAGGGTGATCACATGTTGGCAAGCTCGTGGTCGATCTGGCGGTCCACGAAGGCTCGCTTGTCGCCGGAGAGAGATGTCTGAAGGCGTTGTTCAACGAGGACACGGACTGTTTTGTTTTGTTAGTTATTTGAACAAGAGGTATTTCAATGTGAAAGAGATTGTTTCGACTCACCTTGCTTTTTCGTAACAGTGTCGAGATCCACTTCAGAAAGGCAGTGGCGGATCGCCTCAGTGATAGCAAGCTCATCCGGACCACTGGCAGCACGGAAATCAAAGGCAGTGCTGGCAGGTCGCGAAGGGAGTTGACCTAGTGGGCTGCGCGAGCGGGAGGCAGCGAGAAGGTTCTCACTGCTTTGCATCAAGCCAATGCTGTGACGGCTGGAATGGCCAGGGTTTTCCTGGTACGCGCTGAGGTTGCCAACGGACATGTGACGAGAAGCAGCTGCGGGATGAGCGCCCATCTGAGGATAGTCCGTGTAGCGGGAGAAGCTAGTCATCTGCGAATTGCGGTTGCCGGCCACATTCCCCCCGGTGAAGGGAGCCGGTGACTGCGGGGGCATGTACGGGCTCACGTGGCGACCTTGACCCGGGAAGCCAGTCAGGATGGTCGACGCTGGTCGGACAGACGAGTACTGCGAGTGCATATCATCCATCTCCATGGCATGCTCATCCACGTAGCGGCCAGTGTATTGGACCTTCTCTTGGTTGGCACCAACTTCACCGCGGCGGCCAGGGAGGTTGTTAGCCAGGGCATAGTCATCCCAGCGCTGCAGAGGAATACTGCGGGGATCAAAGCCCTCATCTTCCACGGCAATGACTCGCTTGTCACCCTTCTCACCGATAACCACACGGGTGTTACCCCAAGTGAAGTCATCCTGCTTCCAGAATGAGTACAGAGGGAGCACGAAACTGTAGATGGGGAAGGCCAGAAGATAGATAAGCATCCATCCAATGTGTTGCCACTGTCTCTTGATGATGAAGATAATAGCCTGAAGACCATAGACACCAGCCAACATGACAATTGAGATCATGGGGAAGGGACCAGTGTGACTGGCGACACGGTAGATGAGATAGCCCAGGTAGACACAAGTTGCGGGAAGAATGATTGTTCCCAGAAGATCCACGAGCACGACGAATCGCATACTGAAGCAGCAAAAGCCGCAAAGATCCTTAAGAGCTGCCAATTCGACAAGATTGTGAATAGTGGAGTTGATCCAGCGACGACGCTGCGAAACCAGCACACTCCAAGTCTCAGGGGCGGCGGTACTCGCGAATGCATCGGGGATGAACTTGTAGCGCATTGTCGGGAAGTGCTTGGTCATGAGGGTGGTCAAGAATCGATCCTCACCCAGAGACAGCAGATTCTTCTTGTGCAGAGTGTCGACGTCGATATCAGCGTACTCTTGGAGGACCTTGTCAGAAATAATGAGAGGGCGTCCCTTGTCCGCAGTTCTCAGACGGTACATGCAGAAACTAGATTATGAGTTAGCTGGGGCATATTCAGAGTGATAGGAGTAAAACTTACCATCCAGGAAGACAAGTGACACTACCGAACAAGGACTCGAAGGCCTTGGCCAGATGATGGGAGATATAGTACTCGTAAACCTGAATCATGGTCCACCAACTACGCTCCTCGTTCTGAAGACTAGTCTCACCACAGATACCGGCGATCTTAGCATCAGCCGCACAAGCGGCAACCAAACGATTCAACGAATCTTCCTTGACACTGGTATCAGCGTCGACCATGAAGCAGTATTCATACAGTTCGGGGTCAACGCCAATAATGTTGTTGATCTGATGGAAGATTTCCAGCTCCATGGGCGACATGGGGGCACGGTGGTGGACACGGTTCAGGAAATGCATAAGCAGCACTTGCGAGTCTCGCTTACCACGGTTACCAGGCTTGGACTTGCGCTGCTCGGATTCCTTGCCGACCTTGACCACAACAATGTACGGGACAACATTGCCCTCGTACTCGTACAGACCTGAATAGACCTTTGCGTAGTTCAGCTGCTCGCTACCCTGGCCGACAGACCTGAATGGCAGAGCGGGAGGATCCATCTTGGGGTCCACGCCGAGAATGTCGAGAACAATCTTCGGGGTTGGGCGGTCATTACCACCACCAACGATCATACCATCACAGATGACAAAGATGAGCTTGCGCTTGTTGTCGTACTGCAGGGCAGTCAAAGAGTCCAGACCCTTTCGGAGTGAGTCCTCGCCCTCGGTATAGGCAGGAACCAAGCAAATGACGAATTTATCTTGAGGTGCCGGTCGACGTTTGGATCCCAGTTGCAGCGCTGCCAAGAACTTGACGAGAATCACGGAACAAATGAGAATAGTGAATGCCAGAAGAACCCAATTGTTCACAGTACACTTTGGACTGTCCCGGAAATCGACTTTGCCCTTGTAGAAGACGTAGTCAAGACAGCGTTGCGCGTTCCGGAAGTCTTGGGTATCCTGCCATTTGTCTGTCACATCTTGGCCGGGATAATTCTTGAACAAAGTGGTCACCGCATTTGGCAAAAAAGCGTACGAGTCGAGGTTGTTTTCGGTCTTGGCAGTGTAGAAGTAGTCCGTAAGATCATAAACCTTCTGATTCACGATGACCCAGTATCGGGAATAGTCATTGGCTTGCTTCTCGATAGTGCTCTTCGACCAGACCAGTTCACCCTTATAGTAGTCGGCAATCTTAGGCAAGAACACATCTCCATACCAGGTAATCTTGTGGAGCTTCGTAGTGGTCTGAGGGTAGTTGCGGGGACCACAGTTGTGCTTTGCCTCGGAATACACCACGGCATCAGTGTCATTGTTCAACAGCTGAATCGATTCGTCGGTGACAAAGTTACCACAGTACTGAGTGAGCGGAGGAGGGAAATAAGCGTCCAGGTTCAGTCCTGCAAAAGGCTCCATGTTGGACGAGGTAGTCTCGATTGCGATGTCGCTGTGCTGGAGCTTCCAGAACTTGGAAATATCGTAGACGCGGCCATGAATACTGACAAAAAAGTTGTTGTCTTGGGTGTGCCAGCTGACTTCCTTGTTGTTCCAGGCCTTGGCTTTGTTCGGACACAGCAGGTCACCGAAGGCGATAATGTAGAAGCAGACAATTCCGTTGAAGAGCAAGATGATGAGAACCAAGACGAGCTTCTCTCGCCAGGCAAATCGGACATCGGGACGCTTCATGCGACCAATATACCGAAGAACGAAGGACGGGATCCAAAAGGTGAGAGCCCATACGAGGCCAGTCCAAACGCGACGACCGACTGAGATCTTCTTCTTCTCGATGTGCTTGGGGTCGCCGAATTCCGGGTCAAGGTCGCCAATGTAGCGGCCATAGTCATCGTAGTAGGCAATATCACCCTTGTTATCGTCACCCTTGTGACCAAGACCATAGTCACCACCACCGGTGTGAGTGATTCCAGTGGGGGCGATAGATTTTGCACCACCCATGACAACGCTGGGGGCGATAACGCTTTGATTGTGCATCATCATATCGGCTCCCAAGAGGTTGGAGCTTTCCCCGATGGGGTTACCATCAGGAGTGAAACCGGGTTCGTACATGGTCGCACCATATCCGAAGGGGTTTGCGGGCATCTCCTCCGGCTTGAGGTCCAGCATAGACTCGGCTTCCCACCACGCACCCTCTCTCATCCAGATACGCTGTTGGCCAACAACGGCATCCCCGTTGCTCCAGCCTCTTTCGAGGATCCAGTTCTCGACACCATCTTGGCCTTCAGTGCAGCCAAGTCGGGCATAGCGACCGACGAATTCTTCCACGTCAAAGTCCGCGGTGAAGTCGAGTTGCTTGAGGCGCCGGTTGGCCCATTCGGGCAGTCGCCAATCTCTCAATTGGCGCGAGACTGCACCCGCAGACCAGGCCGCAGTATTGGCAGTGAGCTGTTCCGGGAGGTCATCCGTGGGGTGGATCGACAGGTGATACCAGACACGGCTGCTACCCAAGGTGGTGGGAAGATCGAAGCGTCCCCGCTTGCCCAGGGTGATGCCCTCGCTCTCAACGGGGAACAGGAGCTGTCGCAAGAAGGAGTCTGCCTCGGCTTCTAATCCGACCTTCTCCAAGACACCTTGACGCCTGTCCAGGTCATGCTCGCGTTCACGGCCAGCAGCACCAGTCATGATGCCGAGGTCGGGCTCGACCTGAGCCACGGCAGCACTCATTTCACTGACAACTGACTGGCCGACAGCTGGAAGAGCAATGCCATCTTCTTTCATCTCGGCATTGAGACCCAATTCATCATCAAAGACACCCCGCATGGCAATGGCTTTACCCAACGCCGGGCGCGGAATGTCGATGACTGTCAGGCCGACGGTATCCTCATTAGCATAATGGGCCGCACCGGCACCACCAGTACTGGAGTCGTTCTCCAGAGAATTCTGAATCTCGGCTGCAATGGCCTCGTTGGCTTTGCCGATGACCCAGTCGACGAGGGCTTCGTATATTCCAGCGATCAAGACCTCACGCTCATCGGTAGAGCACTTGTGCAGCAAGACCTCGGGGTCGACTCCAAGGAGACCACCAACGTCTTCGCAGACATCCTCCAATTCCTCCTGGTCTACCATCAGCCCAGCAGCATTGCCGAGCTTGAGCAGACCCGCAAGAACAGAAAGCAGGCCTCGCTGCGCAGCACCCTTGATACCGATTGCCTTGAGGTTGGCACGCAGATCTTCAGCGGCAGCTGCATCGTCGGCAGTAGGGAGATAGGAAGGAGGCGAATAGGTGCCCGATCGATTGAGCAGAGAATAATTGGAAAGTTCTTGAAGGTCCAGGAATTCACGCTCCGCGGCGGTAGAAGCGGAAGTCAGGAGGTAGTAAAAGACATCGAATGCGCGGAAGCCGGCCTCGCCAGGGATCTCCAAGAGACCTTTACGGACGTTGATGCCAGATGTGGAGAGCGCCAGAGACAGACCGATGACTGTGCCCTGCAGAGTCAATGTATAAGAGGCGGAGAAGGCCGAGTGTAGCGAGTATGATGGATTGAACGAAGTCACAGCGGAGAGGAACGGCCGTAGCGCTGCGAGAGATGTGTAGGCTGTCTCCGGGGTGGAGACTGGCAGCGCAGTTAGGAATGGCTCCAACAATGACGGAGTTGACTGGTGTAGCGAGCTATTCATATGTTAGGGAAGGAATATTACGCTGGATGTTCTTGGATTAAATAGACATACCCTAGAATGATACAGCCATCCTCGGCTCGCCTCCGGGCATGTTCCCAAGCCCGGACGGCCAGGTCACGGTCCACCGTAGCCCCATTACGGCCGTCTGGCAAGATGGTAGCGGCAGTCACCCATGTGTTTACGGCCAAGCTGGTGCCCGAATCCAGCTGGTATGGTTGACCAGCTGAATAGAACGAGTGAAGGGCATTGAGCAACGTGGTAGTTGACACCTGCGTGGTGTGCTGGGAAGCCGGCCGAGGGCCAGCTGGGAACCCGCCGGACTGGGTTGAGAAGACCGAGTAGCGGTTCGACATGGCGAAGCGAACCAGGAGGGACTGGGAGTCCAACTATGAGGTTTGGTCTAGTAGATTTTGGAGAATATCACAGCGGCATGGGAAGCAGGTATTGAGTCGAATCGCAGGTGGAGCAGGAGTAGCGAGTGTCGGGGGAAGTTGGCGTGTCAACAAAGCGAGATTCCGTGGGTGTATACTCCGGAGATTTGAGCGAGCGACTGGAGCTAGGCGGACTCCTAAGCGAGTGGAGGGTGAAGATGAAGATGAAGAAGGTTGCAGGAGGATACGAAGATGGCGACTAAGAAAGGGCTGAAATGCTGAAACGGTCGACAAACAACCAAGAGAGAAAAAATGGAGGGAGATAGGCATCAAGCAAGAAGGCGATGGGCGTGGGGAGAAACTGAGAATGGAACAGGGACTGTATGGTACACTTGTACTGTATGTATGGTCGAATACAGCAGCTTGTGAAAATTACAGGGGGCGCCAGTGGACAAGACTGGCGATCCGCGACGACTGGGATCTGCCCGACTCGATCCTAAGCTTTTGAGGGGGAAATTTCTTTCTCATTGCAAATGGACCCTGACCGAGTGGGGAATTTTTCATTTGACAAGTGACGAGGAATGAAATTATTCCATTTACGTCGAAGTTTGCCTTGTGCTCACATATTTCAGGGAAGCGTATTTTCATGAGTGGTTCACTTTCAATTGCCAGCATCATGCAACCACATAGTGTTCTCGTTTAATTTCGTTTGGGAGTCAAGTACTCTGGAGGCAATCGATAATACATAGGAAAGTCTCGAATAGAGTTAGCGGTACAATAGCTTCAAATTTTCAATTTGTAGATTACTGGACTCTGGATCTCATGAGTGGCATATCACATTGTCAGGTGGGCGACCGAGTCTTGCTTCACAGTGTCAACCAATCGGCCACAAGCGAAAGTCTGGTGGATATGCAGGCCAGTGAGACTAGGCCCGCTTAGCTGGGACTAGTATTACAAAGTTACGGAGTGGTGGTGGTGGGTGCTATATTTGGGATGTCTCACAAAGGGGCTGCCGTTCCAAACAATTGCCACTCCAGGGATGGTGACAAGATACAGAGTTTAAAGGACAGGGGTTTCTGGTTTGCATGAGACTGCGTGATATATCGACAGTACAATCAACCTGGTTACTATACACTCTATTCAAGTACATTTTCTTAGTATTTAACATTCATTCTAGTTACATATGATCGTTGCCGACTGTCACAGCCAAAAATATAAAAAAAACCATGTTCAGCCACGAACCCCCTAGTTTCAGTAGTCGGGCCTCCAAGGCTAAAGCGATCGGTTCTCTCTTGTCCACTCACCAGAGGCAGATTTACCTCGAGTGGGCCCCGGTCGGACCATTGACTCTTGTCTGGGTCCTCGGCCCAGAGCGATCGCGAGGATTCTGACATGTTACTATTAATGCAACCTGCAGTGGATGCATCGGCTGAACATTGGACAGTAAGGAGCCAGCAGGGACAGCCTGAGGGTGGCCTATATTCATACTGTGCATGCTGAAACGATATTGTGTAGACGAAAAGAATGTAGACAAAGTTGTGAGCTATCTATACATAGCTATGCTACATCTTTACCCCAAAACTTACCTTGGTACACATCCGCCTGTATGTAAAATTGTACCCTGGAACTGGGCTGGTCTGAGTGCCTTAGTCACCCAACTCCAGGGACCAGGACCCTTTTGGGAGTTCCGGCCAAGTGGAGCCTCTGTTTACCTGAGACCCTCAACCAGATTTAGCTAGGGGAAGTGTGTTTACAGTAAACAACACAATATATCACTTGCCACTGGTTCAATACAACCTCAATGATGTGTGTATGGGGAGGAGCATCTGACAAGCATCGTCATTGAATTCTATATACAGCATCAACTACATACATATACCAAGTTAGTTTCTGGCAGTGTCTTGCAATCCCCCCTCGGCTCTAAACTAGTGGCCCCATGGTGTACCAAACACCGGCAAGAAAACATGTGGACGGTACTCATCATACTGTAACAGCCAATACAATTTCAAGTTTTGGAGTATTTGCAAACTGCAATACCACTTTTTAGGGGTACTTTTTACCCTCCTCCACCACCATCCATTCCCTTCCATTACTAGCTCGATGAGGCGTAGAAGATCAATACTAACTGTAACAAAACCATCGAATACCATACACCCCATACCGACTTACACTGTCTGTACTGCCCCAGACCCGAACCCGAACAAACCACACCCGCTTATCTTTTTCTGCCATCCTCGAGGCGTGCTGGCTTTTGTCTTCCCTTCTGGCCCTTTCTATCATCTGGATTTTTGCTGCCTTCACTCGTTTCTCTTGCATCAACTTCTGGCTCGGCGTTGTCTCTTCCCAGTACGACGCCATTCCTGCCACCAAGCCGCCTAATGTCCCCCATTTCCCTGTAATCGCTAAGGAGTCTTCATTCCGGCGGGCATTCTTGACTCCACGTTCATTCCGAGGCGTGTCAAAAGACTTTTGCACGGCCTGCGCTCCGACGGTCGTTTCTTTACTCTCTGTGAGAGGGCTCAATCTAACCGGCCTTCATCCACTCGCTTTTCTATCCGATCGGCCTCACTGCGGAGAGGTCAATAGCCTCCTCCATCATGGCAGGCAATACCACCGGGAACGCTCCGGCACATGCCCAGTCTTCACTTCCCTCGCTCCCCGCACATCTCCAATCGGATACCCATCTGACAGCCCATCTTGCCAGTCGGTATGTTGTGGATCTATTAAGTTGGTCATATTGAGGGGGGATAGCATACTAACGATCTGAACAGCTTCCATGTCGGACTACCGACTGCCCGCCTCTCATCACAAGCATTGATCTCCTTTAACACTTACACATCAGCAACAAAGGGCCCAGATGGTGAAAAGGAAGGTAGCGCTGCTGGAGAAGCAGAGGACCTTGCCCGTCGCGCTTTCACTCGGCTGGGAGCTCGTGGGGAGAACCAAGCCGTGGTGTTCCTGTGAGTAGACTTGTCCGAGCATCAGCAAACAGAATTAACCGCTGACTTGCACTCTTCTCAATCTAGCGGAGAGAGTGGTTCGGGTAAAACTACCATTCGCTCACACCTGCTATCCTCCTTCCTGTCCTTTTCCTCGACCCCGCTGTCCTCCAAACTTTCTTACGCTGCCTTTGTCTTCGATACCCTGACCACCACCAAATCTGTGACCACTCCAACTGCCTCCAAGGCTGGTCTATTCCTCGAGCTTCAGTACGATGGCTCGTCTTCCGTTAACCCCACCTTGATTGGTGGTAAGATCATCGACTACCGATTGGAGCGAAGCCGTATCTCGTCTGTGCCGACTGGCGAGCGCAGCTTCCACGTTCTATACTACCTCCTGGCCGGCACAAGTGCGGCCGAAAAGTCGCATCTGGGTTTCGACAACTCCATCCATATCAACACCGGCGGCAAACTTTCATCCGACTCGGTGAGCCATAAGCGATGGCGGTATTTGGGCCATCCGACCCAGCTTAAGGTTGGTGTGAACGATCACGAGGGTTTCCAACACTTCAAGACTGCCTTGCGGAAGCTTGAGTTCTCTCGCGGTGAGATTGCCGAGATTTGCCAGATCTTGGCCAGTATCCTGCACATTGGCCAACTGGATTTCATGTCTGGACAATCCACCACCACTACAGCTGAGGAAAGTGGTGGTTACTCCCACGAGGGTGGTGAGACAGTCACCGTTGTGAGAAATAAGGATGCTCTCGGCAACGTTGCTGCTTTCCTGGGATTGAGTGTGGAAGCCTTGGAGAACAGCTTGGGCTACAAGACCAAATCCATTCACCGGGAGCGTGTGACGGTTATGCTGGATCCCCGAGGTGCTCGAGAGAACGCCGATGCATTCGCCCGAACCATCTACTCACTTCTTGTCACCTACGTGATTGAGACCGTCAACCAGAAGATCTGCGCTGCGGAGGACAGCGTTGCCAACACCATCTCGATCGTTGATTTCCCTGGCTTTGCTCAAGCACCGGCCACTGGATCGACCCTCGATCAGCTCCTCAGCAATGCTGCTACCGAGTCCCTCTACAACTACTGCCTGCAGTCATTCTTCGACCACAAGGCCGATATTCTGGATCGCGAGGAGATTACAGTCGCAGCAACCAGCTACTTCGACAACACTGATACCGTTCGTGGTCTCCTGAAGCATGGCAATGGTCTGCTGAGCATCCTGGACGACCAGACTCGTCGGGGACGTAGTGACGCCCAATTCCTCGAGAGCGTTCGCAAGCGCTTCGAGGGCAAGAACCCCGCGATCTCCGTGGGTAGCGGCGGAACTACAAGCACTGGGTATCTCTCCCAGGCCCGGACTGCCTTCACTGTGAAGCATTTCGCTGGTGAAGTAGACTACTCCGTCACTGGTCTCATTGAGGAGAACGGAGAAGTCATCTCGGGTGACCTGATGAATCTCATGAAGTCTACCCGCAGTGACTTTGTCCGCGAACTGTTTGGACAGGAGGCGCTGCAGACCATTTCCCACCCGCGGGAGAAGACTGCAATTATGCAAGCCCAGGTCTCCTCCAAGCCTCTGCGCATGCCCAGCATGGCTCGCCGCAAGCACGACCAACAGGCCCGCCAGATTTTCTCGGACCGTGGCGAGAGCGAAGAGCCAGACGACCGCGATAGCCAGGCGACCAGCTCTAGACGCAGCGTGGCCGGTCGCAAGAGCGGTCTGATGACTGGCCATGTACAGGGTGCAGCCGGTCAGTTCCTTTCGGGTCTAGAGATCATCAATAAGAGCTTGAGCTCACCGAACCTCAACCCGTACTTTGTCATCTGTCTCAAGCCCAACGATCGCCGCATTGCGAATCAATTCGACAGTAAATGCGTTCGCATGCAGGTTCAAACCTTTGGCATTGCCGAGATCAGCTCGCGGCTGAGAAATGCTGACTTCAGCGTCTTCCTCCCATTCGCGGAGTTCTTAGGCCTGGCTGATATTGGCAACGTCGTGGTTGGTAGTGACCGCGAGAAATCGGAGGTCATCTTGGACGAAAGAAGATGGCCCGGTAACGAAGCTCGCGTGGGAAGCACTGGTGTTTTCCTAAGCGAGCGATGCTGGGCCGATCTCGCCAAGATCGGAGAACGTGTGGTTCCCTCCTACAACAAGATTGCCGGCTCTGATGAAGGTGATGTTGGATACCAAGCCGGTGGAGCCGACACCAAGGTCCGTCTTTTGCAACCGTCCGATCAATCACCAGGTGCTTTCATATATGGCGATGAGTCCAAGCAAGGTTATTTCGGCAGCCGGGAGCTGGACGGCAAATCCGATGCAGGTGCCTCGGCTTTCAACTCGGGCGATATGTTCCGGAATCTTGAGACTAAGGAAGAGATGCTGCAGAAGGGCAATGAGAAGAATATGGAGGAGGTGGACGACGTTGTGGTCTCCAGCTCTCGTAAGCGCTGGATGGCGTTGGTCTACCTGCTGACCTTCTTCATCCCCGACTTTTTGATCAAGTGGATCGGCCGTATGAAGCGCAAGGATGTCCGGGTTGCTTGGCGTGAAAAGCTGGCCATCAACATGATTATTTGGTTTGCTTGTGGTGTTGCAGTCTTCATGATTGTCGCTTTCCCTGGATTGGTCTGTCCAACTCAACATGTCTTTTCGAAAGGCGAACTCAGCGACCACAATGGCAAAGGTAGCGCAAGCTCCTATATTGCAATTCGGGGCGTGGTCTTCAACTTTGGCGACTTCATGCCTGCCCACTACCCTGATATCGTTCCGCAAAAGTCTCTCAAGAATTATGCCGGTACCGATGCCACCAACCTCTTCCCCATCCAGGTTTCAGCACTGTGCCAGGGTGTGGATGGACATGTGGACCCCAGCGTGCCTCTTGATTACCGGTCCAACATGAACGATTCTGCTACTACCACCTCTACCACTGATTACGATGTCAACGCCAAGTACCATGACTTCCGTTACTGGACCGATGATCCCCGTGCCGATTGGTTCTATGAGCAGATGGTCATGATGCGCGCAAACTACAAAAAGGGCTACGTCGGATATACTGCCAAGTATATGAAGACGCTCGCAGATGACGATAGCAAGAACATTGTTAGTATCGATGGAAAGGTCTACGATATGACTTACTACATTGCTGGTCCTCGTATCCCTCGTTATCCGAAGGGCAAGAACGCCACTGGAGACGTCAATACGAACTACATGAGCCCGCTCCTTGTCACTCTCTTCCAGCAGAAATCCGGTACCGATGTGACGAAGTATTGGAACGACCTTGCTATTGATGCGACCACGCGCGCGCGGATGCAGCTTTGCCTGGATAACTTGTTCTTCGTCGGACATGTCGATACCCGTAACTCGGCCAGATGTCAGTTTGCTCGGTACTTCATTCTTGCCATCTCGATCATGATTTGTGTTGTCATTCTGTTCAAGTTCTTGGCTGCTTTGCAATTTGGAAAGAAGAACCTGCCTGAGAATCTGGACAAGTTCATCGTCTGCCAAGTGCCGGCATACACTGAAGATGAAGATTCACTTCGTCGTGCCATCGACTCTATGGCCCGCATGCGTTACGATGACAAGCGCAAGCTCCTCTTGGTTATTTGTGACGGTATGATTATCGGTCAGGGTAACGATCGTCCCACTCCCCGGATCGTCCTGGACATTCTGGGTGTCCCTGAGTCTGTTGATCCCGAACCTCTCAGCTTTGAGAGTCTAGGCGAGGGTATGAAACAGCACAACATGGCCAAGATTTACTCCGGTCTCTACGAGGTTCAGGGTCATATCGTTCCTTACCTAGTTGTTGTCAAGGTCGGCAAGCCTTCCGAGGTGTCTCGCCCTGGTAACCGTGGCAAGCGTGATTCCCAGATGGTTCTCATGCGTTTCCTCAACCGTGTTCACTACAACCTGCCAATGAGCCCTATGGAGCTTGAGATGCACCACCAGATTCGAAACATCATTGGTGTTAATCCGACGTTCTACGAGTACATCCTGCAAGTCGATGCCGATACTGTCGTTGCCCAGGATTCTGCTACACGATTCGTCTCCGCTTTCCTCTCCGATACGCGCCTCATCGCTGCTTGTGGTGAAACCTCCCTGTCCAATGCCAAGACCTCCATGGTTACGATGATACAAGTGTACGAATATTACATCTCGCACAATCTGACCAAGGCGTTCGAGAGTCTTTTCGGATCCGTCACTTGTTTACCCGGTTGTTTCAGTATGTACCGTGTCCGTTCAGCGGAGAGCGGTAAGCCCTTGTTTGTCAGCAAGGAGGTTGTCGAGAGTTACTCCGAGATTCGCGTGGATACTCTGCACATGAAGAATCTGCTCCACCTGGGTGAAGATCGATACCTGACTACACTCCTGCTCAAGCACCATCCCAAGTTCAAGACCAAGTACATCTTCCGCTGCCATGCCTGGACTGTTGCCCCCGAGAGCTTTGCCGTGTTCCTGTCCCAGCGTCGACGATGGATCAATTCGACTGTGCACAACCTGATCGAACTGATTCCCCTGCAACAGCTCTGCGGTTTCTGCTGTTTCAGTATGCGTTTCATTGTCTTTGTCGATCTGCTCAGTACCATCATCCAGCCTGTTACCGTTGCGTATATCATTTACTTGATTGTCTGGCTGGTGCGCGACAGCTCGGTCATTCCCTGGACAGCGTTCGTGTTGCTCGGTGTCATCTATGGTCTACAGGCATTCATCTTCATCGTTCGTCGTAAGTGGGAGATGATCGGCTGGATGTTCATTTACATTCTTGCCATTCCCGTCTTCACTCTCGCCCTGCCTCTCTACTCCTTCTGGAACATGGACGACTTCACCTGGGGTAACACTCGTGTCATCACCGGAGAAAAGGGCCGCAAGGTCGTCATCTCCGACGAGGGCAAGTTCGACCCAGCTTCGATCCCCAAGAAGCGCTGGGAGGAGTACCAGATGGAGCTGTGGGAGGCGCAAGAGGGACAGACCTCGCGCGACGACCACTCCGAGGTCTCTGGTTACTCCTACGGCACTCGTGCACACCCCTTCGCACAGTCACAGTCCGAGTACGGCTTCGCCGGCTCGCGCCCTGTCTCTCAGTTGGATCTGCCGCTGCTTGCATCTGGATCGCGTATGTCTGTGGCACCTTCCGAGATGATGAGCCATCACATGGACATGGACATGAGCATGGAGGACTTGAGCCACCTGCCGTCAGACGATGCGATCCTCGCTGAAATCCGTGAGATTCTGCGCACGGCTGATCTTATGAGTGTGACGAAGAAGAGCATCAAGCAGGAGCTTGAGCGCCGATTCGGCGTCAACCTGGACCTGAAGCGGCCATATATCAATTCTGGTATGTTATCAATCCTTTTCTCACAGCACAATCTTCGATGAATGTTCACTGACAGTGTTTTTCTAGCTACCGAGGCTGTTCTTTCCGGTCTTCTGTAATCCGACCATCGCAGCGACTTTTTCTGATAGTCCGCGATGCTCTAAAAATCCGCAATAGGCATCGCCGTGGTTTCGGAATACTGTGTTATTAATGTTTGCTGCCTCTTTTCCAACCACCCACTTCATCATAGGGCCTGTACGCTCTCCTCTACAAGTCGTCTTTTCTGTTTCAAGCGAACTCTTTGCATGGATGAGACCTTTTTTTTTTCTTTCTTATTTCAGCGTGTCTCCTTTTGTTTTTCTGACTGTTTCTGGACTGAATGGTTTTTCGTCAACACTTCTTTTTGAAAATTTTGGGGTGCACAGTCCATAAATCAGCTATCATTTTTAGTGTCCCTCTGTTTTTCTGTCTCCCTTGTTCTAACTTCTAACTCTTCCGGGGCGCATTTGCATTTTAAATCGGGTAATGCCCAGAAATTATATGCTCTGGTGTTTAATATGATCTCGTCTGAGGAATGTTGGCTTTTTTTGGAAATTGTAGATATTTTCTAGTACTGTACTGTAGTTAACTAAGATCTGGATTTATGTCACTTGCACACTTTCAAATACCCCGCAGGAAATTCAACCTATCAGAGTACAGTATGTACATCGCTCTTCTTCTATCGACAGGCTGACAGCACGCCACGCCAAGTGGGGTTACAGTTGCAGATCGGGGCCTCCGCAATCAGATTTATATTCTCGGCGCAAGCTCCATAATTAACAACTTCGCAGAGACAAGCTCTCATAACTGGAAATCCCAAGACAAACTACCTATATATCCCACCTCCAAAGACATCCATCCTTCTTCACACCACCTGCACTGCTACATATATTCCTCATCACACCAACATCAACAATAACAATCAGCACCAAAATGTCCGGAAACCAACAACCCCCGACAATCCCCGCCGAAAACCAAAAACAAGAAGCATTAGCCGCCTTCACCGCAACCCTGCACTCCGTCGGCACAAACCTCGAACAACCCCTCCGTGACCGCGCTGCCACAATCACAGCCAACGAAGCCGCGCTACAACGACAAGAGGCCGAGTTGGCGGAGCATACGGCGCGGCTTGCGAGGCAGAATGCGTCTTGGGCGGGACTGGCGGATGAGACGAGGGAGGGGTTGAAGGAGATTGGGGATGTGCAGAATTGGGCGGAGATGATTGAGAGGGATTTGTTGGTTTTGGAGGAGATGATGGATGGGGTTGAGGGGGAGGAGGATGGAGAGGGGAGTGAGTGTGGTGAGGATGAGATGGGTAGGGATGGGGAGGTGGTGAATGGGCATATAAATGGGGATGGAAATGGGGCGGTTAATGGGAATGGAAAGGGGAAGGGGAAGAAGGTGAATGAGTCTAAGGGTTGGTTGCGTTGGTGGTGAGATATTGAGATGTTTCGATCCAAGTTTATACTTCTTTGGGTATCAACATATTATGCTTCATCTTTTCATTCCTCCTCGTCAGCATCTTCTTCCTCTTCCTCCTTCTTAGCCTCCTCCACATATCTCCTCCAGACATCCAATCCTCCAGGTCTCTCCCCTCTCCCTTCTCCTTCTCCCTCTTCCTGTTCCCCTGTATACTCATTCCCATACTCATCCCACTCCTCCCACTGCCCAAGACTCATCAAATGCCGCATCGTCGGTCTCCCATGAGGACAATTCCACGGTTTATCAATCGTCCCCATATTCCGCACAACCCGCTGCATCTGCCTCGTAGTCAAAGTCTTCCCAATCATGATACTAGACCGACACGCCCGCATAGCAAACATCTTGCGCACCTTGCTAGGCCGGGGTACTGAAACCCCACTAACACTCGAGGCCTCGGACAAAAGGACGATTAACTCCTCAAGATCACGCGAGCCAAAGACGACCTCTTTGCTAAGCGGGAGCGATACTAACTGACACCGCCGGCCGATAGGTTCGTCGCCACTTTCGTCGATAGTAACGATGAATCCGTTCTTTTCCAGAGCGGAGCGGTTCTCAAGGACGATCTCCTCTTCGACGGCGGTGAGATCGAGTCGCTGTGGTCGGACGAGACGTTGGTTTTGAACGACCGTTTCAGCTTGGAGACGCTCGAAGTTGAACTTTTCGTCCGAGGCGTGCTGGTCGATGATGAATAACTCGTCGTGGTCTTCGCCCGGCCGGACGGCAATGATGAAACCCAGGTTGAATTGTCCGATGATGCGCATTTGGGCAAAGTCTGCTTTGCTCACGGTGAGCGAGAGGCGGTCTTCTGCGGTTTTCTCGTCGCTCAGCTCGGTGTCTGCTTTGCGGGATGACACTTTCTGTGTCTGGAGGCTTTCTCGTAGTTTGGCCATCTGGGTTTCAAGTTTAGAGACCGAGGCATCGATGGTAGTGACGAGTTGAACAGTGGCATCACGGTGTGCGGCACCTTTGTTCATTTTGTTCGCACGACTGGTATTGTGCTCGGATGGAAGGACGGCCTTTTCTTCAGCTTGATGGATGAGCCGTTGAACCGTGGCTTCTTCTTGGGCTTTTTTCTCGGCTTCGTCAAGGGCATTCTCATCCGTCTCTGCTGCCGATGCTTTTTCGATTGGTTGATGGTCATTCTCGGCCTCCCCATCAGGAGACTCGCGGGTTCCTTCGGAGATATACTCGGTATCCTCTGGCTCGGAAGAGTAGGCTTTCTCCTCCCCCTCCTCCTCGGGAGCTTCTTCGGCCTCTTCATCAATAACGCCATCTTCATTCGTCTCACTCGCATCATCTCCACTCCCTTGCTCTTCCTCTTCTCCCTCATCTTCATCCATCTGCGTCCCAGGCGCTGCAAAAGCCTTCATCTGCACTCCAAATATATTAGGTCGTGACGGCGTATGGATTCGTCGTTTCTTCTTGGTCTGTCCATGAGACGAATACCCGACATCAGATGCTCGCTTTCGCGGACGACCGCTGCCAATCATGGAGGTAACCATGTGATCGCCAATAGTGATAGTAGCCATCTCAGCAGGCATTCGACGAGGGCGCATTCGGTCAAAGGCGTTCTGCACCACGTTTGGCATCTCTTCAGACTCATCTGATTGTTGTGATAGTGCTGAATCGGGTTCTGCGGGCGGAGAAGATGGCCGTGGAGGTGGTTGAGGGGTTTCTTCATCCATCTCATTGTCCAACGGTTGTTCGGACTGATCATCGTTCTCGTCGTCAGGCTCAGTGGAAGAAGGCTCAACTAATGATGGCATCGGTGTCTGCTGGGAATTCGGTGTAGATTTTATAGGAGTCGACAAAGTATCAACTTCATCAGACTCGCCCCGGTTGCTCATAAAGCGCTTGATACTATTCTGCACAGTCCGTTGCGAGGCCTCTGACTCCTTTTCAGAGTCATCAACATCCTGGCCCCGGGCCGGCGTGACTGCAGGCCCTGGAGTACCCTGGATAACTTGTCGCGCAGTAACAAACCCAGGAAGCGACCCCAGTGCTTGCTTCTTGGCCGTCGTCGAAGCCTTAGAGCCAAGCACCTGCGACTGAGGAACCGTCTGATCCGCAGCCTCAAATAGCTGCACCAAAGACGTCTTCAACGACTCAATCAGCGCCGCCGCATCATGCAGTAGAATCGTCCGCTTATCCGGTGACACATTCACATCATAAGCATTCGTATCCATCTGAAAATCCGCAAAGATAAACGGTGATTGCGAGACATTGAACGATTTATAAACTTCATTAAATGCCTTTGCAATCTGCGGTAGCCCACAAGGCCGTGAGTTGACAAAAAACATCTGTCGATCCGGTGTCTGGCGTCCCTCGCCAAAGACAGGTCGAGAGATATGTCCCCTAACCACCAACTGATTAGATTGTCCATCACCACCACCGACACCACTGCATCTCATAGGCGCAGAAGGTTCAAATTCCAGCTCGAGATCAAGCGGAATCAGCGCAGACAACGTCTTGGCCCCGTATACATTGGCAATATTCTCCTTCGTGGTACGATTCCCATTCGTAGAGAAAACAACCACGTTCTTCGTTTTGCCAACGGTGTTCCGGACGCTGAATTTGACTCCGGCACTGATGCAAGCGTATGCATGGAGTAGATTCAACACTTTCCCATATTCCCGCTTGATATTTTTCTCCAATTCGCGCCGGCGTACGGGGAGTCGTTTGAAAATGCCCTCCACGGATGCGGTGGTTCCCTTTTGTCCGGCCACGATCTGGGTTTTGCGGAGTTTGCCGGATATTTCAAAGTCAAGTCGATTTGCACGGGGAACTTGATTCGCTTGGGCTGTGGTGATGTGGAAGTCGGCGAGGGCGCATAGTGAGGAAAGAGCTTCGCCGCGGAAGCCGAAGGTGTGGAGGCTTGAGAGGTCGTCGAAGGAGGATAGTTTGGAGGTGTAGTGTTTTAGTGCTGAGAGGTGCATTCCAGTGTTAGCTTGTAGAGTTGGGGGTACAGAACCCAGGTGGATCAATACTCACCGACGTTCTCATAGTTCTCCGGCGAGATGCCACTTCCGTTGTCCTGCACCTCGATCAAGTCCAGTCCATTGTTCTTGAATCGCACCTCTAAATAGACAAGACAGTGAGACAGATGTGAAAAGTCTTTGGAGACTGAGCTCCATTCGACTCAAAAGCACAAGCTCACCTATCGTAGTTGCGCCGGCATCGAGGCTGTTCTCAACCAGTTCTTTGGCGACGGAGCACAGGTCTACGATAACTTGGCCGGATTGAATTTGGTGGACCTGGGAAAAGCTCAAGTTAGCGAACGCATATTTAGGCCGTATCATATACCAGAATACCCACCGAACGAGCCTCGATGGCCTGGATGGTCGCCATAGTTCATGGCATGTTATCGGTGAGGTGAGGCGCGTCGCACTTTACGCGTTAGGTGAACTGCCAAGCTCCGCCGGTTACTCCGCAGTTATCCCACAACGGAGCTAAGCACCGGACATTTCTACAGTTGATTGAAAAATATATTTGAACAGAACATATTTCATGTACGATACGAATTATATTGCTGCAAGCCAATGTGCAAATATAGCGTCCAATAAAAACAGATAGAAGTAGTGATCGCTCAGAACGCCTTAAAACTCAACCCAGTCAGTTTCCATCCTCATCATCTAGAACGCAGCAAAGCGATCAGGCAAGACCACTGGCGCAACCAGCGTCCAGAGATAAATTGCGTAGCACACCCAAGAGCTGAAAATCTTCACCCAGCTGGCCCAGTAAGTCCGGCCGACCGGAGCAAAGTCCACGTTGGTGTCAACCGTAAGGCCCTGTGACAACAGAGTGGCCACCCAGGTCGTAGCAAGGAAGAAGATGATGTGGAAGAGAGTGTAGCTATACTGGGTTGAGCCACGCTCGTCATCCTTGCTGCTAGTCTCAAAGTCGTCCTCGTCATCACTCTCATCCAAGGCACTAGCTGGCAGACTACCGCTCTCGACAGCAGCTCGGAGAGCTTCAGCGCGCATCTCCCGACGGGTGTTGGGCTGTTGGGTGACCAGTCCGTGCTCGTTATCATCCCCAAGCTCAATATAGCCATGTCCACCCTTCGAGCCTAGCGCAATTCCTTGAGTAGCTGCGCGCGTGGTGGTATACGCAACGGTGGCCATGGTCACAATTGCACCTAGGACGATGGTCGCAGTCCGGGTTTGAGTCGACCGGACCAAGGGGTTGCAGTTGTTGTCATCCGGCTCCATCGAGACGGCGGAGAGCGTGAGATAGGTGCAGTACACCGTGACCATAGCAGCTTGGGCCAAGCCGGCACGAGGGTTGGACTCTTGAACGGCCGGCTGAACCGACACCGCCGAGATGATCAGGAAGACAATAAGGTTGACCGTGATCGCAGCCTGATTCATGGAGCACCCGCTCTTGGCGAAGAAGATGTACATCAGAATCGTCATGACAAGCGAGGCCAGATACATGCCAAGGGTTGATCCGATCAGCAGGCCGCGCCACATGCGCGAGTCACTATCCTCGATCTTCTGTAGGCAAAGTTCGGCCCAGGAGTGGGCAAGATCCACCAGGAGGATCAGACCCAACAGCAGGAAGAGCATCGCACAGAAGAAGGCGATGTAGTTGCCGTACACGAAGAAGAAGGACTCGGGGATAAAGAAGGACATGACGACAAAGCCCAGCCAGATCAAGATCTTCGGGCCCCAGAACCCATTCTGGAGTGCTGCACGGCTATCCCGGGTGTTTTTGACGCCAAGGAGTAAAAGTGCCATGATCAAGTGGAAGAGACCGAGACCGAAATTGATGCGATGGACCGCAACCCAACCGTGGCATTCCTTGCCGTCGCATTTGATTTCCATATAATCGAGAGTCAAGTGTTGCAATTTCTTCATAGCCCATGGCGTAAGCATGATCCAAGACACGATGGAATTGATCAACAGGATGAAAGCGTATGCGATTCGTGTTGCCATACTATATCGCGGTTAGCACAGATTCTCTGCGTCAAGTCCTCTGCCAGTCTAAATACCTATTCTGGAATTTTCCGCATGCACTGCAGACCGCAGAGCAAGTCGCAGCGCCGCAGCATGAACCGCCGAGGGTGATGAGCTATTCGCAAGTGGAGCAGTCAGTTTACCGCTCATCCGGTGACTCGAATGCGACTTACCGTGCCCACGCTGGGCAGCGCCATCAGCGGTAAAGACAAGAGGGCACCCATGATGAAGGGCCGAGGGTCAGGTCAAGACCAGAGAGCAAGTAGGTCCTGGATTCTGGAGGTCTGTAAAGAGGGGTTGGCAAGTTGAGAGAGGGCAAAGGCAGGTGGTGCCTGGGGGCGTTCGGCGCAAGTCAAGTGGAGTTGCCGAAGATCCCCAGCCCGCCTTCGTCATGTCCAAGTCACGTGCGTAAGAACATCTTATGTCAGCGGATCCGGAGATCGGCCAAAGTTTCCCCCAAAGGTGAAGGTACGAAGTATTATCGTATCGAGCAATCATCGTTAGTTCCTGGCTGGATCAGGGAGATACTTCTATGAATAGAAATCATTTAGTAAAAAGGAGTACACAGCTTGAGATATAATAAAGAAAACAAGAGAAAGAATACCCTCGGGGTGCATATCTAGCATCTCGTATAGTAGGTGTTGATGTACATGTTTACAACAACAACTCAAAGGTTTAGACAGCGGCATATAAACTATATAGGAAAGAATAGAATATTAGACCCAAGATATTGCTCGTGGGCTCTATTCATGTATTCAAAGAAAAACAAATGGATGACTGATGCCACATTGTTGTATTACCTAAAGTCTTCTCCACGAGAGGAGCCACGCCAAAATGACTGCTGTTGACAAGCCTCAACAGATAATGATTGGGGAAGTATACCCCCCTTTGGCTATTGACATCCCAAGAATAAGGTTTCTAGTCAGCCAGTTGTTGTCCAAATAGAAGCGATCATCTGCTGCGAGAGTAGTCCCAACTTAAAGAGCCACGCGTGACAAGGAGACATGCTGGACATGCGAGCCCACCGTAAAAAAGGCTTGGCACTTCGGCCGAGGCCGGTGGAGCAGTACGCGCTGTCTTGCTGTCTTGTCTTTTCCCCGTTATCGTGGCCTCCTCGTAGGCCGATTACGACGCTCCTGAACCTCCTCGCTCAACTCGATCTCTCATTTTCCCTTCATTCACTTACTTTCCCGTCGCTGCTGTCCCCTTCCAGTCCCTCTTTTGTTCGAGTCCGATGTTCTTCCTCTTGTCGCCCTCCCATTCTCCTCCCAGTCCAAGTTCCTAAAACCCCGATCCTCTCCTCCGATAACACACCTTGACGCAATCGCATCCCTCTCCGTAGTGTGTACAACGCACAATTGCGGGACAACACTCCGAGAAAATAAGACTCCCTCTAGAATCCCGCAAACATGACCGGCTCTTATCATGGCACTGCCCGGACTATTTCGGTCATCGCAGGCACTCTGGTAGCTCTGTCCTGCGGAACTAATGTTCGTGATTCCCAGTCCGCTCTAAGCAATCCCATTTCTCGTACGCCGACCCGATGGCTAACAGTAAGTATCTATATAGTATGCATACTCGGCATGGGCACCTCAGTTTGCGCATCGCATGAAGCTCTCGTCGACCGAGAGTAATTTGATCGTGAGTCGTGTGACCCCAGACCGGCGAAACTCCGATGTTGACAGCTTGGCAGGGTGCCGCGGGAAATCTGGGCATGTATGCGATGGGCATCCCAATGGGATTATTGACGGATGCTCGTGGCCCACGACTGATCACCCTGGTCGGTTCGATCTTGCTGGCGTTGGGATACTATCCAATTTACCTAGGTATGCAAGTTTGGGACGAATACATAGGATCGAGAATATCCTTGCTGACCTCTATAGCGTATCAATCGGGAGAGGGCTCGGTGCCAATTATCTTCCTGTGCTTTTTCGCTTTCTTGACGGGTACCGGTGGCTGCTCTGCCTTTGGTGGTGCCATTAAGACAGGTATATCAGTTCATACTCCCTTAGAATAAGAGTTAAAGCTAACCTTCATCTCTTGCAGCTGCTTCAAACTTCCCCGATCACCGTGGTACAGCAACTGCGTTTCCGTTGGCTGCCTTCGGACTGAGTGCTCTGTTCTGGTCTAATGTTTCCACATTAATCTTCAAGGAAGACACCGGTCGCTTCCTCCTCTTGTTGGCACTTGGAACCTCGATTCTCTCTTTTTGCTCTATCCCATTCCTTCGAATATTTTCCGTCGAGTCCTACTCATCTCTACCTCATCATGGCCCTGGTGACCAGGGCAATTCTCAGCGGATGCGCCGCGGAAGCAATGTGCCTGTGAACTCGGAGGACCACAACTCTACTGCATTCGCTCATGGGCAATCGGCACACGCGCGTACGCAATCGACAGTGTCAAACCACCGAGCCTATGGCGCCGATTCGGATGAGACCTCCTCCCTAGTGTCTAAGCCCGATGGTAGACCCTCCTTCGACACACTAGATGACGATTACCTGGGCGTTGTGGCTATGGAGGCGCACCACCCGGATATTCGCGGGTTGACGATGTTACGCCATATTGATTTCTGGCAGTTGTTCCTGACCATGGCGCTGTTATCCGGTATTGGTTTGATGACCATTAAGTAAGTTAAATCGCTCCGCGCAAGCTTATGTTTCAATTACTGACAACGTGCTCGCAGCAACATTGGCAATAGCGTAAGATCATTAACCTTGACGTTTCATTTCAAATCCTAACCCTCTCTCCAGGCCAAGGCCCTCTGGCTCTATTACGATGACAGTGCTACTTCCAAATTCATCCATCAACGACAGGTCATGCATGTCTCGATTCTCTCATTCTGCAACTTCCTCGGCCGGCTCTTCAGCGGTATGTGACTCTCGAGGCGAAGTCATTCACGCATACTAATTTGTTCTTCCAGGCATCGGCTCCGACATTCTTGTCAAGAAACTAAACATGTCCCGCTTCTGGTGTCTTCTAATCTCAGCCGTTGTCTTCACCCTGACCCAATTTGCGGCCTCCTCAATCTCCAACCCGAATACGCTGGTCGTTGTCTCTGCTTTTACTGGTGTTGCCTACGGATTTTTGTTCGGCGTATTCCCCTCCTTGGTCGCACATACCTTTGGCATTGGCGGTCTTTCACAGAACTGGGGTGTCATGACTCTAGCCCCCGTGTTCAGTGGAAACGTCTTCAATCTTCTATACGGCACCGTCTACGACCGACACTCCGTTATCGGCCACGAAGGTGACCGCGAGTGTCCCGATGGCCTGGCCTGTTACCGCTCCGCCTATTACCTGACTTTCTTCTCCGGGCTTGCGGGCATAGGCGTTTGTTTATGGAGTATCCTCCGCGAGAGACAGATTCACAACGTTGGGCGGAAGAAGACCGATCACCGACTCGCATAGACGACGGGATCCCTTTCTAATTAGAACTAGTCAGTGTCTTTTCTCGCGCTGACTAACGGAATTGCACTGTTACCTACTGTCCAGCTCTCATTTCCGGGTTTTTTCTCATGTCCCGGGGCTGGCAACCTTATGATCAACAATTGCTGGTCAACCCTCCACGATCTGGCGTCGACGCTGAGCTTCTTATACATCCCGTGCATTCATGGCTTCATTTTATCATCTGTTATAGACTTGATACTCCTTGCATCTACTGCGTTTCATATTTCATATTTCTCTCCTTCTGGCGATTTCATTTGGTTGTTTGTTGACGACTGGGTGTGGCAAATTTTACTCTAGCTTAGATGGCAACACATTCTAAAGTGTTTTCATTAATTTCCTCGCCGATAATTACGCACATGGCATGGGAGGTCCATATACGGGTCGGGTCACGCTTCGAGCAAAACCTGACTGTGCTGTCTCTCGTAGAGCATAGCAGCGCAAAGAGGCTCGAGCAAGTGAGGTGATAGACGAGGCATCTATTGAAACAGGGTGGGTCAATACAACCTTTGTCTATCCCTCATTCAGGCTGGCGCAAATCTGTCCTTCTCAGTCTCGGGAAAACGTGATCACCCCGCCGTCTGTCTGCCAACGGATCCATTCATTGCTCTATCTTGTGGTATTCCAGAAGACGATTGAATACCTTAAATTCCCGAGACTTGGTAAACAAGGGCTCGATTACTGTAAAGTACTCCTTCAAATCCTCTCTAGCGGCTCTCTTCTGTTTCTTGCTTCGTTAATCATGGGTTTTAATAGGAACCTTTCAAGTGAATATCAAGTTACCTCTACGAAACAATCAAACTCGGCATTCCTATACTAACATGTCAGTCCAAACAGGTGATAAGAAAGAATGCTGATGATCTCAGAGCCCAAACTCACCAAGTCTCCGACAAGAGTATATGACCAGGGTCATCAGGCGACTGAAAAACATCCAGAGAAATACACTCAGGTTCCGCTATGGTCTTATCGTATATTGGCCTGAAAGCCTTGAAGAACTTCTCTAGATTCTTCGGGGCGATAAAAAGTGAGACTTGTATGTGAAACCCACGTTGGGCGGTACAATTCATGGCGTCAATGCAGCGAATGTCTTCTGGAATCAAGATGCAAGTAGATGAAATGCAATCACTATGAGGTCTACGAGCGATCTGTAGACTATATAGGTACTTGCCCATATCTGCTTTTTCTGGCCTTGCAGGCAATCAATATTCAAGAAGCCATCCTAGCGCTGGGTGAGTCTTGTAGGACTACTTCGGTCTTTGTACCAGGTGCAAAACCCGACCTCAGCTCCTAATGTCTCGGCCTCGGCCGGTAGTACAGCATTAGAGTAGGGGTCTTGATTGGACCGACATCTTGAGGGCTCTATTGCATGACCAGGGCCCTGGTCATGATCCCATTGCCAAGGTATTCTTCTGACTCGCTGAAGGCAAACGCTCCGCCCGGATGATACGTGAGGAGAGCAGACCGCTAGACAATGTCAAGGCAATATTACAGGATGAATAGTAGGTAAGCTCATGACTAGTGTCTAACTGTGATCAACTGGAGGCTGGGACCCCAGAATCATGGCCAAGGCAGCTCTATATACATTATCTGGCTTGCGTCTACTGGTGAAGTCACCTCATACATGTACTGGCAAGATAGATCTCATAATAGTATTCAGCCCCGGCTCCTATCGTATTTTTTCTCTTCTCGGGACTGTGGGATCACCTCCTTGTTTAAACGTTGTCTCTGCAAATTCGAAATATTTGCGTCCTAGCGGTATTAGAGAATATTGCAGAGGTGTTATAGACGCCCAGCTAGTAGAGTGTACGGGCTATATGACTGCAGAGATATTGGCTGAACTTTCTAACTATGTCCTAAAGATTTAGAGTTCCGCCTAACCTTGGAGATAACAACGAGGTCAAGGATTACTCCCACAAGCAAGATGTAATTTCGATGTGCTAATACAAAAAAACAAAAGAAATAACTCCGAATAGGGGAATCGAACCCCTGGCTGTCGTGTGAGAGACGACGATGTTAGCCACTACACCAATTCGGAAGGTGGAACCGTGGATGCCACTAGGCTATCCTGCTGGCTGATGAACAACGCCGAATTTTGCCACTATGTACCTGCACCTTGCGAAGTGACAAATTCGACTTTTTTCCAAGCCGGCTAGCCAGCATACTATTTACAACGATAGCCACCCCAGCTACTCCTAAATTTGATTTTACTTGGAAGATGGCTGTGTCTGCGAATTCTGCAGGGCTTGCTAGGCTTACTGGTACTGCTAGACCCATTATTTATGACTACATCGATACACATCTAATTCACAGTGGCCCAAGCCGCCCTCGGTGCGGCTCGAAGAACCAGGCTACGTTTTTTGTGAAAACCGAGTACCTCTGAACAAATCGACCACAGTGATGATAATAATGGGCACTTTATGCGATCAGAATACTCTTTCTATTGGACTTAGCTAGGTTTGTAGGTAACTCCGATTACTCTTTGCATAGACCGGGGCGGGATGTTTTAGATAGGCCTATGACAACACCCTCTACGTTCGATCATTCAGCGATATGAATAAGGAAAAAACTGCTAGTGATTCATTGACTTCAGCTAACTAGGACTATTTGATGTTTGTAGTCATTCGACACTCGCCTTTTCTAGGATTTGAGTGTTTTTAGAGAAGAAGGAGTTGTTTTGAGTAGCTCTGAATTTCGTTTGGACTACATGCCACTGTATCTACCTACCGCCCAGGCTAGCGTACAGTAGTGGTTTCTTGGGTATCGCCGGTGTCGATTTAGGCCATTTACAGCGGTTGGACCTTGGTACGCTCTTATCCAGCTTGTGTGAGATACATGTCGACATAAAAATCCGAATACTCAAAAAATAAATGAACTCCGAATAGGGGAATCGAACCCCTGGCTGTCGTGTGAGAGACGACGATGTTAGCCACTACACCAATTCGGAACGTTAACCATGAATACCGCTAGGCTATTCTGCTGGCTGTTGAAGGATAGTTAAATTTTGACAATATGACCCAGTTCATAGGAATGGGGATCTCCCGAGGGGTCTCCAGTATGTAGGTCCTTGCGGTAGCTAGTTCTCCTGCTATATTGGTATTATTTATGCTTGCGGACTTAATAGGTCCAGTCAGTAAGTCGGCCACATTCCTTTAGGTCTTTCTAGCTATTAAAAAAAAATTAGGAAAAAAAAAATTTTGCTAAGTGCTGCTGGCGCCGAACTTAGACTGGGTCGGTGGTTCTTTCCTAAGTGATGTTTAGTGTTTTCTGACGAGTTCATGCCGTATACCTTCTACATTGAGACAATTCTCGAGTTTTAGTTCTAGCATATTACTTACACTCCATGGTTTATCCTTTGCGGTTGTGGAAAATATAGATGTGCTGTGGCCCGGTCGTCCGTCAAGTGCGATGGAGATATATTTGTTACGGACGGATACCCTGGAACGAAACCTTGGATTCCAAAAAAATCAGACGCGCTCGTCTTATATATTGGCTTACATACTGCTCATATCTATGATCATAGTGAAACCGGTATATGAATCGCAGGAGCACCACATATTATACCAGACCTTCCACGCCCAGCAGAACGAAAGAACCAAACAGGAAGGTACGACCGCTCAAGCAGCCCCTCCGAGATTAAATGAAATGAATACAGAGATAGGCGCGATATAGATATTTTTCTAGTATAGCGATTCATCCTCTACTACCATAAATTATTGGCCAATATGGTCGGTAGTAGCTATTAACCCTACCTAATGATGGTGAGCTCACAGAGATCGGACTACTCCGGAGACCGACGAAATAGCGCACTCAACAGAGCATGGCCTCTATATCACTGGCAGTAAAAGGAAAGAACACCCTGAAAATTCCGACAAACTAACAAGGTAATGCCCTATAGAACCCGCAACTACAACCTGTGTGTTGCATAGTTGCTAAAAACGCATACTAGAAGCATCGTAAGGGGCCGAGGGTCAGCTTGTTCGATTCAGAAACCAGCAGCTCAGACATGACAAGACAGTGGAGTAGGAACTGCAAAACCTCGAGATAGATACAATCAAATCAAACCTGCAGTTTGGGTCATAATTATATAGGTTCTTAGGCACATCACCGACGGTTGTGGAACCTAAGAGTGCAAACGAACTTACGTACCTTCGTCAAGTAAGGCCATCATACTGTATTCTGGGTCATAATGTCAAAAAATGAGCGTCTTTCAACAACCAGCCAGGATAACCTAACGGTATCCGGATCCACTTTCCGAATTGGTGTAGTGGCTAACATCGTCGTCTCTCACACGACAGCCAGGGGTTCGATTCCCCTATTCGGAGTTTCTTCTTTTGGTTTTGTTTTTGCCTCTTAGACTTCCTCATACCTACTACTCCGTAGTCACTTCCCAGTTGTCCAATTCTAGCTCACTCTTGCTAGTGATCGGGACTAAAGTAAACTAACAGGTTGCAAGGCAGAATTTACAGATCAGAGGTAGTATCGAAATAACACCTTTAAATCCCTAGACTGACCTCTACTGACGGCCTAGAATATTTGTTGAATTCGATAACGGGTAAGATGCCAGCATATTAGCAATGCGAACTCACTTGTGATCCAGGTGAAGGGTGAATAAATGTCTTCGTTGTTCTAATTACTAATTAACGCAAGGCTACATAGAGAAGAACATGAGCCAAAGTTGAAGTAGATAGGATTGAAAACACAACCTGTCCAATTGACATGTCGTATAAGCTGGCTAACACACCTAATAACACCCATAGACACCTATTGCTAGTCTATGAGAGGATTGAATCATAACACAGGAACCTAAGCACCGAGATCGACAAATGGGCAAGACCTACAGACCAGCTAGCCCGTCCAAAAGCAAACGATAACAGAAAATACCTTCTAAAGCACTCAGAAAATAGCTTGTAAATTTTCATTTTTCTCATAGTTCCACCGCGTGCACCTGGCCGACCTTCCACATCCCCTGTCCTCATCAGAGGAGTGATAGAAGAAAGAAAAAAAAAAGGGACAATACCATTAAAGCATACTGGAAATTTTCGTACACAACCCGCAGAAAGGAAATTAAAAGGAGAGCTTTTGCGAAACATCCGGCGAACCAGGGAAGAAAAGAAAAGAAAGACAAACGGGCGAGAATTAGCTTTTTTGTATGTTGAAAATTCCAGCCGAGGAAAGAGTCGGGAAGGGTATCAAAAGGACCAGGGAAGATCGGACGTTCCAGCAATCGCGGGATGAGCTCAAAAACACAGAACAGGGGGTGAGGAAGGTGGAAGCACTGTGTAATGACCGGAAGATGGTGAGAGAGCTTAGGTGCTCTTGGGAGACTTGGGTGGCGCTGGCGATTCCTCAGGAGAATGTTCTACCATATCGGCAAGGCGAATGCGCTTAGCGGAGGGCTCAGAGCTATCCGCATCGAAGGAACCGCTACCACCGACCTGACGCTCGAGTTCACTGACGCGACGCTTCAAGTCTTCCTCGCGGCGCTGGGTCTCTTCCAGAGTACGGCGCAGGCGAGCTTCCGAATCCCGCGCAATCATCTCCGAGCGACGCGCGCTCGCGTCACTCTGCTCGAGTTCGGCGACTCGACCGCGGAACAGCTCGTTGATCAGATCAAGTTCACTGACACGGGTCTTGAGGGAGGTATTGAGGGCCAGCAGGCTTTCGTATGTCTGAGGAGACTCGAGTTGACGATCGACGGCAGAGGGAGAGGGCTGTCGAAGCGGAAGGGAAGGAAGACCGGAGGAGCCCAGTCCACTGTCACGACCAGCAGTGACCTGATCGAACATATGTTGCGGGGCGATGTTCGAGTTGTGTGCCTGCATGGACCCGAACCCCGGGGTCTCCGTTCGCGACAACGGGGAGTTCGAGCGATCCGAGTGACCCGGGGACATCTTACGCGAAGCGCGACGGTAAGCATTTGAACCGAGAGGAGTCCCAGCCTCGGTGGCCCCAGACAGGCCATTGGTATCGATCGGGCCGCCAGACTGGAGAGAGATCGCAACGGTCAGCACGGGGAGAAATTTCTTATCCTGAGGGATGGGGACGAAGGGGGCGCGAAAAATTTTCCTCGTTGCGAGGACTCACCTTGCGCTTAGGACCCTGGCCAGTCTTGACGCGATTGCGACTTTTGATTACATCGGTCTTCAGGCTTATCGGGCGAGGCCGCCCGTGCAGCTTCAGAAACAGTCCGCAGGCGTTGCAAAGAACGGAGCCCAGCTCGTCGCGGCGCCACAAGGGCGTGGTCGAGGTGCCGCAGTTTTGGCAGACGGGCTGTAATTGAGGTCGCTTGTCGTCAGTCAATGTGGTCGCCATGGCGTGAGAGGATTAGAAGAGGGAAGAGGGGACAGGAGATGGGAGGATAGTGCTGGATGATAAGATTGGGGAGAGATTTGATGGGTTCGATAAGGATTGGCGATTGCAGATGCGCACGGATCGGGTGATGCCAAGCCCCAGCGACTAACTGATAACCCGCGCCGATAACATCCGGTTGCGTAGATAAGGGCCGGGGGCCGATAAGCGTGAAAATCGTGCAAGGGGAGATAAAAGATAGCGATAGAGAGGAAGTGAGAGAGAGAGTGATGAGGATTATGGGGAAGATGAACCACAAATACAAAAACTATTCAAGTTGCGAACTCACCGGATTGTTGCCCTGTCCACCAGTCGTAGCAGCAGGCGCTGTGCTCGCATAGCTGATGTTCGCCATATTCGCATTCGCGTCGAACGACTCACTGGGAGAGGAAAACCTGGTCAGCCAACTCAAGTCCATGTCGCCCATAGATATGAGGGTGCAGCATCTCGAGTCAGGGAACAAGAAGTCTCCTCTACAAAGACACTGTGTCCCAGGGTTCATCATCTCTTTCAACCTGTATGCAAACGTACCGTAGATTCGAAGTTGGGGCGGACGCGACCGAGGCAAGCGCTGCCAGTCCAGGAAGAGAGGCGCTCAGGGAGACCGATCCAGGGAAGTTCTCTCGATAATCGGAGCTGGGGAACTTGCCAATACTGCTCAGCTCAGGCAGTACGGGGGAGAAGCGCTTCGGGATGTCGTCGTCGGTCGAGGGTGGACGTGGGATAGAAGGATCAACGGATGGGGTGTCGAAGCGGGAGAGCTCGGGGGTCTGATGCGCGGACGAGGCAGGTTTGAGAGCCGGGTCGATGGGCGACGCCGGGAAGAGGATGGAAGCCACAATGGAGGGTGAGGATAGGCAATCGATCGAAATTCGGCCACGAGCGACCGAATTGAAGGACAAGGGGGTTAGGGAAGAGAGGAAGCGACGAGGGAGTCGACGTTTGTGTGTCGCGCGAGACTGTCAATCAAGGAGATGGGAATCTTTCCTGCCGCGAAGGCTGTCGAGCAATCACAATTGACCGCGAGAGAATGGGGTTGGGCAATGATCGCAAAGTGAGATGACCGTTGAGTCGTCCGCGATGATGACCGTTTGCCAGCGGTTAATGATAACGTGAGGCTTTCTTGGAAGAAAACCAAACCGAAACCAGGAAACAACCAAAGGAGTGACTGTCCGAGATCAGAACCCCATTGAAATTGAGATCCGATTGAAAATGGAGTTTGCGAAGCGATGCGATCAGCGGGAGGGTGAGATGCGAAGAAACAAGAAATGAGACGATCTTATCCAGCCCGATTGTTATTATCGCGCGGGCGTATCGAAATTATCACTTATCGCGTGCCGCATACTTGGCGCCGACTGGAAAAAAGGCTCGTAATTACACGACTAACGTTGGTATGTTTTATTATTCCGCAGGGAGCTGGAATGTATGGAAGATGTCTCTGGGCCCGGCCTCTTAATTCCATGTCAAATGGCACGACTTCAACCCCGTTCAACCATGCTAGACCTCAGGGCTTTACTGCCTAGAGTGAGTTGGAAGGAATACTGGACTCCGCAAACTTGGCTGGGCCGTATAGCTATATGTACTAAAAACGCCGAATCTCGCCTGGCTTGAGAGAAGACCAAGCCTTTTTATACAGATGCCTGTGCTTATACCTAATGAGTATGGAGTTGTATATGCATAGGAATAGATATTTAGTGCTCATAGTTGGACACAAAGTGGACACCTCAAGTGCCGATGTTGTGTATCAATGAGTGATCAACCTTCTCTGGTATTGATAGTCCTGTCTCCCTGAGGAGGAAACCCAATGGACCAAAGTAGAGGACTGGCAACAATGTCTTGTCTTGAATCATGTCATATCCGAGTAGTACGTGAGTCGAGTACACATGCAACCCCCCTTTTGTCTGGGTTGATGTACATCCGTATGCGTGGGTGGATTAGGGGGGCCCAGTGGATCCTCCAACTGTGGCGGTGCGTATCAGAATTACCGCTGGTCATACTCCGCCGTAAACGGGACCCTGCAATTTCCCCATATCGAATGCGTGGTCCTGAAGACCCACGGTAAATTAAAGGTACTGTACAGTAATACCCCCTGCTCTAGCCGCCTCGTCTTGCTGGCCATAATACCGAAATCGTCCATGACGGGTTGGCCAACTAACTAATTTCACTGCCTTGTCCTTCACCTTCGATTCTTCCTATCCTTCTCACCCGCGAAGTATCGCCGCGTGATGGATTAAAGTTTTTTTTTGTGTCCTTCGTTTCTTCATAAACCATTTCTATTCTCTTGGCTGGTGTGTGTGGCCAATCCCTTAAAGCCGCCTCTTCTTCTCCTTCACGATGCCGAAAAACCGCCCTGCCACGTCGGGCTACGCTCGCCTCGCTCAGGAGGAGGAGGAACGCGGCTACCTTCATGACGACTCGGAAGATGATGACATTGCTGTCGCATCCTCGACAATCTCGGCCTCCGCTCCTCGTTATGCCCCCATCTCCTCCCGAGCCCAGATGCAGGCGTCCGGTCTCTCCACGCCCCCCGGCCATCGACGGAGACACAGTCAATATCAACGGCGCGGCCGTCGCAACTCCGGGGTCGATATCAAGGCGATCAACGCACGTCTGGAACGGTGGGCGGATGAGATTGCCTCCAAGTTCAAGATCAACCGCGTCAAGGGCAAGACCTTCGAGGAAGAGAAGCTCGAGATCTACCACTCGGTCTTCCAGGCTCCTCCCGGCGTTCGGGCTGTGACTGCGGAAGAACTGGAGTCGGATGAGTTTGAGGGCCAACAACGAAGAGCCCGGGCGGAGTTTGAGGAAATCATCGAGAGTGTCCGGCTGGCAATTGAGATGGACGTCCACCCGCGGATGATTGCACAAGGTAGTTCGGGCAGTTATTTTGCCCGGAATCCTGAAGGCAAAGTTGTTGGTGTGTTCAAACCAAAGGACGAGGAACCGTATGCCTCGCGAAACCCCAAATGGACCAAGTGGGTTCACCGAAACTTGTTCCCTTGTTTCTTCGGTCGAGCCTGCCTCATTCCCAATCTTTCGTACGTCTCCGAAGCCGCCGCTTACGTTCTCGATGCCCGACTTCGAACAAACATGGTCCCTTATACCGATATCGTATACCTGTCCTCTAAATCCTTCTTCTACGATTTCTGGGAACGGCGCAAGGCATGGAAGGGCAAAAAAACGTTGCCTCCAAAACCAGGTAGCTTCCAGGTTTTCCTGAAAGGATACAAGGATGCCAACATCTTCCTCCGCGAACATCCCTGGCCCGACCAAACCAACACGGGATTCCGTGCCCAAGATGCGCCGAAGCGCAAAAAGCGGCCATGGAACGAGGCATGCCGTCCGTCAGGCGCGCAGTCCGACGACGAAGACGAGGATGAGAACGGTTATATGCCATCGCCAAACCCGCGCGACGAGAGCCGTGAGCGGCGATTCAACTGGACTGAAAATCTGAAGCAGTCATTCCGTGAGGAGTTGGAGAAGCTGGTCATTCTTGACTACATCATGCGCAATACGGACCGTGGTTTGGATAACTGGATGGTCAAGATCGACTGGGGCACTGAACAGGTCTCGATTGTGGCGGACCCCCCGAAGAGTACGGAGCCTACACCCAAACACGACGAGGATGAACTCATGCCTCCGCCTCGTCCGGTTTCCGTCAATTCCAATGGCTCGCATCCCTACAAGCGCCAAGAGACGATGATGGCAGTCAGTCGAACCGGAACTCCCTTGGCCTCATCAGAGCAGCAAGCTTCCGTTTCAGTGGGTGCCATTGACAACAGTCTCTCATGGCCGTGGAAACACCCGGATGCTGTAAGTTTTCATCGCTTTCCGCATTTCTATGCTCTTTGATACTGACCCAAACTATAGTGGCGAAGCTTCCCCTTCGGATGGCTTTTCCTGCCGGTTTCCTTGATTGGCCAGCCCTTCTCGCAAAAGACTCGTGACCATTTCCTCCCGCTGTTGACATCTACCGCGTGGTGGAGCGGAACACAGATGGCACTGCGCCAGGTGTTTGCCCAAGACGACGACTTCAAAGAAAGCATGTTCGCGCGCCAAATTGCAGTGATGAAGGGCCAGGCCTGGAACGTTGTCGAGACCTTGAAGCAACCGGATCATGGCCCACTCGAATTGACCCGGAGGACTCGGGTTTGCGTATGGGATGACTTGGTTGATGTGCCTGTTGCTATTCCGATGCGAGCCCCGTCTATGGATGCGCAGAGACGCCAAGCCATGAATTATGATTATGATGAAGAGGAAGAAATGGACATTGGCGCAGTCATTTCTTCTAATGCCCCGACCAATCATGACCTTCTGGGTTTGGACTCGGCCCCAAGTGATCTCCCCAACCCGAACCGCTTTGAACTCAACCGCGGCCAGTCAGACAGAGAATCGGCTGCCAGTCCTACGAATGACGGCGACTTCGCTCGCCGGACCGGAGATGGCGCCTACGCTAGATCCTTGGACGGATGGCCTTCGCTACCTGCTCGACCTAACAAACATCGCAAGCATGGCGGTTCTGTGTCTTTCCGTGTGCCCCATGTCAACACCTTTGGCAGTGATGATCTCGAGGGTGACCTTGGATATGCGGCCGCCGAGGGCATGGAAGGCAATCAGCGCAAAGTCATCGTGGAGCGCTTGGAAGCCGTCAAGAGCAAAAACCCAGTCTTCACTTGGTGCTAAAAGCCTCTCCCTTTCGCTTCACGCTGTCTTGTTTCCCCATCTATTTCCCCCGCCTTTTCTCCCTTTTCAATGCTGTTGCATTTTCACTCAACTATTTAATCCTGCAAATTCTTCGTTTAGCGTTCTTTTCTCGGTGCTTTACCAAAGCATCGCAGATTCTCCGGCAACAGTTCGTTTTTCTTTTTCTTCTCTTGCCGGGGTCGCATCGCAGGTGCACCTTGATAGAGACACCTCGCCCTGCTATGTGCTTTACAGATTTTTTTTCTTTTCGCACGCCATGCTCATGATTGGGGATTTTGTGTTGTATATAGACCTTCTCTGGTTGTTCGGGTTGGGTTGTGGCGCATTTGAATGAGCGCCTCATGTAGCATATATGACGAGACTTAATTCCATGATACCATCGTCCGATAATCGTGTCTGTTCATTTTCCATATCAAGAATAACATTTTCAAAACCAGGCTCGAGCTCCTATAGCAGCTCTAGTTTTCATCCCGAAATGTGATAGATGCCTTTCCACACTGGATTGTTTCTGCATTTTTGACTCCCAGATCACCTCAGTTCCCAACACCAATCTTTAGCCAAATCTCGTATTGATCCAAAAATGAAAATTATATCGTGATCCCACTTTCACCCACTAAACTGCAATCGATCGTGGGGTAGCACACCGAGGCTAGACGCGGCTCCCTTGACTGCCTCGATAAGCACATCCTTATCGGCGGGATCTTCCGAGTTTAAGCAACTCGAGTGAGGTCATGTTCGCTTTCCTCCCAGACCTCGAACTTCTTCCACTCCGAACCTCGAAGTGACCACCTACTTTTGAGATCGAGGGCAGCGCTGGCCGTTGCTGGTGACCAAACTCGGACTCTCCCCTCTTTCTCATCTGCAAATGTCGTGAGGCCTGCGTGAAACTTGCGACGGCACCGCGCCCCTCGTTTCTTCCGGTCACCTGCACCCTTCGTTCTTGATGAGCCTCAGCCTCGACGACAATTTTTCATTCGCCAGTCCTCTGCCTCCTACATATATCTCTGCAACTCCCTATACATACTCACGCCAAATACACACCTCCAAACCGCGCGATCATGGAGCCACATGCGGCCATGCTCTTGAACCCCAAGGGCTATCGAAAGCAGGCTCCACGGAATGGTAACGACCTCATCACGTCCCCTTTACCCACGCCTGACAACCAGCATCCTATTGCGGCTGTCTTGGATCCTATTCGGACACCTCCCTCTCCAGAAGAATCCTTTTCACTCTCACCAACCGAGGATCCAGAGTCGTCTGAACACACCAGCTTACAATCTTCAGGCACCGCTCAGCAAACTCACTCCCGATCTCCCCGAGAACCTACCTCCCAGATTGCACCCATCGCGCCACCAGGCACAGTTCCGATCATGCGCTCCCGGCCGAGTCAGCCCTCGAATGAGGACCTCACCGTCGTTTTTACCAACACTCGCGACGGCGAGGAAAGCGACACTAAGCGGAACTACCAGGAGATTAGTGACGGCGACGACCCTAGACCTCGATCGCGCAACCTAATCGAAAATGTCTATGATGTTGAACAGCGCCGACACGGGTACCAACCAGCCAAGAAAGTGAAGTTGGATGGTGCCGCCACTCCAGGCAGCGCGGCGGCCAAGCCCGTGACTGCCGGAGATAATGGTCTGGGCCAGTGGATGAAAGAAGGCGAATCCGAGCCAACTTCGACTTCAACATCGACCCCGGCTGCGTCTGATGTGGTGGACCTGACTGCAGATCTTCCAAAGGCCGCGGAAGACGACGATGTGCAGGTCACTGGTTCCAATGATCTCAGCAACCAGCGGGTGTGCTATGGCAAGCTGGAGAGTACGATGATCAATGCGTATCTTGTGCCAAAGCCTCGAGCGAACGCCGTGATTGGATTGGAGTCACTCCAGTGGTCTTCGATGAAGCTGGACTTGGTTCGGGAGGCACGAAAGGGAGACAGTCGCATCGACGTCAAAGATCCCTTTGGCAAATTGTTTGGGACTGTCGATACGAAGACTGCTATCGCACTTTGCCCTCTGCTGGACTCTCCTGCCTTGAGCATCGACGTTACTGCACGTCTGGATATGCGAAAGAAGATTCCCGGAGAGGAAGTGTGGCAGCCGACCCATGGGCTGTATCGGGCATCGATTACCATCTACGGACCGCGGAAGCATGTTGAGAAAGTTGGAATCTTTCTTGGTCAGCAGAATGTTTGGCTGGGAACTCCAGTATTTGTGGAAAATGGAGTGCCTGTTTTCAACCCGCATGCTGAACAAAGACGTGCAATGGTGGCAGCAGCAGCGGCCAACAACGGCAATCGCCCAGCCTCTACCATTCGATACGAAGTGCGCACGACTGAGGAGGTGACTGATTCGGTGATGAAAATGTTTGACAAACTTGTCAGCATGGATATCCCGATGCTGGACCCACCCACCACGGTGAAAACGCCTCTTCTGGACCATCAGAAACAAGCACTTTGGTTCATGAAAGAGAAGGAAGCACCCCGCAAGTATGGCGACAAAGAAGAGGATCACAACTCTCTGTGGCGCAAGATCGAACAGAATGGCCGCACAAAGTACCGGGATATCATCAGCGGAGTCATTTGTGACGAGGAGCCCGCCCAGACTTACGGGGGCCTGTTGGCTGATGTGATGGGTCTAGGCAAAACCTTGAGTATTCTCTCATTGGTATTGTCTACGCTTGACGAAGCAACCGACTGGGCTAGAAGGATGCCCGATCGTGACCTGGTTCGCCACATCCCTGGGATTCGCAACACCCGGACCACAATTTTGGTAGTACCTTTGTCCACCATTGCAAATTGGGTCTCGCAGATTGGCGAGCATGTCAAGCCAGGCTCGTTGAAGTACTATGTTTTTCATGGTGCTTCACGGAACACTGACCTGGAGGAGCTCTCCAAACTTGATCTGCTGATCACCACATACTCTACTGTATACAGCGAGATGCTCGGACGAGGTGCGAAGCGTGGCAGTCCCTTGGCGAAGATGAACTTGTTTCGAATCGTTCTGGATGAGGCACACACCATCCGAGAGCTATCCAACCAACAGACTAAAGCAGTCTTGAGCCTCCAAGCGCAGCGTCACTGGTCTGTTACTGGTACGCCAATCCAAAATCGTCTGGAAGATCTACTCTCGGTGACTAAGTTCTTGCGTCTGTTCCCTTATGATGACCGGGCTAGATTTACTCAACATGTCATCAGCCCGATGAAAACTGGGAACGCTCATGCCCTTGCAAGCTTGAGAGTCTTGATTGACTCCTTCACGCTGCGCCGAGTGAAGAAGATGCTTGATCTGCCAGAGCGGACGGAAAAGATCGTGACGTTGGAATTCTCAGAGAAGGAAGCGCAGCTGCATGAGTTCTTCCGCAATGAATCCAACACCATGATGGGTGTTATTGCGAAAGAGAGCAAGAAGACCATCAGCGGCCGCATGTACCACGTTGTACTAAAGGCAATGATGATTCTCCGTCAAGTCAGTGCTCATGGCAAGGAGCTTCTGGATGTTGAAGACCGCGAGAGAACCAAGGGACTGAGTGTGCAAGATGCAATCGATCTTGAGGACAGTGAACCAGACGAGAATCAAGACGCGTTTGACAAGAAGGCCCTTCGTCATGTCGATCTTATGGTCCAGTCGGGCGATACCTGCAAGCTCTGCGACAAGCTCATCGAGGCGCCTATGTCGGAGACTGGCGCTCAAGACAAGAATGCCCCGATGGCTATTTATCTCCCTTGCCTATGTGTTCTCTGCCCGGATTGTTTCTCCCCCTGGAAGGCCGTGTTTGACTCCAAGCCGGACACGGAAATTCAGTGCCAAGTCTGCCAGGGCTGGACCCGAGTACAATACTCTGTGGTCACTGCCGCTGGTCTTGACAGGTTGCAGATCCAGCGAAAGGAATCGCGCAAGAATGGTAAGATTCTTGGTGAGTACGAGGGTCCGCATACGAAGACCATCGCTCTTATTGAGAATCTCCAATCCATCGCCGCGGAAAGCAAGACGCTGGTTGGTGAGAAACCCATCAAATCTGTGGTTTTCTCGCTGTGGACCTCGCATCTGGACCTGATCGAGATTGCTTTGAAGCACAATGGCCTGGACAGCTTTACCCGACTGGACGGAACCATGACCTTGAAGGCCCGTAGCAAGGCGCTCGATCTCTTTGCCAGGGATGACTCTGTGACTATACTACTGGCCACTATCGGTGCCGGTGGTGTTGGTCTGAATTTGACCTCCGCATCGCGTGTCTTTGTCATGGAGCCACACTATAACCCAGCCGCAGTCGCCCAGGCTGTTGATCGTGTGCACCGCTTGGGCCAGCATCGCGAGGTGGTAATTATGCAGTTCGTCATGAAGAACAGCATCGAGGAGAAGATCCTCGAGCTCGCACGGAAGAAACAAAAGCTCGCGGACATGAGTATGAACCGCGGTAAGCTGGACAAGGGCGAAGCCCAGGAGCAGCGCATGCGGGAGTACCGCAGCCTGTTCAAGTGAGGAACGACATTTCTTCACGACATCATCTGCCGTTTGAGAGGACTCTACATTTCGGGACATCTGCACGGCATGGCCTTGACTCTGCTTTTTCGTTATATTCCAGCAATTTACGTGATGGGCGGACGGGCGGATGGTTTTTGTTTTCTGGTTTCAATTGATACCCGGGGAAAAGGATATTTCGGAATGATATTCTTACAGGCGCTGGAATCGTTTGCATTATTTTTTCCTTTTCTGGGGTTTTTCTCTTTTCTGGGGTTTTCACAGACGATACATTCCCCCTTCTTTCATTGTTTGCAGGTTCATGGTCAATACATGCGTGCGCTCTTCAAATAGAGTGACATGCCCTGGTAATTAGATAGCTCATATTTAGAATGGGGATGCTTCGATGCAACATGACCTCTTAGTAACCATGGACCCCAGGAAACCTGGGGTCTTTCTTGAAACGTACATTCTCTCATGTCAATCTTACGCAATAAATGTCCGCATTCCAAAGATGGAAACAACCAGGTGACCAAGCTGACACCCGCCGCATTCGAAGCTGAGTGAGCTATACCAACTACAAGAAGTTGATTTCATCCAGCCCTAGGTAGATACTGTAGCACGTTACATAGCCACGCGTAAATCAGAATGTCTAACTGTTCGTTGCATTTTCAAGGAACATGGATGGAAATTAATCAGCTCACTATGTATTGTCTCGTTTATCAAGGTTAGTCCCGGGCCCGCCGAGACAATTGTGTAATATCGTTCTACAGAGCAGCCAAGTCCCTGCATGAAGTAGATCCCTGGATCTACGAACAGAGATCATAAATAATGGCTCGAGGACCCTCAATTCCAGCCCCTGCAAATCATTCATATCAAAATTATCTATCGCAGATTCGGTGAACACATCTAAACCAATCCAAGCCAAGCTATCCAAATTCCCATCCACCAGCTTCCTAAACCAAATCACCAAGTCATTCACCTTCACAATGAAACTCTACACCCTCGCAGCCACAACTCTCCTCCTCCTCACACCATCTCTAGCCTGCGACTTCCTCGATATCGGAAGGGATTGCACCTGGGAAGGAAGCTGGCCGCTCTGCGGTACCACAGATGACCACATCGGGATCAGGATTGATGGCCGGACAATGGTCGAATGGACCCGGGATAAAGATTGGAAAGATCTTTGCAAGAATGGGAAGGGGGATTGTTGTAGTGATTATGGACATAGTTGTGTTTCTGGGTATAAACGGCTCTGGTGCAAGCATTATACTGGTCCTGATCCGGTTGATGTTGCGGATGATGTGTTGAATAGGGTGTTGCCGGCTGTTCTTCCTTAGGTTGGGGAGTTTGCTGGGGTATATGGATTGGATATCCTCGGTGGTTGTGGTGCTTTTGTTTCCTTGGAGGGACTGGTTCTGGAATTCATTCTGTGTATGAGCAGTTCGTATCAGAGGATCGACACAAGGAAATCTCATGAAATCATCAATTGGTATCGAAAACGAAAGCACAATAACGGGAACACCATGCCCCATAACTCCTGTATTGCCTTGAGAATGAAAAAAAGTAAGCCACTCCGGGTATCTAGAGCCCATCAAAATCCCTTGTGATACTACCGATCACCATACAACCCCACCGAAACAGCCCCAAGCACATCCTCTAATCTCCCCCTCAACAGCTTCAGCTCCTCCGCCTTCGCAACACGCTCCTTCTCCACCTCCCGCAACTGCGTCTCTAGCTCTCGAATCCTCGCCTCCTGCTCCGCCTCCGAAGCCCCAATCCCCGGCAACACCGAGATCAAATACTCGATCTGCTGCTCTTTGATAATAAGATCCCGCGCCAGCTCTCGCTGTCGAGCCGCGAATGTGCGCGGTGAGTCTGGCCGTGGAAGGAGAGATGGATCTTCGCCTTCGAGGGCTCCTGGTTCTGCGCCGGGTTGTTGTGTTGGTGGGGGGACTGGTGATTGTGCGGCGCCGGCGGCTGCTGCCCCTGCGACTGCGGATGCGGCGATGGAGGCGGGAACGGGTGGTGAGGTTGTGTTTTTGGACATTTTGGCTAGGGCTGGTGCGGCGTTGGGAATGCCTGGTGGAGGGGTGGCGGGGGAGTTGTCATGGTAGGTACTGAGATAGCCTAGCGTGGCGTAGAATTGAGTTGCGAGCTGTTGGTGGGAGGGTGTGTTAGTTGAGGTTCTAGTCATTTGGGTGACGGAGGGACTTACCTGGTCGAGACATGTTTGGAGCTGAGTGAGGATGTCTGCCATGGTAGGCGGTATAGAATTAGAGAAGATAGAGAGAGAGAGAGAGAGAGAGAGAGAACTGGGTAGTAAAGTAAGGTTGGCGAGAAGGATGAAGAGGGAAGGGAGTTGAGCAGTCAGAAAGTTGAGATAAGAAAAGCCGCGGCGGAGAATGCGGAGAGAAGCTTCCAATACGGTGAGGGCGCATTTCTCATTTCTCATCTTTCACACCACTCGATGCGACGTCTGCGCCTACACCAAGGCCTCGCTGCCGGAGACTTGACGATCAAATACATTGAATCAACAAGGCCATGTCGTCGCTGCTTCTCCCACTCCAAGACCAACCGTGACCTGACACCCTTCACTCGCCGCATCTTCAAGCTCCCCTCCGCACCATCTCCACCATCCCAACACCACAACGATCTAACAACCTTCCTCTCCTACGCCGAGCGCATATCCCTCCCCCCTACAAGCACAGTCTACGTAGGCACCCACTATGAATACACTGTCCTCCGCAGCCTTCGCCGCTACGCGTTAGCCCTGCACCGCATCGGCGGCCGCGACGACGCCGGAATCGACCTCGTCGGCACCTGGCACCTGCCCGAGCGGGAACGCGAACGCGCCCTCCGCGTCCTAGTGCAATGCAAGGCATTCAAGACGAAGCTCGGGCCTAATCTGGTTCGCGAGCTCGAGGGCGCAATTCGCCAGGCGCCTGTCGGCTGGCGCACGGGCCAGACTGCAGGTGTGCTGGTGAGCCCGCGCGAGGCAACCAAGGGTGTGCGGGACGCACTGGCGCGGAGCTCGTATCCCCTTTTTTGGATGATGGTTGAGTTGGACGGGACGTTGAAACAGGCGCTTTGGAATGCGAGGGCTGAAGAGTTGGGGCTGGGGCCTTTGGGGGTGGAGACGAGGTATGGTGCTGGTGCGGTTGATACTGGGTCTGGCTCTGTGACGAAGCAGGTCGCTTTGACTTGGGATGGGAGTGATATCCCTGATATGGACCAGGTAGAGCAGGGGTTGGTCCGCTATGAGGACCAATGGGTCAAAGCCTGGGGCGTGGACTTGTCAAAGATCGACAAGGAGACACTTTTGGATGTCGTCGAGAGGGTCTTCCCCGATGGCCATCCAGAAGCAGGTCCAAACGGATCTTTATCGGCTGTAGACCAGTCGAAAGTCCTGCAGGCTCTACAAGAATTGTAGGCCGCACACTGTACAATATTCCAACGAAATATAGAACAAGATTGGCATTGCGATGTCATTAATATCAAAGCCTCCGGGGTATAGCAAACTCCGCCAAAACCATTGTACAAAGGTCCTCCATAAAACGCCCAAGAAGAACACACACGCACACATAGACTCCTGCCACTATCCCTGCATTGTCGACCAGAAGTAATTGGCGTAGAAGAAACGGGAAAACTTCGGGTCGATATTGACGACATGCACATCACCCTTGCGGCTGTTCCGAATAACCGCGCGATTGAAATTGCCCGCCTCATCAGGCTCAATATCAATACCCAAGGAGCGGAAAATTTTAAGTCGCAATCTGTCAATCATTAGAAGCCATTCATACTCTCCATCCACACGAGACTCATCAACTCACATCGTCGCATCATCCGCCTCCCGCTCACGGCGCGTCGTCTCATCCCCTTCAAGACCCTGCGACTCCAGATCGGCCAGTCGCTCCTTGAGCATTTCCAGCTCGCTCTCGAGTCGCTCACTCTCAATTTCCAGCTCCGAGGCGGCCTTGGCAATGCGGAACTTCTTGGTGTCTAGTTCCACGATCTCGGCAGCGTGTTTGCTGGAGTCGTGTACTGCCACTGCTTCTTCATGTTGGGTGGTTATGGAATGGAGATTGCGGGCGAGTTTTCGGAGAGATGTTTCGGCTTCGCGGATGCGTAGGTCACGCGATTGTTGGAGGGTGGAGAGCGAGTCATTGATGCGTGTCACGGCTTGTTTGTCGGGTTGGATGTTGAAGTTGCCAATTGTGTGGTGGATGAGCTAGGAGAGGGGGGTTAGCGAGGTAGTTTCATTATGATGGTCTATAATCACGTACTGTGCCGGGATCCTCGTCGAGCAACATGGTGGCAGTGTGTTATCCTACTCGTGGTGGATAATCCGGTCAGAAAGTGGTGGTGGTGATAGTGATGGAGATGGTGGGATGGAGTGTTTTGATTGTTGCTGGTGCAACCGCCACACCGCGGCCCAGCGGGCAAAATGCACCGCCACAAGTTTTGGGCTCTTCTCTCCGCAAATGACAAGTGACGTCTGCTTGTGACGGCCTTTTTCTGTTGCTTCCCCAGGCTCCCTGATTCTTTGCTCTCGACTCAGCGCAGGCTTGACTCGTCTCGATACCTCTATAACCACCTATTTTTCTGCTTCCACCATGTCTAATCTCCCTTGTACGTTATTCATGCTCCCTTCCATGATCTGACCATTTTGACTGACTTGTTGGCGCCACACAGATGCTGCGGATGCGGAAAGGTCTGTTGTCCTCCGCTGACGATCCCCATCTACTCCGAAATCTAGAAACTGATTTGATGTACAGTCCGCTGAAGCCCGCGGAGCTGCAGGTGCTTCGGGCACAGTATGAGAAGGAAGGCGACTATGTCGGCATCCAAACGAAATTCAACTATGCATGGGTATGATGGCCGCCGCTCCCCGATGATAGGCCCGTAGGGCCGTTCGTTCCAGACCATTTGCTGTCCTTATACTGACAGATATCTCCGCATCTTGCGGAAACTGCGCTATAGGGTCTGATCAAGTCGAATACTCGTCCCGACCAGCAAGAAGGTGTCCGCCTGCTCTCCGAGATCTTCCGTGGGGCTCCCGAGCGCCGACGAGAGTGCCTATACTATCTCGCCTTGGGCAACTACAAGCTGGGCAACTATGGCGAAGCGCGCCGATACAACGATCTCCTGTTGGAGAAGGAGCCGGCGAACCTGCAAGCAGCCAGTCTGGGCTCCCTCATCGACGATAAAGTGGCCAAGGAAGGCTTAGTGGGCATTGCGATCGTGGGTGGCTTAGCCGTGGCCGCAGGAGTGGTCGGCAGTCTGATTGTCAAGGGAGCCAGAAGACGGTGAGCTTTTCAAGTTGTCAATTGGCGCGGTCTGCATGCCTGCAAGGGCTGTGGCACAACCTGACTGGGGGAGGGGTTAGTTGTCCTTGCGTCGCGGCCTTGATTTAAGCTGTCTTTAGGACACTTCAACTGTATTTATGTTCATGCGGGAGCTTTTCTTTAGGCCTGTTTGATGTCTTAGCATTTTCGACGGCGTTTACTTGACTTGGCTCTTTACATACTTTTCTCCTGTCTCTACTTTGGTTTTTCTCCACACTATGTTTCTTATTTCAACGCCCGAGATGTATGGCCGACTGCTGCATAGCTCTATTGATTTACGCTCTAGCGATGGCATTGTATACACAAATCAAATGTGCTATGACTAGTTAGAATTCAATATGTCTAGATAAGTCTTTGTTTCTGTCTGGCTTCATTGTTTTCCATGTATTCCAGATTGTTCTTCCGCGCCTCGCCCTCCTTGCCACTTGCATCACCAAACCTCCGAAACATCTTACTGGGGAAGAAATGGCGCTGCCTGATACTCTTGCATGAACTATTTTTACTTATACCGTTATTTAACGGTCTTTGAAAAGTAAACCAATCAGTTTCATCCCCGTCGCTTCGTGTCGCTTGTTTCATAACTTGATCGTATACTTCAGGCAACCGTAGGCGCCGACGTCATACTCCATCCGGAAGTAGTCGCATTGCACACGTCAAATTTCGCTTTTTGCCTCTGTTACTTGCTTGTCCCCGTTCATCTCCGTCTTTGCTTTTTGCATTGGCCTTGATAGATCGACCGAGGCAACTGCAGCCAGTGCAGGTACATCAGATAGCTCGTTTGACCTGCTGCCCCGCGCCTGATAAGACAATGACTCGTGACTACGCGCCTCAACGTCCGGCGACCTAAAACCTCCAGCAAACTTCTCCATCCTTTGTTTATCTCCTTTTCTCACCTTACTTTGTTGCCACGTGCTTATCTTCTTCTTGCGACTCCTCTTGCCCCTCTTCGCGCCTTCTCCCGGCTAATATGGCCGACCAAGGCGATCGTGTCTTCTGCCATGCTTGTGGCGGAGTTTGGCTGCTTGACACCGGAGAAGACGGACATGATAACAGCCAGACGTGTCCACACTGCGAATCCGATTTCACGGAGATTGTATGTGATAAATTGTCTTTGCTTTTTCCCCTCCATCTCTCCTTTTCCTTCTCCGCCGTCCCCGTGCTCCTTCTAACTGCCGTTCTCTCTCTTGCAGATTGAAATCCCCCCCGATAGCCCTCAGCCTGAACCCGCAGCCGAGCCTCATTTGCCCTCAGTAAATCCGTGGGCGGATCATAATCCGTGGGCTCAACAAGAATCAACACGACCGCAGACATCCGGCTGGATGGAGTCCGGATCCCCTGGCTACTCCCACCGTTCGTATCGGTCCCCCGATGGCCGGTTCACGTTTAGTAGCACCACGATTGGTGGCGGGTACTCATCGCGCCAAGATGCTCAGCCAAACCCGATGCTCCCGTTCATGGTGCAGAGTCTAGATACGTTGTTTCAAGGACTGGCGGGGACGCATGATGGCCATCAGACACAGCGGGGCCCAGGGATGAATGTTCACCCCTACCCTCATGCAGCGGGCATGCGAGAGCCGGATGTCATGCATGATCCATTCCAAGCCGAGGACGAGCATGCCAGACGCCACGAAGGACTATATCCCCACGACACGAACGGTCCGCAGGATATGACAGCTCCTTTGCAGACCTTGGCCGAGTGAGTGACTGAATCTCCCCCTATATTAGCAAGTCACCTGTACATGGCTCCGTCCCGTATGTAGCTAACCTCTGATGTTCTTATCACTGCAGCCTTCTTGAAGCTTTCCAAGGAATCAGCGGAGCTCAGAGAGGCACCGCCAGAAACCCCGCCGAGAACCCGTTTGCTATGCTTTCGGCTCTCATGAGAAATAACGATGCCGTGTATTCTCAGGAAGAGCTCGATCGGGTCATATCGCAACTAATTGATCACACCCAGCAAGGCACGGCTCCACCGCCGGCATCAGATACTGCTATCCAGTCACTTCCCAAGAAGAAAATGACTCCGCAGATGATGGGATCGGACGGCAAGGCGGAGTGCTCGATTTGCATGGATCCCGTGGAACTCGACACCGAGGTGACAGTGCTGCCCTGCACCCACTGGTTCCATTTCGACTGCATCAAGGCGTGGCTGAGCCAGCACAACACCTGTCCGCACTGCCGACGAAGCATCGATTTGCCTGGCGTGTAAGTAGGATCGTGGCTATGTCAGAAAGGTCATAAGTATCCATCAACCGAGAATTCGCTTGGCTGACAAAATTGTGTAGCACAAGCACAAATACCGGGGCTGGCACCAGCGAGAACCCGGTCGTGATCCCTGACAGCCCGCCCGCCTCGCCTCAGAGACAACGCCGCCGCTCATCCCCATTCACTTCTCGCAGCATCCGCAGCGCTCGATCTTCCATATCGAGATCAAGCCACAACTCAACTTCCCCAGAGATGGGAGGTGAGTCTGGCACTCGGCGGGGAAGTCGAAGCGAAAGCTCGCGGGGAGGAATAACAGGTTGGGTCTGGAGTCGATTTGGTGGTGGTGGTGGTGCCAGCAGCTGAACTAATAAAATATTATGAAGAGTACGATATGTAGCGTTTCGAGACTGTTTTTTCTTCTTTGGGACACTGGTATCCGGGGCTTCTTTCGGTGACATGGGGTTTCCTTATCTTGTTTTTGTTCCGGCTCACATTTCATACCCCTTGTTTTTTCTAGCCATCTACATCTTCACCTACCTGGGCGGGTTCTTTTTGTGTCATGGCTGGTCCTTCACATTTTTCTTTCTACATGTGTACATATTCCCTTGTTTTTATCTTACTGAGACCCCTTCACTAGTTATGGATTGGTAAAGATGAGAGCCACTTACTCAGCCAATATTCTCATGTCTTACAAGACTGTGCTACAGACTAGAAAACTATTCTAGCACTAAATGATTAACATATCATGTGAGAGGACTTTCCTTCAGAACCTTGATATCATCCAGCATACTCCGTTCCAGATCATCAAAAGGCAAGATAGTACAGTAATCCCTATGATCTGACACTTCGGCCAAGATTCAGTCACATCTCCCCAGGTAATCGGTGCTTTCGCATTTACTTTTTAGATCCACAAAGTGCCACACGAAGGGTGGAGGCCGAATCCCGCCACAAGGTTAGGGATTCAAGCACCTCAAAGAACAAGTGATCAACATCCAACTAGTCAAGCTCTTAGCTAATTTTGAAGATCTTATTTATCTTCTCGCAAATTGAGAAAAAAAATACAATTGTCCTACTAACAAAATATGTTGATGGTTGTACGCTTTCACACTCCTTTTTGCCCAGCGCTGTCTGGGAGTATAAGCCCGATACCTCAAGAATCGGCATACACCTAAGCACTGGGCAGATATTTCAATTACCAACAATTTCACAAGACTGAAATGCACCTCACTTGGCCGTGAATGAAAAACAACACGAGTCAGGTAATAGCCACATGTGGGGAATGGGAATGGGCGCTTCCATCGGTGATCTGTCTTTGCGGCTTCTGGATAGAAACTCTAGCTACCTCTGTCCGAGACAGAGGGCCTGAGCCTACTCGAGGGGCAACAGAGTTTGTGAATGATAAATAGGCCAGAAGAATCTGGATGTTTAAACTAAGAACCTAATCAAAGAATTCATTACTGTTCAATATCCCACTGGTCAAATTCTTCCACCACTACACAACGACGATGCTCCAACAAACGACAGACTTTCTCATTCGCACCGTCGGCCTCGTGCTAATTTCAAGCGCATATTTCTGGCAATTCAACTCAATAAAAGGTCCGGGCATAATCTCCACTTCAAACAATAACCAAATTATGCTTATGCTCACTGTGTTCCTATTAGTGATCGAACTCTTCGGCATCGCCAATCCCAGTGTTGAAAAGGCAGCCCTAGGCCCTACAATCGGCTGCAAGAACGCGGCAGCAGGCATTATGCTTCTGATTCTCAGCTTGAAGGGAGATCGCAAGCTTGCTGGGACCTTTCTCTTTGTTTGGGTTACCCTTGTAGGGCCTGAGGATATTTTTCTTTGTATGAAGGATGGGACTAGTTGGGATACACATGCGATCAATTTGGGGATTGGGTGGGTTATATCGGTGCTCTCGTGGTGGGTTTGAGGGAGTAGTTTATGGATATTTGGATTTGGAGGGAGTATGCACTCTGAGAAGTTCTCTGGTATTGGTTTTGGGAGAATGATGTCGATTCCAAGTACATAAAAAGTCGCAAGTCAAACCCGACACCAAAAGTCTTTCCTTTGTTCGACTCCACAGCAAAAAAATTATGCGCATTTTCCGCGGATATAACGCAATAAGAGGAGATTATATCTTTTCAAAATTATTGTTATTATCATACATGATTCATGGTATTTCACACACGGCGGTGAAATCCCAAGGGTCACCCGAGATCGCAAGGCTAAGAGCACTCTCAACATCACGTTTTCGGAATGCTGGGCCACGACCAATACAGACAGGCCCATGAGTGGAAAGGACTGCGAAAATATTCGTAAGAATGTTCGACAATGAGACGAGAAGGCAATTGATTACTCACATGTAACGAAGCTTGCCACGTTGAGCTGCGGAGCTGAACTAGATCTGGGACTGGACATAGGCGACATTGTATCGTGGATACTAATCCCTCTCTCCTGCAGAAGCCTTTGCACCCCACTAGCATCCAACCATTGATCCGTACCAGACTCAATAACAAGTTGCCACGTTCTTGACGAAATCGCGAGTTGTTCAGGCGAGTAGCTATTCGTCCTCATATGAAGAGGGCTAAGAGCCTTTGCCTTTAGCTCGATGGAATCGCCGTTTTCATCATGCATGGCAGAATAGAACCCCGAAGTCAAAGAATTGCGCTCCGCGATAGTTAATGGCTTTCCGAAAATTTCCTGGATTCTCGGATCCTCCATTGGTGTGCGTGTTAATAAGCGGTATGCATTTTCGCAGCATTGTCGGACAAGACGGTGCGATAGTGTCCAGCGCTCTTGCTTCATGAGGTCTTTGGGAGATACGTTTGTCGGGAAATTTAATGTAGGGCTTTGTCTTGGTGGATATGGATTATTAGGGGACGACAAGACGATTCCGAACGGTAGAATTGCTTGTTCTTGGTAGGGTGGTGTGGGAGGTAATTGTTGCGAAACTGGCCATTGATTGAAGGATTTTGGTGAAGACTGGAAGGTTTCGTGAGTTATTGGCAATGAATCAAGTTGTGTCATGTGGGGATCGTAGGTTGGGTCAATATCTTGTATAGTGCTGAGATTGCGAGTCGTCGTGAGAGGTGCTTCTGCTGGGGACCCTTGTTCCGAGCTATTTTTCGCGAGTGACACGCATTGCTGTGTGAGTTTTTGGAGGGCCGATGTGATACGAGGATGATTTTGAGGAATACCAGCCTCGAAAAGCAGGTTACTGAAAGAAAGGAACGACTCGCTGAGCTCTTCAATGCCCGATTCGAGTTCCTGTACGCGAGATTGCAGAGTGGTAATTGTGGCCTCCTTGCGCTTGCGATAAGCTTGTTGAGCGACGCGAAGCTGCGTTCGACGTCTCTGAATCCATAGAGTTAGCTTTGTACTGGCGATGGAGTTGGTGATGACCCACCTCGGGCACTTGCTGATCGTCCGTCACGGTTCGTGGCCGGCCTCTCTTACGAGGCGCGGGCGCATCGGGATTTGCTTCACCCATGATGTATAATATTGTTTCTCGTGAGCTGTCTAGTTACTTTTGAAGACCGAGGAACGAGAAAGGCACTGCGATGATGATTTATTAATCGGAGTCGGGGTCGGAGAGTGAGTAATCCAAAAATCAGCGGGGGTTTGCCACGGACTCACGGGGCACCATCCATCCGAACACCGCGCATATTAGTCAGCGTCAGACAGAGCTTAACTTAACTTAGGTGGTTTTACCAAGCATCCTACATTTAACCATCAATTAACCATGGATCTAACTACTATTGAGTTTTGCATATCTGAAGGCTATATCATGACTATCGAGAGCTGGTGTGCAAGGAAGAAAGATACTTGATTAGATGCTGGACGTAGATCGCTCCACTGTACTATATAGTGCGAGACACCCCAGGTTCCGGCGATAAACTCTTACCATGAAGGAAGTTGTTGTCTATGAACGAGCTTATGTCATGTTGAAGTCGAAGAGGCATCTAGAAGTGTACTTTCTAAATACATAATAATGGAACATAACAGTTAAATCTCTGAGGGTATCCTTCCCTCATTCCCGTCACTCATATACAATTTTTTGCAGACTGATGTTTCGGATCTTGAAATCCGTCTTTTTACAAGAACCAAATAGGGTTGGCCAGACCAAGCGCAGAATCGTCAGTGACGTTGCGGACCTCCACTCTCACAAACTTGAGACTTCGAGGAAGCTGGTGCTGGAGAACCTTTCCATCCGTGATGGTAGTGTTATAGAAGTAACCCTTGTCAGAGATGAAGCAAGCCTTCTGGCCACTCATACCCTCCACAGTAAGGAAGGCCTGGGCACCACTCGAGCTTTCGTGAACCTTGTCACCGATCTGAGCAACAGTGTTCTTCACTTTGACGTTGAAAATCATGGACTTTCCAGGACCCTCAACAATATAAGCATGGGCATTCTTGACAGCAGCGACGATGGCAGATTGCTTGCGGCCGCGGGCGTTGACGACGGTTGTGGGAACACCGTTCATAGAAGGGGGAGAGTGGGAGTCACTGCCACCAATAGCGGCGGTGAACTTTCCAGCGACGAGGAGCTCGTGCCATTTCTGGATGGACTGTTGATCGCTGGAATCGAAGTTGGCGTTCCAGACTTCAATGGCATCGTTGTGGTCCCAGTCATCGAAGCCCCAATTGCAGGCTGGGCAGGCGGCGAAGGGGTGGTTGACGGAAACGAAGCCACCGGCGCGGTGGACCTGCTGAGTGGCATCGACGAAGCCGGCGACGTCCTGGTAACGCCAGTCGATGAGCTGCTCGCGGTCGAGACCGGCGGCTTGCCAATGTCCGTGACGGGTGGTGACCTCGATGGCACGGCAGATCAGGAGATCCGGGGCAAAGGCCTGCTGGTAAGCGCCGATAATGTTGTTGCTAGTATCGGTGTTGTGGTCGGAGAAGAAGATGAAGTTGAGGTCCTGAGCTACAGCATGTTGGATCTGCTCGTCCGGGGTATACTTTCCATCGGAGTAGACTGTGTGCATATGAAAGTCACCACGGAGCCACTCCTGCTGCTCGAACTGACCGACAGTGTCAAAGTCGACCTGCGCAAAGGTCGGGGAGAAGTAAGTGTCGACAGGGTCGAATCCCATGACAACCTGCAATTGCCAGTCAATTCCCGCGGGGACAGATTGGTAGGGACCCAAGACAACGTTCCAGGTTCCGGGCTCGATAGCACCGGGATTGTAGCCGGGAGTGGCCCAGGAAGGAGTGATGGTGAAGTTATTGCGGAAACCACCGGACCATCCGCGAGATCCGAAGGTGTCGTTGACACCGTTCATCAGTTGGTATCCACGCTGGTCGAAGACACCCAGGTCCAGGGCGTTACCCTTGCCCTTGAGGGAGTAGTTCTGCAGGACATAGACGGAGGTGGTCTCGGGCTCAACTTGGAATGGAACGTAAACGAAGGACATAACCTGGGAAGGATCGATATGACCAGTCAAGTTGAGGGTGACGGGATCTCGAGCAGAGACGCTGGCCACAAGGGCGGCCACCAAGGGAAGAAACGTAGTAACCTTCATGTTTGATGACTTTCTGTCCGAAAAGCGAGAACAGAAATTGCTGAAGTAGAGACTTGCTAATTGTGAAGGAGGAGATCGCCTTCTCTTATATATCTATATGGATGCAACTAGCTCATTGGCGGGAAACGCATGAAAGTAACTATACCACCTATCAATTGATCATGTTAGTACTCCGTAGATGTTACCCTGTTTGCATCCCCACGTGGGTAGTGCACGGTTGGAATGCCGAGAGATGCCGTGCCGATCGCAATCATAAGTTTATCCGGTTGGACCAAGCTTCTAAGCTGTCAAGTATTCTAAGCTGTCAAGTATAAAATAGATGTCCATTAGAGGTCATTGAGTATTATGATGGCAGAAGCTCTTCAGGTTCGAGGCATGATGATCAACAGTGACCTCGTTATTATCCGCAGTGATGATAGCAAAACTAGATGATGTATAGTGGTACATTCCGACTTCATGTGTGCTCAGTATTAGTGATTGCCTCGAATATGATCCATATCATTACCAACTGATTCAAGGCCCCGATGCTAACCGGTCCTAAACAGGAAGGAACATAAAACACCTGGAAGGTGGCTTAGATTGTTTACCCTCATGTTGTCCATGGACAAGACACTCCTCAGACAGGTCGCTTGGTCAATGCGCTCCCCGCAACAACACTAACAACAGTCGGGGAAAAGACCGGAATCTTGCTTCCCGGATTGCCTCTAGGCACCATAAATAAAACCGAGCGATCTGAGGCCTGAAATATATTTTTTTGACATGATCGCAGGAGTTCTCAGCCACTACTTAAGCCCACGTGGGGAGGCTTCTGCATGTCGGGCTTTTCTCAGTTAAGCTTTTCTGGTCCACCTGTTAGGATTCCCGAATCTCTGGCACTCGGGCTCCACTCTTGGACCCTGCAACATTCTAGAAAACAACACGCAGCGATTCAGTCTAGCACCGTCTAGATTAGTGGTTCTCTCCTTGGAATGGTACCTGATACTGTATAAAATATCAAGATCATTGTGTATGTGGCGGCCAAAGAAAACTTAAAATACTCTTGTTTTCCCTGGGTCAACCCGTAGGACCGTCACTCCTGCGCACGTAGCAGAAGCAACAAGCCACAGCATACAAGAAAAATGCACCGACAAATCAGGGCATACAGCCAAAAGCTTGCTTCAAAATGGATGGAGCCTACCGCGTGTGATTGTGTAAAATATCCGTGGAATAGAGAGAGGCAATGACCATCAATACTCAGTCGGCAATGATGCGAGAGCCAAATTGCGCGCACGGCCTACGACTATTTATTAGGGGACATTGCCCATATTTTGCCCAGAAAGATCTTCGATAGACGTCCTGTTCACTATCTTTGATTATCTCAAGCATCGGATCTCGCTCTCTCACTCTCTTGATCTTTTATATCTTAGTGTCACGATGAAGTTCACCAGTGGCCTCGTCTTCTCGGGGCTCCTCGCCTCTGCGTCGGCTGTGCCGATTGCCTCGGGCCCCTCCGGAAAGTGGTTTGACCGTATGTTCAATTTTTCACTTTCAATTGACCTCAATTATATTCTAATATATGTATTAGGCTTCGTGGTTATCGTTATGGAGAACACCAACAAGGCCACCGCTCTGGCTGACCCCTACTACCGCCAGCTGGCCGACTCTGGTGTGCTGTTGAACGGTTACCAGGGTAAGAATCAGTGACATATACTCCCCAATTCTCGTACAGATCAATGCTAACTATGATTAGGTACCACCCACCCTTCCCAGCCCAACTACATCACCATGGTCGCTAGCACCACTGCAGCTGGTGTCTTCGATGATGGCGATCACAACACCACCCAGAACAGCTTGGTCGATATCTTCGAGCCTGCCGGTATCTCGTGGAAGGCTTATCAGGAGGGCTACTACCCTCTGGCCGGAGGTGCTTGCAACCCCATTCACCAGAACAAGACCTCGGGCTATGTCCGGTGAGTCCACACCCTCTATTACTAACAACTCCGGTATGACGGTCTTACTGATAGTAAAATCTAGCAAGCACAACCCATTCATGTCCTTTGACAACATCCGCGAGAGCACTGCTCGTTGCCAGAATATTGTCAATGCTGAGGAGCACTTCGCTGCTGATGTTGCCAAAGGCAAGTATGCTCCCCAGTACATGTTCTACACTCCTACTCTGGCAAACGATGCCCACGACACCAACGTCACCTACACCGAGAAGGACCTGAAGTACCTTATGAACACTATGATGAGCAACGAGCAGTTCATGAAGAACACTCTCATTCTCGTTACCTTTGATGAGAACGGTAAGATTCAATTTTCATTCCGTCTTGATGAATGTTATGCTAACGGCATTGGAAGATGTCTACTCTCCCGAGTCTTACGGTACCCCCAACGATGTTTACAGTGTTCTAATCGGCAAGGATGTCCTGAGCTGCACCAGCTGCGTTGACCAGCAGTTCTACAACCGTGAGTATCCCCTGAATCCTGTCATGCATTATACACATCTTGCTTGGCTGTCATGTATCTCCAAATGCCAACGTTTTAACAGACTTCACCATGCTCACCACCCTCGAGCAAAACTGGAACCTGACTGCCATCCCCAACCCTGACGGTGACGGGCCCATGTGGGATACCTGGATGCTTCCCTTCCCCAAGCTGAAGGCCAAGCACAACAAGAGCGCCTCGGCGGAGAAGATGTAAGTTAGTAACAGGGACATGTATACTTAGTTAAGGTCCTGATAATCAATGCTGTGATGGTTTCGCCTGGAATACGTTTACCGTTGCTCTACCTTTCGTTCGAAGATTTGTAGGAAGTAATTAGAAATAGGTCGAGGCTTCTTGACAGATTTAATCATGCTATCAGTCACAAGTTTGAACGATAGACAAAGAAGAACCCAGGCCATTAGGAATAGTCGTCCAAAAGATCTAGGAAGACCTTTCGAAAAACACAAAGTTGAAGCAAATTTAGGGATGTCGCTGGGCGCCAAGCTCCGGGGCTATCGTGGCCCACGTACTAGACGGAGTAACAAGCTTCATTGACGATCAGGAGGCGGACACTAGGTGGCCAGACAGAGAGCAGCAATTATCTCGACTTTGGACAGAAACTCCTGTTTTGCGTGCTGGTGACGTAGCGTGACAAGCGCCGTCTCTCGAGGTACAATGTCCGATCAGAACGATTATAATGCGATCGCCAGAGCGGACTTGGCCGGAGACATTTCTGATCCAGTCCATAATGTGTGATGTGAGGCTATAGGCCTCTAGTCGATAGAATTGGACTCATGGCCTCCTGGCTGTTGTAAGTAGGGATTCTCTCTCGTAAGTCCTCTCGCCCAAACAAAAAAGGCCCGCACATATTTGTAATATCGTAAAGATGGGTTCCTGAGTGATATGTCGGATATAGCCCGTCTGCCATGAACTTCTTCGCGATCATCACAAAGTCCGTTGCCAGGGCTGTATCCCACCCTCGGCCTCCAAAAACCATCAGCGCGAAGGTATGAAACTAGCGTGTCCTGCGAGAAGCTCCAACCTGAAATATTACAATATTCATCTCATTATCTTAAATTTAACAGCCGTTCGATGCTTGTCACTTATATTGACAACCCCAATCAAGTAATATGGATGCTTGTATACCCACCCTCACCGAGTTCTTAACATCAATCCTTCATTTAGTCTTCGCTGCTATCCTCATACTCTTCCTCCTAGAACCAGCTTCCCCATCACCATCATCATCAACTTTACTCTTCCGCTTCCCCTCAGCCACCACTACCTGCCCCCCAGAGCTCGCCTTATCACCAGGTATCTTCCCCTCCGCCAACATCCTCACCAACCCCTCAATCCTCCCCTTCCTCGCTTTAACAGAAGCAGTCTCCACCCTCCAAAGAACCGCATACCTCTCCCTTTTATTCAACCCCCCCCAAAAAACTCTTTCGCCCTCTCACACCCCTCCAATGCTTCCCTAAAATCCTCAGCAACACCCATAGCAGCCGGCCCCTTATACGCCCTCTCCCACCGTCCATCCTCCTTCGCCGCATCAACAGCCGCCAAACCCGCCGGCCTCATTCGACCCTCGCCAATGAGGCGCGTCACCGTGTCCACGTTCTTCTGGGACCAGATGGATTTTGCGCGGCGCGGTGTGTACCGCACTAGCCAGTAGTTTTCATCGAGGGTGTTTGCGCGGCCGTCGATCCAGCCGAAGCAGAGGGCTGTTTCGACGGCGTCGGGGGCGGTTATGGAGGGGATGCCGGAGGACTTTTTGGCGAGTTTGAGGTAGAAGCCTGGTAGGGTGGTATGGTTTGTTTCGAGGAAGGTTTCTAGGGCTTGAGGGGTGGGGAAGGGGTGGATTGGGAGGTCTGAGGGGGGTGGTTTAGGTGGGTTGGGTTGTTTGGGAGGCATTGGATGGGGTGGGAGGGGAGTGTGGATGGATCGTGGAGAGAATTGGTTTAGGAGGGGAGTTGAGTAAGTGTATTTTATTGATAGAGAGTAGATTGTTGAGAAGATGTTGCGAGTGAGGTTGAATCGGGGGAATTTCATGATGGGGTCAGGTCTCTGGTGCTTCTCCGCGCCGAGACATTGGCATCTACTGCAGTCAGCACTAGAGCCGAAAAGGTAACCCAATTCTTGATGTTCTCAATTCTTGAGACTTGAGTTTTAGTTTCTACAAAAATCCTACGAAGATATCGAATACTTGCAAAAAATACATTTCGAATGCTGCTAACAAAAAAGTATGTTGGTACAGACAGTCCACAGAGCAGATCAACGGCACATAACCAATAGATACCATCACGCCCACCAGCTCGAGCTCGACCAAAAGTTTTCGAATCCTACCATGTAGATGCACGTTTCCTCTAGATACTCAATACCATAATTGGACTAATACAAGTGAACGTCACGTTTACCGCTTGCCCTTCTTGCGAGGAGCAACGACCTTGAACGCGGCGTTGCTAGCCTCCTCCTCACGCTGCTGAGAGGCGGCAGTGCTGGCGGCAGAGCCCTTCTTGGCAACCTCAGACCAGCCACCACCGTTCTTCTGCTCAGCGAATGCGCTGGGGGAGACGGGGTCGACGACGCCCTTGTCGGCAAGCTTGCGGCGGCGGATAAACTCATCGGCGAAGCGCCGGCCGTCCAGAGTCTGGGAGTTGGCGTAGACAGAGTCGGAGATGATCTCGGCCTCGGCGGGGAGGAAGAGAAGTTGCTGAACAAAGTCATCCACGTTGATGTTGCTGTTCAAACCCTTGCCCAGGGCCAGCTTGGCCCACTTGGTGAACTCCTCAACAGCCTGGTTAGAGTTGGACTGGGGAACGCTGCCAACGGTCGTGCGAGTAGCAACAACAGGACGGGGCTTGGCGGCGGCGGGAGCAATGGGGACAGTTCCGCTGGCAGAGCGAGGGCCGAGGGGTGCGGCCGGAGGAGCCTTAGCCTTACCACCAGCGCCGACAGTAGTCCAAGCACCGGAAGCAGTAGCAGCGATGGTAGCGGAAGCGACAGGGGCCGGGGCCTTGCTGGCAAGGTCGGCGTAACGCTTAGCAGCAGAAGCAGGGGGGCTAGGAGTGGCTGTCTGAGCGGCAGCCGCAGCAGCAGAAGCCAAGCGCTGCTTACGAGCCTCCTCTTCCTTCTGAATCTGGGCGAGGGTTTTCTTGGTCGCGGTGTTGGTCTGGACAGGCTGGCTCTTGGTGTTCCAAGGAGAACCAGCGGTGGAAGGAGTAGCGGGGGATCCAGCGCTGGCCCAGTTGGCCGACGAGGGAAGGCCAGGGACAACTTGGGCTTGAGCCATGCTAAGACGCTCCTGCTCGGCAAGAAGCTGGGCGCGACGAGCGGCCGCGGCAATTTCCTCGCGCTGGGCAGCAGTGCGAGCCTCGGCCTCCTGAATTTCCTTCAACGAAGGACCCTTGGGCACTTCGTGGGTATCCTTAGCCCATGGAGCAAGGGAAGTGGGCGCAGCATCAACCGGAGTTTGAGTCTGGGAGCGAGAGCCAGCAGCCAGAGATTCGGCCACATTCTGGCGGTTGCGCTGGGCAGCGGGGGCAGGCAGAGGGGAGGCGGAGGGAGGTGGGGGGAAGGGCTGAGGCATAGCATGATCAATCTTAGCCCAGGCAGATTCGGGGACAGACTGATTCTGTTGCTCTTGCTCCTGTTCTTGCTCATGCTGCTGCTGTTGACGCTGAGCAGAGGCTGCCTTATGGATTTGCTGAGACAGAGTCAGGGCGGGCTCCGAAGCAGCAACTTCCAGTTCCTCGGCACCATCAGTAGCCAAGGACTCCACGTCGTGCTCCAGAGCAGCGGCAGGGTGAGTAGGCAGTCCGTCAGCGGTGCGCATACCCAGCTCTCCCTCCTGGGCTCTCATCGCATGGAACTGACGCAGACGCTCCTCACGGGCCTCCTGGTCAAAGGGGTCATTGGCATTGGCCTTGTCGAAATCATCCTGCTCCTGCTGCAATTGAGCGCGGTCCTGGAGCATAGACGCCACCTGCTGTGAGTGGAGGAAGCTATCCGGCTGGCGCGCAGAGAACGAGCCAGCAGCGCCGAATGCAAACGGATCCTGGCGACCAACGTTCAAACGGTCAAGAAGGGCCGGGAGCTGATCTTGGGAACCAAGCTCGGTTCCAAGCATTCCGGGGAGAACATTAGGCAGACCGCCCGGTCGGAGGGAAGCGGCGGCATCAAAGAAACCGGGCATGCCTGGGGATTGCTGCTGTCCCTGAATGGGAGCTTGGATCGGGGAGGGCTGGTAAGCAGCGGGAGAGGTGATGCTACCGAAGCTGGGCTGGCTGTGGAGACTGTGGGCACTGGATTGATGCTGAAGCTGGGGCTGCAGAGTCGGGGGAGCGCCAGGAACCTGCATCTGCTTCATGATAGCCTGCTGCTGAGCAAGATGCTCTTTCTGTCGGGCCATGAGGTACTGCTCCTCCTGCTTCCGTCGCTCGAGGGCATTTTGCTGCTCCGCGGTCAGGGTAGTACCAAAGCTGGGGAAGCTGCCGGGGAACGGAGGCTGAGCCGAACCCTGGTTGGGATTCTGCCATTGACCGGGTGCAGGCTCGGGGCCATGGGGGATGCCAATTTGAGGCACAAGGAAGGGCTCGCGCGAGTTGCCAATACGACGAACCAGCTGAGCCAGTGGCTCAAACTCCCCATCCTCCAGTTTCTTGATCTGCAAGTCGGGGCTGAAGAATCCAGCCTTGAACCAGTCGTGCATCTCTAGACCAGTCCACGGGCCTTGAATGTTACCCTGTGGATCGCGGTAGATCCAGCGCATCCGATCCGGCATGACCATAGTTCGTTGCTGAGCGGCAGAGATAGAGCCACCAGGAGTAGGAGCCTGGGTTGGGTCGTGGGTGAGATTAGCAGGGATAGAGCCGACGGCAGAGACAGGGGTCTGGGAAGCAGAGTTGGAGCCAGGCTTGCTTGCTTGTCCACCCTGCTGGGCATCACCCTGTTCTAAGCCTACGGACTCTGAACGAGCTTGCTCCTCTGCCATTCCAGAGAAGAGCGCGCCCAGCTTGCTCGAGCGACCGATGCTAGCGGTACCCGAGAGGCCGGCATGTGGGCTGAAGAGTCCGCCACCTCCAAGCGTCGACAGGCTAGGAGACTGCAACCCGCCCATGGAGCCAAAGATAGGATCACCGAAGCCACCTACAAACGCTGAACGCTCACGGGTTGGGGTGCCAATGGCATCGCTGGATGGCCAGCCTGACGGTCCACCAAGGCCTGACGGTCCACCAAGGCCTGAGAGACCGCCCAGGCCACCGAGGCCAGGGAAGTTTCGATTGGCGTTGACGCTGGAGTTTTGGCTGCGGTCAATGGTGGGGAGATCCATTCCTGAGCCAACCCGTCTCATCGATCCGAATGGGTTGGACGGATCACGCAGGCCGGTAAGGCCAGGGTGTTGTGGGTGCTGAATATCCGATCCATCAGTGTCGACATCCTCCGCATCTGCCACGGTCCGATCACCGTGAGGGCTTTGGTAAGGGTTTGTGTTGGTCGGGCTGGTAGGCTCATGGCCTTGGAGGAGGCTAGGAGTCGGGTTTCGAGAATTCTCTTGACTCTGCATCAGCTCACGGAAACCAGGAATGCTCGAGGTCATGCCAAAGGCGCCGAATCCAAGATCAGCTTGAGACGGAGCTTCAACGTCCTGAGATCCGCCAAGAGCAGCACTGCCGCTACGAGGCTCGTCAAATGGATTGGTCTCACTTCGGCTAGCACGGGTTTTGACGGCATCTCCCCATGGGGATTGCGCGCGCTTATCACTATCTTCTTCGGTGAGTCGCTCAAGGTTGCCCAGGGGCTTCTCCTTTGCCGAGCCTGGAATATCCTCCGGACCCTCCTTAGAGAGCAGATCTTTGAACCTGCTTTCTCCACGAAGACTTCCAAACCCAGCTTTCTTCTCGGTGGTGGGAGTCTGCGCAGTGTTCGAACCCAGCGAGAAGGCACCAAATGCACCCATCGGAGAGAAATTGGCATTGTGTGACGCCGATGCAGAGCCCCAAGGCGAGCTAGGTCCACCGATGGCCGTGTTCAAAGGATTGGTGGAGCTGCGCTTCAGACTACCGAAAGGAGAAGCGGCTTCAACGCCACCTTCCTTTGGCTTCTCATCCTTGGCATTCGGTTCGCGGAAATCGGTCTTGCGACGGAGAAGGGCGGGGGGAGGGGTGGATGTATTGGCTTCATCGCGGAAGAACCGGGTGTTGGTCCCGGTAGGTGACATAGGATTACCCACCGACTCCCCAGTCTCACGGCGGCGAGCGCTCGGGCGGGCAGCGTTCGGGGAAGAGGTGTTGTAGTTATTGATGTGGCCTTGAGTATAGGAAATGGACGATTTGCGACCTGTGGTGCCTGGGTTTGCATTCTCCTTGCCGGCATTGGTGGGTGGCGGCTTGAGAGGAGAGTTGACCGAAGCGGAAAACAACTGCAAAGAAAACCCAATTTTTAGCAATCCGAGCCAAGCACATATGTTGTGTTCTCAACCAGTGCTAGGGATGAAACGAACCTCCTTTTCCCCGTCGGACATATCAGTCAGTCCCAAGGGCTCGGCCTGGCCGCCATGATCCCAACACACCTCGGGGCCTGCGGAGGTCTTGTGGTCCTCCCGCTTTCCCCACGCTCCATTCATAGGAGTTGAAACAGTGTGAGGGTCCCAGTCAGCCACAAAGTAGTCCTCTACATGCTTGTTCAAAGAGCCGGTGTCCCGTTGTGCCTTGTACAAATCTAGGAGTTGCTCCTTGGAGTATCGGGCATCGCCGTTGCGCAGCACAGTAGACATGGTATTTGAGCTCAGGTGAGGAGGGACATAGGCCCCGGAGGCAGTAGGTGTCGAAGCGGAAGCAAGTTGGCTACTGTCGCGAGTGTGCGAAGGGTTGGTAGCCACCGAGGGGCGCCGGAAGGTCTGCGTAGCTCCATTCATGCGGGATCGCGACCTATATAGTGGTTTAAGGTTAGCATTGAATCTCTCGAGTTGCGACTAATTGGTTGGCCACGCAAGGCAGGCAGACCGACACCCAACCGGGTTCAGTGGGGTGACTCGGTGCCTGACTTTGAGGTGGACAGCGCTTTTCTTTGAGAGCATACCATTCTCCACCAGTGCTGGCATCCCCTCTCCGACTGGGGTCCTGGGTGTTACCAGCGGCAGCCGAAGCAAAACTCGAAGGAAGTGGTGTAGGCATTATGGAAACGAGGTTAAACTGGACCGATCGAGATCGTCCACAAAACAACGGATGTTGGGGAAGCGTTGGTCGCGAGACTGTGAAAGTGGCGGAAGTGCGAGATGTGTGATGCGAACGGAGATGAGAACGCAAAACACGAGAGTCGATGCCTGGAACGGTGTGCGGGTGGTGAGAGATGAGGTAGCAGGACGCTAGTTCAAATCGAAAAGCTCGAGGACGGAGTGAGGAGAGAGAGTTGTTGTGTATGTAGAAGAATGCGAGCGCCAGGAAAGGTCGACAAGAAAGAAGAGATCGAAACTCGATTTCGCTTGGGTTTCTCCAGAGCAAAAATGGAATTAGCGGGGCTGTGGCAATAGGCGCACCGAGGCGGAAATACCGTGTATTGGATACGAGGATCGCGTGAGAGACGAGAGGATTAACTATGTCCGGGAAGTATAATACACGGTAATCAGAAAACCAAAATGACCCCTGCCACACGCACGGGAGAAGCCCACCGAGTCGTGACCTACACAAACTGCCCACATCACACACATCATCACTTTGACGATACTCCTCTCGACGACATAAACCCTTGAAGAAGAGATATCCAGCTGAAAGAAAATGACATTACGAGTCATCTCACACTTTCAAAATGCTTTTCTCTATTGCCCTGACTGATTTCCCCTCAATAGACCCCCGTTCGCAAAGAAGCTTGAACCGATGATGTCGACTGGCATCTATGCATCCGGTGGCTTGGGTCCCGCAAGCTGTGGGTGTGGCAATACTCATGATACACGTATATCTAGCCTAAACCCACACGCTGCCTATCATTGGAGGCCACGAGTGCTTTCAAACGGTTTAAGGTTGGCTTGGAAGGTTGGATTGGGTCCTATTTTGGACGTGTCGTGCTGCCTCTTGGCCTTTTGAGCCTTTGAATGCTGTTCGCCCTTGCTGCACACCGATAATATGTTTGGCTACAATGCACAAACACACGCAATTAAAGGAATGATCCCTCCTCTTCCCCCCGTCACAAACAATCAAACAGACATGGTGGAGAGGAGAGAGGGATACGTGCATATTCTGCTTTTATCCCTTTCTCCTCCTCTCCAACCATCCCCCCTCTCAGCCACCACCCGCCCCGGATGTTGCATCTGTTCTTTGTTTAGCAGAGGATTCCATTGAACCTGAGTCATTCCGCTGATGTAGGCTGTTCAAGTCTGGCCTGGAAATTGACCTCATGGCTAGAATCAGAATCTCATTCTTTTTTGATCGGGGTTTCTTGCAGAGACTCTTCTTTGTTGACATCGGTGGTCTTCCCTTAAACACACACAGGTTTGCTCAAACTCTGGAGCTCTAGAACTCTGGAGGATGCGAGTGTCTGCCCGATAACAATGCTTTATACTCTTTCTTTGTCCTGGGTGTCAGTCACGGGCTTAGCTTGCAAACGATATGAGGGGTCTGTGTGAGTCTTTATAGATCCGAGAATACATAACACATCTCCATTCGCTTCTTCCAATCTTCGTCCTTTGGGTAGTCTCAGCAATTCTTTACTACGGCTTTTTTCTTTAAAGTCTTTGCTCTATTCGTCTCACTGGCAAGGCAGTTTCCTCTTTATCCTTTCGCCCTTATTCCAAGCAGAGACTGTTCCAATATCTCGGATCTTATCGTGTGTATCCGTATAGCTCAGGCCCCTCCATTGGACGATAATGCCTCCAGTCCAGCATCCGTACCCAGGGTTCTTCGGCCCAGGCAAAGGCATACGTGCCTTGAACGGGCGTCTTCGCAATGGGCATCCCCATCCCATCTTGGTCAATGTACAAGATGGCACCTCTTACCCTATAAGAGGGCCTACCACTCGATGCTCCTCGCCCACAACACCTCCCGCCGAACGACGTGCCTACGCAGCACGAGAAGAGGCGCGTAAGACCAAGAACCATTCTCCAACCCGGGAAACTTCAGAGGGGTCAGCTTCAGTCCCACCGCAGGCATGTCACACCCATACTCACCGAGTGTATTCAGAGCGTGAGCCCCAGCCTGAACCCGAATATCTGCCACAGCCGCACAAGCATTCGACCAAGCATCATCGAAAGGCACCGAAGCCTGTTGAACTCCCACGCCGACGTGACTACGATGCGGAATCTACCTGGAGCACTAACGTGCATGTCCCGTGGCCTGCTCACCATTCTTACTACCATCACCACCATCACGATCATGCAGCTCATCCCGATCATTACACGTTCAAGGCGCCCTTCAATTGCCATTGCCCCGAATGTTATCAGGCGACTCATCGGCCTGTGGCCACTGATGCTCCCCAGCCCGTCGAGGTAACCAAGGAGAATCCCGTGCAGACAAAATACCTCTACGAGCACCACCCGCACTCCTTCGGACCTCACCCAGTCCCTGTTGATCCCCGTGTCCCTTGCCGCTGTGGATACGTGCATGTCGAGCCTGCTCGGGAGCAGCCATCTCGACCTACGAGCCCTGACAAACATCGAAAGGGACATCGTAAACATTCGACTGAACCTGGGGAGAGCAGATCTCATCGTCATCGGCGCCGCCGACACCGCCGACACCGTCGGTACACGAGTGATTCATTCTCCGATACGACGAATGATGATGTGGACGATACGAGTTTGGAGAGCGATGAGGAAACTCGGACTGCGGGTGAGAAAGTTGAGTATGAGGTGCCGAGTGATTGGCAGTTCTGTAGTGAGTGCTGCTGGGGTCATCCTGTGTTTTATATTGTGCGGTAAATTTTGTTCCTTAGTCTTTGCCGCTGGGACAATAGAGTTGGGGTCTCGGTGAACGTGCATGGAAGGGAACTCATGAAAGGAGAAGATCATCTGATAACGGTATTGGCCATGGAAAGGAATGGAGTTTATTGTTCAATTCAATCAGATTTGCTTTTGTATGAGAGATGTCTTGCCCAGCATTCATTAGTTTTTGTCTACTGTTCCAAGCCGGATAACGTTCCTAGAAAGTATCAAGATCACTCTTCTCTTTCCACGTTTGTGCTTGTCTGTCGTTGATCTGAGGTAAGCTATCTTTTTCTCATTTCAAAGGAGGGTTTCTTTGAATGAAATAGGAAAGATCGATCTGCATCAGCCCAGAAATCAACTTTCTGCCCTTAGAAGGAAAATCCGTAGTGGCCCTCTTGTTTTGATCTCCCGGTAACTGCTGTTCTGAGCGAATATCCTACCTTGGACAATTTTTCTTTGATCTATAAAAGCTCGGCAGAACATGTAAAGAGATGGATGCAATGGAAGGACAAAAAGTATTTGATGACCTGCACTGGGTCTATCCCGTAGTGATATATATTTGAAAGTACTAGGTATGGCCCAATAACCTTACCTGAGTTGAAGCAATAGCCCTAGTAGGTGAAAGCAAGTTCTATATTCAATATTTGTGATTAAGCTCCAGTTGAAATCCAACCTAGTGTTATTTTAGCAGACCTGTGAGGTTGTACTCATCCAACACTGCGAGGGCCATGTTCTATGCCCCCAGGTGCCTAGCACGCGGGCGGAGTTCTTTCAGTCAGATCGACCATAGGTGGTGGCCCCCAAAGTTGTGCCCCATTCTACGATGAACATCTAATCATTGTGATATAGTTCGACCCTGTACAAAGGCTGAGTTACTCCAAATTGGAGACAAAGATGTTGCTGATCCCCAAAGCATAATTACTAATGTCGCCCGTTCCTCCGTGGACCGAGGTCCCCCGGAATACGTAACGGGGAGCTCCCACTTGAGATTAAACATAAAGTCTGCGCTGTGCCACTGAGGGTTGAAATATATCCACAATTCTTCTTGAACGAACTCAAGAATCCAGTGTATTAGATTGATAACTCCTTCCTGCCAGTGCTTAGCTGTGATTTTGTCATCATCACTGGGCCTCGGTTATCGATAAGATCGACCATCCCGATCAACCATCCCCGCACGAACCAACAATAAGAGCTTCATTCACCCTCTCAACTTGGTCAAAGATACATCGACATCGAGAGAGATCAAAATGTCCAAGGCAGTATACATCTCAACCATTGATGGCAAGCCTGGCAAGCCCGGCCAGGTCTACTATCCCCTCACCTTGCGCACCCTGCCCCAGCCTTCCCCGCAGGGGCGAGAGCTGCTTGTGAGGCTGACCGCCGCCTCCCTCAACCACCGCGACCTCTTCCTCCGCCAGCACCTATACCCCGGCGTGACATTCGATGTTCCCCTCCTTGCAGATGGTGTTGGTATTGTGGTTGGTGCCGGCCCCAACGTGTCCAATGCCGACAAATGGCAGGGCAAGCGCGTCATTCTGAACCCGGGTGTTGGCTGGAAAGACTGCCCCGATGGGCCGGAGGAGGCAACTGGATATCGGATTATGGGAGGCACCAAGTTCTATGATAAGGGCACTCTACAAGAGTACATTACCATTGATGAGTCGGAGGTTGAAGAGGCACCTGCCCATCTCTCCGACGCGGAGGCTGCAGCCCTGCCCCTGACGGGATTGACTGGATGGAGAGCCTTGGTCTCCAAGGCTGGCGAGAGGAACTCCAAGGACGGCGCTGCTATCTTGGTCACGGGTATTGGCGGTGGTGTCGCATTGATGGTGCTTCGATTTGCGGTCGCTCGCGGGGCTCATGTTTTCGTGACAAGCTCTAGCCAGGAGAAGATCCAGAAGGCGATTGAGCTTGGCGCTGCTGGCGGCGTGAGTTATAAAGAAGAAGGATGGGATAAGAAGCTGCTGGGTATGCTTCCCTCTGGCAAGAAGAACTTTGATGCCATCATCGACGGTGCCGGTGGTGATGCAATTGAGAAGGCTGCTCGGCTACTCAAGGTAAGTGACAGATCATGCAAAACAATGCTTGCGAGCGACTATATTTCTCGGTAACAGTAACTGACAAGCGTGAACAGGCTGGTGGTGTTCTCTCCGTCTACGGCATGACCGTCTCCCCAAAGATGCCATTCACGATGCAGACTGTGCTGAAGAATATCGATGTCCGTGGCTCCACCATGGGCTCGCGCAAAGAATTCAAGGAAATGGTCGATTTTGTGGCTGCCAACAAAATTCAACCCGTTGTATCGCGAGTGCTAAGGACCGACATCGATGACCTTTCTGCCATCGATGGGCTCTTCGAGGACATGAAGCAAGGCACGCAATTCGGAAAACTGGTTGTTGAATTTGGGAAAGCCTCGGGCAGCAAGCTGTAAATCTAGCAGAATAAGATGACGACCCTTTGACGAGATAAACGAAGATGAAAATGCATTCCGTGAAAACTGAGGAGATTGAGAGTTGAGGTTGGCGGGTGTCAACGAGTGTTCGCGCCTTCCTTTCTTGGGCTTCACTTCTATCATCATCTCCGTCGTGCCTTCTATATCTTGTTCATCCTCATCTTCCATTAAGACCATCACTCTCACTGCTCATAGTGGCATACACCTCTCATCAGAAAGGGCAGGCTGCATTTGATCCTTGTTCTTTCTTCCTCCACTCATCTCTCACAGTCCCAATTCATCATGAGCACCACTAACAAGCCTACTCCGGGGGAGTCACCCCGTCCGCAGTCTAAAGGAACTGGTTCTGCGTTGATGGCCGGCAGTCTTGTCAAGCCCCCATACAATCCTTACGCCTGGTTCGAAGGGGACAACCTGGTACGTACTACAAGAATCGACGCCATCATCATGTTGTGTTACATGCTAACTTCGAGCATCTAGAGCCCTACCCAAGCAGCTCTGCGCATGTCGAACGAGCATCTTGAACGCCGTCTCATCAAGCTGCAGGTTAACTCGGCCCGTCTTCAGCGAGAGCTCTTGCTCCTCCAGCAGCACATCAAGGAATTCCATCACCCACTGTTCGAAACCTGGGAGGCAGACATTTTGACTCGTTTCATCGAGGTTGCCCACGCTTATCAGGCCCGGAAGTTAGCGACAGGAGTCTCTATTGGCGAGGACAATGTTGCTGAACGTGAGTGTATCTCACGCGGGTATGTCAATGCCGCGAAGCATGTTGAGGAAGAGACCGTGGAAAGACTTGGTCTCTCGGAGAAATACCATCAGGCGCTCCTCCGATACGAAGAGGTAAGGTTTGCTTCCGGATCTCCCAGTCTTCTCTAAGGGTGTGGGATTTCGGAGAATCCATCGTTACTTTTCTGCATTTGCTCACACATAGAACAGGTCGCGGCCTATCGAAGCCCGAACCCATTCCAAACTGAGACGCCCTTTGCGAGATGGCTGATCGAGGAGAAGGAGAATCGACCGGAAAAGTACGCCTTCTGGTCGAAGCTCTACCCCGTCTGCTATGGTCGCTCGGTCGAAAGGAGCGCTTCCATGTTTTAAGCGACCTTTGTCTCTCTCTCTCTCTCTCGGTCTGGTATTTCTTTCGGAGTTTGGGTCGGGGCAACAAAGGAGTCGGGCATTCATGGGATACCGGCGTCATCTAGGCAGAAGGGGGGATACGGCGTCTTCTTTTCGGGTGTCATGGTCATCGTCCTGCGTTGCTTTTTCTTTTTCTTCATCTCTCAGTCAGCGACAGTCCCTGCTTCATTTCAGGTTGACATACATGTGCGGAGTGGAAATCCTTAGGTGACCCATAGGGACTTGGATAGTGGACAGACCGCTTCAATCTCCATCAATTCCTCTGACTTGCGGCTCACATTGTCGTTGTCCAAGTATACCGCCACCCGCAATGTCTTCTCGTCGGTAGTTCACATAGGCTCAGCTAGTAGCGTAGCCCACGTTTCTTTTTGGTAGATAGATCGCCCCAGATAAGCTGTTACTGTTACATCGGCTCGAACTTCAGATCCAAAAAAAAAAAAAAGCTTCAGACCGCTAGAAAGCCAAAAAGTCAGGCTAAGATGCACAGCCTCATCGTGCATCGTCATCGCTATAACCACATCTTATTCGTGTAGGGCTACGTCGATCAGCCCAACCAAGCACACCCAACATGCCCAGCATGCCTTAACTTCCACAAGTGTCCAGCTAAACCCAGATTTATCCTCCCAAAAATAAGGGGGAATCCACTAAGGCGCTTTATTGGGCAACGTTACGCTGTCGAGTAACTTAACTTAGCTCTAAGCTATTTTCGATCTACCGAGCAAAGCATCACCAACTAATCACGTCTGAGAACCTTCGTCGGAACCCGCAAAAAAAAAGAAAGAAAGAACACACGGCCCAAAACTAAGACCATCAGCTGTCACCGTTACAGGCGATCCTGCCAAAGTATCCCCAGATATCCCGGATATCCCAGATAGCCCGGCTAAAAAAGAAAATTTTGAGTTCGCTCTACCGGCTAAGAATAGAATCTGAGCTTTTGCCCTGGCCGTGTCGCTGTCCCCCTTATCCCGCTTTAGGGATCGACTGAGACAGACGGATGTCTCACGAGTAACGGCCCAAGCTAGCTACTTTTGCGCTTTGCATACCTTTGCAGGCGACTGGTGAATTGTCAATCACTTAGTCATAGTGAGTTCAGGATGACCTAAGTATAGGTGACCGTACCCTAGTAGGCACTGGCAGACTGGCAGTAAGTGTTTGATGCGCCGTGCCAACCTTAGGGTTATCCGGAAGAGGAGCGTCGAGGCTGAAGCCCAATAACAAGCCACAGTTCGTGGGGCCGATTCAGGGTTCCCGATTCGTCCCGGCTCGGTTAGGTTCCGAAGCCTTCATGTTTGGCTTTTGATGGTTGCTTTTACAGTTGACGATAATATTCATGATATACTGTTGATGGTGATGTCGTCGGCTTGTGAGAGAATAGTCCCATTTCCAAATGTATACCGTTTAAGCGAGGGTCCTGCATATTCCAATCTTGCACTATCCAATCAATGCGCCTAATCGCTCCTCTTTTTGAAGATTTTTCTCTGGTTCCTCATTCTCCATCTTGTCCTCGCTTCGCTCGTTTTGACCTTCGCTTCAAGCAAGGATAGAGCTTATGAGAAGTCCGCTACGGTAACCCGATTAGTACTTCGCAGGATCCCCTCGCAGGGCGGCCGTGCGATTGCATTGTTCAGTCATTGTGATCCGGTTATGCTAGTTATGGATATTTCTACTAAAAAGCTGTTAAGGCCGAGGTTCAAGGGCGGACTTGGCACCGATTTCGTCCCACAGGAACCTCCGCACATTGGAACTTACGGATAGAATGGGGCACGAAATGGAGACACTCTGGGACTGCTGCCTACCTTGGCAGAAAAGATTCAATGAAACTTGGCAACAACAACTTGGATAGTGCATCACGATTCGCGCAGACTCCAGAAAAAGAGGGTCGATAGATCACCGTTCCACCACTCCATGCTTCTTGCAGGAAAGGGAGGGGTTTTACCTTTGGAAGTCAACCGCTGAATCTGCTGTTGTTGTTAGTCAGGGTCCGAGAGGAGAACAAAAGGAAAAGAAAAAGTGGGCTGTGGATGCTCGGGTCCGACATTGATGGAGAAGCAACTACGGAGTAAACCAATCTGATGTGATAGGAGAACCTGCCATAGAAAAGCCTCCAAAGTAAACGCCGTCATTGGACAATTGTAATAGCGCACACCACGGACCGAGTAGCGTGTCTCCTCGATTTGGTAAAGACGCAGAAGGAGGCAGGACGGACTCCGGAGTAGATTTGCATCCCGAGGTCCCGACAGGCGAGAAGGATTGGAATTGGTCCTCTCCACTTGCTGTGGGCGAGTTATGGCTCCACTGGGAGGATCGGTTAGCTTGGTATTTTTTTTGTTTGTGTGGAATGCGGAAATCTGCTCCACCACGTTTTTGCTGGTGCGGGAGAATATCGTACCGTCTCTTATCGATCTTTGGGGGCCACCTTCGAATATTGAGCGGAATCAGATGGGAAGTACCGTAGAAGTGCGGAACCGCAATACCGTGGTTTAAGGCGGCAGTGCAAGTGCCTTGATGGAGCTTGGAGACTGAATTGGAGGAGATACTGTATAGACAATGTCGGCGATTGATTGAGGGATCAGCGAGACGGCAGCGCGATTTTTCCAGACAATAGTTCGCATCAGACCAGTTTCCATGCGTTTCGACCGGGAGATCCTGGTTCAAAGTCGACCACAGCGGTCCTGTTTTCTCCTTTTGGGGGAACTTCGGCGCAAAAGACGGTTGAAGGCTTAAACTGATTCCATAAACTTGAAACGGCCGTAACTCGGCGGAGGTTTCAAGCGTGGCCGATCGAAGCCGATCGCACGAACTGATTGAAGGTTTATCAATCGGGCGGAAGATACCAAAGTTTATTCTTCTCACCTTGCGACTAAGTTACTAGCTTTCTAGAAATCGGTAAATTCTACCGAATTGTACGATCGGGTAATTAGTTTGGCTTTGTTAGTGTCGTTTGAAGACAGTTTCTTGGGGTGAATTTTCTCCGCAAGTTGCGATAGCGCTTGCAGGGATATATATCCTGACGTATGCTAACTCGCATCGGGGTAAGGTAACTTTGCCGATCAGCATCGCGCGGATGTGACCCTACCTCAACAACCGGTATTTCAAGACCTTACCAATTTTCATAATGCAAGTATCAGCATCATAAAGAAGATTACTCTATCAGAGACTATACATAGGGTATGTCAAAATATCCATCATTGAAAGTATGGTGGTTGCCCACTCTTAAATCGGATCGACACCTTCAATCAACTAGTCTATTTCTGCCTCAGACGAGAAAAGCACACAGACGCAGGATTTATGTCTCACTGCCCCTGAGCTATCCATATTCGGCCTCCAACCATGATTATAAACACCCTATAAGGAAGGTCAATATGCTTACGCAGGCTGCCACTTATTTTAACTTCTTTAACTTCTTGGTAGCGTGCCCTAAAGACCCGACCCGGAATTTGGAACGTGGGAGAGTTAGGCTTAGCAGTGCCCCTCCTCAACTGAAGCCATTAGCCAAGATCGTCATCGAGTAGTTAAGTATCGAATCAGCACGGATTACCGAAGAGGAGCTCCATGTGGGCGGTAGTGTCCTTTCTGGCACCACCGTTCCCACTACTGTTAGCTCGCCCACGCTTTGAGCATGATTTGCACCTTTCTTTTAGGTCTCCAACCAGGATAGGGATGGGATCGTCGCTGTTGAAGCGGGTGGCGTCTGGTCTACGAGCTGAGTGGCCCTGAATAATCGTATCTCTAAGTATATCTTGAGAGCTGTGGTGGTGAAACCCTTCCTATGACCTTGCTCTCGGCGACACACTCAGACCCCGACCAGGAGCGGTCCTGATTCAGGTACGAAAAGGGGCTCAGAGACAATTCGGGAGTCTGTCAATGACCGCGTCGTGGGGAAACGCAATTCCTGGGCTAAGCTAGTGGCAGATGGAAGTTTGTCACCCGTATGATATTGTTAGAGATATTGACCGGACAATAATTCTGCTATGAAGTGTAGAGTTATCAATACTAGCTACGCTCTGATCTTGAATACAGAGATAGAAGATATCACCAAACTAGATCCATGTTCACCGCAACTTCCTGCAGGATTCATCGGGCGGGTCAAGTCACGCAATACCCAATCTCTTGCAGGACTAGATTAAAGTCGGTCATCAATATCAACAACCCCCAACGAAGTTACGGACAAAGTAGGTGGCGTATCTGTAATCAACCGGAAGTCGTCCGGGACTATCATTCGTGGCTTGAAGCCATTGCTGTGTTTTCCTAAAGGAGTAGGTTCCAGCTCACCCAACACCAAAGCTAGCACTAAATGGACAAGGAGCTTTACCTAGAGAGAATGACAGATATGATCTATGGACACATAATCGTTCTATATCCATAACGTTTCTCCTTATGGCTTAACTACCGAATATCAGACGATGAAGTGTGGAGGTGACCTCCAGCGCCCGAGTTCCGCAATGACCACGCGAGCATATCTGACACTCTGAGTGGTCAAGGCGCAGGAACCCCTACTGTACTGTTAAAGATTACAATCAATTCAAATGAGATGTTACTTTCAGAAACCTCGAAATATGGAGATATCCTCCCGAGCAGTCTCATTTCCCAGAGAAGAGCTGGGTGCCCTACTCACCAGGCCACCAGTTGGGCACAGCCCAAGGCCCCAATCCCAAATTCAATAGAAGTACCACGGACTGTAAGGTGTGGCTGCGTAACTGGAACCATTAACCCTGAAGAGGATATCGAGGGATCCACTGTACCAAAGATGGTGATGTGCAAGCTCTATGAGCCTTGAGCTACGATCATATGTGCTGCGAGAAGCTCACATTCCTTCCATCACCCCTCGAGACGAGGCCAGCAATCAATGAGAGTCATAGACTATGATCCTGTCGTTTGATTCGGGTACAAAGGCAGTAAGGGTTCTGGCTAGGGTAGATCATGGTTTCAGTCTAATCACCACAGCCGCCACTCTCCCATCC